CCGCCGCTGCAGCCGTGGCCCCAAGCTTCTGCAGCTAACGTCCTGCAGCTACTATCTACTGCATGCACCCGGCCGTGATCCCTTCCCTTTGCCTCGCCCCCAGCATCCAAAAGCCAGGCCGAATAACGAATGGTAGGGCGCTTCCAAGACAAGGCACGGCTCAAGACCAGCTCCAAGACCTTTTCAACGGCCGAGGTCCACCTCGAGGGCACCGCCGTTGATGCCGTGCTAGCAGGCGCACTACACGGCTCGCCGTAGGGCGAGGCAAGGCAAGGCAAGGCAAGGCAGAGGCGTGGTGAGGTAGCGTAGAGTGTCGAAGTCGCCCGCCGTCACCCGTCACGCCGTCACCCGTCAACTCCAACTCCCACCACCATCTGCTCATCCCATGTCGGTACATGGAGTAGTTCACGTACCTTGCACACCCGTCCAGAGGCCTGCGAATAGGAAGCCGGGATGGCCTACCTTAACTCGTGCCGCCACTCCTCCTACCTCTGCGGCTTGCGTCTGCTGCCACTGCTTGTTGCTCCTGTGCTACAACGCTGGCGTCCACAAGGAGGACCTCGACACCTCGACTCCTCGACTCGGACCTCGACCTTGGAGCTTCACTCGGGAGCCGATGCTACAGTCCCCCGGGTCCAATTGCGTCGCGAGACTGCTCTCATGTCAGAAGAACCAGGACAATGCTGACTGGCCTACCTTTGAGTGTTTGGCAGCCTCTTTTGTGTACGTATATTCACAAGAGGCGGCTTTATCCAGGCTGCTTGTGTGAGGTAGCGGCAGTCTCGCATCGTCCCGTCTCGTCCCTCTCCTGTGCCCCAATTGCGCAGGACCGTCATGTAAGGTCCTCTGCTCGGTAAGCGGTAAGGCACGGTCAGCTTCGCGGCATCTACCACCGCCAAGGATCCGTGTTTCTCCAACTGTTGTATGATGAGATGGGATGCCTCTTCTTTTTTTAATCGTCGTGTTTCCGGGAACCCCTTTCTTCGGTTCGGAGGGAAGAGGGCCTGGAGACGTCCAAGCACACAGCTCAGAGCTCACCACCTTCCGCAGAAGAACTCGACAGGAAAGAAACCGCCGAAGCAGATGTCAACAGCAATCGAGGAGCAATGTCGGATATTGTTCTGCGCACACAAGGTCCAAGGTTAGGAAGGTAGCGAATATCAAGACCCGTCGTTGAACATGGGACCTGTATCCGTATGGGGCCATGGAGGTGATGGAGATGGAAGGAAGGTCGATGCAGAGCTGCTTAGAGGTACCGGATACCCTGCTTGGGGGCCTTGGCTGCGCCGCGCCAGCACGATGCCAGAGAAGCGTTGCGACTGGTTCGTGGGATTCCGGACGCGGCACCTCGACTTTCGTGTGGGTTGCGTGCCGTGAATCTACGAAGCTGTACTCAGTAGCGAGCGTATCGTAGCACATCAGCACCTGGCATCTATCTCCAGCTGTCCGTTAGATGCGCGGGCGCGGCGGCGGAACCACGGAGGGAAGATGGGAAGAGGCACGGTACATAGTAGGTGAGGTGCTTTACTGAGGTTTAGTGAGGGAAGGTACTTTGATGGAAATGCACTGAAGTGTGCCTTCCCTTCCATCCACTGGGCAGTGACCAATCCCGGGCTCTTTCCTGCCTCCCGTCTTGACCTCCACTGTTCTTTCCTTCCCTGTTCTTAAGGTCAGGTACGTACCTGTCCTGACTGTCCACTCAGGTTGCGGCCCTCCCCTCTTGCCCCCCCGGTGCCCTCCCCCCCTCCCCCCGCCGGTGTGGCACTTGTGGGCTGTGGGCCGTGGACCGTCACAAAGTCCGGCCCATCAACTGCCATGATGAGGACCGGCCCTCTTACCCTGCGCCTTTTGCGGACCCCTGGTCCGGGTGCGGGCACAGACTGTTAGCTTCCCCTTTCAGGAACTCCTCCAACGAACATGCCTGGACGCCTCCGCATTTGTGCCTCTCATCGTCCTTTTTTTATTTATTTTTTATTCGTTTGTTTTTTTTCTGTTTCCTGCGCCTGCGCCTGCGTCTGCGTCCCCGTCCGCATCCCTATCACATTATGTCTCTCCCGTCTCCATCTAATGCGTCTGTCTCGCTACGGATATTCCCTGAGGCTTGCCTTGCTTGCCTCGCCACATTCGCACACTGCCACTCCTGTCGGGGTTTTTTTTATTGTCTTGTCTTTCGTACTGAGCACAGATCATCAATAGAGGCCGGTCTTGTCTCCAGGAACAGCAGACGACGTTCAACCTTGAACCCTCACTTGTCGTCAACAGTAACACAATCCGCGCAACAGTCGGGACACGAAGGGGGAAAGGAGGAGCCAGGAGATTGCGTCTGGCCCATAAGGTCACTAGCGCCCATGTATGTAAGTCATAACGGATCTCCATATGAGTCTAATCATGCGCAGTGAGGCCTTGAAAGATGCAACCGCCAGCACCAGCATCGCGAGTCGCGAGTCGTGAGAGCGCATATTCCATACCTTGCCGGATACCAAGCCATCTTGACCGACCGACCGACTCTATTACCTTCCCTTCCCAGGTTGAAGACGGGACTCCTCGTGCCTCATGACAGGATACAGGCACCTCAGGTCCCTTTTGCATTCTGTTTCCCTCTTCTCCATCCACACCCCGATCCCCATGACCAGTGAGGGGTTATCCATCTCTTCTTGCCTTCTTTCTCTCTCTGACAAAGGTTGCAGAATCTCTCTCTCCTGTTGTCGCGACCGACTCGTCAACCGGCATACGCTTGCTATCGCGCGTGGTCTCCATCAGAGAGTCATGACATTTGACGGCAGAGCCCGAAAAACAAGACAACCAAGCCCGCGACCACGCCTTAATGCTTGAACGAACCGCGCCGCCGTTGCCAGCCTTGCTTTTCCCCGTCAAACGCCCCTCCCACCACGCATCACCCTCACCCCTCCTTCGCCGTTCTTCGGCGAGTGCAGCTTCTAAAATAGAGACACATTGCCTTCTGTCTGACCTCTGACCGGCTCGCCAGCCAGCAAAGGCCTCAGTCAGGCGCCTGTGTCTATTATATTAACCCTCTCCTAATATTGCCTGCCCACTCCACCATATCCGGGCAGGGATGGTCGAAATGGATGTGTGTCCCAAGCGAGTTCACTCGGCGGCCCCTGGCCTCCAGCAATCTCGTGAACCGATTCTCTCCCCCCCTCCTCTCGAGTCTCCTCCTCCTCCTCAGGCTCCTCTTCCTCTCCCACACCCCCTAGTCCACACGCCTTTCCCTTTTCTGCCCTTCATCGGCGTCTCTGCCCAACGGCCTTCTAGAAAATTTGCGGGCCCGTGGCCTACGAGAGCCGTCGGAGGATTCTCTGTCTAGTCTTCCTCATCGGCCTACCCCCCTCTTCGACCCCTGGTCCTCTGGCCATGGGTCATCTATTGGCCAGCACGAGGGGATTTGGAGTCTTTCCAGCCTGCGATTTCTCCTCAAGAGATGGCCCCCCGTGCCTCCGTACGATCCATGCCAGGTTCTTCTCCGTCCCTCCATCTCGACGGAGCTACCTACCGCACATGCCACCCTGCTCACCAGGGTCAGTAGTGCCAACCCTGAAGGCTTGCCGTCAACTCTCTTCCATGTCTCTTGCTGCTAGCGATGCCAGTTTGTGCAAGGGACTCGTTCGCGCCGTTCGGCAGAAGCGGGGGTGCCTTCTATGAGTGTGTGAGTGTGTGTGTGTGTGTGCGAAGTGAGAGAGAATGTGAGAGCGCAAAGTGAATAGTGAGTACGTGTGTCCGACTGGGGCTACTCGACCCGTGTGCTGAGTCTTCTCTATGATGCCTATGTTTAGCATGACAGTGTACGTTTGTTTGTTCATTATTATGTAGAGATGCCTCGTGCGTGCAAGCAGAGAGTTTCTCAGTATGGCGTCGACGAATGAGCATGAGATATGCGCCTTTCTACACCCCAGAGCCACGTCCTATTCACCCGCTCGACTGTGAGTGTCGATATATGCAATTTCATAACCCAGAAACTACCGCATCAGCTATCGAAATACCCAGACCTTGTATCCTGAGCTGTGCTCGTTTGCTCTTGTTCTTATCAAGCCGTTTCAGTGCCGCCCCTCGTCCTTAGCACGACTTGTCTCCTCGCAGTCCCCCCCTTCCCCATAACGCCGCCTTCTAAGAAGGGTATTTCCCTAAACCTGGTCGCCGCTCTGCAGGGCGCATCCATACCCCCATCGTTGTAGCTCCATTGCGTGCCTTGTTCTTCCGCTCACCAGATCGCCCGCTGCTCCCCTTCTCCTTCCCAGTATGGTTGCATGCACTGACCGTCGTCGACCAAGCACCCGCCGTTACGTTGTACTAGTGACCTCTCGCGGTCGTGGTCTCGCTGGTTTCTGCCGCTGAAGAAGAGACACACACAGAAACACGCACACGTAAGTCGACAAGTCGGTGCGTTGTGGTGCGTACCAGCATACCTTACCTAGGAATATTCCCATCAAGACATCGAGCTCCCGTCTGCCGTAGGTAGTGTACGGATACTCGAGTCGTCCTCTTCCCCCCTCCTCGACCCGACTCGCATCGACTCGACTCGATACAAACTCGACCTTGGCTGGCCTCCCCCAGCCCTGCCCCCCAGCCAGTATCCACCCCAGGACAGTGCCGAAGATTTTCATCAGACACCCCCTCCAACATCTACCGTCCCTCCTGCTACCCATCCACTCCATTCATCGTATATACAAGTATACATCTGTCCCTGCAACCTTAAACATGACCATCGTCCGTTGAACCTCAACTTCACCTCTGCATCTCCTGCACCTTCTCGAGTCCTCGCCCATCACTCCTCGACAACGGACCAAAAAGCCGACCACATCGCCCATCCTCCGCGGCTTGTCCTTGGTCTTCACGACTAACAGCAACATCGCTCGCCTTGTTGATCTCCCGCCAGCAAGGAACTACACATCTTTTGTCGAAGAGAGGCGCGCTTGGGTCTGGGACAGGACTGCGGCGCTCCAGAAGGGCATGCTCTAATGTCAACCACGGTCACATATCCCGTCATGGCAGAGTTGAAAGAGCCGGCGCATTCCAGTCTTTGGTCCAACTATGGAAGTCCTGTCCAAATGTCGTCTCGATTCAACAACAGCCTGGATTCCGGCCTCGGAGGCCATTCCGCCAACTCCCCACACGCGGGACGCCCGAGAAGCCATCACCCCAGCGTAGACCACGGGTCCTACCCTTACGGTCGCTACCCTCAGGACGAGTCTGATGCGTACGACAGACACGCGCATCCCAGCTTGACCTCCCACCACAGCTTTCCCAACCTGAAGAGGCCGTACTCTCAGACCGAGCAGCCTCCCTACCAGGAGATTGTCCAGGATCTGAGGGACGATGGATCCAAGTTGACGGTAAACCACGACCACAAGCTGCTGTCGTTCAAGAGGGTCCAGGACAAGCACACCATTCTCGACCAGCATGGTCGCATGCAGCAGCTGGAGCTGTCCGCCCAGCTGCACGGCATGTTCTTCCTCTCCGAAATGCCTACCAACACCAACGACGGCACCATTCTTCAACCCGAACTTACATGCTACCGACGAAACCTCTTTCAAATCAGCGGTTCCCTCATCACTCCTCGTGGCCAGCTCTCTGTGGTCACCGAGACCGGCGAGACGGTCCCCGTAAGCAACACCGAAGTGACCATCTCCGCGATCGAGTCGGTCGACGGCCACCCGGTCCGTCTCATCGTCATTCCCTGGAAGACACCCCCACCCAACTCTCCCGAGGTCACCCAGGGCCCCGATCAGGAACCGGCATCGCTCCCCTTGATTCCTTTTCAGGAAGATGGCACGGACGCCGATGGAGAGTACGCCGTGTACCCCATCGGCTGGCGCCGCTTGCAATTCAGAATGTGAGTATTCCCCGTGCACTTTTAATAAAGGCCTTTGACTAATTTGATGGCAGCGCTACGGCGAACAACGGCAGAAGGAAGGAGCTCCAGCAGCACTTTGTGCTTCACCTAAAGGTTGTTGCCACGTTGGCCAACGGAAACAAGGTCATTCTGACCGAATCGACAACCGCCCCTATCGTGGTGCGTGGCCGCAGCCCTCGCAACTTCCAGGCTAGGAAGGAAATTCCTCTCTTGGGTTCCAGCGCTGGCTCGAGAGGCCAGGCTTTGGTAGAGACTGGATTGGGCATTGTGGCAGGACCGTTGGCAGTCAAGCCGCAAGAGGCCAAAGCAAGAGGACTGGACTTGCAGATGCCTCGTTCCGCGTTCACTTTCAACGCAGGAGGCCCCAAGATGCCGGGAGCCCCTATGGGAGCCATGAGATCAAAGTAAGCAACCTTGCCCACTCGTTTTCCGTTTCCCCTTCCATCACTTGATGGAACGAACACGGTTCCTGCGACGAAGACTAGAGAGAATTTTGCTGACCGGATCCAGCTCTTATCCCAACTGGAGTTCTCCAAACCCCATGTCACAACTACCCCCAGCAGGTTCGGGAGGTTATCCCGCGACCAGCATGGCAGGAGACCCTTACCACAAGGTTCCTCTGGCCGGCGGAACCAGCTTCAGCGCTGAGCCCCAGGACATGCCGCTCCAATCGTCGATGCCACCAGTCCAGCTCTCGTTGGTGGCAAACGAGCAGCAGCAACCTCCCATCAGGACTCAATACGCATACGTGCAGAGCACCACCGCTCCCCCACCCCTTTCCGTGTCCGCGACCGCGATGGCGAGCTCGGACAATGCGCTCAACGTGCCAAGATACGTCGACAACCCGAGGCCGACCAAGAGCCCAAGGCACGCCAGCCAGCCTTCGATCCACAGCACCGCATCTCTCGTCAACAACGAGTCCTCTCCCGAGTACCGGTACGGATCCTCGTACGGTGCCGTTGGCAGTAACGCCAGCGAAATCCCACCGCCTGCCTACAAGCAGGAGCCAAGTGTCTCGCACCCGGGCCCCCCTCGGGACTACTACCCTCCTTCGAGCTCTTGGACAACGACAGCTGGCGAGCCCGCCTCAACAGCTGCCTACACCAGCAGCGAGGGTAGACCATACTTTGCCGACCAGTATGCCAGCGGGGGTTCCGCGCCGGCTCCCAAGCAGGAGCACGCTCCCGCCCCTCCGGCTCCCGCATCATACAGCAGCGCACACCGGGGTTCCTTCGATGGCATGAACCACTACTCGTGGAACAATAATTAACTGCGCGAATAATCGTTTGGCGGCCGGGTTACGCCACGGGTCTTCCACCATGGAGGAACAATAATAAGTCCAGGGGTGACGATGACCAAGCCGAGGGGAGCAGAACTTTGGGCCGAAGCTGTATCCTACCCGGCACATCAGCCCTGGGCATGTACCACTATACCTTCGATTCGAGGCCAGAAGAGCGATTGCGGTTTGGATTTGATTTTGAGATATCTTTTGAGTCGACGAGAGGTTTCAGTTCTTGGGCCATGTCGAAACACTGTGGAGGATCTACCTCATGACGCTGTCGTTCACAGCAGTTCAGCTCGGCATCGGCCAGGGTTTTTTTCTTATGTTTCATGACAGACCGGACCCGAGCATAATTGGGTAGGCGCAGCAACGAGATGGTCGAGATCGGCGTCAAGAGACGGGCATTGTCTGGTGGCTGGGCATTTCGATACCACACGGAGGATAGCATTGACGTCGGACGCTCCGGCCGGACGCTTCTATCACCGGCTCCGGGCCCGTGCTGCGACATTTGGGTGGGCGGGTTATTCTAACGATTTGTATGGTATTCTTTCCTTTATACTTGGGTACGAGCGCCGGATATCTGGCAAGGAAGGCAATCAAAGGCATTGTGGTCTGCAAGTGGCGAACCTTGATCCTGGAATTGGCGGCTTTTTTGTGTTGTTGAGAAAAGGAAGAGAGGTGAGGATGAGGGGGGATGTTCAGCCTGAAGGATGGGATGACGTCCGGTTTGAGACGGCTCTTGGCTAAGAGCCTCATCCCGCCGTTGCGGTTGAGTTTCCCCCACCCGAGCGCCAAGGGTGGGCGAGGGAGAGAGTTCGGCTGATTTGTTCGGGACGAGACCCAAGCGGTCGGTAACTCTGAGCGGCGGTGAAGAGACGGAAAGGGTGTGGGCGGTGTTTGTTGGCTTCGTTGGCTGCTGGTTGGTTTGGCTCGGCTTGTCTTATTTGGTTCGACGTCCACACCAATGTGTGTGCGACCATTTGTGTGCGCAAATCTAGGGATATCGGATCGGTGAAGGTTTTTTGTGTTTTTTTTTCCGCGAGAGAAGGAGATTTGAGAGTGTGTGTGTCAGAAAGATGCAACGGATGGAGGTGAAGAGAGAAGGAATGGGTTTAGCTAGTCAAAAAGACAGGAAAAGAAAGCGAAGCAGAAAATGCGCAAATCAATGGAAATCCAGCTAGCATCCAAACCCACATCGCATTTCCCGCCTTTCCCCTCCCGAATGGAGACGGGGGAGGAAGAGCTCGTATTAGTAGTAGGACAGGCACCGACGATCGTGTTGTACGTGAACGGGGTGGGCTCCGTCGGATACGGGAACGGAACACGGGCTTCTATTTATTATCATATCGTGTGTGTCTGTTGGTACACACGCACACACACGAGGGAGGGCGAGTGGTGGTGGTACTTTTGTCATTCCATTGTGTCTGACCGACTTCTCCCTCTACACAAACTGTCCGTCTCCCTTTGGTCAAGTGCGTGCCAACAAGCAGGCAGGCTGGATTACCGCTCCATCGGGCGTTTGCCAATTCCCGCCGTTGGTTCCCAAGTTCCCCACCACATGCCCATCTCACCACCTCGCATCTCACAACGTAACCTCAGCTCACCTAACCCTTGCCGTTGGCGTTGGCGTTGGTGTTGGCGGACGCCGCCAGCAACGAACGCTACCTTAGCCCGACCAGACTATTGGAACGGTGGGAAGGTCAAGACCATGTGGGCGGCGCCGACGGCGGGCGGGGTGTGGGACGGGAGGAGGGAAAAGGTGGGCTTTGCGACGATCATCTGCCATCTGCCATCTGCCATCTGCCTCTCTCGTCTTCCCTTGCATGGGAGGAGAGGACGACGGATTTGCTGTTCGGAAGATTACCAGCTAATCAACCAACCAGTGTTCGGCGTAGAGGTGATGAATCCTTCACGGGCTTTGGCCCCACCTGGCGACTTTTCCGTTTCGAGGTTTACAGTGTATCCGTACTCGGGCGACTGTTGTGAATGGACACTCACGCATGCACGCGCGCTTGCTCGTTGGTGAGGTGGTTTGATGGACCGTTGCATCGAGGCCAGCCACAGAGTTCCAACGCGTCGTTTCCCAACAGGACAGCGTGAGCGGTAATGCGAGTTTCGCCCGTCGGAGCTGGATTCTTCTGTGTGATAGTTGATATTCTGTCGGTAGAAGAGGAGTGCAGAATTAGGGGGGGCACGTGGTCCCTCCGCATTTCCACTCCGCAATGAATTTTCCTTTTTCCTTTCTTTTCTGCCCAGGAAATCTACATCTTCCCCCCCGGGGGTGTGGACACCGGTTTTCGGGCCCGAGGGTACGGTACCGGATCCCCGGGGCGGTCGATGATCATCTGTCAACTACCTTCCCTTCCACCCACACCTCCTCCTCCCAAGGCAAGGGGTTGGGTTAGTAGAGGAGGAGGAGGAAGAGGAGGAGGAGGAGCCAACACGACCAACGCAAACCCGACACATTGGTAAATTGTTGGCGATGGATCATCACCGATAACAAACAGTCCGGCCGGCAGCGTAGGTACCCGAAACCCCCTCCCTCTCCCCCTGCCCCTCACTTGTTCCTTCAGGACTGACACGCGCATCAATCATGCACAACACACACGCACTCACTCGCACACACCCTCCCCTTGGCTGGCCGCCCGAGACGGCGGCGCGGGATGCGCGGGTTCGCTGGTTTTGTTCGGATGTGAGACGGTATTTATAGAAATTGGGCGTTCTGGTTCGTGGTCACCTCTTCGGGGAGAAAGAACGAGAGTCACAGCGCAGCTCAGCTCAGCTCGAGGTTTTCAGTTGGTGAGCGGTTGGGGTTCTCGTGCCGACTCTTACGGCCGTACTTGTAGCTTGCCGATGCAACGATCTGATCACTCAAGACCAACTTGTCTTGGCTTGATTTATTCGCGTCAAATACCTTGTAGGATGTTGAAGTCAAGTGGGCTAATTACACCATAGCATGACGAGGTGCCTCGGCATGTCGGTGGGGGCTCAGGTGTAGTGGCCCGCGCGATAAGATAAGCCAAGGTTCAGAGCTTCCCACTCCTAAGCGAAAATCTTGGTGCAATTGACCGCAACCGCACCTCGTTGGTCGGCCTGAAGAAGTTTTACCCACTGCTCAATCCCATTTCCAATAGCCTCAAGCTCGGACAGAGGTCTGCACACTGCTTGCGACGATCGAAATACCCGTGCAAGGACAGGATACGACGGGCGGGTTGTCTCTCGCGCTCACGCCCACAAACAGACCGCTCAGTCGGCCAAATTTCAATACTTCAACCCACAGCCTGCACTTGCTTAAAGCTGGGCAGCAGACATGTTCGAGCTCCCAGACGCAAAGAGGTGAGTGCGCTCGCGCGAATGCCGCCGCGATGGTTCTGCCGAAGCTGACCACGGCCGCGACAGGGTGAGGAGAGAAGACCTCGGGGGGTCCGACTCCGAAGATGAGGCGCCGAGCCGCGACGAAGGGCAGGACGCGGAGCTGCTCGCCAAGCTGCACGCTCGTATGGCGGGCATGCTCGATCTAGGCAGCATCGAACAACCAGCGCCGACGCCGAAGAAGAAGACGACACAAGTACCACCGGCGACGAAGACGACGGCGGCTTCTTCCGATGACAGCAGCGACGACGACGACGAGGTGGCTGAAGACAAGGATGCGGAGATGACCGAGGCTGTCGCCGCGGAGCCCGAGGAGTTCGAGTTCCGGCTGTTCTCGACGGCGCCGGCGACCAAGATTGCGCTTGTGGACGAGGACGAGCTCGCGTTTGAGGGGGAGGGCGACATGGTTCGCAAGAGGCCGCTGTCATACTACCTCGCTTTGGAGGCGACGCCCGAGGAGCAGGCGGGGTTCGAAGAGGCCGCCGTGTCGGGTGAAGACGTGCTGGAGAGGGCGAAGCAGCGGTGGTGGGGGATGGAGACGCCGTGGCGGGTGATCAGGGTCGAGACAGGAGCGAAGAAGGGCGACACGACGACATCGAAGAAGGACGGGGAGAGCGAGGAAGCGGCGGCGAGGAGAAGGAGGCCTGGGAAGAGGAAGAGGATTGCGTTGAGGATGAAAGAGAGGGAGAAGAAAAAGAAGGCTGAGGAAGAGGAGAAGGCTAAGATGGGCAAGGAGGAGGCGTTGAAGGAGAAGAAGAAGAGGATCAATCGCCTGAAGAAGTTGAGGAAGAGGAAGAAGGATAAGGAGGCGAAGCAGGGTGGTGCTGCTGCTGCTGGAGATGGTGCGGATGCAGAGGACTCCGGTGAGGGGTCTGAAGGGGATGATGAGTAGACGGTATTGCCTGCCAAGGTGTGAGGCCGCTGCCTACCTACTCTCATCTGACAGGATGAGATGTTGTTCAGGCTTCTCAGGCCAGATACATGATTTATGAGCGGAACAATCTATTGGAATATATTCAGCAGTGCCAGTGAACCAGGCTATACTGTGGCAATTTGAATGTCGACTTACGATCTCAAGCATTCATATACTGGTTCTCTAGTTATAACAGCTCCAAAATGAACTAGATCATCTTGATGTAAGAGGCTGGTTATGTTTGTGTCTGGTGTTGAAAGCTTCAACATTGCCCAGGATTTACAGAGCCAAAGTGTACAAAAGAGGACTTGCTGCCTTGCTTCCAACACACAAAGCTGCTTCATTCTTGCCTGCTGCAGTAAATCTGGTCCTCCACTAAGTGAACAGATGGCGTCAATTGGTGACTAGAGCCTTGGCAATATAAAGCATGAAGTTGATAAGTACCCTTTGTAGCCATCAATGTCTCTGAGGCAGACTTGCGCGTTGAGCAAGCCAATGAGGATGGTCTGCATGTGCTAGAGTTGCCTTTGCGAATCATGTTGTGCCAAAGTCGGCAGTATGCTACTTTTGGTTCTTTGCTGGGGTGGTACCCTGATCATGCTGTCTGTCTTTCTTTGTCCGTGTTGGTGATGTATTTAATGGAATATACGGGAGAGGTAGTAAAGGAAAGTTGAAACTCGATATGAAGCCCTAGACTGCCCTAAGAAGAGGAAATGTTAAGGTGCCTAGAGAACTTCTATTTGAACATTGGGATGAACAATCCCATCGATGCGTTGCGACTGTTAAGTCACATGGTATGGTGGACATCTTAGTAGTCGTTTTGTTTGATCTTGCTTCAGATAGCATGTCAATTTCAAACGATGCCAGACTTTTATTAACACCATATACACCTAACGCTATGTAAGTCATCTCTATCTATTAACACAACTTGAATAAGATAGATCTATATAATGTGGCCTTATAAGCCACCTTTTGTTCTTACGCATTGAGTTCTGCTCTAAGTTATCGTTCACTTGGAATAGTGTAGTGACCGCTACAGTCGAACTATTACAGCAGTGTCTTTGCTAGTTTTGATAGATCTTCTTGAGCCAGCATTCTCAACATCATCCTCTAAGAACAAGCTGCTAGTCCATCTCCGCAACATACCTGTCATAACTATATGTCTTCGCCTCTCATCTTAAGTAGTATACCTCGAAATCGCGAGAGGTAATGAGGAAGGCTGGGTAAAATGCCTATCGAACTAGTTTTCACCTTGCGGGTGCGAGATTTTCTGAACCATGATCGCTTCTGGAGGTATTGTAGAATGTGCTACTTTTACCTCCGGAGTTTTCATTGAGAAATGATGTGTGCTAAGAAACCTCTTGGGTCCCCCAGTGTCTCCATAAATACCAAATTTAACAAGGGTCTCAACGAGAAGGATATCAAAATTCCGGGGAGGAAGCAGTTGGAATTGACAGATGCATTAAGAACATGTGTACTCGCTACAGCTAACATTGATCCAACGAAGAGCAGAAAGAAGGCAAAGTGTGTTGCTAGGCTAAGATGTTGGGGTTTGACCTTGTCATGGTCCATTTTCTTGTATTGTCGCCACGCGGATCTTCATCGGAGCTGGGCTTCAATCTGTTAAATCATTGTGTGAAATGCCTGCGCAGTCTGGAGGTATAGCCGCGGTAAACTAAAGATGCCGTATGGCCGCCACTATAAAAGTTTCATTTACATCTAGTTGAGAATCAAAGGGTTACGATGTATTCCTTCGGAACAGGACATCCATGGAACCGTTCGTCAGCCGCGAAACATGCGACGATCTCTTGCTGCATTCTGGTCTGTTCCGGTCTGTATCAGTATCATCAAAGAGCCGTGATCAGAGAACCGTCATCTAAGCAATGATTATCCGTGATCACCATCCTTGGTTCCGGCTGAAGTATTCGAGAGGGAATGAGATCAATGGCCTAGTATCCCGAAGTTCAACGACATTTGTCCCTCTCGTCTATGCGGGTCATTCATCTGTAAATTGTGATAGTAAGTAAAACTAGATAGGGATGGAAACACTGAAGGATGGCCCGACGATCTGTTGTCCAGAAGGTTGGATTTCACTGCCACAAGACCCAGACAGAGATGTAGACGGTTCTACTACTCAGGAGACTAGACAAAGGTAGTCTGTTCCTGCAGGATTGGGCAAACGGATGGGCTACCGAACGCACTAGATAAAATGAAACACTCGCTCACGCTTATATCGAAGTCTCAGTCAAATATTGGATGTTCGCTGATCAACTCCCAATAGTCCATGAGCAGCATGGGATAGTCCTTTCTCGAATGATATCAATAGGCCTCAGGAACCATGTATTTTGGTTGTAAGACCACAGAATCCGTCCGTATCGTAGTGAAATCGCCGTCTCCCCCTCCCCCTCCTCAACATTCGGCGTCTATACGGCAAGCGAGACTTCGCAAATAAAGGCTGACTCCCAATGTAACAACAACCCCATCAAGCAAACAGCCGCCTTTGGCCGCCAGACCAATTTTGCGCAGAAAAGGGCATCTGCCGCTGTAAGTCATCGCCTATCCGACCAGAAATCCGGCCCATGCTCGCTCTTCTAGATCTCAGAACGGAAGGGGAATTCTTGATATACAACGAGGGGCTAAAATAAAGAAACCTGCCTAGAAACAAGATAATACCAGGTGAGCTGGCACTGCTTCTACCCGAGCTCAGGTGTCTTCAAACATGAATATTCCGATTGCAGCGATTTACTGTCTGCGAGAGGCGGCGTCAACGCATCACGTTCAACGCCAGCTACCTTCGCAAACCCGGTGGCATATATGACGGCTGTAGAAATCTGAAGCAGGAGTCTTGTGCACAAGGCCGGTGCATTGGATGTGTCTGCAATGTTCCAACATATAGAACAGGAGAGACACCGTCTGTGACCACACAGCATGACCCGCCGCCGCCGTCCATGTCTCAGTGTAAGCAGAAATGAGGAAACGTAGGACTAAGCTCACGAATACACGCCCGAATCAACGACGACGGACGAGGCAGATGAGCAGAAAATGAATATCGTGACTGATGTAGTTTCCCATGGTCTCAAGTGTCACCCGGCTCGGACATCGACTCGGATGATTACGCATGTCTGCCGCCATACCTCGCCTCACGTTCACTCTCCACCACTTCCCTCTTCTCAGTACAAATTCTAGAAGCCAGAGGTGCCATCAAAGAAGCCGAGATCCATTCATACGCAATTCGTGATGTGCCAACCTTTCCACAATGGTCCTGCAATCCAAGATATTGTTTTGCGTATACAGCCTTTTTGCAGCCTTTTCCGATAGCCTGAAGCTCCAGCATGACAAGACACCAAGATATCAGAAGGACGCCTTGAGATCAGATTGTAGTACCGGTGATTCATGTGAAATCTTCGTATTGGGAATCTCATAATTCCATCCCCACCGGATATTGACGGGGTATCAGACTAGAATATGTAGAATAACTGCCCAAAAATAAAATCCCAACTCCCTTTGTGATCCGGGGTATATAAAACAGAAAATGAAAAGTAAGAAGTCAAAAGGTATGATGAACAAGTCTCCCAAATGGCACATTTCCCGCCGCCCGTGGCTCAAATCCACGACGGAACCTTCATTCGCGCATGTGTAACGCCAGCCGGCTTCCTTCGCCGGCTCCCAATGTTCAAGAACTCACCGTTCTCGCCTTCCGCCAAGTCCTCAAAGTGCTGATGGCCAACCGTGATCAGCTTTATGATGTTTCCAAACCCCACCGCCACCGACGCCGTGCCGACCTTGACCATGGGGCCAAGCTCGGAAATGATGAGATGCGATCCGCTCTCAATTTCCGAGTGAAGTGGTTTAGTCTCGTATATCTCCTCGCGCCCTAACTCCGATGCAATCCAGACTTCCCAGTTGTCCTCAGACCTGCTGGGTCGCTTTTCCAGGCGTTGATACATTCTGCGCCGAAGGCCGCCGGTTGTTGTCGGGGACGACTCGCCGCTGCTCGATCCACTGTCATAATTGTCTTTCCTTACACCGACAAGGAAGCCGTTGGGAAGCGCCTCCCAAGTGCCAGGGTTGGCGATTTGTCGCTTTGTCTCGATAGTATCGTGCCACATGGAGCAACTGCGGCTCGGTGGCAGGCTCGTATTCCGGAAGCAGATGACATTCCCATCTTCCCTGCAAGTGTAAGTCTGGATGATGCAGTCTCCCGAATCGGCGTGGTTGTAGGCTATGCCGAAAGACACAAGTCCAACCGAGCCGCATTGGGGCTTGCGTCGTGAAGAGTGGAAACACCTAAGCGACCGCGGCTGGATGGGCTCCGTTTCAAACGTGTGGAGCAGGTTCTTGGTTTTCGCGTCGACAAGATCGACCGTCTGAGATCTGGCAACTAGAAACGAGCTAAGCGCAGAGAGCGGGACGACTTGATACGCGTCTCGGTCTTCGACAGTGTGAACGTCAAGGCTTTGTGACACCCAGGAATTGTCTTGTTGATGGGTCGCGACGTGGATGCAGCCTTTCCTCGATGCCGTCAGGATCGATAGCTGCGAAGTCCCACCTATGGCGTTCTTCTGAACGAGAGGCCGCACCGAAATGAGTGGACTCTTGCAGATCGTAAACTCCATGGGCTCCCGTGAGCCCGGGAAAATTTGCGTCATCGTCCCGTTCCGTCGCACAATGACCAGCGGGCTCGAGTAGTCGAAAGTTGGCGTGCCGAAGAAGAAGCCTTCGGGCTTCTGGCCGTTCAATTCGACTGGTACTGACTGGCTCCACCGTCGCTCTTGCAAATTCCACAAGAAGACCTTCCGAGAAGACAGGAGAGCCAGCCAGTTGGACTTTTTGTCTGTCGCAACAGCCAACACTGGGAAGGGGTTCTCGGGCGGTGGTTCGACATCAGCCAGCGAGTAGCCAAGCACACCCGAGCGAACGTCCCACACCCGGACCGACCGGTCAAGGCCAACAGAGATGATGTGACCGTCGTAAGATGAAGACATGAGAACGACGTCAAGAGTGTGCTCTTCTGGCAGAGTGTCTACTGCAAGGAGTGGCTGGTCTCCGAGGTCGCCATTGCGTCTCGACTCAGCGTCATCACCCCACAGCAAGTAGTTCATAAGAAGACGAACAGCTGAGAGGATGAACAGGACGGTAACCAAGAAGTGCTTTAGGTGATGGTCGATGAAGTCGTAGAGAGCCGGTAGCAATAGTCGCTCGGGGTTGCGCGGGGTTCGATCTGCACCATTTAGGACGAAAACCAGAGGGTCGTAGACACGGGCGATGTAACTGTGGGAATTTGGCTTGATGACGTTGATGACCTCGCGAGCGCTTTCGTGGTCCTGCAGCCGAAGCCAAGACGTCGGGCTACGCGCTTGGTGAATGTCGACAAGCATCGAGTTCTTTTGTTGACTGAAGTTGACACTATCCCTACCGATTCTGAAAACTCCGCGCACGAGCCGGAACAGTGTGTCATTCTCGAAGAAATGCCACTGCGCAATCAAGACGAAAGTGATCATGATGACGGTGCCGGCGATACGGGTGGACAGGGCAATCTTGCCCTGCAGCATGGCTTCAAACCAACTCGTCTTTAGTGGTTGCTCCTGGCCGTACCTGTTGTTTTTCAATGTGGCTTTGGCCAGGGCATCGCTGAGCTCTGTGCGTCGGACATCGACGCTGAGGACCGCCAGGAAAAAGGTGGATAGATAGAAGAAGTCGAAAAGAATTGCGACGGACACGAAGGTGCAAAATGCGGAAACGCCAGGTGAGACAACCTGGGAGAGACCCCACAGGATGAGGACGTTCTGCGCCGAACTGGCCAGAGCAATGTGTGCCGTCTCTCCGAATGCGCGACTAATGCGACTGCTCGTGCTGTTTTCCGAGGGAGTCAAGATAACGGCATTGATGAGTCTGAATATGTTTTCCAGACTCATGGAGAGGACCACCACAGGGTAGGCCGCTTGTGGGATTCCCGATAGATCAACTCGGAAAACTGCACAAACAGTGAAGCTCGACATGATAGAAACAAGGATCTGGGCGAAGACCGTTACTATCAGCCCAATCTTGGACTTGACGGCTCTCAGCTTCGAAAGGCTGAATAGAAAGTAAAGAGATACCAAGCCGTATGCGAGCGCAAGAAACACCGTGTCTTGCATTGAGATGGGCATGAACTGGAACTCGTATAATTGACTGGTCGTGCTTCTGCCGTCAGCCGGATACGCGGTCCATTTGTTCCTCATCCGAGTTGCCAACGCTTGCGCCTTCCTCTCCCATTGGCGGCCGACAGGGGAATCGCGGAGATGAATCAGTGTGATGACCAAAGCATCTGCGGCCATGAGTTTGCGGTCCTCGAAGTGTTTGCCACTGAAGACGATGGAATGCCTCAGGGTAACATTGACTGATGTAGGCTGCGTCTTCCTCTCGTTGACGGTGGAAAGAATGTCGGCATCGTCTGCTATGCGCTCGGGGGAGCAGGCCCAATATTGGAGAGGCGAGTGGAAGAACCACGATTGGTTCGTAAGGCCATTGACGACGTGAAAAGCATCCCGGTCTCCAGGGGCGAGATCTGCGTCGTGCGGATGGTGGAGACGAACGGTCGTCACGGCCCGGCGCGGGCTAAAATCTTTGGTGGGACCAAGCAGCTCATCTTGCAGTTCGAGAGCACCAAGCAAGACATCGCGTTCCAAAGCCTTCATGTAACTGCCGTGGACCCATATGGATCGCATTATAACGTCGGGCTCTGTGCTGTTCTCGGCAAGTGGCTGCGCGGCAGTCCACACATGGTGCGGTAGGTTCGAAGCGCCATTGCTCAGATCTGAGGTGAAGAGATATGGGAATGGGTATATGAGGATGGCGGCGACGGCGACCGAAATGATGAGGGTGGTTACGACGTGTCTCGCGGCGTATCGACCGTATCGCGCGAAGGCTCGGCGGAGAGGATGGTTCAGGGCAAGGAGGGGGGCTTCCGTCGTTCTGAAGATAGGTCAGTCAGAATGTGCGAATGAGGACGAGAAAGACTGGTTCGGGAAGGGTGAAAAAGGTTGCATACCCTCGCAAAGGATACAACAGGTACCAAATCATCTGCGGCGACGGTTGCAAGTGGACTTGCAGCTGCGGCAGAGGAAAAGGTAGACTCAATTGCAGGAGCGGACGCGGCTCTGGAGAGCTCTCAGTCCATCCAGCGTTAACGTGTTCGCGATTGTGTTGGTGACTTGCAGACGGCGGGCTTCGCGGTCATGATTCGGCTCGACGACGTCCGGTGGCTAGGCGAGTGCGCCAAACGAATCGATCATGGAGAGGGACCGGGGAGTCGCTGGTTGGAGTTGTCGGTCGAAACTGGGGATTGGGAGGTTGAAGCTTTTGAAATCAATGCGCCCAGAGCTGGAGGGATGTGGGCAGCTCTGTCAGTTGTATGTACGAATATGGGAGCAGAGTCGAGACGGGGATGGGATGTGGTCGGTCGGGTCCACGCCCGTCGGTCGATCGGGTGTCGGGGAGCAGAGTGAAGTGGAACGACGGCGGCGGACGCCTGCGATGGGGCCTGGACAGGAAAGGTCAAGACCAATTCGCTAGTCCGGGGTGTGGCTCGTCGAAGGCTTGGAGGACGTTGTAGAAGCTGTGTTAGTCGCTAGCGAGGGGCGAATTAATTGGGAGAAGTGTGTTCTCGTCGAGGCGTCGGTGGAGCAGAGCAGATGTTGTTTGTTGCTCGGCATGCGACACGGGCGGAGCAGTTGCAGAGTGTTAAAATGCAAACTTGGAGACGTCGGTAGAAGGAGTTGACGGGAGTTGCGGAGAATAGTATGCGACGGGGTCAGAGCAGGTGGAAAACTGTACGTTTTCCGGACGACCCTTTGAATTGGTATGGCGGTTGATGGTGTTGGAAAAAAGAACGACGTAAGGTACCCTACCCTTTGGCGGCGATGGAGCTAACCAGTGAGCATCGATCGGGACGGGAGGCAGAGTAGCAGTGTAGCAGTGGCAGGTCTGGCCGGAGAGGTAGGTACCTGCAAAACTGGCGGCAGAACAAGGACAGACAGGGCGGATATGCAGCGTGCAAAGTGGCTGCCCTCCACCCCAAGAAGTACCTTGGTTCGTACCGTACCGGCGCAGGTGTCAGGTACCGGATCGGACTCTGCAGGGCATTTCTCCTCGACTGGCGATAATGCGGCACCTGTCTTGACTGCTATCGTAGGTACCTCCCGTCTGCACCTGCATTGCTACCTTCTGTGGGTAGGGCAGGTCGGCAGGCAGTGCAGTCCACTGTCCACTGGAGAGAGGTGGAACCTGCCGACGGCCATGGCGTGGTGTGTCGGGGAACATGGGACGACTTCCCTGGGGTGGTGGCCAGGAACTTTAGTGAGACCTGGGCCCCTGTATCGCCGTAACGCGCCAACGAGAGGGGAAACTCGACGCCGACTTGGACGAAGAGGACTTCCAAGGTTGGCTCTGGGGACATGAGACTTGGGGGGGGCTCAAGGTATCCTTCTCAGCTTCACACACTTGCTGTGACTTCCTGAAGACTGGAGACCGCCGCGCCGCGCCGCACCGCACCAAAAGGCCAAGCCAGGGGCGTTTTGGCGCTGCCGCCAAGCTGGAGACGTCGTCTGTGTCTGACTGAAATGATAGGAGATCGTCCACTAGATCAAGCCTACGCCTCGCCGACACCGACGCTGACGTCCGCATCTCCAGCGGCTTGGGGGCAGAAGTTAAGACAAGACATGAAAGGCTTCTTTCAGGCCTGTGGCGGGCAAAGAATCGAAGGCTAGCTTAGTCCACCATCCATCACCAACTGAAGAAGCAAGCCAAGCCAAGCCCACCAGTCATTCTCCAGGATATCCGAACAGACTCGGAAGGCGGGGAAGGTAAACCAGCTCATGCCCGCGCCCGCATCGCAAGCAAGGACGAAGGAGAAGAGAACGAGCCCACTCGGAGCACGGTCAGACATACCAACAACTCCAGAGCTCCAGAACTCCAGATCAAGACCGTTGGATCTGATGGTGAAGAAAACGAGGGAAAATTAAGGTTGGGAATTGAGGGGTAGTTTGGGAATGTCCTATTTTGGGGGCGACAAACTCAAACATCCAACGAGGGTAATCCTGAGAATGAGATGAAAGCGAAGCAGGTGAGCATGGCAGACGGCGCACGAGACAAGCCAAACAGCCGCCGGCCATGTCTCTTCTGTTCCCCGTCTCTGCTTCTGATCAGTCTTTGGCCTCTGTGCTCTCAGACGCGACGCCCACCCCCGCAAACCCCGGCCAACTGTCATTTTCCGGGGGGAAGAGGTGTACGCTGCTTCGAGCTAGTTGCCCAAAACCGCCAGTGATGGGCAAGTCTCAAACAATACCCCCAAACCTAGAATGGCTTTCTGGGACATTCCAGAAGTTGGAACAACCAGAGAAGACAAATTGTCAACGATTGTCTCTCCCCTATCCATGTGACGGGCATATTACCCAACACGAGAGAGAGAGGGGGTTTCGAGGCGGCTGCTCTTGGCGCGTCCACTAGGACCGGTCGTGTCTCCAGAGCCGGAAAGAGAGACGGCGGCAAGCCGCAACGTGAGGTGGCTGGCTGTCTCGCTCGTTCGGTCATTTCGATGGGACAGGACAACGAGACCACTCCACCGTCTTTGCTGTCTGCGTCTGCGTCTGCGCTCCGCAGGAGGGAGCATTGGCGCACAGTTCCTGGACCGAGTCGTCGATTCTGAGTCGTGCTGCCACATCTCGTTACTTCTTTCCCCTCACCTCCCCATTCTGCTGAAGTCTCGTCTTCGCTTGAAGGTTCAAATGTAGGGGTCTCGGGGACCAGGCGCGACCCGCCAAGTCAAGCAGCGTGCGCTTGTTCCCCATGTGCTACTGTGTTGGCACCTTAGCGCCGTCGGCAGGGGGTGCGATACGAAGGAAAACGGGAGGCTCGCTCGCGGGCGGGCGCTTCTTGACGACCGGTCCATCCAGCCTCGGTCCGCCTATTCGGGAAGGTAGGGCGACTGGAAAAGACCCTGAAGATAGTGTCGCGCTGAACGCGGCTAAGCGAGGTCGAAGCCAAAGCCTAGTAGGACGCAGTTCGGAATCTCGCCATGCTGCGGACGTGTAATGGAGATTGTCGAATGGCCGGAGGATCCGAGGCGCGGTCGATGGTAGTGACTAAGGAAAGTCATGGAAATCGCGGCGTTCTGGAACGAAGACACATGGCGAAAGCGGTTGGAGTGTGGTTGTGCTGATGTCGATTCGCCTCGTGGCAAGGAGGAGCTTGACTTCTCCAGGTTGCGTGGCTTCGCGCGACCGCTTTCAGTTCCTCGGTTGGCAATGATGCTGCTTGCTTTGACGGGACTGTGACGAAGCTAGGTGGAATAAACTAGGTGAGCGCGCGGCTGCTGCTGAACAATAATCTCCGGTTGATTTCGTTTGGAATCGTCCAGATTAATTGCGTAGACGGGATGGTTGAGGGAGCTGTAATGTTCATCGTACCTAGGTGGAAAGTGTCGATTTGGCATTCTGGGGAAAGAACACCTCCAACGGCTCCAGGCCGAAGTAAAGGGCGAATCGGCCGTCATAAATAAACCAGCCCTCCAGCATACATAGATCTGATCTACCGAAATCTATAATTAATCAGATGGGCAATCTCGCAGCTCCCAGGCTAAAAGGTACGGATACACTGGCGCAGGTTGCGGTGTGTTTGCTCGAAATCACCAATGCTTCCATCATAATCAGCCCAGTTTGATGCCAAAGTCAGGCCATTTCCCACTCGGTACGCCCCTCTGATTGGCTCCGCACCGCCCTGTTGCGGTTCGCACCACCAATTGAGACCCCCCGCTCTCGATCCCTCGTGCTGGTGTTCCCACACCCCCGGCTTTTCCACGTCCCTTTGCTTCGGGTACCCTTCGCGGTAATTACTATGTACACTAGCTCATTCTGTTACCCGTAAACCCTTGCATGCTCGCGTGGTTTTTTTTTCCCTTTCGCTCCGCGCGCGAGCGTCGCATTCTCGTCTTTTCTTGCCTTCTCGTGGTAGTCTCCGTCGTTGGTTTTCCCGGGATGTGCCTCCGTCCGTTGTTCTGTTTCGACCCAGACAGCTTCACACCACACACGCACACGTACCGGCTTGAAGCACGGCTTAGGAGACCGGATGGCATGACTTTGAAACCGTAGAACAATACAGACTCTCAGCACCACACCACTTTGAGTGCGGCTGGTCCAGGGTAATATACGAAGTGAGACCCGGCTGAGAAGCTTCACAACAAGACGCTCAGAATTTCAGGCAGAATTACTGCTGCTGCTGCTGCTGCTGCTTCTCATATTTGTCATTTCATTGCTCTGCTCATTCTGGGCTCGTTGAAATTCTCGCCAAAATTTAGTTTTCTAATCTCATGTTTCTTGACTCAAGCTTATCTCGCCTATATCGTCAAGAGGGTCTGATGGGCTTTGGACATGATTTACCAAGTGTTACTCAAATAACGTATAGAGGCATTTATGATGAACAGAGTCTGGCTGAGAACCAAAGCGAGAACAGAGGACATCCTCGCGTCGCTATGGTTGTAAGCTCACGGCGGAATCCCTATCCGGACGAGAGTGATTCCAACCGCGAGAGCACTGGTTCGACTTCATGAGAAATACCAAATGAAGCCCAGAGATATCAATATACCAACACGTTTCAGACTCGCAGAGTTCTGATAAATTTTGAGTGATGAAATCCAGGCGACATGTGAATAATCAACAAGAAACCAACTTAACAGTGTTCCTCAATCTACGGATACAGCACCCACTCAACCCCGTTTTAGTCATACCACAACTCACTCCATCCTCTCACACTCACCACCACCGCCCGCCCTCATCCCACCTCGCCGACGTCCATCCCGAGACCATGGCCTCCGAGTCCCCCGCCTCGCCGGCCGACCCTCTGGCCGAGCTCATCACCGCCTTCAACGACCTCAACGGCGCCCTCATCGACGAGCTGGACGAGGAACCGAGTCCCCTCGAGTTCATGCGCTATGTGGCCCGCAACACGCCCTTCGTCGTCCGCGGCGCCGCCGCCTCGTGGAAGTCCAACACGACGTGGGATAAGGAGTTTCTCATGGGAGTCTTCAAAGATCAGACCGTCAACGTCGCCGTCACACCCTTTGGGTAAGTCGCCATCCTCCCACCTTGTGGTGTAAAATCCTCCTCGGGCATCAACTAACACAGCCCAGCAACGCCGATGCGCCGACGGACCGCGACGGCGAGGTCGTCTTCGCAAAGCCTCACGAGGAGGACCAGGACTTTGAGGAGTTCATCAACTACGTGATCGATCAAGAACGGACCAAGAACACATCCTCTGAAGTCCGTTATGCTCAGACCCGTACGTTTTCACCCTCCATCTCACTCACCCATTCACTCACTCACTCCTTCATGAATCTTCATCCCACCTCACACCGCACCCCAATTGCCTCACTCCTATCCCATCTTCCTCTCATCACTGACAAAATCCAAAAGAAAACGACAACCTCCGCAACGAATACCTCCCCCTCTTCGCCCACGTGCCCCCCTCCATCCCCTTCGCCCGCATCGCCCTCGACCGCGACCCGGACGCGATCAACCTCTGGATCGGCAACTCCCGCTCCGTGACCGCCATGCACAAGGACAACTACGAGAACATCTACGTCCAGGTCCGCGGCCGCAAGCACTTCGTCCTCCTCCCGCCCCTGTGCCACCCCTGCGTCAACGAGCAGAGCCTGGCGTCCGCCACGTACAGGCGAGAAGGGGGCGGTTTGGAGTTGGACCTCGATCGCGAGAGTGCCGATGTCGACGATGACGAGCATGAAAAGGAGACCGCGACGGACCGAGTCCCCTTCGCGACGTGGGATCCAGACTTCCCCGACGTCAACGCCACCAGCTACTCTCACCTCGCCGAGCCCGTACGGGTCACCCTGGAGCCGGGCGACATGCTCTACCTACCCGCCATGTGGTATCACAAGGTATCACAGTCTTGCCCGGATGACGGCGAGGGGTTTGTCCTGGCGGTGAATTATTGGTAAGTGCTGACATGGTTTCCTGAAATACGGAGATGGCTCATGTGTCACACAGGTACGATATGGACTTCGCCGGACCCTTATATCCCCTCAGCTCCTTCGTCAGGAACGTCAGTCTGCAATCAACATCGACAACACCATCATGAGAACAATAAACCAGTCAGGGGCCAAACGCCATTGATATTAATAATCAGCATCCCGGCGCGGTGATTGGGTCGCTCGTTTCAATCCCCAACACCGACCTCTCTCTCGCCTTATGTACATTGTGGTGATATACGCCCGGATTACGTAGAGACCGTAGTCTCGCTTTTGGCCCCTCGGCTTCAGAGCTTCTTCCTCCCCTTTCCCTCTAGTGCCAAGGGAAGATATCACGCAGTCGTCTGGCCACACGGCCGTAAAGAGGTGTTCAAAAACCCCGTTGCTCCGAAAAAAAAAGAATGAACGCCAAAGCCCGCATCCGCGGGGAGTAAGTCATGGTACACTTTTTTCCCGCCCCTTGCCCAAAAGTTTCATCTCCATTCCCTTTCCCAGCCTCGGTTGTCATGCATATAATATAAACGCAAAAGATGGATCCAAGGGGTATGCGTGTGTGAAGTGAACAAATGAGAGACGATGGCAAACCACCGTCGACGATTGCCCCTTGCAAAAAACGACTCTAGAAGTTGAGTTCCTACTCCCGCAACGCAACCAGGCCCCATAAACATACAAGGGCCTATGCAGATAATCCGCCCGGCCGCCAAAAACACCGTAAAAAAGCGGCTGGGACTAGTTGAGGAATCCCTTACACGCCGCTGTACCGCAAAGGCAGGGAATACGATCCAGGCTGCCAATTTCACGTTCGAATTTGTAGTCGTATGTCAGCTCCTCATCTGTCAAGTCAGTTAGCAGCATTCTACAGGTTCTGGGTAGTTGCATGACGTACGCTGCGCGATGTCTCGGAGGGCATAAATGACGATTCGTTTGCTTCCGTCCACCTTGATGATCTTGGCCGTACAGTTGGGCATACAACTGTGATTGATGAAGCGGGCAATGCCGCCCTTCTTGGTGGCATCAATGACGGTATTATCGTCGATACGGAACAGGTAACTGCTACCCATGCCGCTTTTCAGGTAGCGCTTCTCGCGAATCTCCGAGATCGACTGTCGAACTTGCTCGCCGACATACTCAATAATCATGTCGTCCTTGTTGATGTTCTCTTCCGTATAGAGACCCCAGTTGTGGATGGCAGATCGAGCAAACTTGACTGGCTTCTTCCGCTTCTTAAGCTGGTTGAATTTGAAGGCGTCAGAGTCGCCCGAGATCTTCTTTTCGTCCTGCAGAGCCGACACATGTCGACGGTTGTTTGCGCGGTTGGCTCTGGAGTTGGCTTTGTTGACGACCTTTTCTGCGATGGCAAGCCTACTAGCCTCAACCGCAGCATCTTTGCCGTCCTTCTTGTACCGCGCCTGCCGCGCCTCCCGGGCTTTCTGTACCTTGATATGATGAGGCAGATACTTGGACTTCTCAGCGTTGAGAATCTTCTTGACTCCTTCACTTCGAGCGGATCCGGTAGAGTTTGGAACGTAGTAGCCCTCGATACCAACGGCGTCGTCGACAGAGCCCAGTCGTGAGTTGAGTTCGCGCACTCTGTTGCGCCGCCATAGCCAAAGAAGCGGGTCTCCAAGGTCGGCGCTGCCAAACCGTTTCTGGAGCTTCGAAACGTCCGGGCTGTCAGTTGCCGCCAACGATAGGTCTTCCAGGACTGAAAGGTCGAGCTTGAACTCTGCGGATGCATCGAGGGCAGTTGTAGGCGCCGTCGAGAACAGGGCAAGATCCACCGACGACGGCTTCGAAGGTGGCAGTTCTTCCTTCTTCTCCACCGGCGTCGGCTCGACCTCCTCTGGCAGGACCTTCTCTGGTTCCTCCTCTTCGACCTCTGCTTGGGCTTGTTCTTGCTGTTTCTTGAGCGCTTCGCGTTCCTCAAAGATTTGCTTCTTAGATTTCTTCTTCGATTTTATCTTCTTCAGCGGCACCTTCGTCGAGAGCGCGGGCGTCTCAGACCGAGCCTCGCTCTGTACGTCAGTCATGTCGACATCGGGAGTTGCCTCTTCGGAGATTTCATGAACGGGCAGGTCAGAATCGGCATTGTCTAACATGACTCCGAAGAGCTCTTCATCGGACTTCTTCTGGCGCTTGATGGCTGATTGGAGCTCGATATCCAGCTTTCTCTTCTTCGTTGTCGTTAGCGCATCACCAACGGCGAAGCTTGCCTCCGTCATGGAATCTTCTTCCGGAAGACCCCACGATGCAAAGTCGTCCTTGACGTCGTCGTCGGTACTCATGCGACTGCGCGGTCGAGAATCCGGCTCTTCGGTATCTCTGGCCACAGATTCCCTGATCTCGACTTCTTCATCTGATTCGACGTCGCTATCGTAGTTATGGAGGCGATGATGCAGTGACCTAAAGGCCCCCCGACTTTGAGGAGCTCGCTTGCGAGAAAATGGGTCCATGAAGCCGACGTTATTGCGCGCTCCCTGGCCTCCGGGTTTGGCTTTGCGGATACGAGGCAGAGAGGATATCTCCAGACGACCACCACCCGTGCGACGTTCAATAGGGTCTGCGCCAGAGTTGGGAGTGCTCACACCTGGACTCTCGTCGCCGGCATCCACAGTGACTGATGGAATTGAACCTGCGGGGTCCCCCAGGTTGAGCTTCTGACGCATCGCAACGTGGTTCGATGGGTTGAGATAGTCTGAAAGAGTAGGAACGGCAACCCTCGTCCTGATATGCTTGATCAAATGCTCCACCAGTTCTCTGGAGACAACATCGCAAGCTTCCAGGACGGGGTCGAAGTTCTTGGCTCTTTGTCGCTTCTCTTCCTCTATATCTCCCTCCTCTTCGCGACGACGACGGTCCTTATCCTCTCGAGTTCGCAAGTCGGATCGGCGTTTCCGTTCGGGGCTAGGAGTTCGTCTGGAGCGCGGGGCTGGGGCCGCGGACTCTGAGTCTCGACTTGAGTTCTGCGGCAGGTAAAGCTGCATCACCATGTTATAAGTGAACAGGTCGGTGTGGTTCGCAGCCCTGTAGCACTTCATCGCCTCGTTCCGACCGTGGTATGAGTTAGGAAAGACGATGAAGTAGCCCGTCCTGTCAATGCGGATGTCCTCAAAAGCAAACGCCTTGAGACGTTTCTTCATGTGCGCAATTGTCGTGGTCATGACGGGAACGTGTTCATGTGCGACGAAGACGTAAGGGTCGTTGGCAAGCTGCTTTGCGATACCCTTATCCTCGATTGCGACATGCCCCTTTGGTTGACTCGGAACCCATGGAGCAGCACCAGTCACGACCTGCCGTTGTAGTGAGGGGCCTTTTGGTGCCATGGGCGGTGGCCCAGGAACCTTGTCGGACAGGTTCGCTCTGGGCCCTGTTGGAGGCGCCTTTGCACCGGAGGAAATTTCTTGTGCTGCTCGCTCCCTTCTCAAAGCCTCCTCCACCATGTGAGCGCTCTTCTTTCCCTCAGGGTCGAATTCCACCCGGATCGAGTTCGCATCAATTCGCTGTCCATTCATAGTCCTCACGGCACGGCGCGCGGCTTCGATGGCTTTGACCGGTGTAGGTCTAGAGCGGTTGAGGTATGCATCCCTGTATCTAAACGTTGCGAAACCAAGGTAACCGCCTGTCTCAGGGTGCATTTTGTTGCTGCTTTCTGCTATGTCGCCAAAGGTCGCGAAGGCTGCTATCACCTTCGAGAACGCAGTAAGAGGATTGAAACCGATCACAACCACTTGTGTAGGCGGCCCGGGACCAATCGATGTCTTGGGGTCGTATTGGTACGGCCTCAGATTGTAAGGCGCCTGTCGCAAGCGAGACTTTGGGAGGTGGAAATCTGTGTTGATGTATCCAAGACGCCCGCCTATTGCAAGGCGTGGATCTGGAGGGGGAGCGTCATCTTCCTACTCAGTTTATTAGCCAAAGCTCTCACACATAAGATGACGCCCCCCCTCCACGGGCGGGTATGTTATATTTTGTACGTACCAATCCAAACTCCTTGTATATCGGCTTGGTACTTTTCTTGTTCTGCTTCGATAGGTTCCGGTCGCTGAATGGGTCATATGTGCATTTTATGCCTTTCGCCGATCGTGAGGGATCTCGCGCTGGAGTGCGCTCATAGGGTGAGGGCTCCTGGAGTGAGCCGTTCAGGCGGATTTCCGGGGTGTTGTGAGAGGCCGGTGCCTCATCCCGATCGAGGATTTGTGTGTTTTCCATGGTCGTCTTCGGCAGAGCAACGTTGCCCGAGGATGGCGATTCTATGGAAGTGAGCGGCGTGCCGCTAATGGTAGGTATATGAGATGAGCCGTTCGTGGCGGTTTGTCGCGCAGACGTGCTGAAGACTGAGGAGCCTGTGCTCGCGTAAGAGCTCGCAGATCCAACGGCGTTGAGTGTATCTCCTAAAGGCGACTCATGACCATCGATAGGCTGCTGAGAGGAGTCGGAAAGTATGCCATCCGTACCAGATGCCGCTTGGGCGTTCGTGAGGCTGCCCGAAGAAGCGCCGCCGTTCTTCTGATCAATGAGGGAACCGCTGGATACGTCTTGTGATTTGGCTTTGGCTCTCTCTCGCTCAGTGGCCCTGTCCCGAGCTGCACGCGGTGCGGCGGGAAAGAACTGCGCGAAGCTCGTCGAAGCTTGGCGAGTCATCGTGAGGTGTATCTGTCTCTACCACTCCCGCCTGCGACCGACCATCATCTCATGCGTATCGTGTGCTTCAATGAGCAAAGAGCATAGCTGGAGACAACAGCGGCAGGAGCGTGGCGGGAGGCAGATGCGCGATATCGAGGTTCACGCGACCGAGGTATCGACACCGCTGGCTGGCAAGGGGGGGCAACAGCCCAACTCGTCGTTTCAGGAAGCAAAGACCCAGTCGCGAGAAGGTCAGCTTCGACGCAGTCAATCTGCAGAGGTGGTAGATGAGGGCGGTGCGGTGTGCGATGCGATCGACGAAGAGTGAGACGGGGAAAAATCAAGCAGTGAGGTCAGAAAGTTAGAGGTTGAAGAGTGTCCAAACTCTTTCAGGGATGCGATTTAGCGGAGACCTGCACGGAGCATGGCGAGGGAGAGCACCGTTAATTGCTTTGCTCTGACGCTTGGCTGGCATTGGCCGAAGTATCGTCGCACGTAATTTCAGCCGTCCAGGTACTTCCTGCGGGCCAGGCCAGTGGATGACACCTGGCACGTGACAAAGGAAGGCGCGTCTCGTCGGGCCTTGCGCGCGTTTTTCGAGACGAGACAAGGGGGGCCACCAAAGAAGCGGCCCCGTCCTTCTGACAGTTTAAGCCAATGAGGCAAGGTACGAGGTACGGTATTCCAAGACTTTTCATTGTTTACTTTGCAGCTCAAGGACCAACCAAGACGTTGGGGGGGAGCCAAGTCTCTTGAAATAACCTTGACAATCAAAACAGGTAGCAGACGTCAGAATTGATATTGAGTTAAACCACTACCTAAAATAGAAGTAGGTGCAGCTTTCGTCCAGAAACAAAGCCCTTTCCAGTCGAACATCCTATCTTGTCCCTGCAGCAAAATCGAAAGTCTTGTAAAGTCAGGACATAGTAAATACAGTCATGCGAGCCTAGGTAGGCGGCACCTCGAGCTACCTCCTTGGCCTCATTCTAAGCGTGATATTGTGGGCTCACGATGCCAGCCAAACGCCTTATCCCCGTCCAAAGCCATTCCGTAGAGTTGTACAATTGAGTGTAATCCTGTCCAAACGCCATTCAAGCCATCCCGGCCTAGAGATCCAACTTGATCTCGAATTCGTCATCCTCAAAGTCCTCGTTTCTAAGGCCGGCGCTGCCGAGGTCGTCATCCTCAACATCCTTGGCGGGATCGAAAATGGAGAGGAATTGCAGGCGGACGAGCTCCTGGGCATCATCGTCGCGGGCATCCTGCTTCTGTGGGGATGCTTCTCGTCTGACGACAGTCTTTTGGGGAACAGCTGCCGGAAGCTCTGTTGACGCAGGCCTCGCCGCCGAAGGGAGTCTGCCCCGTCCACTTACGAGAGACGAGGCAGATCGGCCCTTGGTGTAGCCGATAGTGCTTCTGGAGGCAGCTGCTCCCACTGCACTCTCGGCATTGGTGGTCTTGGAAGCCAGAGGCGCCCTGGCAGGTCTGTTGCGGGGAAGGAGGGAAGAGATGGGCCTCCGAGCCGTGCTTCCCTGTTCGAGAGGCTTTCTCTGTTTAATGGTGGTTCCAGTAGCCATCGACAGAGCGGACGCCGCTCGCCGAGAAGCGATGGTGGGCGGATACTTCGCAGCGCCTGCGCCAGTCTTCTTCGCAACGATCGGGTTAGGAGCAGGGGCAGGAGCCTTGTTCTGGCCGAAGGCTGCAGTCTCCGGGACATCAGAAACAGACCAATCCATCTCCTGAATGTCGCGGAGAATGCGATCGTCAGTCTCTTTCAGGGCCTTCTTCATCTTCTGCTGCTGCTGTCTATCCTGAAGTCTGACACCGTCCTCGCCCATAGGGTTGTAGTAGTGGTTGTAGTAGCCTTTGAAGACGTTCTCGGGCTTGAGCCCCTCGAAAGTGAGCCTGTCATCCAACAGGTCGGACTGGTAGGCCGGCTCCTTGACCGGTGGCGGGGCGTATTCCACATCAGGCTCTCCGGCGGGACCGGCCTCGTCGTTACGCACATCAAGCCTGTAGGGGACCGCACTGGGAGATCGCTGCTTCAGTTTCTTCGTGGTCGTGGGCTTGGTCTGTGTCTTCTCGAATTCCTTGACAATGTCTTTAACCCCAGTGTTTTGGGTGCTCTTGGCCTTTGCGTTGGTGGTTTTGTTTCCGAGTGGCGCGCGGGCTCGTGTCTCTGCCATACGATCAGTCTCTTTCTTTTTCTTAAACAGTCATCTTCGAGTCATACCAGACGGGGTGACGAGGTTCTGCTTCTTCACGGTGCCTTGAACGGGCCCCTTCGCGTTCGACTTGTTCGCAAGAGCCGTCTTGCCTGCACCAACGGCATTCTCATCGTTGAGGGGAATCTTCAAAGGGGTCTTCGGGTATCGGGCTCCGGGAGTCTTGGGGGCCATTTGGCTCTTCCCGGGAGCCAGTCGAGCAGCCTGGGCCGCGTTGACTGCGTTCTCGTCTCGGATTGCCAACATTGTGCCTGAAGCCAAAGGGCGGGTTGTTCGATATTCGTGAGGGTTGATTTCCTGCCGCTGTAGTTATTGTTGTCGTATCGTCGTCTGTTGTTGAATTGTCGTCACTGGTCTTTTCCAAGTGGTACTATGGCGTCGTGAAGAGGCGAAGGGGGGTTGCTAAACGGACTCGTCTGTTTGGGGCTTCGTTGTCCGGGAAACCAAAGAAGCTCAGACCCCTGCGGCAAACCCCGGGACAATGCTCACCTTCTGAAAGCCACAGCGACTTGCACCGTGCCACCAAACCCCACCCCACCTGACTCCAAGGTCCCACCCCAATCCAATTGCAGCTGCCTTCCAGCGTGTGAAGATCAGGCCTGCCTGGCCACTGCTGTGCTGCTGCTGGGCCTCCTGGCATGCTGAGGTGGTCCGCCAGAGGGGGACTTGCATGTAGAGGGGCAGTTATTTCAACACCTCACACCCTTTCCTCCCGCTTTCATCCCCGACAATTGCGATTCCTCGTCTTCCGATCACGTCCCATTTCCAACTTCAACGACTGCTTCTTATCGCAATCACCTTGCACCGAACACTCCCAAAGTCATTCGCAGCTCATCACCATGGATCGCATCAAGGAGGTAAGTCTTCCCTATTCGTCCGAGCCCCACCATGCTGCTGTCGGCGGTCTGGAGGGGTAAGATATCGCCTCCAAAGCTGTCACAGGATCTTTGCTGACGACGTCCTTTTCCCCGACTACAGAAGATGAACTCCCTCCGCCTGGAGGCCGACGAGTCTGCCGCCAAGGTCGAGGAGCTCCAGACCAGAGTCAAGACTCTCGAGCAGGAGAACCTGGCCAAGGAGCAGGAGATCACCTCCCTCCAGCACAAGAACGGCCTGCTCGAGGGCGAGGTTGAGAAGCTCGAGACTGCAGTTAAGGACTTCAAGAAGGCCGCCGACGAGAGCACTAGTACTGGCACACAAAACGAGACTCTTCAGCGAAGACTCCAGCTGCTCGAGGAGGAGGCCGAGGAGGCGGACAAGACCCTTCGCGAAGCCAACGAGAAGTACGTGCTGGACCCTGTCGTCGAACCGTCCAAATATCCCCCCTTTTCCCTAGCTCTGAACCCCCCGACCCCGTCTTCGTGCTCATTAAAATCCGCCCCACCGATGAATCTCGTTACTTACACCGTCTTTTTCGTAGGCTCCGACAAACCGACGTCAAGGCCGGCCACTTCGAGCGCAAGGTCCAGGCTCTCGAGTCGGAACGCGACCAGTGGGAGTCCAAGTACGAGGAGATGGCCAAGAAGTTCGCCGCGGTCCAGAAGGAGCTCGAGGACTTCCAGGCCGAGATTGGCAACATCTAAGGCTGCTCTCACGGGGGAGTCAATTTGTGCGAGGCCTTTTCGTTGTGATAGAATTCAGGCCTGGGGCGCCTTGTTCGGGGGACCTGATCGAGCTATCCCAACCGCGGTGGATTGCAAGAGACGGGATGGTGCGCGACCGAGCTATAGCAGCCTTGTTTTACTCCTTTTTTTGTAACCCCCGTCAACAAGAGTTTTGTTCTGCCTGAAATGCCTTGACCTTTACAAGACTTGATGGCGACTACACCAAAGAACTCGTCGAACCACGCTGGGCGTGAGGCGCTTCCGAGGCAGACAGCTGCTGCACCATGAATGCGAGAAAACATTATACCCTACTTCAGTCCTTGAACCTGGCCTTCTTCTTAGCCTTGGCCTTCCTGCTGCCCAGTGACCTCTCCAATTTCGACTCGTAGCGAAACTTGGGCTTCTTTGGCCTCTCCTTGTAGGTCTTCTTCTTCGCCGCCGTCGCATCCTCTGCGGGCTCATACTTCTTCTCGTCTTCGCTGTCCGCTTCGTCGTCGCTGTCCTTGTGTAGCTTTTCGAGTCCGTCCCGCGTTACGGCTATGGCCTCAACTTTGACCGTCGTGTACCGATCTTCGTCTACGTACTCGTCTTCGTAGTCCACGATGTCCGTCTGTTCCTGCGCCTGTGCCTGGTCTTCGATGCCGTCCCACTCCTCGAAGTCTCCTCCTTGGATCTCCTGATCGTTTTCCGAGTCCGCCGCCTGCGCCTCCTCGAGCATGGCGTTTACGGCCTTGACGTGCTCCTCGACTTCCTTTTGCCGTTCTTCCTTGATCTGTGAAAGGCGTCAGAACCAACCTGAAACGAGGCAACCAGAGACAGGGCCTCCTACCTGTTTCCTCATCTCGATCTTCTCCTCCCTCGCCTTCTTGGCGGACTGCTCCTGCGCCCATTTCACCCGCTGCAGCTTGCGCTTGTGGAATCCCGTCAGGTAGTCCTCACGGGCGTCGAAGTCGAAGTTGACCTCCTCGACCGCGGAAACGGCCTTCCTCTTCTTGGACGGAGGAGGCGCGGCGACCTTGCGCGCTCGAGGTCTGGCGAACATGGTTGGTTCGTGGTAGTGGTGTTGGTGTTCGCGTAGCCGGGGGTCGGTGGCTGGCGGTGCGGATTTGTTCGTGGTGACGGTCGTCAACTTTTCCAATTGAAATTTTTAGCACGGCCGACTTGCGACCTTGCAGCGCGCCGCGGTAGGGTCCCTGCTGCTGCGGCCTCTGTAGGGCCCACTGATGCGGGCCAAGCCGAGGAGCTAAACGCGCTGGACAGGCGTGCATCTGTCAGTGAGACCGCCTGCACTGGCTGCTCAATGCCGGCAGTAAAACCGAACTGCAACACTGCGTTGACAAGAAGTCGACGTTGGAACCCAGAAGTTATCGGTCATCTTTTCGCAGGGTTCTCGGTATTCGATTACGTATTTTACTATCTTACCGATGACTTTCGTTGCCGTCAAGTCCTTACAGTCAGTCCATGGTGTTCGCTTCGTTGTCCATCGTATCGTGTTAGACCTGCACGCCGACATCGTTTTCCTAAATCTATGTGAGCTCTGCTAAGGTAAAGGCTTCATTCCGCTCTTCATGGCAACTCTTAGTGTCATTTTATAACCTTGTTGTCTGTGGTAATTTGATAATGCTTTCCTGCTCGACTGATTCAACACTTTGCAGGTTTCCTTGTTTTTTATTGAATCTTTTCTATTACAGGCAGATGCTATAATGTGAGCTTCAGGAAAAGAAACAAAACGTGGTTAAGATACTTAATTGCAATTGTTGAATGGACAAGCAGACAACATGAGCGATGCTGGATGAGCTGAATTATATGCATGTAGCAGTGTTATCCAATAGTCAGGGTCTGTGCAGATAAGAGGGTTAACGCCAAGAAACGAGATTGATTACGTAGGCAGGCGTCCAAGCTGCGATGCGTCCCTGAGCTCATACTCCCCAAGCAATCGACGACGACGACGAAGCCATCTCATCGCCCAGCTTCGAACACAACTCCCAAACACACAGCCATGCGTCTATCAAGAACAGCAGGCCTGATGGCCTTCTGTGCCACCGCGCAAGCCTTCACCGACTCGTCCCCTTTCGTAATGCTCTCCACCTCAGAGTACGTCCGCTTCAAATACACACTCCCAAACATCATCACCCAGAACTAACCGTCGTTTGTTTTCCACCACAGCTTCGCAAAGTCCGCTTCGAACCCCGCCCAGCTGCAGACCGAATCCCAGGTCCTCAAGTCTGTCCAGGACATCCTCTCCTCGTGCCCGACGGACCGCTACCTGCTCGTCTCCCAGCCCAACGTCAACGCCGCCGACATCCGCGGCCCCGACGGCGGCGAATGCCGCTCCACCAACCTCTGCCGCGCGACCGAGGCCAAGGCCGTCCGCGGCGTCTACAGCGTCGCGGAGGTTGTGGGTGAGGTCAAGGTCGACAGCGTCGCCGAGTACATCCGCAAGGCCTGCGGCGGCAGCGCCAAGAAGATCGAGATCGAGCAGACGAGGCTCGCGCCCCTGGGCCGCGACGCCGGCGAGAGGGCCTCCACGCTCGCCGATAACGACAACGTCCTCGGACAGCGCCTCGAGAAGCTGCGCAAGGCCTCCGACTCGTACACCGTCATCTACCTCGCCAGCCCCTCCGAGCCGACCTACCAAGCCGAGTTCCCTGAGGAGCCCCTTCACGCCGAGCTGAAGCGCCACGAGGCCAGCCTGTTGCATGCCCGCAAGGACAAGAACGAGACTCAGTGGAACAAGCTTCCCCTGTTTGAGAAATACGTCTTCTTCTCTCCCGGTACGCAAACCCCGACCACGTTGAGGTTTTCTGATCCGCAGCATTACTGACGACCGCTACAGGCATCTTCCACGCCCTGGTGGCCGTTATCGTCCTCTTCTCCATCCTCGGCGTCGGCATCAGCGCCCTTGCCAGCCTCGACATTCCCTACGGGTCTTTCGAGAAGGAGATGGGTCCCGCCGCCCAGAAGAAGAACAACTAGATGTATACCAAACCCGCGATCGAGGAAGCTTTTGCGTAATCGAAGGGCTTCCCGATCCGCGACATGTATTTTTCTATTTGACAACACGGGAGTTACCAGGCTGGTTTTGACAGGCATGTTTCGATCCAGGGGAAGGGACATATCAGGTCCGAGCTGTACGGAATTGAATGATTAGAGCATGGGCCGAGGAGGTCTTGTAAGGAAAGCCTCGCTGTGTTTCGCAAATGGGCATGAACTGTATTCTATAAAATGGACTTTTTTCTTAGCCGCCTCCCAAGTCTTTCATGGTGTGTGAAACTCCGTAAACGCCCGTTCCCATCCCATCATCTTCGCCTCCCTCGTGTCCCATAACGCGGCGAAGTCGAGGTGACTCACGACCCCTCCGCGTCCTTCCATATCCCTCAAAAGAGCGCAGCACCGCTCAGACGAGGTGACTCGGCAGCAAGAAGTTGGCGATGCCCTCGCGGATGGCGTACTCGTGTCCGCAGTTGCCGCAGACCAGCTTGCCCTCCATGATCTGCGTCTCCATGAGCAGGTGGTGCAGGTCCTTGAGCATCTTCTCGTCGCCCTGGAGCTGCTCAGCCGAGGGGGGCTCCGTGGGGAGCTCGGGGAAGCCCAGCTGGTCGTGTTGGTTAGCAATCCTGGGGTTTTCCGAGACTGAGTGAGGGGGTTGACACGACTTGCTGCACACGACATGTGCAGCATAGGATGGAAGTAGAATGAACAGATGACGAAAACTGAAGACGCAGCCTCAGGAAAGACAGAGGAGGGCCAGTGAACAGGACAAGAAAAGAATGGTGGCATCAACATACCTCAGTAGCGTTCGTTCTCAGTGCGGTCCAGTCTAAGCGGGGCAGGACGTTGAGTAGCAACTGGGGGTTGACCTCGATGTCGTCTTGCACCAACTCCGCGTCCTTGGGGTGGAGAGGGAACGAGGCCTGAGACGTCTTGCAGGCCTTGACCGCGCATGTCAGGAAGTTGAGGCTGAGAATCTTCATTTTGGGCGGTTGTAGGTGAGTTGTGTGGCGTTGGTATCTTCTTTTCCCCGTCGCAATTGTATGAGTTGAAGTTTTGGCCTTCATAGGAATTTTTTGCGGCAGTCGACCCCACACGTGATGCGCTTTGAGATGTGGGCGTTCCGGCTATTGGACTGTTCCCATGGAGAACTACGACCAACCTTAACATGACTACATTTCAACATCACTGGCAACATGCTTCTACTATAATTGTCTTGAGTCAATTCTGGTTGGCAATTCTTGTCTGGTATTTTTTGGCTGTTGTGGTAACTCTTCCGCATCCCCCACTAACACCTAGGCCATCGTCTTCTCGTAGCCGACGTCCTCCTTGGCGGCCCTGGTCTTGCTGATTCTCATGTAGATGGCGATAGCGGCGACAACGACACCGAGGAAGAAAGCCTTCTGGAGGAGGGACCAGCCCTCGCCGGAACCAACCTCCAGCGGGGTGTCCTCGTTGGAGTAGCCTGCCGCAAACTCGCTTTGGCCGTATTCGCCTGCAGCGCCAGGGGCGTAGCCATCAGCACATCAACACTCTTGATTGTTTGCTCGGAAAGAAGAACGACTGCGCGGGGATCGATGGTGTGTACATGTCGTGGGTTTAACATGCGTGTTTTGTAAGGGCGACGGGCGTCACAGTACGTGCTCAGAGTTCCACGTGGATACCTTCAGGGGGCACCTCCAGCTCTCCGCTCTTGGCGATCTTGATCGTCTTGACGGGGCGGTCGCCGGGCTGAGTCTCGGCCTGCTCGATCTTCTCGACGATGTCGTACCCCTCGAGGACCTCGCCGAAGACGACGTGGCGGCCATCGAGCCAACTGTGAATGCGGGGTCAGCTCGGTCGTCAGATGTGCAGGTAGGGAAGAGGCTTACGAAGTGATGACGGTGGTGATGAAGAACTGGGAGCCGTTGGTGTCCTTGCCGGCGTTGGCCATGGACAGCATACCCTTCTTGGAGTGCTTGAGCTTGAAGTTCTCGTCGGCGAACTTCTCACCGTAGACTGTCCTCTTGTTAGCCAGTGACCACCACGCCACTCGCTGCGATGCTACTCACTGGACTTGCCACCGGTGCCGTCGCCCTTGGTGAAGTCACCACCCTGGATCATGAACTGCTTGATAACACGGTGGAAAGTAGAACCCTCGTAGCCGAAGCCCTTCTCGCCGGTGGCGAGAGCGCGGAAGTTCTCGGCGGTCTTGGGAACGGTCTTTCCGTAGAGACCCATGACGACGCGGCCAAGGGGCTCATCGCCGTGGGTGATGTCGAAGTAGACCTTGTGGGTGATCTTGGGACCCTTGGCAGCCTCAGCCGTCTGAGCGAAGAAGACCAGCGCCACTCCGGCGAGGAGGAGGGCGGAGAGGAGTCTCCGGATGTTGAACATGGTGGGCGAACGATCTGGGGTAACTGACACCAGGTCGATCAATTGGGGTTGAGAGGTTGATGCAGGATGTCTTCTGGAGATGGGGAAAGTTGTCACCAGAGGACAGGTGTGTTTAAGTAGTAGACCACCCAGCAGCGCACCCCAGAAGACCCAAGGGCGGTTTTGAAGCTACGTTTCAAACTCCCCTCTCTGAAGCACCGAATGAGGAACTCGAGCTCGGACCCTTGTAGCCGAGAGCACCCAATGGGGAGACGCAATCCGTCCGGGTGGAGGCATTTCCATGCTAAGGGTCTAGCGGATCTGTCAACGCAGCCACCGCCGCCGCGCCTTGGATCCACTATTTTCCGGCGCCGACTCTCCGTGGTGCAGCGATGATTTCGAAAGTTCGCGATTCGAGCACCTGAGAGCCATTTGGAGGCAGCACGTCGACATCCCGAAAACCCCAAGTAAACCGGCACAATGGTATGTGAATTCTTTCAGCCAAGCGTTCATGCTTCTCAAAATTAACTCTTTTATAGGTTATGATTATGGGCATCAACTTTTCCGAGCAGAAGCTCGTGAAGGTAAGTCCTTTTCCTCGACGACGACGACAACGACCGGCGCAACGTCGACTGCGATGCATCTTGCGGCAATGCTAATGGATATCGAACTTTCAGAAAGCTCTCGAGTCCTTCTACGCCCTCGGGCCGACCATCTCACAGCGTATCCTCGCCAAGTACTCGATCCATCCCCTCGCAAAATGCGGCACACTCGCTCCCAGAACCGTCACAGCCCTCACGGCAGAACTGTCAACGATGACTATCGACAGCGACGCGCGAAAAGTCATTCTGCAAAACGTTTCGAGACTAAAGGATATGGGAGCTTATAGAGGAAGACGACACGCTATGGGTCTGCCCGTGAGAGGACAGCGGACAAGGACCCAGATCGAGACGGCGAAGAAGATGAACCGCGCCAACAGAAGCTTTTAAGACCGTTGGATGGCGGACGTTGGAGCGCAAAATTTGGAGTTCTCAAGACGGGACATGGCCTGAGAATGAGTGTACACAATAGAGAAGGGTGCGCTCGTTGCGCCTGGAATTGTATGAATATGATAAACTATACCACTTACGCCACCAACGCGAGAGACATCGAGTCGTTGATACAGTGTGCATGTTCAAAGTGCTAACATACGCTTACTCACATTTCGATTTTGGGGAGCTCATCCTCGAAGACAGGCTGGCCATCCTTCTGCAGCTTTGCGGCAACAGCCTCGACTTCCTTCCAGACACGGAGGACGTTTCCGCCCACGACGTTGGCGGCATCTTCGTCACTGAGACCCTGCCTGAGCAACTCGGCAACTAGGTCCGGGTACTTGGAAACATCCTCCAGCCCCTCGGGCACCGATCCGATTCCATCAAAGTCAGAGCCGAAACCAACGTGCTCGAAACCGATCAGGTTACCAATGTGGAGGACGTGTCGAACGACCTGGTGGAGTGTGACGTTGGCGGGATACAACTCAGGCACTCCGTTCTCCTTGCCTGTGTCGACGCAAGAGATGAAGTCAGGAGCAAAGTTGACCATCACGACACCGTTACGCTCCTTGACCAGCTCGAGAACGTCGTCCTTGACGTTGCGAGGGTGCGGGCAGACGCTGAAGGCAGAGCTGTGGGAGTAGATGACAGGTGCTTTGCTGCCCTCCCAGCCCTTGCCGCCGAGGACGTCGCGCTGGGTGTCCTCGCTGGGGTTGAAGCGTTGGTTAGCGCAATGTTCGGTTACTTGAGATATAAGCATGCATGATTCGTTACGCACCTAGTGTGGGAGAGATCGACAATCAGGCCGATCCGGTTCATCTCGTGGATGAGTTCGCGACCCAAGGGGCTGAGGCCGTTCCAGAGTGGCTCCGCCTTGCGGAAGGGGCTCTCGAGAAGTGCGGCATCGGCAAACTTGTTGTGGCAGTTGTGCGTGAGGGTCGAGTAGCGAACACCAAGCGCATGGTATCGGCGGAGGTTGGCGACGCGGTTGCCAATCTGGTGAAGACCTTCAACGCCAAGGGGCGATATCAACTGGCCTTTGGCAAATGCGGCCAAGGCGGTGTCGCTGTCCACGTTGGGGGAGAAGTCCTTGGGATAGGCTTCCTTGAGCCGGGTCATGACATCGATCTGGTCCAGAGTCCACTGAACGCCTATAGTTATACCTGTCAACAGGCATTGCACGTATGCTTTGACGAAGTTTCTCAGACTTACTCTCGGCGTAGTTCTCATCCGAAAAGTCGCTGCCGTTCTTGGGGCATGGAGTATAGACACTCCAAAAGGCACCGCCGTTCTGACCCTTGCGAAGTCTCGGGATGTCGACATGATAGGGCATGCCACCGTTCTCAAAGGGCTCGGTAAACTTCTTGTCATAGATGCGGTTTCCAAAAAGTCCTCGCACAAGGATAGGGAGGTCGTTGTGCCCGTCTGCATCCGGTGTCAATACATAACAATGTAACAAACACGAGCCATGAGTGTTTCGTACCGATCAAAGGGGTGTGGGACAAGATGTTGTGAGCCCTCTTCTCAACTGTAACGGGCGCACCCCAAGGCTTCCTGGACCGATGGCCGCATGATTTCATCTTCTGTCCCAAGAGCATGTAGGAAACGAGGAGCAAAAGGATGCCGCCCACGGCGAGCTTCTTCCTCGTGGACGGACCTCGACGGGCCGGCCGCGGAGCCTCCTCATCGAAGAGGCCGTGTTTCTCATCCATGACTAAGTATATCTTGCACTTGTCCAACGTGAAATGATCAGCTGGGTTGGCGCAACACGCGATTCGAGCTGGATGCGTTACACAGCAGACCTCCGATTAAAGTTAGCGATGAGGCCGGAGCTTGACACCGGGCAACGTCTCTCACCGTCTCAAGAGATGACCGTCAAAGTATTTCGCCGTGACAAGATGGAAGTTCCGATGGTTCTTATCAGCGAAGGTTTGAACTTTGGAGAGTTGCGCTGACGGAAATGATCCTACGACTGAGCCGATTCCTTCCAGTCCGATTTCTGATCACGTCAGAGCTACCTTCCATGGGGTCAAAGCTCCGAAAAGCGATTGCGTTGTCTACGAGTCAAGCTGATAAGAAACAGCTCCCAGAGAATTTGAAACACCCAAAAATCCGAACTATGGAAATGATCAGAGACAAACAGCATGTCTGCAGTTGTGATTATTGTTTAGCTGTCTTAATTGGCTTAACCTAGAAACTCATCAACGATTGGACATAGGTGGTGCTTGTATAACCGGAGGTGACCCGTGACACTGCGCAACCTCCACTAGTGTCTTTGCTCTAGGAATCAAGTCTAGTAATACTCATACAAGTATTGCTTGGTAGAACAGCCAGCATGACGAGACAGCCAGCGTGAGATTTCCAGCCTTCAATAGATTATTATGATCATGAATTCTGATCTTCGAGTTTTTGTTATTCTCCACGATGTTGAAAACATAGCAGTTCAACGTGGTCGAGACTTAATATTTAGTTCCGTCAAACCTACATAGTATAACCCCTTTCTAGGTACCGATACTCACATACAGACAATACGCATAACACTTGATCTGCCGAGGTATTGAGATCAACTGCAAAAGTTGAGGCGCATTGCAGTTCACAGCCATCCCATTTCAAAGTCGGAACCCACTGAATAAAGCACGCCCCTCAGAACCACAGGGAACATGTATGTACTGTAGGTAGCCGTGCTCGGTGCAAAAAGGTGAGATGCTGCGTCGAGATACCGACGGCTGAATTAGCATTTCGGGAACGGACCACGCAGACGGGATATCTCAGACATGGCAACTTCGGATGATGGCTGGTTCTTGCGTTTTGCTCTGCCCCAGCCGTCTCCCAACGCGTGGTTCTCGTGTGCTGAGTACTCGGTATGGACAAAAACACGGACCGAGATGGAGCAAGGCCAGGATAATTGTCTCCATGGCCGATCAGGGACAACGGAGCTATTAATATGTAACGGCTCTGGTCGTCTGGGGAACTGATCGGGCTGTGACGACTCACGAGAGCTCAGGGATAAGAAGCTGATCAGCAGTTTGATGGAACACACATTGCAATTACAGGACACGAGTGCTGTCCGCGGAGCAACAAAGAAGCAAAGAGACAAACTTTTCTGAGAGAAGACACTGAGCTTGCCAGATTTGAAAAGCGATGCGAGCAACTTACAAGAAAAGATGAAACCTGGTCCTGGGGTGCATAATTTGTGAAAATGATCCTTAATACGGCTTCAAATTGGCGGCGGCAGATACTCTGGCGGTCAGGTCAGCCCTGTAGGAACCAAGGACACTGGGCCTCGGGCCTGGAGTCCCGTCGTCGAGCCCTACCGTATCCGCACCTGAGGTCTTCGCCTGAATCTCTTCAGCTGGGAAGTGTCTCCAGAATTCTGCAACAGAGACGAATGCAGGGGCTTCACCCAGCAGTTACCTAGCTTCTGGTGTGCCTGCTTTTTGCTTGGCTGCCTCATCATCAACTCGTTCAGGGTCATTTGCTTTGGGTGGAGCACATGGGGGGGTTCACGGGGTCGCTTGTGGCAAGCCGTCCAGTCAGATATGAGGAAGAAGACGAGGTGGAGAACAGACAGTGGCTGGAGCAGGAACTTGGTGCATCCACCTATGGATGCACTCTGTACCTTAGGTATTTTTGGCTTCAGATGGCTCCTCCCTTGTCCAATGCCTTCCTTCCACCATCATCGCCCGAGTCGGGCGCCGCCTGGCCAATTGAAGGCCACGTTTGCAGCCCGCCGGCTGACGGTCTTTGGTGTTTTCCTTCCCTAGGCCCTACCTTACCATTCTCAAGCCCAATGGAAAGCCCCCCCATCGCTGGCTGCTGTTGTTGGTGCTCATGACGGATACTGCTAGCGCTCTTCCTGGCCGTCCCTGCTGGCCCTGTCTTGTCTTGCATGGCCTGTGCGGATAGTTGGCATTGACAGCCCAGCCCTGCGTGCTGCTGGCTTTGATGCCGTGTCGCCGTGGCTGTCACTGAGGGTCGTCTGGTGTGTGACGGGTACCAAAGTACCAAAGTACCTCCAGGTCCAGTCCACTCGACCTCAGGCTCTGTCTCTGTCGCAAATGGATGGAAGCTTCACTGACTGCTGATGGATGCTCCCGCTGACGCTGCGGAGACCGAGGGACGCACACCACACCTGCAGCAGGGCAGCAGTAGCAGTAACATCTTCTTCTTCTTCTTCCAGTCCTTCTTCGTCCTGCCCCCAAACTTCAACCTTGAACCTTGGACCTCTCAGCAGCCGGCCTTTCTCCTCCAAAATTTCCTCTCTCCAATTCAACTGGCATGTGCCCCTGACCAGAACGCCCTCCACGACGTCCACGCATCTCAGCCTTCTTCCTGCGTCTTTGCTCACTTTCTTTGATTTGTCCCGTCGCCCTTCTTTCTGTACCGCGGCCCCAATTGCCGTTGACGTATTCCTTCGCTTTTTTGCATCCGGCAAACTGTCTCTAATTTCTAGCGAGAGACATCAAGGAAACACCTCGACCGCCTCCCACCTCCTGCATAACGACGAAACGAAACATTCCTCGCTGCCTCCTTTTCCTTATCCCCTCACGCCTGGTAGCCTTTGATCGCAACAAAACAACCCTATTGTGACGGCCGACTCGAGCTCGTCGTATTCACCATGCCGGGCTTCGCAGAGTCCTTTTGGTCCAGCGATTATGCTGCGGGTGAGTCGCCCACATGCGCAGACATGCGCTACCGCTCTATTCCCTCAGCCTGATGCTAACATTTTGCGCCAGGACTGGGCGTCCTGTTCAGCAAGTTGCAACAGGGCGTGCATGAGAACCGTCAAGTCCTTACCGTTGCCCGATTGCGTGCCGAAGCCGAAGAGATCTACAGTCAACGCTTGGGAGACATCGCGCCAGCTGCCGACAAAGTGCAAAGTGGATTCTCGAGAGATGACGGTGCCAGTGTCCGCAAGGTACGTTCAATACTGCCGCCCAAACAAAACCTTTCCAAAGACGTCTGTTAATCCGCTCCTAGGCCTACGATGGCGTTCGGACCGAGATGGAGGAGGGTGCCAAGAACCACAAGAAGATCGCACAGAACATTCGAGATCTCGTCGTCAACCCTTTCTCCCGCTGGTGCGATGCCCACGAATCTCGCATCCAGGATTCCCAGGACGAGCTGCAGGCTCGCATCAAGGCGCACGACAGACAAGCAGAACTGGTCAAGAAGCTGAGGAGCACCTACTTCAACAAGTGCCGTCTGGTTGAAGATATCGAGGAGGAGACCAAGCTCGCATTCCAAGATCCCGAGAACAGCCCGAAGAACAACATTCCCGAGATCAAGGTCTCCGAGAACAAGGAGCCCGAGAAGGAGAAGCACGAGGTCGAAGCCGAGGACGAGATGGTCGAGATTGGCGATGAATTCTACAACCCCGACCAGGTCAAGAAGATTTTGGAGCATGCGCTGAACACGATCAAGCTCGGAGAGACAAAGGTTCCTATTCTGGGAACTTACCAGAACACCTCCTCTGGCGCAGAGATTGTGGAATACCTGCAAAAGCACATGAACACCAGCAGCGTCAGCTATGCTGAGAGAATCGGACAGGACCTCATCACCAACGGATTTCTGCGCCTCATTGGCAATGTCGGCAGCTCTTTCGCAAACAGCTCCAAGATGTTCTACCAGTGGCGGCCAAAAGCCTTCAAGGCCGCTGGTGTCCCCGAAAAGAAGCAAGCTCTTGGACGCACCTTTTCCATGCCCGTTTCCGAATCGTCGGATTCGCCCGTTGTCGGAACCGTCAGCGAGTACCTTGCCAACTGGAACGTCCTCAACAACGCCCACCCCAACGAGACCCCCGCCGAGCGATTGCGCCGTGAGGCCAGAGAGGCCGACGACAAGTACAAGAGCGGTGTTCATAAGCTTGATGAGATGCGCTGCGAGTTGGAGGAGACTATTTTTCTCCACCTCCGCTTCTTGGAGCGCTGCGAACTGGACCGTCTCAAGGCCATCAAGACGGTCATTCTGGACTTCTCCGGTACCATCAGCAACGTCATCCCCAGCCTCCAATCGGCTGTCGATAACATGATGCTCTTCCAGGAGACGGTGCAACCCGCAGGAGACCTGAGGTACCTGCTGGAGAACTACCGCACCGGTAGCTTCATTCCCAGGGTCGTAGTCTATGAGAACTACTACAATAAGGTTGACGAGCAGACCTTCGGTGTGGATCTTGAGGCCAGAGCGCGTGCGGATAAGAAGCGCGTGCCCGTCATCATCACCACTATCCTGACCTACCTTGACAGCCACTACCCTGATCTGGAAGGCGACGAAGCGAGACGTAACGTCTGGCTGGTGGACGTGCCTCTGCCGCAGATTCACAAGTTGCGCGCCAAGATCAACGACGGCAAGCCCATCCCAAGCGACGTCTTTGACGAGTTCGATATCCCGACCGTAGCAAGCTTGCTCAAGCTCTACCTCCTTGAACTGCCTGGTAAGATGAGCGCACCCACCAAATCGATCGCGGAGCCACGCTAACATACCACAGATTCTCTGGTCTCGTCACATGTGTATGAAATCATCAGGACGATCTACCAGACTCAGACTTCGGACGACGATGGCTCGCGAGTTCCTGTTCTCCAGCAGACTCTGTCGCAATTGAGACTTACCAACATCGCAACGCTTGACGCCTGCATGAACCACTTTACGCGCCTAATCGACCTCACCTCGGCTGATGAAACTTACGTCTCGACCTTAGCTACTACCCTGGCGCCATGCATTCTGCGCCCTCGCACGGAGACTTCACTCACGATGGAGGAGAAGCACGCTTACCGTCTCATTCGGGATCTCTTTGCTCACAAGGACGCCATCTTCAGCGAGCTGAAGCGCATGTCTACTTTGAATCACAGTGTGTCGGTCGGCGGCAACAATAACCGCCCTCGTGCCATCAGCACCGACGAAAGCAACCGGAGAGCAAACATGGAGGAGCGGAATAGAGCTCTGCTCGAAAAGGCTGCCGGTAGCCGCGGCCGCGCTACGAGCCCCGCCCCTAGCCCTCGCGGCCACAGACGTGATCGCAGCACCGGCGGCCCCGAAACCCGCTTCCCCATCCAGACGAGCCCTCCCGGAACCGCTGGTGACCGCCAGCGGTCCAGCCTCGGCAGCGTGATTGGTGCCAAGCGCTCCAGTCTCGAGGTTCCCGGTAGCGAGACGGGCTCGCCCGCAGAGCCGACGAACGGCACGACGAACCCGGCCCCGGCTGCCGAGGGCGTTGCCGCGAGGATCCAGGCGCTCGAGTCGCCAGTAGAGAAGCGCAACAGCTTGGGTCGCAGCACTGCGAGATACTCGCTCGAACGGCGGGTGCCCATCGCACCGAGCGGAAACGACAGCGCTCCGTCGACCCCCCGCGGCGTGACGCTCGAGGACAAGCCCATGGACGATTAAGCGTTTCGGCGACTGCCATTTTGTACAGGTTGAATTTCTTGTTTTCCTTGCTTCCTTTCTTAATGTCTATTTTCTTCAAAACACCCATTTTTTGTCATGTGTGACGCCGGAAGATGGTGCGGGTATAGGAAACCAAAAAGACGAAACATTTTACTGGCTGGGGCTTGGCTGGCGGTGATTAACGACGGTGACGTCGGGAAGCGATTCCTTGTGTCCCCTTTGTATCATGTCTGTACGTACACCACGAGAGCGCGAGAGAGAAAGAGAAAGAGAGAAGGGGGCGAAGATGAGATGAGAGAGGAGATGGAAATGAGACGACGGAGAGACAGAGACAGAAAGAGAAAAGGGGGTAATCCCCCCTTTTAAACACTTCGAAGATCCAAGGTGTCAATGTTTCTCGCCGGGTGATTGAATCATGATCACGAAAAGATGAAATTGAGAAATCCACTTGCTTCTTCATTCTCATCATAAGGAAACTGTCGATTTCTTCAAGATAGCAAAGAAATCCACTAATTCACCGGCACCAAAAAAAGGGACAGGTTGTCATCGTCATAAAATAAGCTGATGCACCACCACCGCACCACGTCTTGCATTCTGTCTATATGCTACCTGGTGTTTTTCCATCCCCAAATCCCATCTGCGCCGTCGTGCCGTGTAAACCCACGATCCCATCAACTGGGACTAGGGGTATCACCCGCAATCTCCGCCATCTTGGTCGTCTTCTTCTTCTTCTTCTTTTTGGCGGGCACAACCACCGCGGGCCCCGCGTCACCACCGCTACCACCGACACCGCCCTCGAGTGCCGACGACGGTGGCGGGATGGCGGGTTGCTCCGTCTCGCCCGCGCCGTTCTCCGCGTCCTCTGTGAGCAGGACGGCCGGCGGCGCCGTCTTCTTCTTTTTCTTCTTGACGACCGTCGTCCCGTCTGCGGCGGCGGCGGCATCCTTCTTGGCCTTCTTCGTCTTCTTTTTGACGACGGTGCCGGCGACGTCGACGCCCTGCGCGACCTGGATCCGCTCATTGGCGCGCTGCATCTCGAGGCGCAACCTCTCGACCTCCTTCACCGCCTGCGCCATCTCGGCCTCCTCGCGCTGTTGCCGTTCGTAGTCGAACGGTGCCACGTGCTGGGAGGACGAGGAGCCGGAGGCCGCGTCGCCCTCGAGGCTGAGGGAACCGAGCGTGGACGAGTCGACTTGGAGCAAGCCTTGCCGTAGCTTCTTGGCGCGCGACTTGGTGAAGCTGTCCGAATTGTTCTCCGACTCGTAGTTGCGGGGCGTCGATACGCCGCTTCCCATGAGGTTTTCGTCCGCCGCGATGATGACGCGTTGGCGAGGTCGTGGTTGCGGCCGGCTGACCGGTGACGTCGGTCCGGGAGCGGAGGAGCCCAGTTTGTCGAGATCCAGCTGCATTATCGGTATGGAATCTATGTCGAGGTCTGGGCCGTTCTCCTTTTGCAGGATGTTGTGGATTGGGGTGGAGGTTCGGGGTGTGCCGCCGCCGGAGCCGCCAATGTAGAATGGGTCGTCCCGGTTGCGTTCTGCCCGTTCGAGCTTTCGCCTAGCAACGATGTCTGCATCCAGGTAGCTGTCCTCTGTTGCTTGCTGGTACGAGCTGACGACTTCCTCTGGCGCGTCGGCGATCTTGTTGATAGCCGGCTCGGCAGAGGATATGCTTGTCGGCGCAGGGCGCTGGTGATAGTAGACTTCAAAGTCGTCTGACTCGCTGGCTTCCATTGGTATGATATCCGCTTGAGAAAGCAGGTAACTGAGGTTGGGGTGAATCGGTTCGTCCAGGTCAAGACCTTCTGGTATTGGTACGTTCTTCTGCGCCCCAATGGCCACAGAGTTCAGTTCCCAACCCTGGAACAGAGATGGGATGGCTTGAGTAAGGAGGAGGGGAGCATCTTGGTGGGCATCCTCAGAAGACGGTGCCTGTCCCGAGGCCGCCTCTGCGGTCAGTTTAAGGAGTTCGATGAACTCCACCGACCTTTCTTGTACCTCCAAATTAGGGTGAAGAGCGAGTGGTTCTAGCGTGTGAATGACCCGCGCCATAAGCAGGGTGATCTTGGTCTTCCACTCGGGTGTCCAGGGTTGTCCGTCGTTGCCAGCGATGTACGCGAATATCTTGGTGACGGCTTGAAGACTTGTAGTAAGAATGTCGGGAATATGTGTGCGAGAAATAGTACGTAGGATGTTTCCGAGTGTGTCCTCAGGGAACGCTAGTTGGTTGGCGTACTCTCCGACCAACCAGGTTGTTGATTTTAAGGATGCTGACGATAGGGAGTGGCCGGCGGGTGCGTCGGCGTTGAGTTGTTGAATGATCAGATCCGCAGCTCTAACTGAAGCTCCTCGCAAAGCATGGACCTTCACGGCGACGTTCCTCAACTCATCGCCAATTCGTCCAGAGACGTCTCCGGCTGTCGATTTTCCTGAAGCGCCTGCCGAATCCAGTTCCGTCTCGACGGACCGCGGCGTCGGTGCCATACGGACAAGTTGAATAAGGACGTCGATGTACCAGTCAAAGTCCACCAGGCTGCCATAGTTATTCTGTGCACACATCGTCAAAATCCTTCCGATGACATCGCTCCTGTAATCATCTGGTAATGGAGGCTCCTCTTCCTCTTTAGTCGGCGAGTGAATGTTGACCTCCGCTTCTTCTTCAGAATCCGGTCCGGTGTCAGGACCGAGAGGCGCTCCAGGTCTTTCTCTCTTAGGTGCAGACGACTTGAGCTGTTTCATGAGGCGGCTGACGATAGACACCAAATTATCGCTGCTGACCATCCCCTGAACCAAATCCAGAGCCTTGATTCTGATCGTGATATCAGGGCTGTCGATACACTCGAGGATGACATCCTCCTGTTGCGCAACCAGGAAAGGATGTGTCAGCACAATCTTGTTGAATGCAAGTAGTGCCACGTATTTCACTGACGAAAGTTAGCTCTGCTTCACGATCTGACCAAAAATACCTACGGTTCGGGTCGCCGTCCACCATAATCATGCCTCTAAGCTTGTTCACGCAGAGAGTCGCAATCTCTTCCCGCCCGGAAATGTCATCCTCGCTACCCAAGATACCGCCCTGAATGATGCCATTGATACATTCGTATAATAATGACATGGCGGGCGTCGTCCGGATGAGTTCCGTAAGAGGCGGCAACAACTTCCTCACAAGGCGTGGCTCCAGCGGTGTCAGAGTCGCAAACTACATCTAGCGTCAGCACTCGGTCGAGACTCCATCACTCCAACTGTAACCTACCAGCTTGATCAACTTGATGGCCATCCAGTTATTTCCGCCGTCCACCAATAGCTCAAAGAGCCTCGGAGCCAATGGCAGGAAGTCATGTGGTCGTCTCCACCCCAGCTCGCAGACAACATTCACAATAGCCGCCGTGACGCTCGGGTCCTCGTCCTTGTCCATCAGGCGCTCCTTGATCTTGGGCCATGCCGCGCGCAGCGTCTCCGGGTACACTAGCGCCAAGCGGTACAGCGTTACAATCGTCTTCTTGCGGATGGCGGGGTTCGAGTGGCTGAGGCGGGGGAGGAGGTCGGAGAGAGTCGAGAGAGCGAGGGAGGGGGTGATGATGTGCGGCAGCGTGGCGATCGGGAGGGAGATTGTTGTCGCTTGGGTCGAGGTCAGATCCTAGCCGGAAGCTACGTCAGCCTTCTGATTATTATCTACAACAGAACCGCGGGCCTTCCTACCTTCTTCAAGAGATTCGTGGCCAACATGAGCACTTCGGTGTCGGGCCTGAAGCTCTGTACGGCGGCCAGGTATCCGACCCTCTTCTGGTGGTACTTCTGTGACGACATGACCTCGAGGACATGGAACGAGGCCCACGACATGTCATGCCCAACCATCTCGAGGTACACCAGCTTCAGCAGCGCCGTCGCCTTGACATCTGTCCGGAGGAAGTCTTCAGCAATCGCACGTCTCTCGCGGCTGATGGAGGGGCCGCAGCTCACCCATGTCCTGCCCGCGCACCTCGGCGCGGCATTCTTTCAAACTGTTCTGGATATACTCGCGCTCGTTGCCTTTGTGGTTTCGCAGGCCTCTGATGAGGTCGTAGAGGGATTTCTCGAACCTGTTGGGACGGTTCCAGCCACTGTCAGCGCGCCAAAGCCTCTCTCTCTCTCTCTCTCTCTCTCGCTGCGCTGTATTTCACACCTACATCTTGACGATGACAGCCCCACGCGAAGGGGCCTAAAACGGGTACGTTTCGTAGGTTTTTGCAGCTTATGACAGGTAAATGTTCGTCGCAGAAAAAGGGAAAAAACGAAAGTCGGGTCAGGTCGTCCGGGTCCTATGGCGCATCTTGAAATGGGCTCCTCCGTTGTGTGGCCGCGCAGATTCGTGACGGTGTTCAATTAGTCGTCGAGCTAAGGGATGTCGGAGTCGGGGGACGGTGATGCGGGCTGCTGTGGCTTGAACTTGGCTTGTGGAGAGCTTGCTGTGCCCGGTCAGGTAGCACCCGACTCACCACCAAAAAGCGGCTGCTCGATAATCAACCCCCACCACAAAGGTGGGTGTCTACCTGTACCGTGCACATTCTCGGCATGGAATAGCAGGCACTGTACGACGGCGGCGGCAGCCCACTAACACCGACGATTAGCTTCTTTCTCGGTCGTACCTAGCTTCTAATCGTCATTGCGCCTGCTACACAACAGCTTTTTGCGACGGCCCAGTAGAGGAACCTTGCGGCAGAATAGGGACCTGGGAAAGGGATCCTTGTATTTCTCTACTTCACTCTCGTTTCTATAACCTGTACAACATGAACATGGCTTGTTAAGCTTTCGAGTTTCCACTCCCTCAATACATCGCGAACCTCCTCGACCACCTCCCGACTCGACTCAACTTGAAGAAGACGGCACACGACACCTCCAATGGCGACCGCGCGCCCAGCCTTACGAATTTTCTCCCCCCTGAGAACGATCCACCGAACACCCGTCGTCCGGACACAACCCCCAGCACGACACTTCTTCAACCTCCCAAACCTCTCCTCCACCCCCGAACCGCAAGTCCTCACGGCCTCCCGAACCCTCCCATACCCATCGGCGCAACTCTACGACGTAATCTCGGACGTGGACTCGTACTCCTCCTTCGTGCCCTACTGCGCGCAATCCCGCGTCACACAATGGAGTGCCCCCGATGAGAACGGCCGCAAGTGGCCCGCCCAAGCCGACCTGCGCGTGGGCTGGGGCGGCTTCGAGGAGACCTTCACGAGCAGGCTGCACTGCGTGCCGGGCCGGAGCGTCGAGGCCGTCAGCGGCGCGGACGTGGAGGGGGCCGCTCCCGGGAACGGAGGCGAGGGCGGCGCGGTGTTCAGGAGTCTGGTGACAAAGTGGCAGCTGCGGCCGCTGACTACGGGGACCGGCACCGAGGTGGACTTGGTCATCAGGTTCCAGTTCGCGAACCCCTTGTACTCGGCAGTGAGTGCTGCCGTCTCCGAAAAGGTGGCCGGCGTTATGATTCAGGCTTTCGAAAAGCGTGTCAAGGCTGTCCTGGGCAGACCGAGGATATAATGAATAGGCGGCCGTACTTAGAACATAGACTATTAGACGAATGGACGCGAAGCACTAAGAGAAGCCGGCTCATTAAGGAACAGAATCGAAGGTATTTTTGTATCGAAATGCAAGGCATCTACCTCCAACCGCACAAAAAAAAAAAAAGTGCAATTCTAATAAAACACATGGTCTTGTCCTTTCCCTTTTCTTGCGCCGTATCCGAAACGTATCGTGCCTCCTCCACCTTTCTTGATGCATGATTCCCCGAAAATGTGTGGTCTTGTGCGAGTATTATTTTCAGCCATGCATTCCATTCCAGACTTCATTCCTCCATAGCTCGTGCTCCGGGCATAAATGCGTTATAGACGTCGAACCGAGCCGTGAGTCCTTGAGATGCATTGCGTACATACAATTGACCCTGTGAAGATTCGATAAAAGTAGACAAAACAAAACGCGACGAGGTATCATGCGTAAATCAAAACGATCCCAACCGCAGATTCATAGCAAGTCTTTCTGATAGCTGCAAAGAGAAACGGCTCCCTGCAGGGCTATTTCTTGTGGCCCCTATTTCTTGTTAGTAAGTATCCAAACACTTCTCAGACATGACTACTCACTTCTTCTTCGGCGGGGGTTTCCCGCCAGCCATCCAGCTAAGCATAGAACCCCTAGGCTTTGGCTTCTTTTCGGGTGGTGCAGCATTCACGATATTGACACCATGAGGGAGACCATCGGGACGCACTCGCGGAGGCGGCGGTCCACCACCACGACCCGGCCAGCCGGGGGGGCCTGGAGGTGGTGGCATGGGGCCGCCAGGCCTAACATTCGGCGGTATACCCATGGACGGCGGCCTTCCTTGGCGGGCCTGCCCAGGTGGTATTGGACCATGAGGCCTCATACCCGGGGGGAACATGCCAGGGGCTGCGGGGGGTGGTGGTTTGTTTTCCATGGGCCACATCTTCATCTCAATAGTCCAGTCAGGCTCGACAACCTTCTCCCAGATCTGCGGGAGGATGATCTCGCCGTTAGGACCGATAAGATCGTAGTGTCCCTCTTGGACGTGCGGCCCAATGACATCCACATGGAGAAAGGCTTGCTTGATCAGCTCTTCCATGCCCTACAGATATGTTAGCTGAATGTCTCGCAAGGCATTGAACGGCTCGAAACGTACCCCCCATGTAGCACAAATGTGGAAAGGGAAGCTGAATTTACGCCCCACAGCGTCCTTGAATTTGATCGGCAGCTTGTCTTTGACCTTCTTGGTCTCCGCTTCATACTTGGCCTTGGCGTCTTCGGCAGCTTTCTTCTTGAGCTCATCTTCAGCCTTCTTAGCCGCAGCGGCAGCAGCTTCGGCCTCGGCCTTCGCCTTGGCCTCAGCTTCCAGCTTATCGCGAGCCTCTTTCTCGGCCTTCTCTTTCATTTCCGTCTCGTACTTCGTCTTGGCCGCAGCAGCGTCTGCCGCAGCCTTCTTCTCGGCTTCGATCTTGTCGCGGGCTTCCTTTTCGGCCTTCTCTTTCATCTCGGCCTCATATTTGGCCTTGGCAGCAGCAGCTTCCTCCGCCGCCTTCTTCTCAGCAGCAATCTTGTCGCGAGCCTCCTTCTCGGCCTGCGCCTTCATGTCTGCCTCGTACTTGGCTTTCGCGGCGGCGTCTTCAGCAGCCTTCTTCTCGGCAGCGATTCTGGCATCTTCCTGGGCCTTGATGGCCAACTCCAGCTTCAGCTGAGCAGCCGCCTCCGCTTCGGCCCTAGCCTTTGCTTCGGCAGCCTTTGCTGCGGCCTGAGCCCTCATCTCGGCCTCGTATTTTTCTCTTGCCTCACGCTCTGCCCGAGCCATGGCTTCTTTGTGCCTCTTTTCTCTCTCCTCCTCGGCTTTACGTTCCAGCTCGATAGCTTCACGTGCAGCCTGCTCGGCCTCCTTCTTGGCCCTTTCGATCTCCCTCTTCGCCTCCTCTTGGGCCTTTCTCATTTCCTCCATTCGTCGCGCGATGGCGTCTTCTGTATCCTTGCGGATCTTCTCTTCAAGCTCGCGTCGCCTTTCGGCCTCCTCCTTCCGGGCTTGTTCCGCCTTGAAAGCCTCCAGCTGCTCCTGCAACTTGATCTTCTCTGGGTCTGGCTTTGGCGGGGAGGGCGGTGCGGCTGGCGCAGGGGTCTTGGGCGGAGCCACCTCCGTGGGCGGGGGCGGCGGTGCGGGTTGAGAATAGAGGAACTGGGCCATGTGCTGCGGCATCTGGTAACCTCCCGGGCCGTAGTAGGCCGGGGCCTGTGGCTGCTGGTAGGGCATCATGGCATCGTACTGGTTGCCACGACCATCTCCGAAGTAGCTCTGGCCGCCTCCGTTGGACATTGGCGAAAAAGGGTTATGGCCAGGGGGCTGGGGCTGGTAGCCGTAAGGAACCATTGAGTGCTGGTTTGGGGGAGGCCCATATGGGCTGCCGCCCATAGGATAGCCACCTACGTGACTTTGAGGATAGGCATTTGGTGCGTGACCGCGGCCGCCGAAGTAGGGGTTGTGGCCTCCAGGGCCCTGGACCTGCTGGCCGGCATGAGGGTTCGGAGGTGCATGACCGCCATAGCCGCCGCGGTGGCCGTATGACGGCTGGTATTCGTCGGGATCCACGCTTTCTGGGGGATTCGGCACTGAACCGGGCCGAAATGCGGGAGGGTAGGCGGGTTGAGCGGGACGGTGAGGCAGTTGGTGATAACGAGACGCGGCTCGAGGTGCTTGCGGGCGGTAGGACCTGTGGGGGCTCACGGAAGCGGAATCTTCTGGGCCGAGGTCTTCTCCGTCGTCGTAGTCGTCAGAGTAGCTCTCGTTCTGTTCGCCAGACTCTGAGCTTGTGGTTTGGTAGCGATCCTCGTCGTCAGTGAGTGAGTCGGAAGTTGTTCCCGAGCGTGGGGCAAAACGTCCTTGTAAATGGCGTCTTCCGGAATGTGTTAGTTGAGTGGTGCCTTGGGCGAATGCCACCAAGTCGATTGTCTCCTGGCCTAGTTGAAAAGTACAACACTTACGACATGGGGAAGTGTGTGTCGGTGAAGACCCTTTACTCACGACGAGCTCGAGAGAGAGCCGGAGCAAAGGGATAAATTGGACGAAAAAGGTCGGACGAGGTTGGCGAGGATAGGGCTTCCGCTATGGGAAACCGAGAGGAACTGAGTGTGGGAGCTGGAGCAGCGTTCGCCCTTGTGCGCTTGAGTGGATGAGGAGGGGTTATCCAAGCATGGAAGAGTGGTAGGCGGCAACAAGACCAAAGTGCGGATGATGGGCGCGTTGGGACGAACGGTGATCAGATGACGAACTCTCGATGTGAGCAAGGGCGGGTTTTGGGAGGAAAGAAAGTTTGGAAATTTGTGAGAGTGAGTAGAGAAATCGAGTTGCAAGACGGGCGATTTGCGAAAATTGAGGGGTGGGCGTGGGCGTGGGCGTTGGCGGCAGTCGGCGGGTGGATATTCGTTCGTGGGCTCCTGGATGTAGCCGGGAAGGCCCCTGCTATTTGGCCAAAGATCGTGCAGTTGGGCGCAAAAGGAAGCGCGATTGGGTGCGAGGGAAACAGTGGCAGCTGGGTGCTGGGCAGCTATTGCGGGTCTGTCGACCGCTCCGTTCAAGGCGTAAGACAAGGTTGTATGCACCAAACTAAGCCGCAGCCACCGCAGTCTAAACAAATCGGCCGGGCCTGGCTGGTTGGTCGCCTTGGGCAGCTGGATTGCCCTGATTTCTCGGAGAGGAGGTAGAAGGGTGGCGATGCGATGCGGTGCGCTGCGCTGCGCTGTAATGCGAGGCGAGGCGAGTGGGAGGGAGGAGGAGCAGAAGAGAGCGAGCCGAGTGGAAGAGGTGAGGAGGGTAAAGTGAAGACAGAGCCCCAATTGTGGTTGTTGTTCAGGTTCTCGCTGTTAGCCCTTCTTTTCCCTCTTCTGGGATCCGGGAGCCGGCAGACAGGTGTTGTCGGTGAGAAAAGTGCGGGAAACAAGTCCAGCGATACGACGGTCTTGGTCAATTTTGGGTATCTAGGGGTGCTGCTAAGAAGCTACCAATCTCAGATCAGCGACATTCGGAAGAATCATGTGGAATTGAATTGACGAGACGCCATGCCCATGTTGACATGGGGCACGAGCCTGGACATGGAACACGGACACACAGACATAATGGGAAGCCCCAAAAGGGAGAGTGGAGGGGAAGCCGTGGCCTGGGGCGGTAGGGAAGAAGAGGAGAGGAGGAGAGGAGGGGAGGGGGAAAGACCAGGCCAGACCAGCACCGAACGAACCCGACCAAGACCAAGGTACTTCGTACCTAGGAACAAGCAAGCAACCCCGCCATTCTCAGCCCGCATTTTGGAAGGGAAAAAAACAACAAAAATTGAGACAAGTGGCCACCAAACCTCCGTACCTGACGCTGACGGCACGGTAGTATAGGGCAGGGCAAGCAGGCAGAGAGGCAGGCAGAATTGACCAACATCTAATCGCAGGTGAGAGAACGGCCGGCGGGGACGATGGAATGGAGAAGGAGGCAGGCTACGGCGGGGTGTCCAGGCGGCGGTCTCGAAGCCCCCTTGCTTTGTTGTCCCACTTGGAAGCCGATGGATCGTGGGCCACACTCACTCACACTGCTGGGCGATGGAATGTCATTGAATGACCGTCAGCAGCCGGACACCGGCTTGTGTCATGGATCCAACGCTGCCCCTCCCTCCAGCGGCCACCAGCCGAAGCTGTTGACTGAAGACTGAAGTACTGCGCAGCGCGACGTACAGAGCACCCGAAATCAATCAAATGCAGCCAACAACGACAACAACAATAACAACACCGACGGCGACACCGGAAGCTGGTTGCCCTGAGGACAGCCCGCGAGTAGGTATTGAGGTAGGTAAGGTAAGGTACGGAGGAACATGTGGGATGTAGGTAGCCGGCACTTGGCAGCTTGTTGACAGGGAAGACGCAGAGCAGAAAGCCAGTCGTGAAAACCCATCCAAGACATGCCTATTCGCATGGCCAGTGACAGAAACGCGAGGGATAGAGCAGGCAAAACGCAGTGAAGTGGCATGGGAAAGCCGAAAAAGCGCGTCGCGACGAAGACGTTGAAAACTGCATTTCGCGTACCTTTCTTTGGCTTTGTTCTCCTTCTTATGTGTGTTTGTTTCTGGCGAGTGCGATGGACGACGTTAGGACAGAGCCACGCCGTCTGAGACCCGAGACCTGACAAGAAACAGATGACGGGAGATCAGATGCACGCGTGGACCCGTCAATCTGGCCGTCTGTTGCTGTTTTGGTCGGGGAGCGTTTTCTGGAATCTGGTAATCTAGAATCTGTCGACGTTCGGATAAGACAGTGGATGGTGACAGATCAGGGATGAGAGGTACGTACCTGCCTTAGGTACCTGACTCTATGCCGACACCGACTCCGACTGTTCTGTTCGCTCTGTGGCTCAACCGTCCAGTCTATTCGCACGCCAGCCGATGTTTCTCGCTTCGCTGTCTCGGTGAGGAACGTGCTTCAGGCGTGGTTTTTGGCTCCGTTGCGGGACGGTCCTAGGCGTTCGTTTATGCTGGTGGGGCCTGTACGGTCAACCGGCCGGGAGTACCCTTTTTTTGAGTTTGGAATGCTTCTTCTCTTTAGTCTTAGAAAAGAAGAGGGAGGGGCAAGCAAATGGATGTTGAAAGCAAGAGAGAAGAACTGGAAGAAATTGGGGGTCGAAAATGTGTGCGTTTAAGCAGGCTGGATGAGACGTCGCAAAGTATTTATCTGACAGGAGAACGATGGGAAGGAGGGAGGGGGTCGAGTCGACTCGAGTCGAGCCGGGATTGGGGGCGGCGAAAACAATCCAACAGCGTGGTTCTTCTGCTCCGACTATCTTACAAAGTACTGGACGTCTAGACTCGCGACTTATTATTACTCGCACCTGTATGTTAAGGGCTCGAGACGGACGGATAACCAGTGAGAGTGCTTCATGTGGACTGCACAGCACAGGCAACCGTCAGCTTCGAATTCTAGGTAGTAGGTCTCTTCTCTCAAGTCAGTGTCGTCGTCTGGTCTGGTCTGGCCTGGCCTGCTCTCCCCTCTTCGCCTATATTACCGCCTCGCAGGAGACTAACACACCGCAAGAAACGGTACCTCGGGCGACTCGCGAGGGCGCCGCATCCGCACTGGCTGCGCAAGACGTAAGCCGGAACCAAGGCGTTAGATGTACCTCAAGTACAGATATTACCTACGACAGCCGCAGCTTTTAGTCTTTCTGTCGTGTGCCAGCCTGCTTGCCGTCCCGCCGTCGAGCTATACCATTCTCGCAATGCCCACCCACCTCGCCTGGTTCGTTGGTCTTGGTTTGCTTGGCTACCGCGATTCTATGCAGTCAATTCGCGGCCGGTTTCACAATGTGGGCACGTAGGCAGTGCCACTGACAACGATACTATTCCCACAATCTGACTGAATGACAGTATCTCTGTCTTTTCACGGGGCGGTGATGAGGCAGCTGCTGTTGACGCCACAGCTGGTTCGGGCCTTGACAAAGTCTGTTCGGCGCACATGTCATTGTGTTGAGGTGGCAGAGGAAAAACTGCGCCCGATTTTCGAGATGTTCTTTGCAACAGCAATTTTCCACTGTTGCATGAAACAACTGGTCTGACGTGGTTGACGACAGCGGCATTTGGCTCTCCCTGTTTGCTCGAGGCGCCGGGCTGTTCGAGAACACGCAGATAAGAGTGGCGAGTCCGAGACGGTACCGGTGTACGGAGTGTTGGCTTGATGGCATGGCATTGCCCGGATATATAAGTGACACCTGAACCTCGTCAGCCCAAGTTGATTGGCATTTCGGCATCTCAACACATCTTCAACATCTGAAATGGCGCGTGCTCGACAAACTTCTGCCATGATCCGACGGGTCAGAATGTTATGCCTCTTAGATCGACTCGACAAGGGTCTCGAATGACGGTGCCTGAGATCCATCCGTGGATCAACTCACTGACTCACTGCCAGCACATGCTGTGGGCCTTGTTAGTTGTCGGGCTCCCAACAATATTCGTACCTTCGTATCCTTTGATCACATGCAGCCCTGCGACATGCTGCGACCTGGTCTGCCTCCATTGGGCACATTTACGGGTGTGGCCGCGACGGGAACGATAGAACCGGGAAGGAAATGACTTGAATAATTCATTGAAACGTATTAGGTGGCCGTCTCTAGTCCTCCAGTAAAAACATGTCTGCTGTGGATTTGGTACAAATTTCTGCCCAATCGCCAAACTGAGAAAAAAGGCACGAAGCCTCTCTATTCGACATGATGACGACGCCTGCTTTACGCCCGAATATTAGGAAAATGCTGCCCGCTTCTCCCGTTATCGTGTTCCGTGACTGGGCAACGTGTCCGCGATTGGCCGGCAAACACCAACGAGACTCGAGTGATTTCAGTCGCACGTGGATGATCCGCTGCAGACATGACGCCGACCAGGGCCCGAATGTTCCGAATGCCCGTCAATTTCGACGAGCAGCATGCCGCCCAAAATCGACAATGCCTTGCATGAAGCAAGCTGGCATGCCGCTATGCCAACGTGACCCAATTGTCACCGGATCAGTTAGGGTAAGACTGTTTGCTTGTTGCTAAAGGCTCGTCGCTCATCTCACAAGGTCCACTGACTCCTTGGAGAGCAAGTCTCGCGCCGCAGCCACTTCCGATTCGTCGTAGCCCTGCCAAAGCTTGTCCTGCGCACCATTGCGACGCACAATCTCGGCCAGCTTCTGCGTGGCCACCTCGTTGAGCTTCTGTAACGTGCTGGTTTTGGGAAGAGCCCAGTCGTCAGAACCCGTTTGCCTGGAGGGCTTTGAGGGCTCGTTGAGGAGTTTGTTCGTGACCTTGGAGTACCGTTAGCTGCCATCCATCGACAAGAGCCGGTCTACTTACTAGCTTCAAGCCATAATAACCACGGAGATAGTCGTCACAAAGCTCAATGCTGCGAGCGAATCTCTTGACAGATTCGGCTAGTTGTTGCTGCGAAGTACTGTCTGAGGCTGAAGCGGCCATATACAGCACTTCACCCATGCGAGCATGGATCTAACGTCATTTAGCAACACAAAGCAGCAACCAGGGCACCTTTACGTGACTAACATTCCATGCGTTCGGCGTCAATACCAGAACTTCCTCGAGCGCGAAGATGGACTGCGAGTACAAGCCTTGGGACAGGTACAGGTCTGCAAGCTCCGCCCAAGCTTCCGCATCGGTAGGGGAGAAGTCGACGAGCGAGTTGAGAGCCGTGATTGCGTCCGATATCTTGCCGGTTGACTTGAGAAGCGCGATGCGCCGTTTCGCGACAGGCTGTGAGGGGTCAGCTGAAGCTGCAATGCCAAACGGCCATCACCAAACCCACAATATTCGTGGCATTCTGTCCCAGAATGGTCTCGTACTCCTTGAGCACCTGCACCAGCTCTCCATCATTATCAGCTTCCGCCTCCTTCACCAGCCCCTTGAACGCCATGATGCGCTCGTTGTCATCCCCAAAGCGGATGACCAGCCTCTCCAGGCATTGGTGCGCTGCTTGACTATCTCCAGTTCGAAGACAGGCCAACAGCAGGTTTTCGTATATAATCCACGTCTCTGGTGTCTCTGATGCGGAGAAGAGTGACACTAAGGGCGATGATGAAAACGCCTTGGGGTTGTTTCGCAGAATCGTCGGCGCTTGCTGGGCGAGCTCCAAGGCCTCGGCCGGGGACAGGTGGCCCTGAGGGCGCACGAGAGATGGAGCCATGTTGCCGTTATGCGATGGCAGAACTCGATTCGGTCGTAGTCGGGAGTTATCGTTGGACTTTGGGGCGTCTGAGATTTGTAGTACTGATTCGCTTAGGTTCTAGGTGATCGTGATTGTTGTCGTCGATTGAAGGAACGTTGAAGCACCCTGTTGGCACATACTCCCAACTAAGCTCGGAGGGCCAGGCACGCGGCGCCGACCAACCTGCGGATCCAGTACTGCGCTACGCCCACCCGCGGCCCAGCATTTTAAGGTCCATGCTTCTAGGTTACCTACCTCATTGGCTGGGTCGGCAGCCGGCGGTTCGTCGCACCGGCGGCTGCCCCACTACAACTTTTTCGCAAACAAAAACTTCAACGAGCGCCAAAATTTACTGGTTCCTTCCTCTTCTCAACACTTCCTGCGCCAAACAGAAACCTGGAGATTTCAGGAACCCGTGAGGACACACGCATTAGCACGCGAGTGTAAGATCTGCAGTACTCCTGTATTGATCAACCCCTCACAATGGCGTCTCCTGAGGTTCAGACTCCCAATGGAGTGGACGAGCAAGGCCTCGTTGAGAAGACGGCCAATCTCCAGGTCTCTGAAGTCAACGGTCAGGAGGGAACACCCGCTCACAGATCGCACGACCCTGATCACAACCAGAAGAGAAGCGACCCATTCCAGTTTGGCAGCCGCTTTCTCAACGAGGGGGATGATGCCTTCGAGTTCAACGCTTGGGACCACGTCGAGACTGACGACGCATACAAGAAGTTCGCTGAGGAACAGTATGAGATGCAGCGCCAGTCGCCAGTCTCTGATTTTGACAGAAGTAAGTTTTACTCCACCGCTCGCGCAAATTTTTCTTCCTCCCTCGGGTGTTATGATGATCCCACGCAATATTCGCATAGTTCATCTGAATCTTTGTGATGAAAACTTCCTTTATAGTCTTTCGCTCCCATCTGACTACACCTCTGAGAAATAACTCTTTTTTCTGCCTGGTCGTTTAGGACAGCGCGCTAACAAGAAACTCAAGACAGACTGAACAACAATCCCGCGCGGATGTGGGATCTCTTCTATAAGAACAACACGGCCAACTTTTTCAAGAACCGAAAGTGGCTGCAGCAAGAATTTCCAATCTTGACCGAGGTGACCAAAGAGGATGCCGGCAAGACTGTGATCCTTGAAATCGGAGCAGGCGCTGGCAACACCGCCTTCCCCATCACTGAGTTCAACAAGAACCCTAATCTTAAGATTCATGCCTGTGATTACTCGAAGACGGCCGTAGAGGTCATGCGAAAACACGAGTCCTACGGCAAAGGTTTCGTGCAGGCCGACGTCTGGGACGTGACGAGTGACGAACTCCCACCTGGACTCGAGGAGGGAACCGTCGACATTGCTATTCTCATTTTCATCTTTTCTGCCTTGGCTCCAGGTCAATGGAACAAGGCCGTTTCCAACGTCCACCGACTCCTTAAGCCGGGCGGTCAGGTCTGCTTCCGAGACTATGGAAGAGGTGATCTCGCACAGGTTCGCTTCAAGAAAGGCCGTTACCTTGATGACAATTTCTACGTGCGCGGTGACGGCACTCGCGTGTACTTCTTCGAGAAGGACGAGCTGGAGAAGATTTGGTCTGGCGAAACCCAGTCCGAGACAGAGGGTCCGAAAGCCGCGTTCAACGTCGATGAACTTGGCGTCGACAGGCGCATGCTCGTGAACAGAGCGCGCAAGTTGAAGATGTACCGTTGCTGGATGCAAGGTCGATTCACGAAGAAATGAACAAGTCGATACCCACAACACACAGTACAAGAGCCCAGTGAATTTGCGAAGTAGCTTTCATCGGCGGCTGGCAGGTTCCGCTAAGTTCGCCAATTCAGTACAGGAGAAGCTGCTTCAGCTCCTGGCGGTCATCCCGATCAAACCCGATCTTGTCCAGGTATCCTTGGACTCCGCCATACACCTCGTCGAGATGCCGAGCAATACTGACGATCATGTCCGGCGCCGTGTCGAACCACTCATCCGTCAGGCCAATCTCTCTCATCTCGATCAGTCTTTCCTCTCTCTCGGACTCGAGAGCTCCTTGAGTTAACGAGTAATCGTGCTCGATTGCCTCCAGCGGCACCTCCAGTATCAGAAGCACCAGAGTTACGATAAGGCCTGTCCTGTCCTTGCCCTGAGTGCAATGCACCAATGTGGGCGAGCCTGTCGGATCGAGAAAGACTCTCAGTGCCTAATGCGCACGTCAGGAGTGAGCAAAGTAACCACACCACACACGTCCGCACGTACCTTGGCGACCTCAGGTCCAGATTGGTCCAGGGTGTCAAATCCCAGTCCTACCAGGCCGCGTGGCAGCATAACCTCACGAGACAGGATGGAAATACCCTCATTGCGATACCCGAAGATAAATAAGAAGATGAGACGGCTAAGTGTTAAGAAGCACAGGTTAGCTACACCATAGACGGTGATGTGGACGGTGAAATAGAATAGAATCGGCATGAACTCACAAGAAACCGCCCCAGGAGACCTTTGACAGCAAGAACCGCTCAAAGTTGCCGCCAGTTACTTTGATCTCGTGATACCTGAGACCCGGTATCTGAACCGGCTCGGCCAGCGCAGCGTTGGACTGCAGGAGCGCCGGAATCTGGAGATCGGCCTGGCGCTTCTTCGCCTGCCTAACGTGTTCGGTCCTTGATGGCGTCAGTCGGTGATCGGGGTGCGGGATCTAGTTGAGCGACGTGTGTGGGTTGCACACCCCCGCGATGCTCACTTCGTGCGCAGGTCTATCACCGCCTTGATACCCAGGTCATCTCGCAGACGTTTCCTGTCCTCCGAGGAAGCATCGTCTGCAGAACGTCAGGATCCCGACTGGCACCCGGCTAGATTGCAAGTTGCGTGCCACGAACCTGGTCTTGCAGAGCGAAACAACAAGCCTTCTCGGACGAGTCTAACAAGCAATACGAGAGTCAGAGTGTGTCTTTGTGCGTATGTCTCTGTTGGCTGCCGGTTTCATTTGAGAGCCAAATCGAACAGGTAGCACGGAATTGGGAACGGTGTGAACGCACCTACGTCCGAGATAGTCGTTCACCGTGGAACCGACGTCACGGAAGTTCAGCACTGAGGTTATGCCGCAGTTGTCCATGGCCAGAGCTCGTTGACTGGCCAGCACAGCTCGGCGCTAGAATTGGTTGGTCAGTTGGCGATGGGAGACTAGGAAGCCGCTGGCGCGTCGTTTTGGAGGTCTCGAGTATGTTCTTCGGCGTTGGGAGATGTGAGTAGCAACCGACGTGGCTCTGACGCCACGATTTCGTTTGGATTTTTTTCTTTCCCCCTGGAGTTTCTTCCCGGAAGATCGGGATGTGATGGTGCCAGGCGAGCGCCAACCCCGGGCCTCCTACAAGCCCCCCGTCCGACCGCAATTGACGCCCTTGTCGCTGTCAGATTGGCGGGTTGGATCCTCAACCGGGGGGTTCAGCAGATCCCTGCAAGTCTCCAGAAAAGCTTAAGAACCGGGGTGGCTTTTTGATGTCACTGAGAAAAATGTCTGAGATTAATAAGGTCGCGCGGTGGTCTACTCCAGGTAAGAGCTCGGTCTGTCGGTCGCAATCTTGTCCATGACCGTCCCAGCAAGCTTTTGGTTCACCGGCCCTTTCCAGACCCTCTGGATGCAGGTCTCTTCCAGAATAGCGGACTAAATCACATCCCCAGGAAAGTCGACACGCACGCGCCATAACAACATGAGGATACAGACCGAATACTACTGCGACCGCAAGAACAACTAATACCGAAGACATCGACGACATCGACTATATTAAAGATAAGAGTAACGCTACCAACAATCATGGGATGCAGACATGCCCCAAGATGTGTGTGATCCAGTCCGTCCTTCCAGGATATCGGATAACGGGCTGCTTCGGAAACAATCAAGACGTCGTCCCAAGAGAGCAGTTATATTTGGTATCAATGAAAACCCCAGCGCACGATGTATTATCAACCATTCGAGGTGACGTTGATTGACATTGCGTTAGTCCGTCGGACGAATGAGAAGTGCTGCGAAGCCTCCAGGAACGATCAGGTGCAGCAAGCAAGCAGACAGAAAGCGCAAATTCCTTCAGCCCAACCCCTGATTCTAGGATGACGGCTTTTTTTACCCCTAGATTCTGATCCAGACTTTGTCTGACTCTCCTGATTATCACCCGCGCCTGATCAGGTACATAGTACTCATACCCCAGGACCCTTCGGCTGTCGCAGTCGGTGAAGGCGTGGATCAAGAGAAACAGAACGAAACAAAAACGGCATAGTCCACGCAAGGGCCTCGTCTTCCAAGTCCCTCCAGGCCGGTCGAGCTGAGTCTGACTCGATCTTTCCCAACACCTGTAATTGCCCAATCCACGGCCTAGAACATGGTCTGTCACTGAGTAGCATCAGGAAAACGGCACGGGGTGACCGTCAACAGAGCTGTAAGTGCCTATGTCGATCCGAAGCCACAAGCGCGCCGCGGCGACGACGATGTGGACGAGGTGGACGGTGGTGGACGGTTCAGCCGGTGTCATTCGTCGTTCGGTAACGGGGAGTCGAGATGGTTTTTGGGTGAAAGAGATGGTAGACAGGGGGTCTCAGGACGGGGGGTTCTCAAGGGGACTAGAACGGAGGGGCTAGAGGAGGCCGCTAAGGCCCGAAGCGGATGGACCACCACCCAAGTCGCAACATGACGTAACCGTGGCCGTCGTCGCTCACCATGACCAGCACTAAAGATTGCGCCGAACTGACACCAGCATACCTCATCGCGCGCGCCGGTCGGCTCCCTACCTGACTATCTGACGCTTCTCACCTTTGACCTGACTCCCGCGGGTCAATGATATAACTCCTATGCCTCCGTTGAGCGGAGGCCCTGCAGCCTGCGCCGCCTTGGTATATCGTGCCTGTTTTCCTGCATTGCACTGCCCTGCGACTCCAGCTGCAGCTCTGTTGTCGTCCCAATTACGATACACTACGATACTTTCTTGATACGTACGATCCTTTTCGCGATACGATACGGGGCAGCAATTCCAGAAATAACTTCAATACCACGCCTCCGCTTCATCCTCAGTCCACTCACCCGCCGCCGCCTACGTGTAAGCCCTCGCACGCCCCCTGTAAACCGATACCCAGCACTCTGGGCTTCCATCAATCCTCGTCACCGGCGTGTGAGGAGGAACCTCTCCGCAAGAAAAGCGGATACCATTACCACCAAGCCGGCACAGGGCTGGCGATGATGCAAGCCAGCTCCAAAACATCGACGCAGCAGCCAACCATGGCGGAAACACGGTGCCAGTTACCGACAGCAGGTACTGAAACCAACCCCCCAGAATACGAGAGTTTCCCCTGTCATTCTCCAGAAGGGCAGGCAAAAGTGACATCCAGTTTATTGACCCGTCTCAACCCAGCAGCAGGCCTTGCAGGGAGAATAAAGTACGCGGACCCGCGTGATCTCCCCAGTTATCCGTCCCCCGGTCTTAAAAGCGACGGAGCCGCCGCCGGGGCCGCAGCATGCCTAGGTTGGGCCAACAAAAAGTCCATCGAACTCTGGAAACCCGAAAAGTCAGACTCTGCTTCTGCCGCTGCGATGCTCGCGAAAGACTATAAGATGGCGCCTTCGTGGGAACCCAATTCGAGCTCTGCAGGGGCCAAGGCCGCTTTGCTTGCACACACATCAGCCAGGAGACAAGCCACGACAACATCGCCACCCGCTTTGTCGCCTCGACATTCTTGGGGAAACAGCGCCGCCAACCAGGCTTTTAAGCAAAGCCTCTCGGTTCGGAAACCCGCCCACGCTACTTCCACGGATGGACTCGGTTCCCTTTCAGCAGCTCAAAGTGCGATGCCGGCAACGAAGAAGTCGAGGCCGCGCGCGAAATCTACGCCTGCGCCCAAAGAGTCATATCCCGGCGAATCCAAAGCCGCCGCCAATGCCCTCAGCGCTGCAACTGCGGCACACGCCCCTTCCATGAAGTCCAGGTCACCGACCGAAGCTTCCGGGTCCGTACCGTACACGAACCTCCCTCGCAATATGTTCACTGCCGCTCCTGCCATTGGCCCGGAGGCCGATGAGCAGAAGAGGGCCGATGTGCTGCATGCTTCCGCCGTAGCCATGGCCAAGAAGATGTACACTCAGCAACAGAAAATGGTCGACCAGGCGCGCCAGGCTCACCAGGAGTCTGGCGAATCGGCTGCTGCCGATAACCAACCCAAGTCCTATGTGAACTTACAAGAAGCGGCTTACAAGCTCGCCCAGGAGAGATTGTCAAGACTGCATGAGGAACACCAGCGCAACCGAGACTACCAGGAATATTATGGCAACAACGGTCCAGCATCTCCTCAGCGGAAGTTTACCATGAAAGGAAAACTTAGGCGGCGGGCCTCAAGCGATGGTGATATCGACGACGACAGGGAGCAGTCAGAGCGGATCCGAAGACAAATGTCCATCTTCTCCAACAGCATCTCAAAAGTCGACGAGCAGAAGCGTGCCAAGGATCGCGAAGCTTTACTGGCCGCCGCACAACGAAACGTCAAGGCCCGTTTACAGGGTATGGATGATAAGATTTCCGCAGAGACGGGCATGGTTCCACCGAGCACCATGAGTGATTGGGAATACAAGGCCCACCTAGTCGCCCAAGCCAGACACAATATCCCGAATGAGAATGAAGGCAAAGTCGACATCGGTGGCGGGATGTACATGGATCCGGCTCTGGTTGACGAGATTGCTGCAAAGAGGGTGCAACCAGTTCTCGATGAGATCAACGAGAAAGCTGCCATCGAAAGGGAGAGACAGGAACTTGCTAAGGCGGAGGCTGAGTTGAGAAAGAGGGACGAGGAGAAGAGGAAAGAGAGGGACCGAGAGATCAAGGAGATCAACCGCAAAATTAGAGGTATGTTCACTCTCCTCCATCATTTGGCGTCACTAACGACGAAGCAGAGTCAGACAAGCAGGAAGAAAAGGAGAGGAAGCAGCGCGAAAAGCAAGAACACAAGGCTAAGAAAGAAGAAGAGAAGGCTGCCAAGGCGGAAGAGAAACGTCTCTCCCACAGCGAAAAGCGCAAATCAAAGATGCCAGAGGTTCCGTCTGAGGATGCCGACGCAAACGTAGAGGCTTCGCAGCACCAGGAGACGAACGACGACATCGACGCCCCGATTAGGTCCAGGAGGTCAAGCCAGCACAAGCCAACCATCAATACGCAGAAGGAGACGTCCAACATCAGCGACAGTGCTCGGTCGCCAAGCGAGAGCGGCTCGCCGACACACAAGATGAAAGAGTGGCTGAAGTCCCGCTTCTCCCGTCCGCGAGGTCGTTCTGCCGCCGGAGAGACCTCTCCCGAAGAGAGGGGATTCATTGGCGGCGTCGCGCTCACGCGCATTGCGAACGAGTCCTCAACGAGCTTGGACGCGCGATCTGCCAGCATGAGGGAGGTTGCTATCGCCGGCACGAGCGGAACCAGGTCCAGGGCGGAGACCTCAACCTCGCTGCCGGCGGGCCGGGGAGATTTCGGAGGCAGAGCTTTGGACAGTAAGAATGTGAGCCCCGTGACTTCGGACGATGAGTCGGAGACGTTTGTTTTGGCGAGGGATGATCTCGAGGGTCCCGTGTCGCCGCCACCAACTGGCAAGATTAGTGCCTCACTCAAGAGTACTAGTCCAACGAGGGACTCACGATTTCGGGAGATAATTTAGTAGTAGTAGCAGTCTCCCTATCCGGGATGGAGTTCTCTTAGTAGCCGGCGTAAGGTAGACTGATTTGGAGGCAAGGTAACAGCGAGCTTATGCGGGCGTCAGAGCATCTTGGACCTTTATGATATACTCAATAGCACTATTCAGAAGTGTCGGTCAGTGTCACTACAATGGTATCTTCATCAAACTTGGTTGGCATATTGAATTGGCGTGTGATTCCTTATGACAATGAACAGTCTCTTGGACAAAACAAAACACCTGACCATGCGATGCTTGGGACGCCCAGACCGTGGCCCATGATGCCAATTGTCCGTGTCAGAAATGCGAAGAATTTTAACAACACACCGGCTCGTATATCTATCAACTCATCGCTCGGGAGCTCGTTCACGAGACCATGCGCACCGCAAGTTGAGATGGCAACCAGTTCAGGGCCCAACGCACAGATGTCGGAAATATTAACCCATCTACATTTCTTTCAAAAAAAAAAACATGTTACACAGATGTTATGTCGCTTGATAGTATCTAGTTGATGCATTAATTCATCTGCGTATCGTCTTTCGTAACTACATAGGGATATCAAAAACACCAAACGCCCGCTTGTAGCCGCTTATAGCGTAACAACCAAAAATGCTGATGCAACCTGTCTATGCAGAATGCGCGTCTTATGTCCTTCCCTCGCTTTTCTTCTCACATCACCCAATTAGCCCCCCTGGTGTCCCCTAGAAGTTAGGAGGACTACTACTAGACCACTCTCTCATTCCGGGTTTCGAGAAGCGAGCGGTCTTGTCGCGGGTGCGGACGGCCGGGTAGAGGTCGACCATGAAGGACCAGACGTAGAACGAGAAGACGAAAGCGACGACCCATTCGAGAATGGCGGCTGCGTTGTACATCTTTCTGAAGTTACAGGTGACGAAGGCGATGGCAAGCACGAGCTCGACTAGGATGAAGACAAGCTTGATCCAGAAGGATGCCGCCAGGGAGCGGTGCTCGGGGTATTCTGTTGATGGTTAGCATCTCGACTGGGCAACACAGGGGAGCGGGCTGGATGGCGTACTAATTCCCAATCTTTGGTACTCCCAGCAAATGAAACAGGCCGACAACAAATAACCGGCCATGAAGAGCAGCAGGAAAAGCAGGTGCAGGTTCTTATGGCGGTACGTGTCGAAGATGCTCAGGCAAATCAGGCCCACAGTGCCGATGATGGCGAAGAAGATGCTCAAGCCGTAGAGGATCTTCTCTCCGGTAGACGTGTTGGGCGCGAGGCGGCCCTTGTGACGAAGCCAGCGATCGGAAAAGAAGGAGAGGTCGAGGAAGATTGTGGTAATGACGCATCCAGTGACGAAGAGCGGCTTGAGGCGATAGGCGCCGACGTCGCTGATGTATGCGATGGTTTGAGGAGGCGACATTGATGGGTAAACTTCTCTGTTGGTGTCGATGATCCAGTAGAGCAGCATGCCCAGGAGCATGCTGAGCCACATCAGACCCGATATGATGGGGAAGACCTAAGGATTGTTAGATGTGAACGCAGACTGGGGTGTGTTGATATGAATTACCCAGTACGAGAGTATCTTCATCTTGGCGGTTGTGCTCTGGAGATGGTCAGCCTCTGCTTTTTCGATTGTATTTTCGTTGTGAATACATCAGGGAGAACAATAAGAGGCAGCTATGTTTGTAAATCCCACATAGCTGGAGTGGTAGCTATGATGACGCAGAATGACGAGTAAATTGTAAGGCATGTGCTAGTGTGCAAGACTTACCAAATCTGATTTCTAGTAAAAAGGGGTTGAGGAAACAAACAACAGCTTCAGACGAATTTGAGACGACAGTCTTGCGAATCGTCTGTGAACACGAAAGAAGAGGGAGACGGTCGGCGACCTGGAGGTTATTGAATGTAGAATGAACGAAGCCCGCGTACGTCAAAGATCGGGCGGTGCCTGAACATCAATCGAATGAATAACGAGAAACAAAATGTCGTGTGTCGTGGCTGGGCGTCGACGCCGGGTCTGCGGACTTAAGACTCGGGCGGCGCTCCCGTCCCCGTTCGATTGCGAATGGCTGATGGCTTGGTGCTGGCTCCGGGTGGGCCGGCACGTTGTCGACTCTTCGGGCGCTCTTTACACCAAAAAAATAAAGGGAGATCAGAAAAAGGCAGTCTGAAGTCATGAGTGATCGGCACTTGAGGGACGCAAGCTTCCCCCGTCGCGCGCGTTGTGGGGTGACCATGTCATTGGCCTTGGGGCACCGCCGGGGGATGACGTAGGGAAGTCCACCAAAGAATGCCCAAAACTGGGCGCCAAGGACCGCAAATTTCGGGGCTATTGCAGCTGTGCGTCTTGTCCGTTCTTTCGAATCTTGCCAAACCCACGGAGTAATTACTGGTCTGACCAAAAACTGTGTGTTTGGGCGGCGCCGTCGACTTGATGGAACGATCGACGGTGAGATGTGAATGATGTCTCGTGCCTCCACCACCTTGTTCCAGCAAGTACTCCTCGAGGCTGAGTATGTTGTGCATTTGCAACCGACAGGGCGGATAGCGGGAGGGAACAGCCTTGGAGTTTACGCGTTGCTTACACGAAATACAGCGTAAGATCGAAAGTGCTCTTCGGAAAACGGGGAGTGACCATGTCCGCGTTCTGTCCGGGGTGGCGGACTGTTCATGTGTCTTCCACGGTGCACCGCCGCAATTCTAGCTCCTTCATGACCTTGAGTTCAGACAGAGATTGGAAGGTCTTCCTTTCATTTCGGGGTTGGCTCAGTCGCATCGTCGAAACTGTCCGCACTCCGCCAGCGACAAGAGCCTTGTATGGTAATCTTTGCGCCGCGCAATTTGAGGCTGGTGCCAACGGCCAAGAGCACTCGCCACTTTTCGAAGCATATCGCGAGCTTTCGATGATCCATTTTGCTACTCGAATGTTGCGGACTAGTCCTTCAAGGGCTGCCAGGTCTTTAGTAGGATCATTGTGTCGTTGTGTCCATATCCCGTTTTCGAGCTGAGAGAAGAGGGGAAAGCTGTTTGCCGGTCCAGCTAAGGCAGTCTTGAGCTCGAGCTATCTGTCGTCTGGACTTGTTAGAGGAATAGATAGGGCTCAAAAAGCTTAATGAGTCCCGGAATGATCCTGGGTTGAGAGATCCCATAACTCAGCCAATCAAACGAGATGTGGTTTCCAGCCACAACAAACGTGGCTGAGCTTTCCAGTGGCGCTTCTGACCAATCAGAGACCACCATTTCTCACAAGGCTGTAGAGATCTCGCCGCCTCGTCCTTTCAACATCTCCATCGCATTGACATCTTCACATCACGACTGCGAAGATGTCGGCCTCACCACTAGTTGTGCGTGCGACCGATGCTCTGAAGCCGGCAGGTTCAATCGGTTCGCCATTCAGAACCGTCTCGTCCGCGCAAGCTTCCAACAATGGCACCCCTCAACCGCCAAAGGACAAGAACGCACCTGCGTCTTTGCCTCCGACTCTCGACCTCGCCGAGCAGATGAACGAGGAGGAGAAGCGCAAATATGTCAAGGGTACGCTACATATCCATGCAGCTTACTCTAGCCCCATAACAAGCGATGGCATATGCTGACGACACGCAGGCAAGAAGCTAGGTGAAGGTACCTACGCCATCGTCTTCCTCGGTTACCTTCGCTCCAACAAGTCCTCTCTCGTCGCCATCAAGAAGATCAAAGTCCAGAAAGAATACCAAGAAGGCATGGCCCCCGACGCCGTCCGCGAACTCAAACACCTCCAAGAACTCCAACATCCGAACATCATCTCTTTGCTCTCCGTCTTTTCCTCAAAGGATCAGAATCTCAACCTCGTCCTCGAATATCTACCTCTCGGTGACCTCGAGATGCTCATCAAGGACACCCAGAACGTCCGGTACGGTGCCGCAGATATCAAGGCGTGGATGGGCATGCTCACCCGCGCCGTCTGGTTCTGCCACGAGAACTTTGTGCTGCATCGCGATATCAAGCCCAACAACTTGTTGATTGCCGCCGACGGCGAGGTCAAGCTTGCCGATTTCGGTCTCGCGAGGGGCTTTGCGGATCCGCACCAGGTGATGACCAACCAGGTCATCACTCGTTGGTACCGTCCTCCCGAGTTGCTCTTCGGCGCGAAGCACTACAGCGGCGCCGTTGATGTCTGGAGCGTGGGATGCGTGTTCGCGGAGCTCATTATCCGCGCACCGTACATGCCCTCCGAGACAGAGGTCCAGCAGATCTCTCTCATTTGCCGTGCCGTCGGTACCCCGACAGAAGATAACTGGCCCGGCGTCACCAAGTTGCCGGCCTACACGGTCCCAGACGACGGCGAGCCCGTCAAGGGCAGGGACTTCTACCAGACCATGTTTGGCACAGTTGGGTCTGAGGGCGTGGATTTGCTGATGAAGACACTCATCCTCGACCCCAAGAAGCGCATCACGGCTAAGGACATGCTACGACACAACTGGTGGCGCACAGAGCCCAAGCCCTCCCGCAAGGAGGATTTGCCTAAGAAGGGAGGCGGCGAGGAAAAGATGGGCGCAGATCTTAAGAAGCGACCCGGTTTGGTTGACGAGGACCGAGGCGCCAAGGTCGCGCGGAAGCTTGATTTCGGACAGAGGTAGAAAACTTACCTCAGGGCCTTCGGTGCATAATTCATGGATATGGTGGAACGAAAAATATTGCAGCATTAGAGGCGTCATGGCAACAGTCAAATGGATTCAAGGAGGGGTATTATTATCAATAGGACAGGCTAACTGATTTCTCTCCCGACTTGGAGATTTTTTTTTCTTGCACAATCCAAGAATGAGACAGTATATGTGCTCTTTTCCTTTCCTCTACATGAGTGAACATTCCATTCCATACATGGCTCTTTCGACGTCTTTTCTGACGGTATACCAATCCGCCCGGCGTTGAGCGAACTCATACGCCTCTTCCGCTCGGAACACACCTTCGAAACGGTCTCCATCTGCTATGATAGTGGCCATCTCTTTGGCATGCCGGGCGTCGATGAGATAGATTTGGCTCAGTTCACGCAGCGCCTTGAAGTAGGCCAGAAGATCCTGGTTTTTCAGAGTGCGGATGTACTCGAAGTATAGGTTCATATCCGCTATCAGCTTGATTGCGCCTTCCGTGCTGACGCGCTGCCGCTTGAGATGCTTGCACACGGCTGTGAACAGCCGAAGCCCTACCTCGCCGTTGAAGACATCCAACATCGATTTCTCGGTTGTGCCGACCAGCATACGCGTGTGCGAGGAGACGAGGTCCTTGATGCGCTGCGCCGTTTGCGTCGGGCCTGGATCGGCGAGAATGCCGCCAGTATCGGTGGGGTTGTAGTCGGTCGGCTGTTGCGTCGTGCCGTGGAGATACTCGACCTCGTCCATCAGCACATCGATGCCCTTGTTCAAGCCGGCCGCGACGCTCTCGTCGAGCATCTGCTCCCACTTCTTCTTGGCGATGCCGGCGGGGTCGAGGAAGTCGTTCCGGTCCGCAATTTTGGGACCGGCGAGCTGCTGCTCGTAGAAGACGTCGATCATCTGCGAGATGAGGTCTCCGACGTTGACCAGCTCAATAAAGGTGACCAACGGTGCGACGCCGGATTGATTGTGGTCACTGACCTCTCGCGGGTTGTAGTGGGAGAGGTGCTCGACGGCCTTGTCGAAGCCGACCTTGACGTGTTTGTTACCGAGGATGCGCAGTAGCACGACGAAGATGGTTTCGCATTGCTCGCGAGCTTCTTCGCCATACTGACCGCCTAATTTGATGAACATCGACGCGCGACCCATGCTTGTTTTTGCGACGTGTGTCAAATTGAGCGCCACTTCGATGCTGAAAAGTGTCTTGATACCTTCCATTCTAGACGCCATGAGTGCCGCCTTGGCAGCTAGTTCGTCGGTTGGAGCTTTCTCAGGCAATGGGCTCAGACGTCCGTTGCCATCCGTGTTAGGAGCCAGACTGGGAGTGTGTGGTCTTGAAGGCTGAGGGGAGAGGGCAGACGTGCCATTTGGTGTTGCGGGCTTTGCCGTCGTCGCACTCCCAAAAGTAGGCAGTACAGTAACAGGCATCATGACCACCTTCTTGAAAGAACTCAAAAAGTCCTTCTTGTCCGCTTGTCGATTGAAGTTGCTCATGTAGAACGATTCAACAGACGCGTCCTGCTCAGAGAGTTTCTTCTCCCACTCCGCGACTTCGGCCTCAGCATGGGTTGTGAAGAAGTCGAGTTCCTCTTGCAAGTACAGGTCGAGATGTGGTTCGAAAACTCTCAACATCATCTCTTTTGCTTTGTCTTCGAGGTTGCCCTTGAAACTCTTTGGCGGTACCAGAGACTGGAAGAAAAGCATGCCCTGCTCAAACACACCCGCCACCGCCCTCAAATACCATGACAGATTCCTGTCGTGCGTTGCGTCAAACAGGGGTGTAACGTACTCCATGATGATGTCCTCCCTGACTTTGTCCATGAACTCCCAAAAGACAACATCGGGATTGGCGAATATGCGGCCGATGACCTCCGCGTGCTCATTGACTTTTCGTAAAAGCATCTCGAAAAACAGTCGTGAAGGCTCCAAGTTGATCTCGTCACCGCTGGCTTGATTGATGCAATCCACCGAATTTGCCGTCAAGATGTCGCGATCGCTGAAGATTGGGTGCTTCTGAATAAAAAGGTCTGTTCCAGCGTTGCCGCCGTTCAGAGAGTGCAGTACGTGCGCGTATCGCTTCATCCGGCCGTCGACGTCCCAAAACTCGTAACCCTGCTCAAACTCCCGAAGCACCGCGCTCTCAAAAATGCTCATCATGGTCGTAAGTCGTTCCTCTCGCTGGTTCCACCCTTGCGCCCAGTCGCTTTTCGCAAATAGCTGCAGGTTCGAAAGCATCTTGGCCTGTCGCTCTGGGTCCCTGAACACCTGGAAGACGATAGGATCCGTGTGACTCTTCGCCCTCGCCAAGTCGAAATAGAAGGGCGCCAGTGCGCCATAGATCTTGCCGTACTCTTCCCTTGCGTGGCCCCTTATGCTCCTCGAATTCTTGATTACATCGAGTAGTGCCTCCGGGTCTTTAAAAGGGTCCTTGGCTACCGGAGCGCCGACAGTCATCCTCTCAAACCCATCAACTGGAGGCGCCACGGATTGGCGTTTTCGGCGCTCTTCTTCGACCGTAGCATCAAATAGGGTCGTACTCGTGGGTTTCGATGCCGTGTGACTTCCGGGGCCGCCCGGCTGGCCCACGGCAGCGCTATTCGCAGCTCGTTCGGCAGCTTCCCGCCTCCTCCGCATGGCCTCCTCAAACCGCTGTCTAGCCTCGGCCTCGTTCCAGCATCCCATACTCTTCAATCTGGCCACCCATCTTGTATCATCGTAGACCATTTCCTGCATGCGGCGAGACGCTCGTGCAACCTGCATTAGGTCCGCGACGGGGAGGTAATCCAGGATAGCGACGAGGATTTCTATGGTGTTGGTCAGCCTTCTATTTTTGAGTCAATATTCCACAGCCAAAACGAACCTGCTGGGAGACTCGGCCTCGAATCCAGCATTTCGGTCGCCTTCAAGGCGCCGAGGATGCCGCCCCCCTGAGGGACAGTTCCTCGCCTATACATGTTGGTGGTCGGAATATGGGTGGTGCATCTGGGATACGATTGTGTTTTCGCGCTGGCCTAAAGGCTGTAATGTCTCTCAATTCATGGTAGAATCCCTCGTAAGATCCGAACGTATGTATTCGGGCGGGGTTGCTGAGGATGTCCTCCAGGTGGGATGTGTTGTGTTGTACGAGCTGCCTTAATTATTGACGGCTGCCTGTCAGCCTGGGAGTGGTAGATATGACTTAATTCTCCCCAAGGAAGACCCCGCAACGGCTGTTGCCAGCTGCGTGGATCCCTGAACCCCTGAACCTCCACGGCTTTGTTCCCGCCCCTGCGACTGATCCATTTGCAGTCTTCAGCAACCTAGTCTCACAAAGGACGGAGATCTGGATGCAGGGTCGTTGTAATGCCTACTAGTCCGATGTCAGACATTCTTTATTCGACTGAAGCCTACAAAATTATTTCATCTTCTACCACCTCAGTTCAACGAAACTGGCATTGAGCTACAGGTCTCTAAAATGTATGGATCTATTACGAGACATGGAAGAACCGATGTTCAACGATCACTGGGCCTCCTAGAAATCGGCAATATTGACTAATGGCCTTGCTTTCTTGATGGTATTATACCGTTGATTCTATAAACTGCATCGGCCTAGTTGTGCCACTTGCTCGAATATTCCAGGACTCTATAATCAAGCTGATGCCAATGTTGAAGACCACCTCGAATAACTGAACGAAAAGACGCCTCTGAAATGCCTCGCGACCCCTCCTCTAGTGCTATTAACCCGTTGAGTCCTCCCAAAATCTACTCGCCCCTTCTTAGCTATCGTACTCAGCAATGCCGTCTGCAACGCTGGTCGTAACACGACTTGTGACACGACCGAAGAGACATTCCCAAAGATCAGCTGCTTCTACCGTCTCTCCGGCATTCTTATCTTTGCTCATGAGGTGGGTAAGAGAGGCTTTCTCTAGTTCCAGCGTGTTTGCGGCCTCCAACATCGGCTCGGCCACCTCCGGACTAGACTCTTTCGACTTGCCTTTAGAGTTATTCCCCATGTGCTCCATACGCCGCTTGACTGACAAGTTGTATATCGACTCTTCTACCGATCCTTCGATCAAGTACAGCCATACGGTAGTCTCGTTCTTCTGACCAATCCGGTCCACTCGAGCAATCGCCTGCAGTTCTAGGGCCGTGTTCAGAAGTGGCTCGCAGAGAAAGACGTGGCTGGCGTTGACGAGGTTGAGGCCGCTTGACTGCGCGCGGCCATGAAGCATGAATACTTCAGTGCCTGCGTTTTCTTTGAATCTCTGGATCCCGGTCGGCGAATCGATTGAAGAGTATCCAATCTTATAGCGATTGAAAGCAGAGCTGAGGATGCCCAGGAAGCTGCGGTACCTGCAAAAGAACTGGGTCAGCGCGGTCTAGTGGCAACACACAAGGCAAAAGTCAACTTACTGGGTAAAGATAATAGATTTGGCCCCCGGGTCAGACTCCCGCAACCAGAGGATGTGACGGCAGATGCTGTCAACCTTTGTGCCATACGACATGCCTGACAATTCAATGTCATTGATTTGTGCTACCTTCTCTGAACTGAATTGCGAGTAGATGCCGTTGGTCCTAATGGCCTGGGTTTTGTTGTCTCCAGTGGATGTCGCAGTGGCTGTATCCTCATTTATCCGGACTTCCCTCGGCTTAAGCGTGATGTCATGAAGTTCAGTGAGTCTCAGCTTCCTCTTGCACATAGGGCAATTGCGATGTGCTCTGTACCACTGTTTCATGCAATCCTTGCAGAATTGGTGTCCACAAACTGTCAAGACGCCGGTCGTGAAGGCAGACTGGCAGATGATGCACATGCGAGGTTCATTGGATTGGGTTCCGGCTTCTTTCAGGTTGAGTACTAGGAGCAACGGTTAGCATGTAGACTTTCAGGGCAAGGTCTAGACTACTGACAGTATCGATGCTTTGCTTTCGCTGCATCAAGCTTCCTGCGCGTTTGATCTTCTGTCGCTACGCAAGCATCAATGGCCTGCTGGTCGTTCTGGCCCTCGTATGGAGCAACGCTGTCGGATACCGCTTGCAACTGTCTGTAGTACTCGACTCTGGCGTTCATCGCGCTCGTGAAACGGTCGATCTCGCGTTCTAGCGCCGTGGACGCCTTCGTTTGAGCGCTGATATGCGCCTGTGTTTCTCGTATCTGCCTCACAACAATATCACGCTCAACGCCCGCCCGTCCGCCAGAGCCCTCTAGACGCGATGCAATGCCTCGAAGGTCTGCGATTACTCGCCGCAGAGATCCATGCTTGTCTGGTACCGGCTTAACCTTGCTGCGAAGTTTGTAAAGAGCTATCAGCTTTTCCGGAGCCGGTCCGTCTCCTTCTTCTGCGGCAGCCAGAGAAACCCTCGTCTCGTGCTTCACCAGTGCATTTTCAAGTCCTGAAATCGCGTCCTGGCGGTCGGCGATGACGGCACGTAGGACCTGAACGTAGACAATGATCTCTTCTTGAATCTTTGTTGAGTCAGTGAACTCCTCGCCGGTGGTCTCGATTTCTTGTTCTTCATCAATGAGAGCTTCAGACAACAGCTTGATGAGCGCCTCCCGCCACTCGTCGATGACGTTCGCTTGTTCGTTGAGGATGCCGTACAACTCTTCAAGCATTTCAATGGTCGACGCGCTTTCCAGCCCCTTCATTGAGCTAGCTACGAGTTCGGAAATCTCCACAAACGATTGTGACAGAGCCTGTCGCTCGAGTTTCTTGATCAAAGACATTGCTTTTCCGTGACTCTGCAAGTCGGTTAACTGACGGCTCAGAGAATCGATTCCGTAGCGAACCTACCTCGGACAAAATTTCCCGTCGAATTTCTTGGGCTTTCACATACTCGGCATCTTCAAGTTCTTGCAATCTCTTGAACTCCTCCGACTCGGGCTGAGTAAGGTTACTATCTGTCTTGATTTGGAAGAATGCGTTCGCGCAGAAAAACGTGGCCCTGTGCAAGACGTCGAGGGCATGACGAAGTTTGGCTCGGGCTTCGCCGACACGGCCAGTGTTGGATAGTCTGGAAGATGAGCTGATTAGTATTATCTCAAAATTTTGATGCTCGGTTGACTTACTCGTCTGTTTCGTCCTCATCACCATCGCCAGAAGTAAGTTCGATAGCTGTCTCCTGGTCTGAACCAGATGTCCGCAACTCTTTGAGGGCTTCTTCGATCTCTTGTCGACAATCTGCGACTATGGTCGAAGCATCCCTTTTGACCTTTTCCCAAATAGCCAGGGCCTCCCTTACTCTCGGGCCATTCTCCAGCATCTGGCCACGAAGAAGTCGTGCTTGCAAATACGCCCTTTGCTCGGTTCGGACATCATCGTCACCTTGCTCGAGCATTGCATCTAGCACTTCGTCAACTGTCCGCATGGGCCCGACCTTCCGGCCATTGCCCCGCCGTTGAACGATTTCAGGATGAAGAGCTGCCTGTCTTAGCCGGTTCAGCCATGTCCGCATCTCAGTTTCGTATTGCGCAAGCTTCCACTCGTCGTTCAAAGGAACACCCGCAAGGTCCAACCCGCAGTTCTTGGCCATGTTTTTGAATTGCTCCCCATAATACTGTTCCTCCACGGCAGTGAACGGCAACGTGATAACGAATCGTTTCTGCGGAGGCACGGCTATCTCGTGTCTAACAAGCTGTTTTGTGTGTCGTAAAGCGATGCTACCGAAGAGTGAACGGAAAAGAGGCTTATGAGACCTTGTTAAAGCCCTCCAAATCTGAGTAGAGGAAGCGTACGGCTCGTAGCGCAAGAAGTCCAGAAGTCCAAACAAGTCTTGCACGTCATTCTTGACTGGCGTTCCAGTGACGCCCCATGCGTTGACACGAGGTAAGATCTTTGCGACGGCGGCAGCTCCGGTAACCCCGCTCTCAATCATCTGGGCTTCGTCAAGACAAACACGCCACCAATGTATCTTCGTCAGTGGTGATTCAGGTCGATCGTATTTGCGTTCCTGCCGGCGGGACCTCTCAGGTGGTTTGAGAGCGTAGTGAAGTTCAGATGACAGGACCGGGTATGTGGTGATGACGATATCTTGACATGCCAGATCTGCACGAAGCAATTCTTCGGTATCGAACTTCGCGTTCTTGCGACCGGGGTAGAATTTCACTTTCAAGTGCGGCGCATGACGTTGAATCTCCGATATCCATTGTTGTCTTAGGGAGTCTGGCGTGACGATCAAAGTGGCACCAGTCATGACCAGCTCGTCCCCCTCTGCCGTGACCATGGTGTCGTTCTCGCTGAGATGTCGACGGTGGAGCGCAACCAAGCCGATGACTTCGAGGGTCTTGCCGAGACCCATTTCCTCAGCAAGGATACCGCCTTTGACCGCTCTTTCAGCCAGCTGGAAAGGCGTCAGGTCGGTGGTCACTATATGGTACAGGGAGCTGACGTAGAACGTTCTGCCAGTCCCAAGATCATCTCGAATTTTTCGAAAGCTGTGGGCTGTGTCGGGATCCTGTTCAAAGGAGACGAGAGCGTCACCAGGATCCTTCCAACGGACACCTTCCCGATTCAGAAGCCAGTTGAGTGTTTTCTTTTGGTAGGGATAGAGCGATGCCGTCAACTCTGGAACTTCAATTCCAAGCCCGGTATCATCTTCCCGCGGAGGAACATGCGCTGCTTCGTAGAAGTCGAGGGGCGACCAGTTATCTCTTCCCCTTGTTACTGGGAACGAGTCATCAGGCAGAAAAAGGTCAAGCACATTTTGACTTTGTCGACGCTCGGCTGTTGTTCTCAGAAAGCTGTAAGGCGTCTTCGTCTCATTCCAGTAGAGACTGAAGCACAGTTCCAAATGCAGATGATCACCTCGGGTGAGCAGGGCCATGTCAAGGGACACCCACATCTCGCCCTCCTTGTCCGTCTTCGCCCATCTTCCGCTCCCAAAAAGATGAAGACACGCTTCAAACCGGTCGGATATCTCATTCGGATGGAGTGGGATAATTGCGTGTATAGAAGACTTCGACTTGGCGCGGGCTTCAATTCCGAGCTCCTTGTTGTAGCGGACTCCAACGTGTAGGAGAGATCCGACGTCGCAATAAGTTGCCAGTTGTGTCGTTGAGCTTAGCAAATCCCCTGGGCATTTTCGTCCAATATCGACGGTTTCACGGGCTACAAGAAGCGCATTCAAGTCTCCGCCAGATCGCTTGACTCTCTTTGCAGGCGGTTCAGACGTCTCGCCATCATGTACTTCATGATCAGCGAGCAAGGTACGTAGTTGACTGATGAGTTCAGTTGGCCATTGTTCTTATTAAAGTCATATCAGTTATGGATGTTCATCATAGTGATTGATGGGTGAACTAACCATGAAATCCAACAGTGGATGTAACCGGGAGCGGCTTGCCGCGACGGGCTGTCTGCTTCGTGCGACCCATGATCAGGCGTACTTTGATTAGTAGCTTTCGTTTTGCCTCAACAACGGGCAGACATATTGAATCTGCTGTGTTTTCGCACAGCTGGAAAGAAGTAAATTTACTTCAGGTGTTTGAAGGGAAGTCTGAGGGTGAAGCCTGAAGTGAAGGAGGAAGGAAGCTGCCAGGGTATCTAGCTTAATCGATAAGCAACAACGCCCCGTCGCGTCTCCTGCCTGCAGTGCGCCGTCGCCTAATTCTTAGCGCGACGGATGGCGGGGAAGTGCTTAGGCAGTTTAGGTTGCGGAGGGTGCCCTTGGCAGAACAAGCTGGCGTACCAAGAGCACTAGACTTAATAAAAGAAGGCGGTGAGGCAATACTGCCAAGACCTGCTCAATGATCGGCTTATGTAAGGCAAAGTCATCCCGATCCTTAGTGTACTCGGACAAAAATTGGGAAGCGACCAGTCGAGCAACATCGCGAGACCCAATATTCGACGACAGCCGCGCGCAAGCTTAGAACTGGCCGCTCATTTGGCTTGAGAAGCTCAAACCTCCATGCAGTAAGATTATAGACTTGCAGACTGTTCTGAACGCTGCAATTGACACTGACACGTGCTCCAGGCCAAGATGAAAGCATCCAGGATTCAACCGTTCCTGAGTCCCCTTCTGCGCAAGGCCCCCGTCGTACCGACATGCCAGGCCAGATGGCTTCATAAGACCAGGGAGACTCCTCCTGTTCCGTCACCGATACCTCTCATCCCCGACGTCCCAACTCTACTCAAGGTCCTCGGCCGCGGCCTAGGCCAGCACGTCGACAAGTTCCCGTCATGGGAAGCTCTCTTTACCCTCACATCGCCACAGCTCCGGGAGCTGGGTCTCGAGCCCCCGAGAACACGACGATACCTCCTCACATGGCTGGACAGATACAGGAAGGGTGAATTTGGCGCCGGCGGTGACTTCAAGCACGTGGAGAATGGAGAGGCTTTCTTGAAGATCGTCCGCGATCCTGTGACGGACAGGAAGAAGGTTGTTAACGTGCCGGCGGGCGCCGAGTTGAAGTTCAAATCACTCGATAACCTCGAAACTCCCAAGGGTTATACGGTGCGCGGCGCCAATACCATCGCCGGCCCTCACGCTTTACCCCTCAAGGCCGGCGAGGGAGCCCGCGTGGTTGTTACGGAGGGAATGTGGGAGCACAAGCAAGGACACAAGGTTGATGGCGGTGAGCGTAGAAGAGGTGAAGTCCGCTTCAGAAAGGCCATTGCGGCTCGCAAGGCGGAGAGGGAAGCTCAGGGTCTACGATAAACTTGTTGGGGGAATTCGCGCGCGCCGTCCGTTTTCCAGTCTCCTGCGACTTGACACCAACAACTGTACTATACTCATAGATCTTGTACGATACGAGGTTGAAAAATCGGACAGCGATCATCGATTACCCCGGGCCATTGCGACTGAGTGTCTCGAGGCTTTCCGATACTCATCTACTATTCTTAGCGCGGTACACTGCAGCATCTTCCCCTTCGAATGACGATCGGTAGCTCCTACTGTGATTTGTGCCCAGTCGCATCTCTATTTTAGGACTTTCAAGACCTTCGAAACCACACCGCTCGTATAAAAGCTACTAACAATTCAGTGAGTGGTGACATACCACATTCGGCAAACCGGGGCGTGGTTCCATAAAGTGCACAGCAGTGAGTTACTCAACCACCCCCTTTGATGAGGATTGCAACCACGATAGCTCAAGAGACGTATAGACTTATCTCGTACAAGGTCCAGCCAGATCCTAAGTATCCGGTTTGCAGCTACGGAGTGCCCGAATTGGAGCAGACCCCACGGCCTGCGACATCCATTGTGAGCCCCCTCGTACAAGTTCACATGTCTACGAGCCTGTGGGTGTGCATCAGCGGTAGATCAGCGACGTGTACATTCAGGCAGACGGATCTAGGCATGAGAATCGACGCCGTTGCAGCCTGTTCAGCAGTAGGTTCCCGTGGGCGTATGATGGGGGAAGTCGGGCTAACTTTGGCATTGCTTACTCTCTGGCCGTTTACAACAGGATGCTCGTCATTCCCAAGTTGGAGGACAGTAACGCCTTGAATTTGACAGACTCGTTCCGAGTAACTGACAAATAGCGACTTGGTATTTCCAAAACGGCAACCATTGCGAAGAAAAAGTACGCTCATCTTGAGTGGGATTTGCGAAAGCATGGTGCAGAGATGATCCCACATCAATAGCACGCACTTTTGCTGCAACATGCGTAGGAAAAGCAACAAATGTTCATATTTCTACTCCTGGGTGGCTTCCTACATGGAGATGGAGATGCTTGAAGGCCTGAAACGGCAAAGATCGAAAAGCTTAAAAGAACGACCACCAAGCCGTCGCGACGACTTTCCAGCATTATCTTCAAAGGGCCGAAAGCACGGCGACCACGCAAGGGTCGACGAATTCGACCACAAGAATGCCCTGAGCTCTTCGCGGATCGACCATGTGGGTGTAAAACTGCGAAGCACATGGACGCAGCCTGGGACGGAAGGTTGTCCCCAGTCACTTCCTTGTAGGGCTGAGCGGTTTGATCACTCGCAGCATCGTCGCGGTGCGATGCTGCCGCACCTGCGCGTTGCATGAAGGGCCTGGTTGATTTCGCTAGAATGTCGCCATTCCGGGAGCCTACCATGAGCCCTTTGCCGAAGCGCCTTATCACTTAGTCTCTCAAGTCATTCCGGGCGCCATTTTGAGTCGTTAGGCAAGGCAACCTTTTCTTTGATGATGCTCTAAGTCCCTTGCCAAACCGTGGACACACTCAGATTCAAGAAGTATCCAGACATGCCTTCTTGGAACCGCATTCACTTGGATGCGGTAAGAAACGCCACCAAATGCAGTGGAAAACCAAACACAGATAGCTGTTGGAGGATCTGCAATACGTCTTTCTGATGCTTGCTTGCAATGCTATCCGATGTTCACTAGAGGTCGCGTGAGTCATCGGCGAATTGGTAATGCAGCATACATGGCATGGCATTGGCGTTGCCTACTTGGCCTTCCACAGGTGAGTTGGCTGAGGCCATTTGGTCTACAGCAACGGCGCCACATATTTGGGCTGGGGATGCTTGTACTGATACAGTCACAGGGCGCCAAGATACAAGTCGAACTGTGACGGTAATCGTTCTCTGCAGAGACTCGACGATGTATTTGTCTCTCGATAGCGAAGCTGAGCATTCTCAACTACCTTACGTTGTTACACAGGCATGCTGAGTGGCTTTGCTAGTACGGCGTGTGTGAGGAAGAACGCTCTTTGGCTACCTTGCCCTCGGAAACCTCAGAGGGATACGGCGCAGAATTCCGGGGTGGTGGTGTGCAACCATGACCCCAACTCTGGGAGACGGCATATCTTGAACATGGTCCCGACGGCGAGCTGATGGCCCGGCAGCCGTGCGGCGGTGCAGCTGAAGGGGCACATATCGACGACACCCTCTTCTTGCCCTGGACTCAACTTGCCCAAGCACGTCTGCGTACGTACTTGACAGGCTGCGTCACTGACGAGCACCGTCATGGTAGCCTGGTCAACCAGGTTGCCTTGTTATTTGGCGAACCACGAGTGAAGTGAGCCTTTCGAGTTAGTATCCTTGCCATCCTGTATGACCAGGATCCAATGGATGGACGGTACTTACATTACTCATCTATAGCACGGAAGTATGAAGCTCCTCTGCCCGTCACCGTTGTGACGGGACTTTCGAAGCTTTAGCAAAGCTTACCTTGGCTCTTGGCAATGGATGGCCAAGCTCTTGGTTAATTGGCGAATTAACCGCACTAGCTCTTCGAAACTTCCAACCCCCTATGGACTTCACAAATTGATCTTGATATTCTGAAATAAAGCCAGCGAATGTTCTGAAGTAACGCAACAGAATTTCAAACAAGAACAATGATCCAATCTATGATGGTATCAATTGCGGACTTTTGAAAGACCTCGGACAATTGTTTAGAAGCGGCCTTGCGAAACGCCGCGGACAATGTCGACTCGCACTTTCACTCCCGCGCCCTATCCACCCTTATGGGTCAAAACCGACGAAGCCGGCAGCAATCATCCCATTTAGGCCTGTAAACATGGGGCGAATGTTCCTGCAACTGAATGCCGGGTTTTCGACATGGCCTTTCGGATTACCGCCGCATCATCTGCACTCGACTCATATATGAAGATAGTTGCTAGGCACTCCGAGTTCCGACGATGGGTACTTGTGCGGAATGGACTTTCCCTACTGGTAATACCGAAATGTCGTTGCATGTTGATGACAGTCGGTCAGTTTCTTCGGCCTGTGAGTTCATCGGCTGTTCGTCAGAAGCATGAGTATGCTTGGAGCAAACCTTTTCATAAATTTCTTTCCCCATGAATATTATCCCACCAAGCGGTGAGAAGGTCAGCTTCTGTCAGCCGGCCATTCTCATGGGTCATCTCATCATTCCCAGGTTGCTGTTCTTGGGGGAGACCTTCTTTTACGGTACAATGAATACAAGCGGCTCAACCCATGCAGTGCCTACGCAACACCAATCAGGGTTGGGATAATTTGTATGCATCGTAGGCCTTGTCGTCTTGCCCCGGCTCCCGGCCAGCTCCAGATTTCACAACGGGGAACTTAGAGTAACCCGGAAACCCACTCCTACCGAAGCGCTCCATGATGTCGTATGAGAGACGCGGGGGGACCTTCTGAGAAACTGCTGAATCGAAAGAAGATCCTCCCATAGTAGGCATGCTATCTGGGTCCATCCCATCCTCCAGTCGGTCAGGCCCCACGACTCCGCGTCGCCCTCCACGGGGTCGGGTACCTCCGCAATCCTCCCACACATGTATCCATAGGCATCTCAAGCTCCATGATGGAGTTATCTATTCCCCGTAGAGTATGGGCCTACTGGTCGTCATGGGGGAAAAGGCTAAAAAGCTGACCACCGTCCCGATTCTCCCATTGACAAACCAGAGCTTCCAACTCGGAGTCTTTCTTTCTTTCCGTCTTGTCTTATCATCCCATCCTGCGAATCCCGGTACACGGCTGGCATCATGGGCTCGAAGAAATACTTCGGCCTCACGGGCGATGCGCTCAACACCCTGAGAATCGCTCTCATCATTGCGCCGAGCTTCATTCTGTACGGTTACAACATCGGCGTTGTCGGCGGCCTCCTGACGGAAGAGGATTGGGTCAAAACGTTCCCTCAGATCGATACCGTCAACACTTCGGGCGCCGAAAAATCTCAAAACTCGACACTCCAAGGGTTCATCGTTGCTACTTTCACCATTGGCGCCACGATCGGCTCTCTCTCTTGCTCTTGGACTGGCGATATCTATGGGCGTCGAAACATCATCTTCTTTTCCGGGATTCTCACTTTGATTGGCGAAGTGCTGATGTGCTCTGCCTTCGGTCTGCCGCAATTCACGATTGGACGTATTATTTGTGGACTTGGCATCGGTCAGCTCAGCTCAATTGTACCGGTCTGGCAATCTGAGACGTCTGCTGCGGCCAATCGCGGCCGTCAGGTTGTCATGTCTGGGTGCTTTATGTGCCTGGGTTACATGTTGGAATCTTGGATCGATTTCGGCTTCTTCCAATTCCACTCAGGCCCAATCACATGGCGCCCACCTCTGGCTATCGCTTGCTTCTTTTCCATCGTTCTCATGTCCTCCATCTACTTCTTCCCGGAATCGCCTCGCTGGCTGGTTATGAAAGGTCGCTCCGAACAGGCACGATCAGTTATTGCCGTGCTCAAGTCGTTACCAGAAGACTCTCTTGAGGTCCAGGCCGAATTGAACGGCATTGAATACTCTCTTGAAGAAACGAAGGGTACGGCGGTCTCCATGAAGGATATGCTAAAGAACGGCGAAGACAAGCTTTTGTATCGCTTCCTTCTCTGCATGGGTCTTCAGTTTTACCAGCAAATGTGGTATGTTCGCTCTGGGCCTTTACTGAACACTCGAGACTTGCGGAAACTGATATACCTGCAGTGGTTCAAATCTCGTCAGCGTGTACGCGCCGATTCTCTTCCAGCAGAACCTCGGCATGTCTAGTCAACAGTCTCGCATCATGAGCGGCGGAACCCTCACCTGGAAGTTTCTCGCCTCTTTTATTGCCTTTTTCACCATTGATCGGTTTGGACGTCGGGCAGCTTTCATCGTCAGCGGCGGCGGCATGTCCCTCTGTATGATCGCCCTCGCCGTGTCCACCTCGTTTGGCAAGGACAACTATGCGGCCCAAATATCTGCTGCCTTCTGGATCTTCCTCTACAACACATGGATCCCGATCGGTCTCATGGGAGCCAACTACCTTTACTGTACCGAAATCGCCCCCCTACGCCTACGCATGGCCATGTCTTCTATTTCCACGGCCAACCACTGGTTATTCAACTTTCTGGTCATCATGGTGACTCCCGTCGCCATCAACAGCATCGGCTACCAGTATTACATTGTCTACGCCGTTATCGCGTTCACGTTCCCGATCGCGGTGTGGCTGTGGTTCCCGGAAACGACCGGCCGCAACCTGGAGGAGATTGATCTCCTCTTCCGCGAGTCGCCGTCCATCTGGGCCACCGTCAAATACGCCAAGACTCGGCCCATCGCCATGCCACAGGAGTTCAGATCGGAGAAAGATGAGAAGGCGGACCATCTTGAGGAGGCATAAAAGTCTAGCAAGCGGTCTGCAAGGAATGGTTTGAGTACGGGCTTCATTGCTTCCAAATGAGGCGTGCTTTTTTGTCTCAGTCGCGGTTTTATATACGCAGATGTATAAGTAAGACAAGCACAGCATCATAAACCTGGGCCAATTGGAGTGATCTGCAAACACATGAGGGGCACCAATCGACTGGATTCGAAGAATCCACGAGTTCTCCAAATAACTTTGTGCTGTGGAGGTCATCAAGGCTTCTGGAGGAGGTTGCTTTGCGAAATGACCTTCGGGACTGATGTGAAGCGACGACTTCTCAAGCTGAATGCTAGACCAGCAAGGACTCGGAAGAGGAAAGAATTGGGATGCTACCAAACCTTCATTGGATGAACAGGTTCCCAGAAACGACCAATGGAATTGAGCTTTGCGCATGCCGTTCTGAATTATATGGGTCCATCCCTCAGTGTCTTCTGTCTCCTTCCCGTGCTTGCGTTGGATTCTCCCACCATCCAACATTCAACCAACTCAACGACGAATGAACCGGCGCATTCACGACAGATCCAGCCACTGATGGTCTACTTATCGCCTAGCACTACTATCGTTGCTGTCATCAGTGGTCCATCGGATATCTTTCGCAGACGAAAATGTCGGGTACGGTAGCCGCTGTTGCATTTGTCGAGCATCTCAACGTGAGGAAGAACACGGATCGAGCTGGCGTGTGCAGCAGTGGCAGTTCTGTTGATCGCCGTGCGGTCTAGATTCTACAGCGACCTCTCACTCAACGTTCCATCAGCTTCAGGCAGAAACACTCAGTTGCTGGACTGCTTCTACTACGATGCGTCACAAATATTGGCTTCGAAAATGAAAACGCAGCCGCGCGTACTCTAAAACTCGAAGCCGGCGACGTCAGTGCAATCTAAGACCCGTCGCTTACTTTTTCGCAATGGCCGTCACGATCGAGTGCCATTCGCCGGTGGCGTTTCTCCTCGACCCTCCACCCCCCCGAGTGCCTAGGCTGCCAGGCAGACGTCAGGAGCCATCAGACCCGTGGAACCCCATCTTCGACCTACGGAATTCAATGACCTCCTTCCTCACGTCGGAGACCGAGAACAATTGGGCAGGGAGATAAGCAACAGACCTGTGAGGTACAAACCGATGGGAGCATTCCCAAATCGCTCGCACTGTGCGAAAGCCTAAGGAACCTGCTTGGAGTCAGCAGGCATGCGGACATGGAAAAAACGGCAATGCCCTCAAATTGCTCGATTCAGTCGCCCTGTTTCACTTCACCGAATCCAGGGGCAGTGACCGATTCTCGTGGTCACGCGGACGGCAAAACCAAGGTAACGGAGCCGGATCTTTACGCGCGGTTTGATGTCGGACGGGATTCAACCGAGTGTTTTTCGTCCACTCATCAAAGGTGGAATTTGGTGACCGGCTACAAGCGAGTTGGGGTTCAAAGGGGAAATTTCTGGGTCTATCAATAAGCTTAATCCTCAGCGGTCCACTTGCTCGGAATGTTTCGCATCTTTCCACACTACATCTCGCGCCTCCAGGATGGTCGACGCGACACGGAAGTCAATGCCTGCTGACCAAGTTCAGGTAGCTACGGAACAGAAGACCGGAGCCGATTATGACTCAACCTGGCCGTCTTGCCGGTCTCAACCACAAGAGCTACGTACGCCATGAGCTTACGGCGGGGTGGCCGGGTCGTAATCGTCCACGCAGAAGGTATTGTACACAGGAAGCCGTTTCCGCGGAGGACGCACCCATCTTCTTGCAGGTTGAGCTAGGATTCATCGATCACCTGTCGTATGACACCCTTATATCCCGGCATTCCGACCATTTGGATATGCCGATATGCTGCACTCGCAAGCCAATGCGTGGGAATCGACACAACCTGTAGCGAGAGAGGGAGAGCCTCGCCGGCGGGCGCAAAAGTCAACGGCAAGTGTGGCTTCTGCGACTGTCAGATTGAGTGGGCGGGTGATGCACCGCGAGCGCAACTACTCTCTATGTGCATGCAAGCTCTAGGCAAGAATACAGGAGACAGCCACCACGTATCTAAGCTCTATGCAGGCCAAACCCCTGGTAAACCCACGTCAGGCACAGTCAAAACGACCTAGGGCTGAAGGCAAACAGGGTCCTAGCCCCGTGTCTCCGTCAACCTCCAGCTTCTTGCCAAGGCCAGCCAGGGTCAGATCCTTCTTTTACTGAGAGAAGTTTACGTCCGTTGCCAAGTCTGAATCATCAGCGCCTGTCCAGCTACCTGTCGTCGGTGTGCACATACACACACTTACAGTGCAAGCACTCTTTTCGAATACGCATATACTTACGTACCAGCTTCGTCAGGCCCCCTGTCAAGGGCACATTTTACGATGAATGCGATCCCAGGCTGTAGCCAACTTCGCCTCACCGGGGGATCCACACTCCCGATGCCTCTGACCGCCCGGTTCCATCCACCGGACCAACCCGGCCTGAGCACCTCCACTCTCAACCCCAGCAGCAATGAGGCCCCATCGTTCGCGCTTCCCTGACCCTTCGCAGAGACTTGGGCCGGTTCCGTCGGGGGAACCCCGATTTGAGGCCTATGAAGTCAAGGGCGTGGATGAAAGACATCTCTTAGTACCGTACCGCGGGAATAGGCTAGGAACCTTCAAGACGCCCCCACGTATTTTTATCTCCAAGTTGTGTGTCTCTCCATCTTAGTCCATCGTATTTCGGTTTCTGGGCTACGACTGGGCCGCCACATGGAACCTCTGGTCTTGTTACCCATTCCAAGTCAACCCGATGTACTGTCCTGACCGTTGAGTTGTTTCTTCCACTACATCTGATACTTTGAGTATCCATCGTTGTAGTTCGCTCCATTCCCACGTCCAGTCATATACCACGGAGGCAGTCCGTCATCTGGCATCACTACGACTCTGTCAACGTACTCAGCTTCAAACACCCTTGCTTCAGTCGACTAACACCTCACTCATTACTACACGCCCCACCACCTACCTGTCTGACCCAGGATCACGGCTACCCCTTGCCCACACACACTCCTTCCCTCCCGTCTTTTGGCGAGTGTGGATGTGAACTCATGCCCTGCCTGAGACCCGCTCCGTTCATCTTCGCTTAGAGTATTATTCTGCAGATTCCTGGATGGCAGCTGCATGTTTCTGCGTCACAGCGCGGGTTCTACGGGCAACTGACCGTGTCTTGTTCTCTTCGAGTCTGCCCTGCCCGTTACATGAGGCTGTCTAGGTTCAACTGCGGCAAAGCGGGTGTTCTCATTTCTGGGTGTGTAGCCTACCTAGTCCATGAAGAAGAGGCCTTTTGGGAATCTGATATAAAGAGAGGATATTCCTGAGGTTATGGGAAGTTGTTCCTATAGCTTCAGAACACATAAGCAATCTTCACTATCTCAGCTTTCTGTGAACGTCATCTAGCTGTTCACATATTCATTTCCCACCACACCATTCATCACTACATTCTTGCTAAACTATCTTCTCATAGTTGTACGCGAGGATTGGCCACAGTTAGACTCATTCATAGTCCTCGAGCCTCAAGTTGAGAGACAGGACCTTAAGAGTGCTGTTGATTTTCTCGGAGTCCAGAGGGCAAGTTGTTGGCCTGACCAACTTACACGGACTTGCTGCACAAGCAATATTCACCGCCAGAGAATTCAATACACCAGCTGATAGGCTTTTGGACTTCATTCTTTGGCTAGCTTGACGAATAATCGGCAATGTCGTCAAAGACTTCGAAACACTCCGAATCGAGCTCCAGGAAGCAATCCTCAAAGTCCAAGTCCAAGGCCAGCAAGACCGACGACTGGACCGACATCACAGACCCGGAAGAGCGCCGCAGGATCCAAAATCGTCTTGCTCAACGCAAGTTCCGTACGTACTATTTTCCTCCTTTTCTGCCCATGGAGTTATATAGATGCTAACCCATGGCAACAGGCAAGAAGAACCAAGAGAGCAAAGAGCAAACCACAAGGGACTCGCAAAACGAGGAAAACGCCCACAACATCTACCACACAACCGAGGCCGACGACCTGGCCGCGGAAGACGAAGTCTCAGGCCTCCCCTGGGGCGGCATCAACATCAAGCACGTGGTCTCCAGAGGCCACGAGCACGAGAGCCGCCGCGGGAGCCGTCGTGGCGAGTACGTGGGCGAAGACGTCCAGTACGCCAACACGTACACTGCCAACTACACGACAGGGTATCGCCAACCCCCGAGCTACGGAAGCAGCGGGGGCGAGGAATACTACTACGAGGAAGAGTCGCCGTACTACCATGATTACGAGCAGGGCAACGACCCGAGTCAGGCACAGGGCTACTATCAAAGGTAGACTTGCATCGCCTCGTCGACGGAATTCCTAGCGCCTAACGTCAACTGAGGAGTTAGAGCGGCCAGAATGAAGATTTAAACAACGATACCCGATTCTCCAAGTGCTTCTTTGGCATTTTTATCTTATGGCGTTTGACGCGGTTAGAATCACTATCCCCTAAAGTCTTTCCTCTCGGCATGGTTGAGAATACAGAAAGGGATAAGCTGGGCTGGATAGCATCCTGAGCAATGATGGTTGCAGACTGTGTTATGCGTCTTTGACTTTGTTTGAACTGGTGGGCACACTGATACATCGCCACTATCTGGTTTGATTTCTTTCTTAAACTGTTTACTTTTTGTTTTGGAAATGGAAATCTCCCACGCGAAGGAGTATTGGCCAAAGACAGTTATGGGCGTTCTTGGAAGAGGGAAATCTCCACATGATGATATGGATAACGAGTAACGAACGCCCACAGTGGCATACCAGAACGAATACAATACAGACCACTCCATCCTCAAAATACTCAGAAATGGCCTCGAAACCAAACATAGAAACTACAGAAACAGCTACAGTAGAAAGGTCATGAGTAGCAACTGGCAAACCATGACAATGCAGGCCACGCTAGCGACGATTCGGTCAAGCGAGGTTATAGGAGCCTAGGCTGAGACCAATCATCAGAGTGTTTGGACACGAAAGATGCAGATTAGTGATCCCACCAGCAGGGACGGGGGATGATGCAAGGAACCCTTAGAGGAGCCTGACAAGCTGGTGTTGGTATCTGATGCCGCGATTGGGAGTTGGGCGTCAAGGGGGTAGGTGAGTGAACGATCGTCAAGTCTTCCTGAAGGCGTGCAAGCACTCAAAATTGACACAACTGATGAGAAACTTCGTTGGAAAAAAAAAGAATTATGCCTGGGGGCGCCTAGCATCTGGAACATACCCTCTTACACAAACCAAGTATGACGTTGAATCACAGTTACTCACTCTTGACCGACATTGCAGCAGAAGATTCTGGGTTCTGACCGACATGCCATCGAATAGCTAGAGACGTGCATGCACAACGTTTCTAAACATACCGCCGAGACACAACGCCCTCGATGAGTCGTCCGGCCTGCTTCGTGTAAGTGCTGTGACAGGGTCTGGTGTGCCTGTTCCCCGATGCAAGCCACGATGCGCGGGGCCACCCCGGCGCCAGGCTGCCTTGGCTGAAGGCCGTGTTAGCCCAACTGTCGTGGGAGGCGTCGCGAGCTAATGTGAGTGTGCGGCCTGCAAGAATCCGGAGCTGATAGGGTTTTCCGGTCCAAATGGAGCTGCCGGTAGGTAGGTGAACCGGAATACTTGCTCAGGCAGCCCCAGAGGTCGTGCAGTATTGATGCAAAATGCCAATCAGAAAATCCAAAATAAGAAAAAGGAGAAAAAATGCAGAAAGTTGAACAACGGGGATACTGGGATCCTTTCAGCTAACTATCCTGACTTTGGATACTGTCCCTGCAGGCGAGCTTTCCTTCGGTATCGGAGGACGGAAAAAGAGGGGCACGGTAGTTTAGCCCTGTCGTGGTTTCCCGTCCTACCGGATACGGCAGGTCAGAGCTTCTAGTACGTACCAGAATTGATGCACGGATCAATGGATCCACTATGCAAGGGTCCAACGTCAACTACTGACTTGACCGCCCGGCAGATTCCCATAATTTTTTTTGAACTTTTTCTCCACCTAGGCCGATCGTCCTTGCCCGGATTCGCGGTTTCCTCTGATTTCTCTAGCATTCGACTCAACAACGCTCAGCGATACCAACACTTCTTGCACGACAAGATCAATTCGTTCGAGATGGCGCCTGGAGGAAACGACAAGCCTCTTGACCCCGCCGAGCTGAGGCGTCAGGCCGAGGGAAAAGGTAAGGGCCCAAAGCCGCCAGAACAACTGATGGCATCGCGGGATCAATTGCTTACAACACCCCGTGCGTAGAGGCAAAGATCATTCGCCGACGCGAGCAGCGCGAGAAGCGTCAGGCTGCCAACAAGGAGAAGAAGGCCATCAAGGCGCAGGCGAAGCGTGACCGCAAGGCCAATGTCTCGCGTGCCGCGAAATGGTTGGACCCGGCGCGCAAGGCTGCCGACAAAGCCAAGAAGCAGGCGCGCAAGGCCAACAAGGACGAGAAGCGATTCAACCGCATGCTGAAGCGTGCCGACAAGCTTGAGGTGCAGGCCAAGAAGCTCATGCTAGAGGCGCAGCGCGCTCGCGCGCGCCATGCTGTCATGGCTGAGCAGAGAGCTGTAAGTGCCGAGGTTTCCCTGCATTTATGAAGTGGACAAGATCTGACTATTTGGGTTACAGAAGAAGAAGGCCGAAGAGGAGATGATGAACAAGCCTGCGGGCAGCACAGCCAAGGGTGACGATGATATCATCAAGATCCACGACGGCGACAGCGACGACGATTCTTCCGACTCCAGCTCTGATTCCTCATCCGATTCAGAGTCGGACTCGGACTCGGAGGCAGAGGAACAGAAGAAGAAGGGCGGTGTTCCTGTCGAGAAGGCCGAGGAAGATGTCGAGATGAAATCCGAGTCACCGAACCCGACCACGCAGCTGCGTGCCGAGAGCGAGGCGAGAGTGATGAGCGACGAGCAAATGGAGGTCGATGTGAAGGAAGAGGAGAAGCCCAAGAAGTCGAAGAAGGATAAGAAGAACAAGAAGCAGCCGGTGGAGGAAGAGGAGAAGCCTACCGTCGTCAAAGAGGAGGCTCCCGAGGCCGACGAAACTCCCGCCAAGGAGAAGAAGTCCAAGAAGGACAAGAAGAGCAAGAAGTCCAAGGCTGCTGAGGAGGAGGCCGAAGAGGAGCCGAAATCGAGCAAGAAGTCCGAAAAGAAGCGCAAGCGTGCCCAGGAGGACGACGATGACGAATCGGATGGCGGCGCTGCCATCACCGAGGAGACTCCTAGTAAGAAGGACAAGAAGAAGAAGAAGAAGACCAAGAAGGACGAGGAGGAGGCTCCCGCGGCTGATGAGGATGCCAATGGCGACGGATGGGATGTTACCGCTCTTGAGGGCGGCCAGAAGCGTCAGGACAAGATGATGCGACTTCTCGGCGGTGGCAAGGCAGGTGCTGCGGCTGGCTCGAAGGCGGCTGGCAGCAAGGGCAAGCGCGACATCGGCAAGATCAGCCAGGAACTGGAGCAGCAGTTCAACGCCGGCGTACACATGAAGTATGACGGCGGCGCCCAGCGTCGCGGCCTCGGTGCCTGAGTCTCTTTGGAGATGAATCGCACCCCCATAATGTAGTATACGGTGTCGGAATTCGTTATGTGCGTAGGTTGCGGCGTTTTGAGGAAATGTCAACGGCGCGGCCCAAAGGAAACCAAAAAGCTGTAGATTGATTTGATTGCTTATTCCCAATGGAATGCTCCGACAAGAGAGAGAGAAAAAAAACTGAAATACATTTACGCCAAATAGCTCTGCTTCCCCTGATAACTTGTGGTATTTGTACAGAGTCTCGAATACCCACCATCAACGGGCGGGACACTGTGGTTCATGTGCCTTGAAAAGAAACTTCCCCCTTTTGTTCATCCACGGCGAGGCGAGCGCGTCTTGTGTGTCCGCAGTCTCCCTTGCGACCCCTTCACCAGCTCGATGCCGTCCAGAAACCGCCATTTCTGTGAGAAACGTGTACGGCATTGTGTTCTGCGACGCTTTTCGTGTGCCAATCGCACGCTCTTCGCACTGCTGCTGCCGCTGCCTTACGATCTTGTTTACCAGTCGGAACGTTTTGCGTGTCTTCGTTTAGAAGCCGAACATGCGGGAGAGGACCTCGAAGACGATACCGCCAAAGACGACGAAACCGAGGAGGACTACAGAAAGAAGACGGGTCAGCCAACCTCTTAACACATCGAACAGAACGAAAGGGCCAAATTGCTCCAGTAGAACTTGGCGGAGAGGAGAGAAGCGAAAGGCAAGCTACTCACTGAGCCACATGGGAGAGATGGGCGACTTTTGGACCTCCTTGGTGCGCTTCTTGATCTGCTCCTCGGACTTGCCCATGCGGGCCTCGTTGTCCTTGGCGAACTTCGCGTTCGCGCGTCTCTGTTGAGGTGTTTGCGCCTGGTAGGAAAAGACAATCGTTAGCACTCCGGCGAAACCCATTGGAAGCTCTTAAGCAGGTCCAGGAGGATGCGAAAGCGTTTGCTGGGATGTTTCGGGATCTGCGTACCATTGTGGATGTGTGTGGTGGATGAGGATGCGACGGAAGAAAAAAAGGGCGGCGGTGGTAATGCTCTGGTGAGACTTATTCTCTCTCGGTCGATGTCTCAATTGGATTCGGAGTTGTTATATACGTCAGGGCGCAAACAGGCAGCGAGTTGATCGTGTGGTGGTTTGTGATGGGCGAGATGTTGAACGTGTCGAGAGAAGAGCAGGGAAGCCGATTGAAGGGACAGATTGCGCCAGGGAGCTCTACCGTGAAGCTAATGCTGGCAATTCGTACCAGGTAATTAAGCGCCTAGGCGGGCGGGAAAGGGACAATTACCTTTTCGCCCTTCAGGACCTTCCCAAGTGGCTACCCGCCCCAGTTCGGGACATGTGTCGTCAAAGGGAATTAACGGGGCCACCTGTTCGGTGCCAGGGGTGCCGAAGGGGAAGGGGGGACACTGGACGGGACCGCGTTTTCCTGCCCGAGAGACCCTGGAGTTCCCGCCACAGCGGGACCCGCGTAAGGCCAAGAAGACCGCGTTTAAAATGTGCTGGCGACGGAGGGTTGCGGGGGATGCACGCGCGCACCGCCACAGATCGGCGCGGCGCATTCGGGATCGATCCAAGTCAAGGTTTCTTCTGGGTACGGGTGATGGACAATTGAGACAACGACAAGGACGACGAGAGCACCCCACGCGACGACATCGGATTACGAACGCAGTATACCGACGAGAGATAGACGACGAGAAATTTGAATAAAGGGGGGCACCAAAGTCATCGGGGCGAGACCACCACCACGACCAAAATGGCCGCGCGCAGCAGTGCAGCAGTCCTGAGCAGAGCTCTTCGCGCCCAGCGCACCCCACAGATCCCCCGCGGAGTAACTCGCTTTTACTCAACATCAGAAAGCGGCGAGAAGAGGCCGTCGATTGTGGTGAGTTCTTCTTCTTCCTCAGAGGCTTCCCAGGGATTGAAGCAGAGAGAGAGAGGGGACTGACGTCGTCGTGTTTTGCAGGGAACGTTTTACAAGACCTTCACGAGACCCGTCCTCAAAGTCCTCCTGATGGCCACTCTTACGTACCAGATTGCGTACTGGAGCTGGACAAAGTTGGAACAAGACGAGATTCGTGACGAGAAGCAAAAGGAGATTGACGGTCTCGAGGCCAGGGTTGCGGAGCTCCAAATGGGCAAGGGCACTGGTGCATAGAGCATCAAAACCCAACGATACCGTTGGATTCATCTCTGAGTTTGAAACACCAGTCCGAAGGGGAGATGCACAGGATAGACAAAAAGCGCGACGAAGGCGCGGAGATGCGAGATACCCCGACTTACTGTCTCGGCTGCGGTTACTACCAAACAAGGGATGTGGAACTTGCAACCTGCCGTCGGAGGCAAAGCCAGGTTCCTTCACGTTTCCCCCGCCAGTCTGGAATATGGGCAGACATGGCTTGCCGAGACCGGATCACAGATGAGGAGGGTGGACTGGCAAGACGTGTATAACACTGTAAGACCATATGAGGCACCGATACAATCGACGATTGTAGGTGCAACTCTTCTATAATATCTTGAAAAGATCCAAGATAGTCTACGAGTTTCCCTCCACCTAGGGGGGCCCATCTACACATGGAGTTAACATGTATTACTTCCAAAACAAAACCAGACCATCAAACGCCGATGCCATGCAAAAATCCAATAGCCTCATTACACTGTACCGTCGTGCCCTTGATTATCCCATGCAAGATTCGGCCGTCACTCTACACAAACATAAGACATCCATACAAGCACATGAGAGCCCACATTGCGTCGTCATCAGAGCAAAACAATGCTGAGGGTCCCAAACACGAGGAATGAGAGCAAGCCCCAAGACACCGCTAGCATCGCCGAACCAGAAGGATTGTGTACCGCACCCGGGTAGTTGCAGGTAAGGCCATCTCCCTGAATCGCATAGCTCGAGTTGAAAATGTCATCGTCAGGCGTCGGGCAGTTGAAGCCGAGCGATGCAGGGCAACTCTGGACTAAGTCGTAGCAGAGGTAGTCGCAAGGCAGGATCTCTCGATAAGGCCCTGGCTCGACCATTTCATCGATGAGGGGGTTCCTGGAGTGCTGGAAAACCCGCTTGTTGTATTTCGTCTGCTGATCGATTGGGAGTAGGGTGCCATTGGGGAAAGTTTGGTTGACGTTCCGAACCAACGAGAAGTTGGCCTCAGCAGCAGTAAAGTCCTCGCAACGAGGGATCGTTACAGTGCAAAGCCACTTCTTGTAGGCAATCTCACAATCTGTGCAGTTTCGAGCCAGTGAGTAGCGCTGTACATCGGGTGCTTCGCAAGCAACCTGCGCCAGCTGCTTCTTGAAGTTGTCGTACATGTCCTTGGCGTAGTTGTCATAAAATTGCGCAAGCTGGGTTATGTTCATTTTGTTGGAGTTTGCGGGAACTGCGTATTCCGTTTCGTTGCAAAACTGTAAATCGGTAATAATTTTGCAATTTTCGCCTGCGAGGAAGTCAGTATAACCAACTTTCAAAACCCCAGCAAGGAACATACCGTCTTTGGTCTCGAAGGGTGTTGCTTGAAAGACTCGGCCACCGCTACCTGTAGTACCGCCTTCCTGCCGCTTTTTCGTTGTCGTGTTGCCAATATGAACCAAGATGCCGTCATAGAAAGCACTCGCGTTGAGATCGTTGAAGAAGAATTGCTGCTTCGGCAGGTTACCAGCACCTCTAGTAGTCATTACAGTACTGGCCTTATTGCCGAATTGGCCACCCTTCGTTGCCGCGATAGCGGCGTACTTCTCCAGACCGCACATCGAACGTCGAACACCTTTTGTGGTGGGGTGGTCTCTGTTCTCAACGAACATTACAAATGGCGGACCCTCTTGCAGAATCTTCTGGATTGTGGCTTCATCGTGTGAATCCGTGAGATTCGCTGTGGTCAACAGAGCGGCGCTGGAATCGCTGTCGACCCAGAGAAGCTCAGAGGGTGAATCATTATAGTCGTGGAAGAAACCGTCCGTGGATGCTGCTACATCAAAGTTCCAGTCTCCCGTGAAGTTCGCGGCATCCACCCCAGGGGCGGATATGCCAATAAAAATGTCGCCCGTCGCATTGACCTTCATGAATGCCGCGCCTTCTTCAAAGATTGTTGCGTTTTGCGTTGAGGCATTTTGCCCTGGTCCGGGCGTTTGGTTATCCTTCGATGTCGAAAGATACATCGTGATCTGCGGGGCGTCCAGCTTGGTGTTGTTCGCTGCGCGATCCGGTCGGATACATGTCGTCGCAGAGATATAGACAGTCCTGCTTTGAGCCTTTTGCCTAGGCCGCAGTCCAGCCTCTTCGACCTCCGAGTGCGCCTCTTCTCGCCCACCTGATGCATTGCCATTCTCCCGCGGCTCCACAACGAACGCGTCATCGGGCGAAGAGTCGAAGAAGTTTGCGAAGACAGAGATGGCCTCAAAAACGAAGCTCTGTGTCTGGTTGCCCTGGACATTGCGATTGACCTTCACGTTGTTCACGAGCGCCGTCACTCCGGCAGGCGCCCTTCCAATGATACTGCGGTCGAAGGCGGCAAACTCAGGTTCGTAGGCAGGACTCAATTCGCTTCGTCGGTCGAGAACATCGTCGGGTTCGATAGGATCCAACACAGGCGTAAACGCTTCGCTCAAATCTGCGGCGAGGGCAAATGTGGGAGTCGATAGCAGGTAGTAGATGAAGAGTAGCAGCAACGAGGCAATCAGCGAGGCCGCCAGTCGCGATTGCAGTGGACTGAGCTGCATTGTGAGGACATGCCCTCCAGGGGCAGATGCCTTTGGAAAGCTGGTTGGCGACGCGGTGCTTCGTTGTCGTGTCGCGGGCTGTCTGTCGAGGAGTTCAAAGGTGCGAGAGGAACGTCGATAAGCGCGATTGAGTATCGGTCCGTCGCTATCTGGGGTCGCAAATTGGCCAAGTCCTCCACTTCATTCCATCAGCACAAGTCTATCAGGGCAGCGAGTGTCGAGTTGCGGCTTGTCAAACGAGGGAAAGCCACCAAACTCGTTAGATCTCGGTAGAGGCCGTCGGGGAGAAACAATAAACGGTGTCTAGTGTAGGTGATGTTGAAGTGAGCGAGTGAGGCGGGACTTGGAGGCAGAGGAAAAGAGCCTTTGTCGTTTTAGGGAGTTTCACATCCCAAACAGCTGAGAGGGCGGCGTGGACCTTGCATTGCCAGGACGCCCCAGGCCTCTGAATTGACTGGAGGTCCCGCCTGTAAGGCCTCCAACAAGACACCGGGCAAGGGGTCAAAAAATGGAAGTGTGGGGGACCCCTTTCCTCGACTCGGACTGCTCGGCCTGTCCGCCGGGGGCCATCCTCGCCTACGAGTCCCTGAAAACCACCCCCCATGTCCTCCCTAAGGCTGGGCTGGGCTGCCTTAAGCACGGAGCGGCGTTCTCGGCATCCTGATGTACGTTTGTCCTCTTGGCGTCAAAAACACACCAGTTGCTGCCCAGTCGTCCAGGCTCACGCTACACCACCTCGAATACTGGGAGGCGCGAAGGGGACGGTCCAGCCAGTCTTTTGAACCGCTTTTTCTGCAACAGAGAAGCAAGGAAGGGGAAGGACTCGTTCTGCAAGGAACGCTGCATCTTACCACCGTTACCGCGTCCGAGGCGTCGTGCCGGTGATGGGCGTCAATTCCAGCATCTCTCTAGCGTCAATGGGGCAACAAAATGACACTGAGCAGCAGCCATGACTAGCTCTCGAACTCCAGAAATGCGCGAATATTGGAGCCGAATACAGGCCTCCACCAGGACTGAACTGCTCTTGCCGATGGAAGACATAAGTCGAACACGGCAGAGCAGCACTGGCATGCGCCCGGAGTACAACCCGGTCAATCCAACTTGCGATGGCTGTTTCGACCTGTCCGGCCCCTTGAGTTGGAGTGCTTCAAGCACTCCAACATTTCAGTTGTCCCGGACAAAGAAACATGCCGCAGCTCGAGTCGAGTCTCTCTTTGTCTCTAAGCCACACTTGCCAATTCGTGAACAATTCGTCACATGTCTCTGCCGTTCTGGCTAAAGGATCAAGCACCTCCAACGGCAGCATGTGTCACGGGATAATTGAATCCATATCAGGTACTCTCTAGTTCATTGCAAAGTCAATGACTCCGTATTCCGTAGCGTACAGCTTTCTCTGGGTAACAGGAACTCATCCAACCGTTCCGTCGTGGCCCTCGTTCCGGGTCCTCGACCAAACCTAAACAAGCCATCACCGTTGTCGCATTTGTAGTTATGCTAGCCTTTGAAACCTCATCCCATCACGTTTGAGCTCTAGGTCGCTGCATGACGTCCTTTGGACTAGCTAGCGAGTGCCACTGGGATGAGCGGGCCAGCTTTTGGGGTGGAGTAGGTAGATCTCTCAAGGCAATCGACCTGCTTTATGAGCCGGCGCTGACGCGCATTTACTCGGCCTTGCCAGCCTGGGCACGGAGACCGGAGGCGGTGGAGGCACCGGTGAAGTACTTGGCAAGCATGGGTGCCAGGAAGGAGTTGAAGACGATGTCGGCACCGCTGTCACCTGTTAGCGGCAGCAAACACGGCTCGGAAGGGGCGGAACGTACCGGAAGACGGGCAGAGACAGCCACAGAAGGAAGACAAACTTGAAAGTGAAGTAGAAGGGGAACCAGTAGACGACGTTAACGAGACTCTCCGCAACGCTGTATTGTATTGGTTAGCTCGACCGGACCGCTGCAGAGCACAGGAACACTAACGTGAAGAAGGCGAAGACGACCCAGTACTAAGAGAACAGTCAGTAAGTTTGGCTTTGACAGCTGCGGGGAAGGTGTTTATCGACGTACGGTCAGCCACTGGGTGTCGTCTTGCTTGTTCGCAGTGAACAAGGCATTGAGGGAGTAGTAGCCGGGGATAACGAAGCCGGCAAGGTTGGTCAAAAGCTGACCGCCGAGGTTGAAGATGATGAGGAAGAAGTAGAGGGCGACGACACCGATGACGGCGTAGGCCTTGGGGACGTTGGTCTGCTTCTCGAGGTTGTTAAGGGCGGGGTACTTGGACAGCTATGGTACAAGAAAGTCAGCACTTGACGGCCATCAATTCGCAGATGCAGCGCGGTATTCTTACCTCACGGTCGAGCTGGCCGATGTAGTTCTGGACGCGATCCTGAGCAGACATGTTTGCGATATACTGGTCGGGTAGCGAAGCTGTGTGATAATGCGCTGTGCTAATGGTTAGGACAGGACAAGGACGGAGGAAGAGGACGAGGGATAGAACAAAGACGAGGCCAGGTTGCAGAATCGGAGGACCCTGGCAAGGGCAAGTGGAGGGGCTCGATGGAGACCGCGGCAACTTACAGCGATTGGGATACGAAGTGTTTTGGTAAGCGAAAAGGCCAGAGAAGCTATTGGCAATGTTAGACGGAGAGATCTCGACGAGAATTTGGAGAGTACGGGGTTGAATGACCTTGAGTCTGCGTTGGAATTAGCAGGTGAAAGGGAAAAGGCCGGATGACGACGTAACGTGTGCAGATCTGAGCCAGCAGGAATGGCCTAGGTGCCCTTGCGTCAAGTGTGAGCTTCGCTCGGGGGTTTTTTTTTTCTATGGGAGGGGGGCACAGGCACGAGACGAGAACACACACATTCACTTCAGCTTGGGCAGCACAGCAACAGGTCTACGGTGAGTGAGGAGCTTCAGTGCTTCTAGGTAGGTAGGCATTCTGCACCTAGCGACGACGTTGTAGCTCCCCCGCCTGCCAGACTTTGTGTGTCGGCCAAAAATGCCCTGGGATCCATGTCTTGGCTGTTAGCGGATACATTGGCGTGGATGGTGTGAGATTCCGCGATCCAGCGAGTGAGGGCTATGGTTACGGCTACGGCTACAGCTTCGGCTGCTGTTCAATCCTTGAAGGTGATGGCAATAGCATCAGCAAGGTACTTCGTACGGATTTGTTGCTTGGTCTGTTATTGCTGCCTGACCTACAAGGCCCTGCACGTCCTGAGTTGTTGCTGTTGCTGTTATGGTTCTGGTGTCCGGCGTCTGTCTGTGTGTGTGTGTGTTATTTGACTCTGGGTAAACAATGCTGGTATCTGATTGGGTGCTTCTCCACCCAGCTTCTCCGCGTGTTTAGACAACATGCTTTTCGGTACGTACCACCCTTCCGACACACCACGAACAGAAACACACAAAGACCTGCATAAGCAGCCCCGTTATTTTCGCCATGGTCCAATCGCCAAACGTTGTTTTCTTTCAGGAGTCACGTGAAGCCCAGCCACAGTCGTTTCTCCGTCAACACTGGCGTCCCAAAACAAGTCGAAGTGTTTCCCTCGTCCGCCAACATCTGCTCCCCCGACCACATCTTTAAGATCTCGACTCTCACCACGGCGCACCGCGCTCTCTTTGGCTGCAGGGATTTGGACCGCTTTTCTCGACCTCGACATCTCCTCTTCTCTCAGTCGCCTTTTCTCGTCGCCCCAGCCGGCGCACGTTTACTTCATTCATTGTTTGGAGACTTTGTCCTGCATGATCCGTGTGTTTTCATCGCAGAATAATAATCCCATCCAACACAAGGGCTGACGGATAATGGACCACGGTACGATGAGCAAGTCTTCTGGTGTTTCTCCGCGTCGAGAGCACATTTCCACCCGTGTTTTCTGCGCTGACCACCAATGTAAACAGACCACCTCGCCCAAGCTCTCCGGGCCAAGAAGAGACCCCAATCCCGTGCTTCAACTGCTTCCGTTCACAGCATCTCGACACAACCGCAAATGGAACAACAATCCTTCGAAACCCATGACGGCCTGTACTCCGCTCAATGGGTCAACAACGATCACCGACAACAGAGGAATCTTGCACCCGCGTCACGGATAACCCCGGAGGAGATGATGCTGCACGCCGCCGCAAACCACATGCAGAACGCTCGCGAATACTCCATGCCGCCTGGCATGACTGCCTCCATGAGCCACCAGTCCAGTGTTCCCATGAGCCACTCGATGTCGTTCCCTCAACACACCGCCATGCCTCGACACCCCCTGCCCAACGAAAGCTTTGCCAACAGCTTCACCGAGGACAGCCAATTGATGGACCGTGACGACGACGACTCTTTGGTCGGTGCTATGGGTTTGCAAAAGTCGAGCTCTGCTAGGTCCAGTGCCAACAATGAGCTCGAGATGCGTCACCTTTTCAACGCCAACAAGCACCGCGGCCTGCAAGATGTTGCCAAGGAACTCCATGGCAATGAGCGTGGCCCCAACTCCGAACGGACCCGCCAAGTGTTCGCCATGCTTTGGATCAACACGGTATGCACCAAAGGGAAGGGTTCTGTCCCTCGCGGCAGAGTCTACGCGAACTACGCGTCCCGATGTGCGACCGAGAGGATCACCGTCCTCAACCCCGCCAGTTTTGGCAAGCTTGTCCGAGTTCTCTTCCCCGGCCTCAAGACAAGACGTCTTGGCGTGAGAGGTGAATCCAAGTATCACTACGTCAACTTTACACTGGTGGATGACCAGCCCGATCTTCGCGAGCCCGAACCTCAGATCCCGATGGCGATTCCGGAACCCAGCAGGTCACAGAGTTTCAGTGCAGCTCCCGCCAAATCTCAGCCTGCGAAGGCCGCACTGCCTTCTCCTGACGCTGTCAGGCGGGCAGAGAGTCCTGCCGAGGCATCCCATACTCATTCACGATCGCACAGCTTTTACTCCCATCCGAATATAACCAGCGCGGATCATCTCAGTTCTTCCACTTCCAAAACGTCTCTCCAGTTCTCATTCCCTTCGGAGGCGGATGAGGCCCTCCTTCAATCAAACGATCCCCTTGTGCTGCCACGAATGGAGCCTTTCTTGCCCAACGGAACTGACCCGGACGCGGCAAAGAGCCTGTCTGCTCTGTATAGGTCGCACTGCACTTCATTAGTTGAATGTGTTCGCTATTGCAAGGAGAAGACCTTCTTCCATCTCTACACCTCTTTCCAAGGCACGTTGACTATGCCGGTCCAGAAGCTACTCGGTCACCCGGCTCTTGCCCCCTGGATCGAGGAATGCGATTTCATCCTCTACCAACGCATGCTTAGAATCATCTCGGGCCTGACGCTTCAAGTCGTGCCCAAGCCGGTGTTGGATACATTACGCAACATTTCCGAGCGCCTGGTCCCCCACGTTCGGGATGCTTTCCAAGGTCAACCGCATCATGTCATTCGAGCCAAGGAGGCTCCAGCTACCATCTTCGCAGCTCTCTTGGATCGTGCCCTGAGAGTCAACCTCACTGCCCACGCAGCGGCCAACATGCTTTCGAATCCGGCCAACCGCGACCAGATGTACCTCGATTGGATCACGATGGTCCGCGTGCGCAAAGTGGCCGAATGCGTGCCCACGCGTGGCATGGACGACCTGGTCAACCTTCTTGTATCCGAACTCCGCGATCTTCTCAACCCGATGAACGTACCATGGGAAGTGGAGTGCTTGACAGTGTACGGCGATATCGCTCTGAGGAATGGCCGTCAACCTGGAGCCGAGGGCACCGCGGACGCGAATGGACAGAACGTGTTGGAACGCTGGGTCGGCTTCCTCAAGTCACTACCAACCCGATTCCCTTACGCAACACACACAGACATCGTCTACTGCGTGCAGAGGGTAGGCACTGCCGTGATGCGGGATCTGACCATGGCTCAGGGCAAGAGCTTTGGCTCTTGGTGGGTGACGAAATGCTGGATCGATGAGATGACGTGCTTCCTTGCCGAGCAGGGAGGCTTCCTCAACATGAAGACCTCGGGAGCATCGGCGACCGTCGCCAATCCTCATAGAACAGGTCAGGAGGCGAGCCAACAGGGTTCCCGGTACAGCACTGGGAGTGAAGAGTTCAACTTTTCCAACCTTCCCCAAGCACAGCCGGACAAGGCGCCTTTTCCGCCAGCAACCAGTCAAGGCCAGGTTGATTCAGCCGGAATGACGGGGGGCAGCAACCCTGATGATAGCGGAATTGGTATCCGGACGCCGGAGGAGGACTTCCCGATGGACAAGTACACGTTCTCGCACTCCGAGGTCAACCAAGCGCTGCTTGCGAATGCTGAACTGCAACAATGACGAAATGGGGTCGAAGCATAGTCGCACCTGGCAAACCAGGTGCCATTTATCGATAGTCATCTGCCAGGCAGCCTCTTGACGGGGCTTGATGCCGGAGGAGGACTGTTGAGCGCAGTGTGATGACGATGGCACGACTGGACGATTATATGAGTGTGGGAAAAGCTCTTGCCATTTGGTACGGAGACGTGTTCAAGATTTGCGCTTGTTTCTACTAGAACGGGTTTTGGGTTCTGGTTTTGGTTCTGGTGTTTAACGTAGCTGGCGATGAGGACGGCATATGCATTCGGTGCTCGCGGGTTGTTATACCAATTCTTTTCTGGTCAGGGGCATAGGTACTTGATTATACGTTTTATCTTGTAGTGTGTGGTAATACAACTCGGCGAAGAGCATTGAACAGACGCGAGGTTCTCAAATGACGAGTTATTCTGTAGAGCATCTCGCCCCTATCACACATCCGGGGACATGAACGACGCCAGGATTGACTGGCTACATAAGCAGCGTCAACGGCGGCGGCTGAATGGGGCATGGGATCCCCCTCGTTCGTCATGAGGGCCTGTCCCTGATTCGCTGTCCCTGCGCGCACCGGGATGGTGTAAAAGTTTTCTACGTATGCGTGAAGTGGCTGGAAGAGGCAACAAGGAAGCTTATTTATTTAGCCCGGACTTGCTCTACGGTTTGTGGGAACAGCAGCTGAGAAAGAAAAGATGACTGCCCGTTTGTGAGAGAGAAACAGGGGCGTTGGGCATGGCAGTCGCATGGCAGTAATGGCTTCCCCTGATTAAACAAATTGGACAGAGATTGCAGAGGGAAAAGAGTCATTGAGTCTTTTGTTATGAGTCAGACGAATGCATTGTCACGGATAGAGGCCGCCACGGATTGACTGCCTTTCTCAGAGGCCTCGATGCTTGCACACAACGCTTCGTCTGCAGGGTGAATATGCAGCGGATCGAGGGCCTCAAACAGGAGGAGGTGCAGATGCAGCAGCAGACGCTCGGCCCAGCCATTTCTGACACTCGTGGCCGCCGTTGCGGCATTGGATCGGTAGTCAAGATTCGGGCCCGCCTCCGATGTTCCGGAAGCGCAAAATTTGGTAGCTGCAACTTGGACAGGCGTCGCCGATTTCGTCGTAACGCTCCACATCCCACTTTCGTCCCATCTCACCTTGCATCCAATCCTGTCCAACTCAATCCAATCCACCACAACGGCCCAATACCTGGGCTTGCCATTCATCCCACCACATTTCACGACTTTCAACTTTTGTTCTCACTTGCCGGCTGTCCTGACCTCACCTTACCACGTCTTTCGGTGTAGTGCATCACTTGACACGTCTGTTCGAGGGTTGACGACCCAGTCCAACCGTCGCCATTCTTTTTCCCGCACTCGACATTTAAAGTGCCCCTCCCCCGCGGCCTGGAGTAGAGTCATACTCGCCCAACACCAGCCACTTTCGGATCTTCATACCACGATTGAGGCATCATGAGCAGTCAATTGATAGGAAACACCAACAGCAATGGCTGGGTAGTGCAGAAATTCGGCGGCACCAGCGTCGGAAAGTTCCCAGACAAGGTCACTCCCCTTGCCTTCTAAAAAGCGCTATGTTGCATGAGACTGACCTGCGGCTTTCGCATGCAGATTGCTACGGATATCGTCCGGTAAGGATAGACGTCTATGAAGAGGACGTGGCTCAAATTGACTTGAACTTCAAATAGTGCGAGCCTCTCCAAGAACAAGGTCGTCGTCGTCTGCTCGGCAAGAAGCACGGGCAAGAAGGTCGAGGGCACCACCAGTCGGTGAGTCACTCATCATGATGCCCAGCCTCAATCTGCCTCCTAACCTCGCAAAGCCTACTTGGCGTGTATAACAAGCTCAAAGGCATTGCGGCTGCCACGAACGCCGAGGATGTGCAGAATGATCTTATGAACGAGGCTAAGGGTCTGATCGACGACATCACGAAGGATCATGTGTCGGCAGTGAAGACCTTCATCAAAAACCCTGAGTTGCAGGCGTCCCTGGAGCAAGAGATTCGGGATGAATGTCAAGAACTAGTCGAGTACATCGTGGCTGCGAGGCGGTTCAACCTCGAAGTCAATGCGAGATCCAAGGACCGCTGCATCAGCTTTGGCGAGAAGCTCAGTTGCAGATTCATGTCTGCGCTGCTGAAGGACTTGGTGCGAAAACTTGAGACCTGCGTCATGAGATTTGAGACTGACCATCTCGCAGGGTGTCGCCTCAGAATATGTGGATCTCAGTGATGCGTTCCACTACGATGCCACATCTCGTCTAGACCAAAGCTTTTACCAGGAAGCCGCCACTATGCTGAGGAAAAAGATCACGGCATGCGAGGATAGAGTCCCCGTGGTCACTGGATTCTTCGGCAATGTTCCCGGAAGTCTGATCGACGGTGACATTGGACGTGGCTACACTGATCTCTGCGCGGCGTTGTGCGCCGTCGGTCTCGACGCTGATGAGCTGCAGGTATGGAAGGAGGTTGATGGAATCTTCACTGCGGATCCCACGAAGGTGCCGACGGCACGGCTACTGCATTCCATCACTCCTTCCGAGGCGGCTGAGTTGACGTTCTACGGCTCCGAGGTCATCCACCATCTCACCATGGACCAGGTCATTCACGCCTCGCCCCCTATTCCCATCCGTATCAAGAACGTCAAGAACCCGAGAGGAGTCGGCACCATCGTCGTCCCCGACCCAGTCCTCACTGCCGGTCATCAGATTCAGCGCTCAGTACCCTCGGATCCTAACCTGCGCCAAAAGCCAAAGAGGCCAACCGCCGTTACCATCAAGGATAAGATCTCCGTTATCAACGTTCACTCCAACAAGCGTTCCATATCTCATGGGTTCTTTGCCAGAGTGTTCTCCATCCTTGACAAGAACCAGATCTCGGTCGATCTCATTTCCACCAGTGAGGTCCACGTTTCTATGGCCATCCACGCCGGCAACTCGGAGGGCGGCAGCTTCGACAGGGCACGAAAGGAACTGGAAGACTGCGGCGACGTCAGTGTTCTCCACAATATGGCCATTCTGAGCCTTGTCGGCGCCGAAATGAAGAACATGATTGGTATCGCCGGACGTATGTTCTCCACTCTGGGAGAGCATAACGTCAACTTGGAGATGATCTCTCAGGGTAAGTCATACCAAGACATGTTTAAGATGTTGCTATTGACTTTGAAACAGGTGCTAGCGAGATAAACATCTCTTGCGTCATTGAAGCCCGGGACGCCACCCGCGCCATGAACATCCTGCACACAAATCTGTTTACTTTCCTCGACTAGACTAGCCATGTCTTTCTGTAGTACCTTACTTGCATAGAGCGAGACCTGCTGTTTTGGATCAAGGTATATAGACGACTTTCATTCATGGGGATATTTTCACTTGGGCACAAATTTGCATTGCGGATTAGTGGAAAAAACAGGAATGTAGAGCATGGACCGGAAAATGCGAGATTCCCAAGATTGTCACAAACGCGCCTATTGCGGGTTCTTTGGAACATGATCGAGTAGTCTATTCTCCGCCATATGCTGGATCGGTTATTGGCCAGATTCCACAGATAACTCGTTAGATTGCTGTCTCTGCTGGAGAATCTGGACACAAACAACCATCGTCACATTATGCATCAGTTTCGAGAACAATCTCTAGGACCCTAGCATCCGAAAGCGAGGTAAATGCTTTCCAATGAAGACCGATCTCGGCCGAGGTCGTGGGTATACAGTGCCGTATCTGGCGCACACTGTCTTCACCCCGCCACCACGCGCTAACCCCTGTGACTCCGATAAGATAAGCAACATATCCACCCGCTAAGGACCCCAGGTCTGTCACGTCCTTGGTTTGCGATTGCATTTCCAACCTCACCCAACTCATCGCGCCCCGTCTATCAACCCGCTCACCTCGACAAACGCATCCGATCGCCGCTTACGTTTAAAACCTACACACACGACGCAAACCCGCAAAGATGCCCAAGGCAGAAGTCGGCTCGACGAAATACCTAAACAACAAACTAAAGTCCAAAGGCCTCCAGCGTCTGCGCTGGTACTGCCAGGTCTGCGAGAAACAATGTCGCGACGAGAACGGCTTCAAGATGCACACCCAGTCCGAGTCGCACGTGCGCCAGATGCTTGTTGTGGGCGAAGACCCTAAAAAGTTTCTCCACGAGTACAGCAACCAGTTTTTACGCGATTTCCTCCAGCTCCTCCGCACCGGTCACGGCGAGAAGCAGGTCCAGATCAACCACTTCTACCAGGAATACATCGCCAACAAGGAACATGTGCACATGAACGCCACCAAGTGGCCCAGCTTGACCGAGTTCGCGAAGCACCTCGGGAGGGAGGGTATCTGTCGGGTCGAGGAGACTGAGAAGGGGATCCACATCGCCTGGATCGACAACTCGCCCGAGGCGCTCAAGAGACAGGAGGCACTGAGGAGAAAGGAGGCACAAGACCGCGGGAACGAGGAGGTCGAGCAGATGATGATTCGGGAGCAGATTAAGCGCGCACAGAAGCAGGCCGAGGCCAGAGGAGAGAAGGAGGTGGACGAGGATGAGAGGGAAAAGGGGCTACAGCGCGCTGAGGGTGAAAAGATCTCGTTGTCATTTGGGGTGAAACCCAAGTTGGAGCCGAGCCCTCAGCCAAAGCCTGCGTCGCCTGATGCTGCTGCTGCCGACTCCGCAACGCCCACGGATGCTGAAAAGCCCGCGGATAAGCCCGCCGAGCAAGCCGCCGACAAGCCGTCTCTCGGTTTCAAGATGACGGCTAAGCCGCAGACGAAGAACGTGTTCGCACAGGCGAAGAAGAAGAATGCTCTGGGGGGAAGTGCAAAGAAGCCTGCTTTCGAGCAGCCTAAGAAGATGAGCGAGGCGGAGAGGATCATGAAGGAGGACATGGAAAGGATGGAGAAGAAGAGGTCGAGAGATGGCGGTGGTTCTGGGTTTGGGGGCTTCGCATTCAAGAAGCAGAAGACGGACCGGTAATTTAGGCCCCTTCAATCTGACAGGCGGACTGGCGTTTTGGGTACAAAGCATATCGGCATAGGAGCGTCAAAATTGGGCGGTACGGGAGACTTGCAGTGCACTTTTGAGATACCATTGAGAATTGATTCATCTATAGAATCTTATCCTGACTCCATGCCGACCTTCATGATGCCCCCTGAACGCCAAACCAAGTATAAACGCATTCTTTCTTTTCGCCTCTCGCTCTCCAATTCTAGTTATCAACCTCGGTCTCGGTTCCGTCACGTCTGTACAAAGGGTCAGCATTCAACGATCCCTCCCAGCATTTCCTCGCCGGAAAGGGACTTACGGAATGTAGCGTATCCTATATTCCTCCTCGAGCGTGTTGCGAATCTCGTCAGGAAGCTGGCCGGAAACCTTGATGGCGTAGACGCCCTTGACGTAGTTGTCGAGACGCTGCCACTTTGCGACCCAGGAGCGGCTGGGGTCCTTGAGGGAGATGAGGCCCTCGAAGACCTGGGACGTGCAGCTCTCGATCTGGTCCTGGGAGCCGGCGAGGTGGAGGAAGTCTTCGCAGTTGGGGCAGCCCTCTTCGCGGAAGCGCTGTGACGAGGGTTGAGTTGTTAGTCTGTCTTCAACAAACGTCCATCGCTGCTTCTAGGTCCTCGGGGGGGGGGGGGGGGGGCACAAAACGTACGGGGTAGGTAATTAAAATGGAGCAGACCATGCAGGCGCGCAGGTAGCGCTGCTGGTTGGGGTTGACGTAGTTTTCGCCGGACATCTTTGGTGCGTTCGGTTTGCGGGATAGGAGGTGCGAAGGCGAATATCGCGTCGTGAGCTTGTTGACGCGGCGAATAAAGCTGGCTTCCTTGCGGCGAGATGCGAAGGTCGAATGAAGTGAGGATGCTGTCTCAAGAAGGCAGGCGGTCGGCGAATAGCTTGTTTGTGCGCTAAACGGTATATGCAACCAATGAAGGATTGAGCAATAGATGGAAGAAACCTAGTTTTGATGGACCCACTATGGGAGGACTCGCAGGTAGTAGCGCTCGAATCATCTAACATCGCTCAGTTTGGTACTGAAATTCTGCCTTCATAATTCAACTTGGTTCACACATCTCGACCACCCCTGCATCTTTTTCTTCTGTCCGCTCAACCTTACACTCCAATATCAACAAGAGACGCCTCAGTGAACAACTGGAAGATGGCGACGCAAATCTCTGCCAACGGAGAGGCGCCCACCAGCACGCCGCGCACAGCAGGCGTCAAGTCCTACGAGCTGCTTACCTGCACCGTCAAGACCCCGCCATTCTCATACGCCCAGCTGGAACTTGTCTCCGACGCACCCAGAGCTTCAGATGTGACGCCGCTCGATAATCTGCAAGTGCGGTCTTACTGCAACGCCGCTTTGAAGCAGTTCCTCGGGGCCACTGGCGCCGCCATTCCTATCGACATTCTCAAGGTGGAAGCCGGGGATTGTTGGCTGCGCGTGCCTCGTCAAGACCTGAGCCCGTTTGCCGCCGCCATCACGGCCTGGGCCGGCGTCTCGGAACAGGGCTACCGGCGGATGCTCCGAGTAAAGCAATGTTCCGACTACCTGGGAGCCATGGTTGGCGCGGACGGCCAGGACAAGCTCTGGTCACCATGAAGAAGAAACTTTGACTGAATTCCCAAACGTCATATTATTCTAGACTTCGGGGTATAGTTGTCATCTGCAGATTGAAACTCCGTTTATCCGCATGGCTAAAATCCCACGCTGCCAACCCGCAACCCGCCCCTTATATGCGCCGATCACATGCTATCATGTTGTATGCAGCGGATGCAAATATACCACGTTACCACCCCGGAACAACGGTTCGCTTTACGTCTACATCAGAGACGACATGAGAGAGCTTTGGGCGTAGGCCTGGCGGAAGAAATTAGTGGGGTTTGGAGTCAGCGGGTGAGGAGCTAAGTCTTACCATAGGCTTGATATCCGGGTGAGGAACGGCATCGAACTGGTTGAACTGCAGTTTGTAGTCGGGGCCAATGTTGATGTAGGCTCCCCTGTTTTCGGTGGAGTCGCAGTACTTGGGGGCAGAGAAGACTACGGTAGTTAGTCTCAAGTTCGAATAGCCATTCAGCATCGGAACTCACCAGTGATGCAACGACCATCGTGCTGCACTTCGTAACCGTCCATGCGAACCTCGTGACTGCGGATGACAGCCTCAAGTCCGTTGTTCTCGCAGAACTGCTTGGTGACATCGGGTCCGAATTGCATGCCAACACCACGCTTGCTCGGGCCGCGGCCAGGCTCGTCCTGGGGATCCGTCCACAACATCTCCATCATGAGACCAGACTGACCGGGCTGGCGCTGGGCGTGCCTGTCGAGCTTGCGGATGTCATCCAAAGTAACCTTGTCGTCCGAGAACAAGCCACCGTGCAGGACGAGGTACTTGGTTCCGATTAAAGTGGCCAGGGGCAGAGCCGAGAAACTCTCGGAGAACAACTTGAAGATTCTGCGTCATGTTAACAAACGCGCCTTGAGTCTGTCGCAAGGCAATACGCACCTCTCGTTGTACTTGGCCTTGCATTCGCCCTCAAAGCCGTATACGCGGTTCATGTCGTCCGTCTCGTGGTTACCGCGGTTCAAGAAGAAGCCCTGAGGCCTCAGCCACTTGTAGGCGTACAGAAGCAGAGCGATTTCGGTAGACCATGATCCACGGTCGACAAAATCGCCGTTAAACAAGTAGTAGTGCTTGTCGCTCGGGGTTCCGTTCAAGCGGAACAGCTCCATTAGATCGAAGTACTGGCCTGGAGCCTGTTAGCGTGAAGCTCGCCTACGGATGGATGTGATGCCGTACCGTGTGTGTCACCGCAAACAGTGAGCTGGACATCGTCCGGGATCTTCATCTCCACCATCGTGGGCTCGTCGTACACAAGCTTCTTGACGGCCAGAATAATCTGGTAGACGTATTTCCTGTGGATCTTCTTGCCGATCTTGAATCTTTCCGTCATGTCGTCAATGAACTCTTGTGTCATCTCGCTTCCCAATCTAACACCATCGTAATCCTCCTCGACGTTGATAGCATCGATGTCGAGACCCTCTGCAGCTGAAGGCTCATCGCCGACCTCGATGGCAGCAAAGAAATCTAGCTTGCGCACAATCTTTCTGCACTCATCAAGCTTCAGCTTGGCATCTTTGTTGTTAGGGTCGAGTCGAATGCATTCTTTGAAGTCGACGAGCGCATCCTTGGGTCTGAGAATGGCAGTGTGGGCAAGGCCTCGACGGAAGTATGCCTGGAACACGCGAAAGTCAGCATCGGAGTATTTGGTCCGGTCGTTTGGTGTTGAGGGGCACCAACCTTGACAAACTTGGGGTTCAGCTCGATCGCCTTCGTGCAATCCGCAATGGCATAGCCATACGCTTCCGACTTGATGTTCGCCTATTACAGGTCAGAAAGTGGTCAGTCACGCGAGCAATTCGAAGATTTAGCCTTGGTCGCAAAGTAGGGAGGGAGGGGGCGGGGCAAACCTGGGCGCGGTTCGTGAAGAAGGTCGGCTCCTTATCGTTCAGCTCAATGGCCTTGGTGTAGAACTCAATGGCAGTCGGCCAATCGTGAGAAGCAAAGGCCTTGTTGCCCTGGTTCTTGAGCTCTGTGGCCTTCTCCTCCGGCGTAGACATGACGGCAACGCAAAGTGTGGGGTAGTTGATCGCAGCGCAGAGAATCCAAGACGGTCTTGTCAGTCTCTCGCCCACAAATCTAGGATCGTGGTTGTGTCTTCCCGAGAAAGGCTGTGACTGGAGAGCGACGTGAAGTACACTGCCTACAAGACGAAAGGGAAAAGTAGGGGGACAGTCGAAGTTTTGGTCTGCAGAAGCTCGTCGAAGAGTTGCCGGGGGACCAAGTCAAAAGCTTCCTTTTGCAACGGTCCGGGCCTTACCCTCTTCGGTGCTAACGGAAATCTGGAACAGTGCTTGGTTGCACTGTGCGATAGGCACGCTGCAGCGGGGCGAGTTTTGCCACTTCAGGAGCCCTAGGTACCTAGGTAGGTTGTCTGGAGCTCCGGTCTAGCCCCTCCATCCTGGGCCTCACCCGCTGCCACATGGGAAACTTCAGCGCATCTGACATCGGCAGGCCTTATCGCTTATCGGACAAGGCCCCCCTTCGGCTCCGAACTTGGCTTCATTTCGAGGGTTATTCACGTTGTCAACTTTATCTGCGATCCAAGTCTGCGATCCAACGCGACAGCCTCTGCATGGCATACACCCTCGTTACCTGTTATTCTCAGACGTGCGAAGTGTTCGACGATCGCGGCCGGATACGACGATGGAGTCTCACAGCGAACCCTCCAACGCGCTCGTGCGCAAGCGGACAGACACCGACCTGATGCCTCCTCCACCACCTGCGAAGAAGATCAAGCGCCCAAAGAAAGTTATAGACGAAGATACCTACACCGACGCGCTCTCCAAGATCATAGCGCGCGACTTCTTTCCCGGATTACTCGAAGCGGAGACTCAGCAGGAGTACCTGGATGCTCTCGAGTCAAAGGATGCTGCATGGATATCAAGCGCCGGGCACCGACTGCAGCGCGTGATGACCCCTGGAAGGCAGAGAATGAAGAGACCGCCAGTTTTCGAAAACGGAGGGAAGACCCCCTCAGCATACGGCGCAGACACACCGGTGTCGGTCACCTCGACAGTCATCGAAGAAGTAAAGCCGATCGTCGATACGAACATGAGTCTCGCAAATTTCCAGTCCAAATATACGAGCGAGGACAACGAGAGCTTCTACAAGCTGATGGACAAGCAAAACCAAAAGAAGGCCGAGAAATATGCGTGGCTATGGGGAGGAAACAAATTGCCGTCGAAGCAGATGATCAAGCAGGCTGAAGTCGAGGAGAAGCTGGCCCAAACAGGGAGGTTAATCGACGATGGATACATGAAAAAGGACAGGTTGGCTATCAAGGATGTGGAGGACAAACCAGCAAGACCGGATAGCTGGAATGCGCATCCGAAGAATAACTTGATGTTTGGACCGGACGGAGTCGAGGAAACGTACGAGAGCCCGGCGCAAAGAGCTGAGGCAGATTCACGCATGGCACCGAAATCCATCAACTACCAAAACACAAGGGTGCCGCAACCAGCTTTTGTGGAGAGGCCTCCATCTCCAACGATGTCTGCAGTGCGAGACGCCATTGCTGGCAAACCACGAAAGGACGATCAAGCTTCAAGCGCAGTTGGTGGTGGAGAAACGCCAAGAGTGAACGGATATGCCTTCGTGGACGATGAAGACGATGAAGATCCAGCGCTGCCGGCTCCAGTCATCAATCTAGGTCCCGGCGACGCAACGCCGAATCCTTTCAAGTTGCAAGAGCAAGGGAAGAGGGAAAGTCTGCACCATCGCTTGGTCGAGAGGGCGGCACAGTCGAAGAGAGAGTCTGCGAAAAATGGTTTGACTGGCAAGCCGGAAAGGACTCCAGTGCCAAAGTTCCCTTCTAGCCCAAGGGTATCGGGTGGTCTCACGCCTGCCGCTCAAAGACTATGGAGCAAGATTGGCAGTCCGAGACCCGGGAGCCCGAGTAGTTCAGCTATCAAAACGACGCCAATGAGAGCACGAGGATCACTGCTGAAGGGCGTATCAAAACCTCCACGGTAAATTCAGTTGGTTGACGGCACCTTATGGCGAATGATACATTATGAGAATAAAACGGGAAAGGCGAATAGAGTAATTATAGATACCACGGGGAAAAGGTCATCATCAGCGCGACCTTATTTCAAATACAGCGCCTAATTGGGAACGCGCTCAGGCATTCAATTCTCCAATCTGTCCTCGAGAACTTCAATCTCTGCGGATTGCGAACAACTCCAGCGTGTGTGTAAGATGTCTCTAGGTGGTTGTCCATTGGAGTGATGATCTCCACTTATTTTCCGTTTCTCTTAATTGCATATCTCCGTTTTTCCAGTAGTGACGAACTTGACTTGAAGACTCCCCGATGCTTCCACAGAGTCGCCATACTCAAGTGGAATCAGATTGTCATGACAAGCGCTCGATGTAATTGTTAATATCTGCTCAGATGAGATTTGCCGATTTCGCCGTCGACCTAGCAGCGGTGCTCAGCGCATCGCGCTCCGTCGCATCTAAGCATGTCGCTTTAAGAAGTCGCCAGCTTGATAGCTTCACCAAAGCATCCAGCCTGGCTCGACGAGCTCCTGTAGCTCCGGAGAACACCCGAACCGACCCTGTTCATGAAGCAGAAGCTCCAGCCGAGCAAGCAGAGTCTCAATCACCCGCAACAAAAGCACCACCGCCGCAGCCGGAATCAAAGCCCAATGTCACTCACATCCCGCACACACACCCCGCCAGCTTCCAGTCTAGTGTCAACAATGGATCTGTCAACAAACCAGATTCTGGTTCAGCTCTGTCTCAATTGAGGCGATCAAATCCTTCGGGATTTCCTTGGTCTGATGCCTCGGCATCGGAGGCAAAGCCGAAGGAGAACCGTCCTCAAGCTGGAGGCCAGGAGAGTAAGGGACCTGCAACATCCGGTGCGCCTGTGTCAGAAGAGCTCGACGATGTACCCCCAGATGTGAACGTCAACATCTTTCACAGCAGTCGTGCCGCTAGCATGCTCGGCAAACAGGAAGAGAAACAAGCGGGCCAGGTGTTTGGAGCCCGTAAGAAGCTCAAACCGGTCGGCCTTCCCGAGTTCGTTGTCCATGCCAAGCCGGCGCAGGATACGCAGAAGGAGGAATCACCAGCGGTTAAGCCGCAGTCAGAGCCCACCCCGAAAGCACATCAGGATGACACGGCAAGCGAGAATACTACTCCCAAGGCTTCTACTATCAACCCAGAGATCGAGTCAGTCTCCCGACCTTCTCCAGTGGAAACGAAGAAGGATGAGCCGCCGATCGAGGCGGTTATGGAAGCAGCTGTTGATCAGCCTTCATCTTCATCTTACACATTAAGAGAGTCCAAGGTTCCCGCCACGCGTATCAGCAGACTTTGGAACTACGGTGGACTGGCAGCAGGAATGATGGGTGGTGCCATCACCGAGAGCATCGGCAGAGCCTTCGGTGGCAAGGGCGAGGGCTCCGTACTTCTCAGCGCCGGTAACATGGAGAGGCTTGTGTCAAAGCTGTCCAGAATGAGAGGCGCCGCGCTGAAGATGGGTCAGATGATGAGTTTCCAGGACTCCAAGATGCTTCCACTACCTATTCAGGAGGTGCTGCAAAGAGTGCAGGACCGCGCCGATTACATGCCTTCGTACCAGAGAGATAAAGTCCTGGTCGCGAATCTTGGGGCCGAGTGGCGCAACCTGTTCGAGGAGTTCGAGGAGAAGCCCATAGCCGCCGCGTCGATTGGCCAGGTGCACCGCGCCACGCTGAAGAATGGGCGTAAGGTCGCCGTCAAGATTCAGTTCCCTGGAGTTGCTGACTCCATCAACTCCGATCTTGACAACCTCGGAATCCTTCTGAATGCTACCAAGCTTCTGCCGAAGGGCCTGTATTTGAACAAGACCATCGACAATGCGCGACTCGAGCTCGGCTGGGAGTGCGACTACGAGAGAGAAGCGCAGTGCCTTATCAAGTACAAGGAGCTGCTCGCCGGTGAAGAGGATACGTTTCTGGTGCCCGATGTTCACCTCGAAGCCTCGGGGAAGAATGTCTTGACCATGGACTGGATGGATGGCATCGGTGTTACCAGGGTCAAGTCCTTCAACCAGCAGCAAAGAGATTGGATCGGCACTCAGATCCTGCGCCTTTGCCTGAGAGAAATCACCGAGTTCAAGTTCATGCAGACGGATCCCAACTGGACAAACTTCCTTTACAACGCCAAGACCAATAAGCTCGAGCTTCTCGATTTCGGCGCCTCAAGAGAATATCCGGATGAGTTCGTCACCCAGTATGTTCAGCTTCTTGCAGCGGCATCACGAACCGACTACCAAGCCGTCAAGGAACTCTCCGAGAGCCTTGGATACTTGACCGGTCACGAGAGCAAGACCATGGTGGATGCTCATGTTAAGTCGGTGCTCACTCTTGCGGAGCCGTTCCTTGGTTCGGCCCCTGAGGTCTACGACTTCCACGACCAGACCATCACCGAGCGCGTAAAGGCTCTTATCCCCGTCATGCTGCGCGAGCGACTTGCCCCGCCGCCTGAGGAGACGTACAGCTTGCATCGCAAGTTGAGTGGTGCCTTTTTGCTCTGCGCCAGACTTGGTAGCAAGGTGAGATGCCGCGAGATGTTCGAGGAGAGCCTGAAGAAGAATGGTTACACTGTCTAAAACAAACGATGCGATATCACTTTGTACCATTTGTATCATTACTGTAACAACAGGTAGAAGGGCTGCATACAGGAGAATCAGTTAAACACAAAAAGGCACCCAGGCAATAGGCTCGGTAGTGTCATGTACTCCTCGATAGAAGACGTAAATAGACCGTCCCTCTGACCTCAACCCCGCCTCTGCAGCTGATCCAACTCCTTCCTCTCCCTCGCAACAACCTTCTTGCGCTTCCTCTCGATCGTCCTGTCCACCTGCTTCTTCTTCATGTTTGCGAACTGGTCCACCAGCAGCCTCTTCTTCTGCTCCGCCCTCTTCAGATAGAAAGGCTGCTTGCCCTGCTTCACCAGATCCTTCTCGCGACGCTTGTGCTCCGTCATCAGCTCCTGTTCGCGCTCCTTGCGTTGTCGCGCCTTCATCTTGGACTCCATCGACAATAGCAGGCGCTTCATCTCATCCTTCTTGGTTGCGTCCTTGGTCTTCTTGATATCGGTGCGCAGCTGCTTCATCTCGTCCGCACGATACTCGTCCAGGAAGGAGTATGCTTTCCTGGCCTTGGCCTCATCATAGGGACCGCTGAGCGGATCGAATCGTGGGTCGCGCACCTCCCTCTTGGGCACGGCGATGACCTCGCGCTTGCGGGACACCTGTCTCTTACTGGACATTTCGGTGGGTGCGTGCTTGCTCGAGCGCTTGGCGATATCGGCGGCGGACTTTGATCTTCTGGAGTTGCTGGCCTCTTCGGGTCCAGAGTCTGAGTCGGAGTCCTGATCTGAGGACTCGCCTGCTGCGCCGCGCTTGCGCCGTCTGTTGGATGCTGGCATGGAGGCTTGGGCTTTGGCGAGGGCACCGAATGAGACTGACGAAATGTCGATACTCGGCTTCTTGGGTGGGGGCGCTGTGTCTGACTATGAGAATGTCAGTACAATTTTCTTTTTCGCAATTTGTGATATCGAGAGAGTTTACCTCTTCATCATCATCTTCCAGCTCTTCCTCATCCTCATCTTCGCTCAGCTCATCCCCCTCCACGTCCATCTCCTCGGGCCCGCTGCTGAGGTTCTCATCGATCTCGACCTCTTCTTCTTCTCTCCTAGGTCTTACTCGGCGCTGAAGACCGCCGAATCCTTGTTTTCTCTTCCCAGACAGCATTTTCTTTGGCGCGATGACGTTCTGTTGGTTGCAGAGGAAGAAGGCAGCTTTCAGAATCACATGGATGAAGTCTACCTGAGTGGCCATGAATAAATTTCAGTGGGTCTAAGCTGTCACTTGGCCTATGGGAAAACGGGCTCTTATCGATAAGGATCTGAAAGCCAATTTCTCTTGCGACACGACACAGATCTTTTCCATGCACCTCTATAGCATGCCAAAGACTGCATTTCTTTAGATTCCCTTATTGACAATCTCTTTGATATCAGCTATTTTGACTTTCCGTCAACTTCGAGACCCAATCGGAAGCTGAGACTGTCCCACGATCCTTTAGACCCGCTCATGCGCCCCTCGATCTCCAAGATCTGCCCTGGATCTCTCCCAGCTGTCTTTCGTCAACCCGTTGCATATCAACGCCGGGCTGTGAGTGCCTCTAATCGGGGCCCAACACCTTCGCGGAAAGGACCCCGCCGGTACAATAAAGGGTCCGGAGTACTTAAATTGCTCCCCAACCTATCGCCAGTCCCCGGCTCACATATCTACAACATGGATATGCCCAACATACAGTGGTGGGCCAAGCCCGCCGCAAACACCACGGCAGCTCCCAACCAGACGAACGGCGGCTTCGCGATACCGGGACTCGGAAACAGCACATCCAATAGCTCCTTCCCCTTCCCACAATCTGCGCCGAGCACAAACAATGCACCCGTTGCGCCGGAGCAGGTTCCTTCTCCCGTAGTACCGACAGGACCTCGCGCAAAGTAAGCCGACGACGACCCCCATTCTCCCCTTACCCAAGCTCACTCTTTCCAAGCAGACCACCGATGAGCGATCGCGACAAGATTGTGGCCCCCAGCCTCGCCTCAGGCGGCGTCCCCGACCCGACCGCAGAGTACCTCCAACGCGCCTCCATCCCCTCCACCCTCCTCCCCTCGCCGAAGCCGATGTTGGTGGTTATGGACCTCAACGGCACCCTTCTCTTCCGACCCAGCCGCCGCAACGCGACCTCCTTCATTGAGCGACCGCACGCAAAGCGCTTCCTGCAGTACTGCCTCGACACATTCCACGTCGTGATCTGGTCCTCCGCGCGCCCCGCCAACGTGCAGTCCATGTGCGACCAGCTGCTCCTTGGCGCGCCTGGCCCCGAAGGGCAAAAGGATAGGGCCATGTATCGCCGCCGCGTGCTGGCCATCTGGGGTCGCGACCGTTTTGGTCTGTCCAAGGCCGACTACAACACCCGTGTGCAGGTTTACAAGCGTCTAGATATGGTCTGGAACGACCCGCGCGTCAAGGGTTCTCACCCGGATATCGCGACGGGAGGGCGTTGGGATCAGAGCAACACGGTCTTGATCGACGACTCGCTCGAGAAGGCTCGGAGCGAGCCGTTCAACCTGGTGCGCATCCCGGAGTTCTTTGGAGAGGAGGCCGAGCAGGGCTTGGTGGTTCCGCAAGTGCACGACTACATCAACTCGCTGTGCTATCAGTCTGATGTTAGCAGTTACATGCGCACGAATCCGTTCCAGATGAGGGACGATTACAGATTGGAGCCTCCCGCAGAGCAGTGAGGTAGGGTTGGCGTTCTTTGTGGTGGGTAGGACATTCATTAATTCTCAGGAAAGACAGTTTCGGACGAGCATGGGCGAATTAAGACGGTCAACCTCATAGCATCGAGATACCCATTTTAAACGTATGCAAAACAGAACACCAAGCAGCTTCACGATCGTGATTGAAAAAAAGTACTTTTGGTTGAATCAGGAATATCCTGCATCTATTGCCTAGTCCTAGTAACTCGGCACACAGCCTCTGGCATTACGCGCAAGATATTTCTTCTCGGGTCCATAACATCGTCTACACACCCCCTTTTCTGGTCGTAAACTCGTTTCATCTCTGCCATAAGCCATGAATATTCCATCACCCCCTATTAACAAGGTGATTCGCTTATTTGAAGACCTTGCCGTCGGCAACCTGGTACTCCTTGCCGTTGTGGGTGATGGGCTTCTCCCAGCTCCACGAGTCGGAGACGTACTGCTTGTCCTCAGGCTTGGAGGGGTCGAGCTTCTCGAAGTCGTAGCTCTCGTAGTCGGGAGCGACGTCGAAAGCAGGCTTGTATTCCTGGCCGCGGATAACGAAGGCTCCCTCAATAACGGAGTCGTTGTTCTGGCCGAAGACGGCAACGCATCCGAAGATGAACTTGCGGGAAGCCTCAAGGCGGTTGTTGAAGCCACCAATAAGGTTGTTGGACATGAAAGTCATGGTGAGCTCGTCGTTATACTTGTACTTGACCTTCCAGAGGGAGAACTCCTCGAAGTTGGCGTTGGACCAGAACCAGTTCATGGCCTCATCGTGGTCCTTGATGTTAGAGTACTGGCGCTTCCACTCCTCGAGGTCGAAGGTGGCGCGGGGGAGCTCAGCAAGAGGGTGCTTGGGCTTGGGGGCGGCGGGGGCCTCCTCAGCGGCGGGAGCAGCGGGCTTGGCGGCCTTAGGGGCGGCCTCCTTCTTGGGCTGCTCGGGCTTCTTGGGAGCGACGTTGGTGAGCTTAGGAGTCTCGAGGTACTCCTGCTTGTCGGCAACCGCGGTCCAGATGTCCTGGTTGATGATGGTGTCGTACCAACGGGTGACGCTGGGGTTCTCCTGCCGCCACTGCTTGTCGAAGAAGAACTCGAAGCCACGGGCAATGATGCCAGCGGCGAAGAGGTCGGCAAGGGTGATGCGCTCGCCAACGAGGTAGGTGTTGTTGACGAGGTGCTCCTCGACAACCTTGACGGCCTTGAGGGCAACCTTGGAGGAGTCCTCAACGGCCTTCTTGTTGTACTGGTCCTTGCCCAGGAGAGGGCGGTACCAGGCACCCATGGGGGGAAGGACCTCAGAGTTGAAGAAGGACATCCACTTCAGGATAGAAGCGTAGCTGAAGAGACCTGAATTAGTCATGTGTTGTCATCGTCGGTGGCTGGTAGACTGTGACTCACTCCTGCTTGGTCTTGCCGAGAAGGGTAGTCTTCTCGTTCTGGGAGGTGACTGTCATCTGGTTAGCTGATTTGTCCGGGGGCGCGGTTTCGTTGCGACGATAGTTGGACAGATGAGAAATTAGAACTCTGTCCACACGGAATTTCAGACAGGGATGACAGTAATTGTTGTACTAAATCATCATATCGAGGGGCGGCTTGGTGTTGTGGGAGGATTGATGCCCAACGGAGGGCGAGGCTTTTGTGACTCAGGGCGGACGTACTGTAGATGGCAATGGCGATGCACTCAGAAAGAGGGTAGCCATCCTCGCCGAGGAAGGCGGGGACCTTGCCGAGCTTGTTGGCCTTGAGGTGCTCGATGGAAGGCTTGGTGGTGTCGGCCTCGATGTACTCGAGGTCAACGTTGTTGGCCTTCGCGACGGCGCGGATGGCCGTGGTGCGGGGGTTGGCCTGGAGGGGCGACACCAGTCAGTAACAGATTCCCGGGATTTGCGCCGTGAACCGGTAGACGCAGAAAAAGTCAATTGACGTTGTTTACTTACCGGGTAGGTGAAGAGCTTGCCGAACGCCATCTTGATTTCAGTTGAGCTGACTGAGAGATGGAAGGGTATCAAGAGAAGAGTGTGTGAGGTGATGGACTGAGGAGAGAGAGAAGAAAAAGTTCCCCGCCGTCGAAGGTGACTGCAATTTTTTGAATGAAACGGCAAAATTTCGAGCGCCAGTGGCGGGGTTGGGTGGCCCCTCATTCACAGAGCTTCCAGGGCAACCAGCTGGCTGTGGCTCGAATCGAGGGGTTGTAGGCCCGAGCGCCCTGTAATCGTGGCTGACGTATCACATAATCATCCGATATTCTGCCGACTACCGCGACCGACCGCTTAGAGGAAGGAAAGATTTCTGCTCTGTGAAGACTGAAGCCACATTGGATTGCACGACATCGCGACGACCGCCCCATCGACGAGGGCGTTCACCGAGGTCCCAGCGCAATGTCGACCATACGCCATGGCCTGCAGAAGACGCTCTGCCTGCGTCAAACGGCCAGAACGCAGCTACTGAAGCCGCAATGGCAGCGACCAAGCTTCCAAGTGGGCGTCAAGAGCATGGCGACAACGACCAACCCCGAACCCAAGTTCACCGCGCCCAGCAGCAACGTCGATGCACCCCCCGAAGAGCCGTTCGTAGGCATTGAGAGAGCCCGCCCCATCCCCGTCTCCCCGTCCTACTTCTCGAGAGAGCCTCACTTCAACGATGCGTACATCAAGCTATCGACCCTAGTGCAGCGATATCAGCACCTCCCGTTGGCGCCGCCCGAGATGGTCCCTCGACAACTATGGAAGACCCTCAAAGGGTATCGTACAACATACGGAGAGCCGGTCAAGGCGATGCCTTACAGTCAAGTCTTGTCAATGGTCAAGCGGTTACATCAAATCTACCCCAAGATGATGCCCGAGGAGGTCAAGCTGGCTCTCCAGGAGTTCAAGAGAGATATCGACCCGTTCAAGAACGTTGCCAAGGTCACTCCTCTGGACAAGCACGGCCGCGCTCTGGGCATCGGCCGGAGAAAGACATCGAGCGCGCGCGCCTGGGTTGTGGAGGGCACTGGCGAGGTGCTGGTCAACGGCAAGTCTCTGAACGAGGTATTTGGCAGGATTCACGATCGCGAGAGCGCCATCTGGGCGCTTCGAAGTACCGCGAGGACGGACAAGTACAACGTGTGGGCGCTCGTGGATGGCGGCGGTGTGACTGGTCAGGCCGAGGCCCTGACATTGGCAATTGCCAAGGCTATGTTGGTTCACGAGCCGGATTTGAAGAGGGCATTGAGAAAGGGTGAGTACAGATTATTCGTCTTCCCGAAGTGCTGCTGTTTGAAAGTATTGCTGACATGCTTGGGCGCTACCAGCCGGCTGCATCACCCGCGACCCGAGGAACGTGGAGAGAAAGAAGCACGGCCACGTCAAGGCCAGAAAGAAGCCTGCCTGGGTCAAGCGATAAAGCGCCTCTCACCAAATTTCGCGGCGATGATACCGGAACACGTACCATACCACTTTGTTGTACCACCACCCTCGTGTATTCATAGAAAAAGGGCAGCTCTTACAATGCCAGCCTATGATGTCCAATCGGCCTGCGATATATGAATGGCCACTAGCGCGAAGAGCAATGGCTCCGTGATGATGAACTGCGCATGGTCATCGGTAATGACTGGACAGGCCAGCTTGGCATCTTCTGCCGCTAGTGCAATCAGTCTGCTGGCGTGCAAGGCGACATTCGGTCGGCCACTCCGGGTTTCCTTGATGGAGTTGGCGTCGACAAATAGCCACTGGGCCATTCCAAGATTAGCAGGTCGTTGTACAGCGTGATTTAGATCAGAATGGTAAGAGGTCGTCAAGCTTAGCACAAAACCAGGCGAGCCCCCTGCCCGAAAACCTGAGCCAAACAGTTCGCGGAGAAGCAACGTGGTGTTTCCAACCTGCATCCCGCGCTTTGCTGCGAGCAGGCCGGATGACACCCACATAGGGTTGGGAGCTATTGATCTCGAAGGAGGCGGTCGATTCAAGAGACAATCAACATATCAGGGTATGAAACGCATTGAAGCGAATTCCATGATCAACACTTGGGCATACGGGAGTGTGGTTCCTTGGTGATACGAAAGATTCGTAACCAAATGTTCAGGGCCACGCCGACGGCAATGCTATTTTCTACCATGATGTCGTCTGGCTGATACGGGGTCATTTAACTAGCGCGTGCAATGACCACTTCTGACGGTTGACGGTTGACGGTTGACGGAGTGGCCGTCAATGGCCTCTGGCGCGCATTGAAACCGGGTCTTGGAGCGAATGAAAGGAAGCTTTCGTGTGTCATTATCAGGCCAGAATCCAAGGCCACAAGATGGCACCTGTGTAGACTGTAGAGCAGCTGCGGGCGGAATTGAGGTTGAGGATGCAAACAACATTAAAAGGGTCCGTGTGCATGCGCGTCGATTTGTCTGGTGTCGAGCCTAGTGGTGACGACCCCCATCGCCAGCGTTGCAGAAACGCGTCCGGCGAGGGCCTTGTTTCAATTTCACACACAAGGTCACCCCTAAACGGAGACGACAGCGAGGGCACAGATGCTTGGGCCGGTGCGCCCACGGAAGAAGGGCTCTAGAAGCATGGAATGACTGAATCGAAGGTGCGTGGAGCTGGTTTCACACCTTGTGTCTGTCTTTTTGTTGACGGGATTTTAGTCCCGTCGGTGATTTATTCGGACGGCCACACGATGGACGCAACACGAGTCGCCTGGTTTCACCAGATGATGGATGGCAGCCCCGAAGTTGAAGCAAACCTCTCCGAGGCTCTGGGTATTGCTCATGACAGAGGAACGAGAGAACAAAGACGCGGTTGAATTGGAAGCCATTCATCAGCCTGGGCGGACGAGGCAGCGAATGGGGCGTACGAGTGGTTGTCGATGGGTGCTTGAGACGACACAATGGCGAGTGAATGAATGTGTGGTTGAAAGGCTGTACTAGGATTTAAGCAGACGGTGACGTGATGCGAGAACGAGGCTAAGGGGTTGGTCGAATTGCGTTCGCGCAGTAAAGCAACACTTTGCGAGGCCGTGGCATGAGTGGACGACAGCATCAGACTCAGTCTCGGGAAGGATCTCTTGTGCTGATTTCAATGATGGCGAGTGACAATCTCATGGCAATCTGCGGGGATCAACCAAGCGTGTTGAGATGATCGACGGTGGTCGCCTTGTAAGCTGTGCGAGGCTGAATGGCCCAAAATATGTTGGACGACAGCGTAACGGCCCAGGCCTTGCCGAGGGATGGGCGCGATAATGTACGTAGTATAGGTACGGGACCACACCACTCAACGCTGATTGATACCACCACCACAACTCATGCTTCAGGGTGTAGGCATAGAGAGAGTTATTGATGGTGATGAAGCGTAAGATACCATACCTACAAAGTTGGATCATTGGGCGGTTCGATTCCGCATTCCCACACCCGACTTGACGTAGGCGCCGACGGCAAATGGTTCGGGCCTTGGTTATTTGGAGTTTTGATGTGAACGGCGGTATTCGGCAAGCCACGGACGTTGAGTCGGGGATTTGAAGAAGGGACACCGGCTACTAGTCGTGCCGGTGTGTCACGAAAGACGTCTCTAAGGCGTCTTGGGAAGGCGTCAAAATCAAGTGTCCTTTTATTCGCAAACCGCCAACCAAGCGCGATTCTGGACAGGTTTAGCGCGTGCTTCTGCAAGTTTTGCCTGCCGTGCCATGCTTCCGGAAGTTAATAAGTCCATGTGCAGAGTATCCGCAATCTTTGAAGTCAAGGACGAGGTTGGCACACAGGCTAGGTAGGTAGGTTGGGTTGGAATGCAATCAACCCGACTGGAAGAGGGCTAGTAAGTGGGTTGGAGATGATTTTTTTTTCTCTTTCTCTTTCTCTTAGGTTTCGATTCCAAGGCGCCTGGTTGGACAATTAGCTCGAGCTAGGTGAGTTTGAGTGGGCAAGTTCGTGATTGGCACTCGACGTTGTAACCACACCATTATCCAACATGCTAGGTCCAAGGTCGGAGGATTGGCTAGTGCCAAAGCAAGTTCCGGTCTGCAGTAGGTACGGAAACGCGTTGACAACGGCGTAACGGCGCGACGGCGCAACGTCTAATATCTTAGCCAGTGGAACCGTCTCGGTGTACTGCGTAAGGTGGTGCGTCGAGAAGGAGCTGCAAGGCCACGCGAGGAAAAATTGAGGATGTGAACGACCCAGCTCCGCCCATGGCCCACTCGGGATTCGGGGGCAGTCTTGACTTTTGAGAATGAAATAAAATAAAAAATAGCAAAAAAGAAGACAGAAAGAAAGAAAAAAGAAAGCTAAAGAAAAGAAAAGAATAGAAAAGAAAAGCATGAGACGCTAGTCCTATCTGTCATTGAGTCGGTACGTACCTATCCTTCATCTTGGGTCTTCCTTCCCTTGAGGTATGCTGCTATTTTCCAGAAAGCCTCGACACGGCTACGGCAGGGTCCGATTGCGATACAACTGAACAAGGCACGACGCGAGGAGATGCATAGGGCTCAAACGGATACTGCAAGTTTGCATCCTTCTCTCATTTCTCATGATGCATCAGAGCCGTCCTGATGAAATCTCGTGCTGGTGGGCCTGAAATAGCGGAGCTGAGCTCTACGCCGGAGATGCCCTGGATGGCGATGCACCAAGATCCCCACCATGCAGAGTCTGTGAGTAGCCACAAGATCGCGATGGCTGATGCTGGACTTACATTGGATAGGTAGGTACTATCGTTGGATATTGGCAGCCCATAATCCACGTCCATGCGGCCGTCGGGTACCATAATCAAGTCCGAGAAAGAAAGGACAGGCAGGGAGACGGAAAATTGCGTTGGCAATTACACGCATCTCAATCACATCACGCCTCGCCAAGGCAGGCACATAACCTTACCTGAGTTCAACTGAAGAGTGTGTCCGCACTCTGCAATTATCATTGTAGGTCTGTTTCGATCCAATGCTAACGAGCACTGGATGCTAAGGCAGTTGCTGCCCGGTGCCAGAGGTGTAACGTCGTACCTTCCGGGGAATGTTCCGGCTAATGCAATGCAAATGACAGGAGGACCTCGACGTGTTGCATCCGCTCGTCAATCGCCATCTTTCAGCTCAGGTCGTCCCAACTTCATCTACCTCGACCTCGGTCTCAGACGTCTGTCGACGATGTCCAAACCACCACCATCTTTATAACTCCAGTACCTACACTACACTACACTACACTACACGACAGTTCAGCTACGCATCGTGATTCAACTTGATGGAGAGCGACAGTCCAATCACCATTTGATCTCCACCTTCTCGGTCTCCTTCGCAAGCCTCCTTCTACGGTACCTTATTAGTGTACGCAGCATGCGCGAAATGTCGCATTCAAGCACGATCCCTGAATCGCTAGGGTTCGCGTGGCTCTCCCCCAATGCCAGAAATCAAAAGACCCTCCACCGTACTCCACGTCTCCGACCCTGCAGCAGCGGAATGGATTCCCAAGCCACCCAGCACCCGACGGCGTCCATGTACCGGTACAGCCGCGTTCCGTACCCTCCGAACCACTCAAGCAAGGCACCGGCACTCGTTCAGGAACCCACCAGGCCCATGTTTTCAACCCTTGTTCTCCGACAAGGGTTCGTCGGCGCCTTCTTCGACCTCACTTGCTCTTCGTCAACTGCTTCCCCTGGACACCACGACAGCTCGGCAAGGAACATGGTTTTAACTTTCATCAACTTCAACACGCGTTCACTTGCTCAATCCGCCCTCGCACAGGTAGAGGTACCTGCTTGCTTGTTCTGTTCCCGTTCTGCAGTCATCTTCTCATGCACCAGCACCGCACCTCCTCCTGCAGCAGCTGCTGCAACCATCAGGACTGAGAACTGCCTGCATAACACAGGCACAGCAGGCCTGCCGCTCAGCCAGCAAGCTAGCTACATTACCTTATGCACCAGCTCGACCTCTGCATAGCCAACCCTTCTCGAATGAATATGCCACCACCCGACCCAGCGCCTCTGTCGTTGCCGTTGGCGTTGCGTTGTCGCTACTTGGAAGAACGCGCGCTCAGATACTCGTGGGTTATTGGCATCCCATGGCCGCAGCAAAGTGAGGCTTCAACTACATGAACCATTGGGCATCGTCAAGTCTCACCAGTTGCCGAACCCGGTCTCGTCAGGCCTTCATTACAATTTTTTTTTCTTGCTCACTTGCAAAAAAGGGGGCGCCAGGTCCTTGGGTGTATCAACTCGGCTTGCCCCCTTCTCAATATTCCAAATGTCGGCCTGTCGTCTTCATTCCTTGCATTCCATTGGTTTTCACTGGTCAGAAACTCGCGGGATCGGAAGCCTCTTCCTGTCTTGTCTTGACTTGACTTTTACCCCACCAATTACCACTTTGCCCAATTTTTCTTGGGGGCCAACTCGGACCATTTCCCAGCGGGATATGGATTTGATTTTTCTGGTCCATGTCTTCGATTTCGAGACGGCTCGAATCACAGCATTCCGTGTTTGCCAGACAGTCGGACCAGGCTGGAATGAATCGCAGCAGAGACTCGAATGCTGTCGCTGTTCACTGGACCCTGAAACTTGAGGAAACGGGGAAGCCTTCGCAACAACGAACATCTGTCCTTGGCCAACGAGCCCGACGTGAAAGAACAGGGCCAAACAGGCGTCTCGAAGTCCAGTAGCTGACGGGCTTGGCTATTGGTTGAGCCGGAGGGCATGATGAGCCGACGAGTAGGGATACAATCATTGCACGATTCAAGAATCGAGTAAAGTTGGGCCCTGATTAACGGCTACCGGCCACCGTAACGCATGACGGTCAAGCCACCGAGTTCTGAACCTTCTGTCAAAAGACATCACTGGCTGTTGCGTATGATGAAAGGCTCTCGAGAGCATGGTTCATCGTTGTCCAGAACATCTGAAGTGTGAGAGAGTCCAACGGCTTTGTCATGCTCTCCCCATATTCCTCTCCTCTTTTTCCTCCGCTCCGAAGCTGACGATCAATCTGTCGCTCCGCCATGTACAAAGAGTGGGTGTCGACAATCATCCATGTACGTCATTCGGCATCGGCAGTGCATCGCGTCTCGCCTCGCCAATGGAGCTTTCAAGACTAATCATCAACTTATCTAGCTCTAGGCCAACAGTGCGACCACGACGAAATTCAGGACCGGCCACGGTGCCGCGGCAGCAGCAGCATCGAACGGGGACTCTCGGCGGAAGTCATCGTGCCGGAGAAGGAGAGCAGGAAGGAAAGAATTCACAAAAGAGATGCAAGCAATCAAAACAGTTAATTACTGGCCTAGTGCGTGTATCCCCCGGCCGGGACGCCAGGGGAGGTGGATGGCGCAGACAAGGGTTACCGGGCTTGTCTCAGCGCGGTAATAAACAACGCCCCCAAATCCAGCAATCTGGGTGCTCACAGACTTTTTTAACTTTTACGATCCCTCCAGCTCATCGTCCGGGGGGCTCGTCATTGGCATCGCACCGAGGGAAGAGAGAGGCAGGGCAAGACAGGGTCCTTTTGCCATGCCCTCCGTCCATCCATCCATCCATTCATCCACCCAGCCGGCACCCATAGCTTCGTGCCCTTCCAGCTGGGCTTCCACTGCAGTTCCAACGGCCGCGGCCCCGATCGGAGGAACTCAATCCTCGGATGAGAGAGGGGTTGCAGCGCAGAAGACTGAAAAGGTTGACTAGACTGCTCACCCTAGGAGATTGGGCTCAACTTTACGCAGAAATCGAAACGAAACGGGTAGCAGTGTGGGCGGCAGTTGGACTATCCAGCTGCCAAGGGGCAAGTATCAAATGTATAGCCGAACCACGGGAGTGAGTGAGGGAGGGCACATATCAAGCAAAGGCAAGAATCAAAGCCCGCTCAAGACGAGCAGAGCCAAGGTCGAGAAAGTCAAGGCGCATGCGCGTGTGAGAATCCGGCAGTACAGATACTCATCTCACCTCGGTGATTGTCCACAAACGGATACAAACACTCGTTAGAAGGTACGGTACTCGACTCGACCGGACGTGCTCCGAACCACCATCATTGCCGCGAAACAGTCGAGAGGAAACGAAATGGTGGGAAGAAGTAGAAAAGAACCAACAAGACGACACGGCATACCTCCATTGCAATCTTTCTCTGGCTAGTCCGCTGCTTTGCTTTCATCTCATCCGTCCCATCTCATGTTCTCCATCCCCTTCTTCTGCCTTGCTGTATGCTGCGGCTAGCATGGTCATGGTCGTGCCAGACCAGCTCTCGTCCCGTTTTCCATCTACAGTAGCAATAATAAGGCGCCGTAACTCACATTCAAGTCCATCTGTACCAGGTTCTGTCTGTTTGGATACACCACCTTTTCACATATCTCACACCCTCTTCATCTAGTCGCCTACCTAACCTAACATGGCTTACCAAACCAGTTCAAACCACACCACAACTTCTCAAGCTTTCTGCGCTTCTACATTCCTGACTCCTCAGGGCGAACCCAGCGCAGAGCACCTGACAAGACCTGACTCTCTATTCGCAAACTAGCCCCGGTTATGGGGAGTGTGCCACTCGGCTTTGGCTCTGGTGCATAAGCCTCTTTATTTTATTTTTTATTTTCTCCTCCCACCCTCTCTTCCGAGTTTCTCACACACTCTCTCACACACACAATCTGATCCCTACACCTTACTCTGTCTCTCACTCACTCTCTCTTCCTCTCTCTTCTGGTCGCTGCTCATCATTCGTTACGTGTCACTATACGGTGCGGCCGACTGACTTGCTGCTCAACTTGAGTCGTACCTGCTCATCCTCATACTCGTGTACATGGCATCTCCCAGATGAAGTATCTATCATACCAATATTAGGAACGAGGGTACTTCAGATACGAGTACCTCCCCCGAAGTGTATCTCAATTACACCCCCTTGTCAGCCGCTCTCTTCTTCCAATCCATCACCAACTCCAACACAAGCGCAAACCCACCCTCCACTGCGAGAGACATTCGCTCGCCCACTCACACACTTGCTCTCTCACACCCACGTCGAGGCTCAACGTCCACACCCATCATCTGTCGCCTGCATCTCGTCCAGACTGTCTACGCCTCTTTTCCCAGAGAATCGGATGCCAGTCAGGGAACCCCCAACCACAAATACTGCCTTGCAGATCGCTGCATAAGGTCCCTCGTTCGGCCGACTACTACCAGCTCCAAGTCCATCCAGAAACTCCAAATCCATCTCCAACTCCATCTCCAGGTTCGGTCCTGGTATCCAGCTCCAGATTCGCAGCTCCCTCCAACAGGTCCAATCCTCCCGTCCACCGCCGCCGCCGCCGCCGCCGCTACGGCCGGTACGCTATTTGGCGCCGCATTTACTTTTTACAGGAGCTTGTTCGGGCTGCCACGCGCTTTCACCTAGGGGAATCCCTTTGCGAAGACGAACTCGTGGGCGGCAAGCATTGGGCCGGTTTGGCCTCTCGCGGTACAACCGCTTTTAGATTACATCTGGGTCTCTCCAGTGCGTTACGAGGTTCAGCTTGCTTCCTTTTGCGACCATCTAGCCGCACTCGGATTGAATCTGCCCTACCTCACCCCACGGAACGGATACTTCCTCGACGACGGCTCTGTCTGCCCAGGTTCATTACTCTTTTTGCTCTACAGACACGACCATAACGGTGTAATACTATTGTTCCCCCGTGTCTGTATCGGCTCGGTCTGATCTGGTTTAGTCTCATCCGTCCTGGCACTGACTGACTGGCCTGACCTTGGACTTCACTAGTGTTCCTGGACTTCCATTGTTGGTCTGTTCTCTCCTCTGGATTGGATGCTGGAAGACAGGCGCTTGCCTGCTGGTCTCCCTCGCGGTCACTTTTCGCTCTTACATACATTCCACGTTGACTGAGGTGGTTCTTTTCCTTCTCTCTCTCCGCCTCACCTTAAGTTCCCGACCTACCATATCTAGTTCACCCCCGCAGGTCTCTTTCGGGGTTGGGACGTTGCTTTTTCCGTTTTTCCCTCTTATTACTTTTTTTACCTCTCTATCAATCCTTTCATTCTTGTGCTTCCTTCCCAGCATCGATCGGCTCATATCTGCATCCCTCCCATGTATAAGATAGACCCCGAGACTACCGTTCACATCCTCCACACCCAACGACCCGAACCCGCCCCATAACATCTCTCCTTCTCACATCACAAGCCTACCCTGTCATTCGCTGCCAGCCAAACCCCCTCCCCTTCTCAAGGCTACATAGACTGGCTTCTAGCCTCGCAGCACTAAGCTACGAGCAACAAAAGTGGCACCCGGTCTTGCTCCATCCACATCACGAGCCTCACCCCCAAGCCCCAGGCGGCAGAGCACAGCCTCGGGACACGGCCGACCACTACTTACCCTCTTCATCTCAAGACAAGATCTGTCCGCCCGGTCCTTTTACCACGTCTGGCGAATCGCATCTTCTGTCAAGGCGACTCGGTGGTCGCTGAGACCCTGGTGCGGCTTCGTTGCCAAAGCAGATCGCGCAAGGGCCGGCTTGTAATGTTGGACATCGTGGTGCATGCGCCGTCTGGGATCTTCCTGGTATCAAACCTGACACCAGTTTGACAACTCAGCGCGAATATCCACCCCATTCGCTGGCTTTTTGTTTACCAAAATCTAAACTTCTCTAACGACTCACAAGACAACAACGACTCGTCGCCAGTCGTCGTCTTGTCTTCCCGAACCTTCAGGCGTCAGGGCATGAAGGAGGCCGGCGCTAGCTTCGCCGAGCTTTGTCGCGACAAGCAAGACTGAACAGTTAACTTCCTTGTCTCCCCCATCCAACGAATCTATCCGGACCTTCCCTCCCAATTCAATTCATAAAAGCACCTTCTATTACCTGCGCCCGAGGATCTGCCAGCCCATCCCGTGCTGCCCTCTGCTCGGCTCGACATCAGACAGACCCTACATCGGCATCACACATCAGGCCCCCTCGCCCAAGGCAACGCTTCCTTACCTTCGTCTCTTTTGACACTTTCAAAATCTAACCAGTCGACACCTGCGTTACCTTACCTTCAGACGCGCGACTTAACCATCCGCCGCTGCCGCCCAGTCTTACTCGAGTCCAGACACCCCTCACCAACGAACAAACGCACGTCGGTACGTTGCTTTTGATTTAGGTAAAGCAAACACGTCGAGGAACCTCCCGGAACAGGCAAACGACACCAATTTTTCATCGTCATCGTCCCGTCGCGCTCGACCCAAACAGCAGAAGGATCAGAGGAGCAAAGGAGAAGAAGAAAAAAAAATCCTCCCTCACCAACTCCGAAGGGATTCGAGACCCACGCTGGACGGTCTTGTGACCGATCCAAAGGCCCCAAACTGGCCCTACTGTACACATCGCCAGCTCCGTTGCCACCGGCGCATACGGCAGGCTTGCCTCCGGAGTCGACCGGCGACCAAGCCCCTCGTGGGATGGACGATCCCAATCGCCGTAGGAGGCAGAATGAAGCGCCCATGCATCCCACCTCCAACCCAAGATACAACATTCAGGATCCCCTGCAGCAGCGCCGCTCCATGGCCACAGGTTCGACAGAAAGATACAATCGGCCGGCGCCGCTCAACACTTCGCCCTCACAGGGCCGGGGCATGGGAAGCACGGGTAGCTACAGCACGTACAACTATCAGGAACCGGTAGCAGGGTCTTTTAACACGCCAATGGCGACGAACACGATGCATTACCCCTCAGGATACGGCCAGGACGGCCGTCCGGCAGCGCAAAACTTTGGTGGATATAATGCGGCCATGACGATGGGCTACGACAACTTGGCTGGCGCGACAGGCTCCGTTTACGACAGCCAAGCGCAGTTCCAGCGGCAGCCCGCAGCTGCACCGATCTTACCAACAGACGTGTCGACGTCGTACTTCTCGAACGACCCGAGCAGTAGCACAGGAACCTCCAACCTTCCACATGCGCCTTCTGCAAGCGCCACCGCGACGGCTTATCAACAGCCGCAGATGGCGAACTACCAGACCAACATCTCCAACGTGGGCGGGATGCCGCAGCCGACAGCGAGCGCCGACGTTTCAATGGAAGAGCAGGATTATTCCGCAACAGGCGGCTTGGAAGAGAAATGGATGGAGTATCAGTCCGCTTTGCGGGGGGTTTTCCAGAACGTCCGCAATGGCGTGCTCGAGAGCGCCAGTCAGTCGCTCCTAGACGTTTCCAACTGGCTCTTGTCGCAAGTCGTCGATCTCGGTAAGTCTTGCGAGCCACTAGCATGCGATTCCGATATTTGCGCCGTGTTCAGTCTACTAAACTAGCCATTTATTGCAGGTCTCAACCTCGACGACCAGAACTTGCATGGGGACCGGATCAAGCTTTGGAACGATTTCAACCACGCATGGCTGTCTCTTTTCCAGATGCAGAAAGACTTGATGGAGCCCGGGCGACAACTGCAGCGATCGCAGACGCTAATCAGCAAAGAAGGACTGGAAAAGATGGGCAAGGAGCTGGTCCGACTTTGCGACGGTATTGAACGACACGGGCTGGTGGATTACCAGTACGGAGTGTGGGAGCAGCAGATCATCGAGAGTAAGCAGTAGCGCAATCTTGGCACGATTACACCTTGAGGAACGAAAAACTGACAGGCTTGCTCAATCTCAGTTCTCGAAGCTTGCCTGGATCTTTACGAGGCGAACGAGGAATCCGGCGGAAATGGCGGCGGGACCCAGGCAGCCTCGGGCTCCCATCACGGGAGCAGATAAGAAGCGTTTGGCAGAAGCCAGCTGCGCCTGCCCCTGCAACCATTTCGAGACACAATTGGGTCTATTCGGGAGCATGTTGAAGTGCCTGTAAACATACTCGAGGACGGCGGCGCTTTAGTGGAAAAAACTTCGCTGGCTTGTTCTCTACACCTTCTCGGCGGCCTTTCTCTTTTCCTTCTTCCCCAAATGTACATTCTTGGCATTCGGTCGTCTTGTGACAGGGTACGAGCTATCAACACGATGTCACGTGGAACTGGAGTTCATCGGGGAGGATAACTGCTCATCAATTTTGCATTCCAAAAGGTGGTCGGGCAGGTATCAGGTATCCATGTCAGCATCATGAATGGGGCATCCATTTTCTTACTTTGTTCATTTTTCTTTTTCTTTTTCTCCTGTTTTCTTTCTCGTTTCTTTCTTCTTCTTGGCCTTCTTTCCCCCCCTCCTCGGTGTCCTTTAGGCACAAAGCCCTTGTCAACGCCATCCAGAGGGCTGGTCAGGCTCAAGACGGGGCTGAACCGGATGTTACGTCCGGGAGACGGGGGGCAGGCCCTGAAGTACGACGAGGAAACGAAGCGAGTGACAGGTCTTGGACATTTTTTCATCACGGAAAGGGGTGGTAGCGGGGTGTGTGGTGTGTGGAATTTTGGAAACCGGTCATAGAAGGGCGTACCGGGACGGGAGGAATGAACGAGGAACGAACGAAACCAAACGGGCGGGTGGCAAAAGGTCAAAAAAGTGAGGCCGGATACTCGCAAACGAAGGGATGAGAACGAAAGCAGACCCCCAAAAGAACAAAAAAAGATGTGTATGTCTCCTGTAGAAATCATGTATACCTACGGACGTTTGGTAGTAGATCAGGCCGGGAATGCTCTCACGAGCTTTGCGTCGTCGTTTTGCGCGCGCGATTGGTTTATTTCAAAGTTGTTTGTTTGGATCTGGTGTTTGTCCGTTTACAATCGTCCGTACTTGTCGGTGTGAGCGGAGTGACTGGTTGTGCTACCCCTCCTCTCCCCTCCCATCCCCTCCTCAGCACACTTTTCACACACAATTCATCCAAGTGTACCTCGGGCTTGGTCACAATCGAGTCTGAGAACAGATAGAGGTGCTTTCTTGCATGAATGATGAGGAAAAGCAAATATCTGGAGCCTTACAGCTCGATTAGGGAGGCAAGATAGATATCCGACGAGCAGGGCCAGTCGTCGTTGTCGACTTGTCGTCCGCCGTTTGTGGCGCTAATGAAAGCCACCACACCACACCCACGCGCCTCACCGTCGATCTTTCTGCCCTACGCTTATTCGATTCAACAGCAGAGCCTTGCAAGCTTTCATGCGGGTGATCAGTGACTACAGATGGCCCGCCGTCGGCCGCGCGCGGGGGGGTGGGTTGCTGCCTCGAAAAAGGCAAAGATTGGAGGAAACTGCCCGAGAGGTATGGGGAGAAACACGAAAGAAAGAAAGAAAGAAAAAGATGAGGGGGATCAGCGCGGAATCGATTCGTGCCCAATGTTTCTTCGGCCGCCGGGTTGTCGTTGATCGTCCACTCTTTTGAGGCGGTGTACTTACGGACGGGGGGTGGACCGGGGGGGACAGCGAGTGGTCCTCGAGGCTTGGAATGACGACGTTTTTCTGCGCCGATCTCCCGCCTTGGAAAAGAGGCTAGTGACGCCAGATGTTGGGTTGTGGTTGTGGTTGCTGTGTGTGGTGGTGGCGGTCGTGGTGGTGGTGGTCGTGGTGGTGGTGGTGGTGGTCTAGAACCGGACCTATCAATTATACGGCTTCGGTACGGGTACGGTCTCGGTGGTTGGTACTTTTCCGGCCTGTTGGAGGGCGACGGAGGGGAGGGGGCGTGGGAAAATAATCAAAAAGATTTCTTCTCCGCAGCTTTCTTCGAGACTTGGGATGGACAACTCTCTTGTTTGGACCCTTGAAAAGGAAGAGAGAGAAAAAAGGTTTGGGCTGGCCACTAAGCCGTTTTGACAATGATGTCGAGAAATTTTACCCCTCTTTCCTGTTTGCCCCCCAGGTCGGGTCGGGCATCAATCGTGACCCGACTCCTCGATGATCTTAGTATACCGCGGCAATCGAGGTGTCTGGGATGTTCGAGAAAGGTGCTTGTGATTGCATAGCTCGGCAAATGAGGTGTCGACTGTTTTTGGTGACGGCGGATTGAAGGACGACGATGATGGATGCGTTTGCCAGTGATGCGAGAAGAGATCGCTTGCTTGCATGGACGGCTGCTGCTGCTGCTGCAGGGTTTCTTTTTGGTATTGGCTGTACATGCACGTTTTCTGCGGAAATGGCGTTTGCAAGACGCACTTTTATGCGGTTGCCTGGCCGGCCTATCACAGCTTTCTCGGTATGAGCTCGGCGCTGCGCAGTTACAAGAGGTAGCCGAGGTCTTGACGAACGGGCGAGCGGACGGCGATTGTCATGAGACTTGTTTGGTTCACGCTGTTCCGGATGTTGTTCGCTTCGGCTACCGGGGCCCTTGGAAAGAGAGGCTCGGTTGAGAATAGCAGGAAATAATAAGCAAGGGTCTGTTAAGCTGGTAGCTGGGAGATGAAATAGGTACGGTCACACAAACATGCTTCATCAAGTGTGATGTGATATAATGTGACAAGTGACGGGAACATTGCAGGAGGGCTGGGCGAGGCGTGAAGGCCCCGGGCTTGATTTGATGTTGTTGGACTGGCTGAGGTTGCGAGGGATCATGGGGCGGCGGAGTGCCCCGGCAGCTTGGGACTTTGGATGAGCGGTAGTGGTGGGGGCTTGACAGGCCAGACCACGCCGGTCTGCGTTGCACATATTGTGATATCTGTATCAATATGTCGATGGAGGGTTCGGACGACGAGCGGCAACGTGATACACCACAACGGGTATGTTGCCTGCGCCTTGCGATTATGCCTTTGCCTGTGTCGTCCCAAGGGAGAACGAACTACCTTGTTGGAGAAACAAGAAAGTGACTTACAGAGAAAGGCGAGGCTGGGGGATAAGGCGAGTGGCAGAACAGGGCATGGCGCCTGTCTCGGCCTGCGCATGATCTGGGGTCCATACTAGCTAGTGTAGATCGCCAGGGGATCAATATAGCTGTGCTGCCAAAACGAGGGAGATATTGAAACACGGCTGAGTGATCCTGGTTGTCTTGAAAACAGGGCTGCTGACCGAGATGGATACACGGCGCAGCAAGTTGGCGACAGGCGATATGCGATGCATTACGTTACCTCTGTCGGGCGAAGATGCGAAATTATTCCAGGGTTTGGTTCAGGAGAGCGGCATGCAGCAACTTCCAACAAGTTTGACGATATGCTACTCCGCTTTTGGCCGGTTGGTTGGTGTCGAGCCGTGCCGGTTCTCGCCTCAAAAATCCATTTTGGCCTTCGGTTCCAAGTCCCAAGTCCCGGCCGCGTTATCCCTACCTGTCTGTCGTCAAAGACAATTGTCTCGCCCGGGCGAGCCCAGCAATCTGGGAACCGGCGTGCGGGAGATGCAGATCTTTGCTCGGGAATAGCCTGTTCGTCCTCATGTCTTTGAACGTGCGAGGAGACAGGTCCAGGCTCGGAGGGGCTAGGTACGGGTATGCTTGCTCTAATTAGGTCGGCGTTGCTAGGCCACTTCCAGTTAAGCAGCGTTGCTTTCTGGCCTTGCCCTTTTCTTGCTATTTCTCGCCCTAAAATATCCCAGTACCATGGTTAGGAGTTCGTGTTGGGACAGGGGGTTGTGACTTGCTTGCATGTCTTTCACCATTTGTGTTGGCTCGCATATCCAGGGAAAATGACCTGTCATATTTTGCTTACCTGAGGTTTCTGGTCTCCACTGCACGAAGTGCCTTTTGGGGCGATAGACAAGGGGATCTGTATGCGAGGGGTGGGAAAAAGAGGTCCCTGTTGGTGTGAACAGACATGATCTGACCATCCACTGTGGAGCGAAACGGGGCTTCGCTGTCGGTTTGTACTCATACAATCGACTTCTGGGCGTTCCGTTTCTGGACCGGGTCTTCGCATGTGGCTTGCCCGAACAAGCCGGGAAAAGAAGGTTGATGGTCCGGTCCGGTAAACCCGGAGTGGATCCCGGCGGTTGACGGCTCCGCTCAGGCCGGCTTTGTTAGAATCCCTCACCGGGCAGACTCCTTGACTCAATCATTTGAGCAGCAGAACACCCGTCTTCGAGATTCCATGAGAAGGATATGAATCTTTTTGACACTGGCCCCTCCATAAGGTATGGGTAACATATAATTGGCACCACTAGAGATGCTAACTCCGGAGACACCCGCCCGTCCTCTGGCACCCGTGAGCACAGGACGCGCTGCAAACACGCAGCCTGCGTTTCTTATGCACAGTTCTTGCTTGTATCAGCCAGGGGAATCCCAATCTGCCACTGTGGCATCTAAGTTTGGCAAGTATTTGGTCAGCCTATTTGTGATTCTAGATCCAGATTCCCGGTACTTCCAAGTATAGAGATTTCCTTCATCTTAACTGGTAAAACGCTGCATTGGCACCGAGATAATTAGTTCTAAAAAACGCTTGTTGTATGTGTTTATAGGGTTTCGCGGTGCTCAGTATTGATAGACCAGTACCGTCCCTTTGGGAAACCCTATTCTTGCTTCACGTCGAGCAGTAACTATGATGCTGCTTTAGTTCCCTATCAAAGACATTGGTACCTTTTGAAACAGTGGCGGATTATCTTATGAAGTGGCGATTCTGGCACTAAGGCTCATGGACTGCCAGGTGTGTATCGACGAACACGCTCTTACATCTAGCGCCGTTGGGTTCTGCATTTCCCACTGGGTAGCCGAGACTCTCTACTTGACAAACTTATATAGACATGTAGAATCGTGCTTCTTCATACTGTCCTAATCTTATGAAGGGTAAAAACCCTCAAGTATGCTCAATACCATCACTTACGAACCCGAATGCCATCTATCATTTAAGAAGTTCCAATCACTATGCTCTCTATGCTTGATTATCTTTCACTTTCTGCAGACTTATTTAATAGACAAGCTAATATGATGAAAAAAAACCATTTTCGTCTTCTCGCTCGGCCTCTAGATTGGTTTTGAGTTGATCAAGGGAGTTATGCGCTCATGAAAATCGCCTTCCTTCTCGAAAGGAAGCGCAGCCGGTTGAAACATCGCAAATATTGTGAGTTCCCAAGCAGATGCATTGAGCTTTTTAGGGGAGATCAAAGCCTAGCAGAATACCTGGCAGGTTTATTGAGAATGCTGTGTGAGATAAGGTGTGCCGTTCTTGAGGTATGTCCATGCCGTTTATTAAGCTTCTAAAATGGTAGAAGGAAATCAATCAGTCGGTATCGCGTGTTTTCGGTAGAATCTCAATATTTCAGCCAATCGCCCCTCAGATATTGCATATGAGCACGTGGGAAAATGACCAACTAGAGCTTGACATGAACCCGACCATCTGTGCACGATGACAATAGAAGAAGAGAACAGCCCTCGACGAGACAGAGGTTACAAGCGTGCTCCTGTCTTGATACATATTCCCGGGCTGTACCTCTGCGTACTTGCTCGTGGGTTCTTGCCCCCTTCCGTATCAAAGAGCCTCGCCTTCAGGTATCATGATGTGCCTTGCATAATAAGCTGCCTGTAGCCCAACCTACTTTCATACAACGAAATGCTAAATGGAACGGCTTATGGAGGTGGTTTCTTTTTCATTCCGGCAATTATGTACATGTCAGTCAAGTTGATTTAAGACAAGAACAATGGACTGACGTTGAATCGCACGAGAGGAGAGTGGACAACATACATGTACAGGACCACCTGGCTTTCATGTTATGGGCTTTGGTGTCTGATACCGCATACTGTTACAGTCATTATCAATACACGCAAATGCGATCAGGGGGACAACCAAATCTGTGAAATAACTAAGTAACAAGCAAAGCTAGAATTTTATTGTCGCGCAGAATTTCCAAGAAAGCTGACTTGACTCAAAGTTGAAGCTGTCCAGTAAAAGATCTATGACGGAAGCCTCTGGTCGGTGAGCAAGTCAGCACACGCGAAGACGACAATGTCGCGTGCTAGACATATTAAAACATGTATCCTAAAGGCGATGTCCCAATTTGATAGAAGAGGAAATCCAAGCTACGCATTTGCAATCCGACCATCACAGATGTCTTGTAAAGTTTTATGCAGTGGTGTGATGCGTAGCGGCCCTCTCTAAATACTCTCAAGATATCTGACGATGAAGTCAATACTTGAGTATCCAGGCGGGAATCCTTACTAACCAAAAATTATATTGGAAGTCACCTTCTTGTTAGAGCGAGCTCCATACGCATAAGAGAAGGAAGACAAACTGTGTGCCCTGATGTCTTGAGGAACTTGTGCCGAAGTGGATGTGGTGAATGTTGTCGAACACACGTGAACAGCACTGGAGTCATGAAGGAGGCACCGAAACCACCCAGCAAGAGTACTCAAGCTGGCTTAAAAGGAGGATACTGGCGATATCTACAGGAAAGAAGTGCTCTGCGGTGTACCATGAAGAGCTCATGTTGTATTCATAGGACAACACCCCAGGGGATAGATATATCCTCGGTTCAACCCTACGGAGAAGGAATGTCACGACGGAAGCTAGGACTTGGTACAATTTTATCCCATTGTCTATGGCCCCTTGGCGTCTCACTTCAAGTAACGTAGCCAGAAAATGAAAGAAATATTGCTCGCTCGTCACTGCTTGTCATTGCCTGGTTGCCAATCGTTTTCTGACTATGCGGTTCTACGCATTCCATGCTTTGCACTTACTGCCACTGCTGTCCTCACGTCTGCCCGGGCAATTCAATACCGGGAATAGATACGGTACTGCGGGTAGTTGGAGTGAAGCCGAGGAGTAGCTGGCCACCCTCGAAGCAACAATGAGCTGCGGTCTTTCCCCGATGCCTTTTCCCCTCCGTCCGCTGCAAGCACCCTCCTCCAGGCTTAGGACCCACCAGGTCACGGATGTGTGTTGTTTTGACCAGTCCACTCAGTGAAAATAATTGTTTAACGCAGGGACTGGCGCTCCTATTCCCGCCATCATGCTCTCTCAGGCTGCCAGCGGCCTCCTTGGCTTGGCGCAGCAGTCTGGCCGGCCAGTCTACCTGATTGATGACTAATTGTAGACGACTAGCTTGTAGAACGCGCAACTCACCTCAGATTTGTGGTCTGTTATGGCCCTCCTGCCTGTTCGAATGATTTCGCCCTTAGCATGATATTCTAGAATCCGGGTCCAACCGACGTTAGGGGCTCCCAGCAACGTCAACAGTGCGGGGGAAAGGCTTGGAACTGAAAAAGACTTCGATTCAGACCGAGACGGCGGTCCTGACGCTGCCCTGCCGGGGTAATGTTGTATATCTCTACCTAGAAGAGTGTTGCAATTCATGTCTCATGATCCCGTGTTGCGCACCACCACTATGCTCTACTCTAGAATGTGTCTGTAACCAATCGTCAGTGCCCGATGCCTAGAATTAAGAGCTAAAGTCGGAACTTACCCAAAGTCATGCTCATGCTGACGTCCGTGTTCTCCACCATCTTGGTGAACTCCTCAAAGCTGATCTTGCCGTCCTTGTCCAGGTCTGCCTCCATAATGGTCTTGTCGACGATCTGCTGGAGCTGCTGGTCCTTCAAGTTGCTTCCCACCATCATCTTCAGGACAATGAAGAGCTCGCCATTGCTAATGTATCCATCGCGATCGATGTCGTATACCTTGAAGGCGAAGCGCAGCTTCTGCTCCTTGTTGCCCTTGGAAGAGAATGCGCTGAGACCCGAGACGAATTCCTGGAAATCGACGTCACCGCCACCGTCTTCGTCGAAAATAGCGATCATTCTGTGCGGAGTGTGTCTCAGTATTTGCTTCGGCGCTGGGAACGCCTTCATCGGCATGATTCATACCTCGTGGCCAGCGGGTTGGACGAGATTTGAGGAAGGCTGAGGAACTCATCGCGTTCGATTGTACCGGAGTTGTCCTGCAGAAAGGGAGTCGGTCAGCGAGGGTGCCACTTGCGACCAGGGTTGTCGACGATGCGCGAGGTCCTTGTCGGAGTCGAGATGAAGGGCAAAAAAGCAACTTGCCTTGTCCAGCTTCATGAAACGTTTCCTGAGGCGGTCAACCTCTTCTCTGTCAACTGCCTGACCGTCAGCACGCGCCCAAGTCTGTGCGACAAAGAAGTTGACTGCGGGGGAGGGGCTCACAGTTGGACCCCTGGACAATATTGTCCAACACGGCGCTGGTGGTGTTGCCCATGTTGGAAATTGGCGGTCGATCTCGGTGGGAACGGTGGTGATGCGCAATCCGTCCGGTGACTGTTATCGTCGTCGCAGTTGGGCTGTTGTCAAGATCGATATTCGCTGGTCCGCCGTGGGGTTCGCCGTGGTGAAGTAGGTGGTAGGGAGGAAGGTTTACGAGAGTAAGGCTAAGTACCTAACCTGCAGATAGGTACGGTGCGGGAGGCGTCAAGTCGAGGTAAGGCAGCCGCGGGCGCTCGTGATTGGCTTGCGTGCTGGATTCGGGCAGCTGAACGTGAACCCACCAAGGAGATGCTCACGCACGGGCCACTGCTTGGATTAAGTCAACCCCATCATTGGCTGAGGTTGATAGACGTACGACGTGAACGGCGGCGAGTATCAGATGTATTACCACCACATTTAAGTTTCGGGAGGATGTGAGATATCGGAAGCACATATGAGATGCATCTACATATTGAAGTGTTTACTGAACGTAAATCGCCATCCCATGAATGCAATTTCCACGGCTGTCGTGGTTGTTATGATGTTGGGCAGGCACAGCACGTGACTCTCCTTTTCGCGCCGCTCATCCTTGGATGGAAGGTACCAGGCCCAGAAGTCAGCGAGTCGGGCTGCTTTGCCCAGGTCCGATCCGGGTGTTGGCCCGTGCGTAAAGTACCTTCACGGCGCATTTACTACTGCAAGGTACACAACTCCCAGAGACCTCCTTGAAGGCAACGAGCGGTGCACCAGAAAAATTCTGCGCGTGGCATCTTCGCGGCAGAACACATCTCAACGTCACCTCATCAAGCAGCGACATTTCGACCATCGAAACAAACACCACAACAACGTTTTTTATCCTTCAAAACCCCAAAATCCCAAGTCGCATGCCCCCATATATGACTTGATCGACTTTTTTTGCGGATTTTCCGCCGGCTTTCCGCCTTCCACCCCCCACTTGCCACCATGTCTACGAGGAAAGTCCGAGTCAAGAAGTTGAGCGTCAAGACGCTGCTTCCGGTACTCAGAGAAGATGATATCGATCCTAGCGAATACGAATCTTTGACCACCGAGTCTCAAATCGCGACCGGTGTCGAGGCCGCTGAAGAAACTGTGAGTCACTTCAACTCCCATATCACACTTCAGATATCACGTGTCAGGTCATGTGATATACGGACCCACCTTTTTGCAGCCAGCCTGCCACGGCAGAGTACTGACCTTAGATGCATAGGAATACCATCTTCAGTCCATTCTTAAGGAGGCAGGCACTAGCAATGATCAGGAAATTCCTGTACCGCCTCCTCAGGAGAGTCAGATCAACTATGATCAACTCTACCCCAGTCACTTCCGCCAACCTACCTCATATATTCGCTTTTCACAAACCGTCGAAGAATGCATAGGCGTTTCCTATGACATGACAACTGAGGACGACGAATTTTTGAAGCAGTACAACTCAACAAAGAAAACTGTTGCCTCACAGCTGTCCGAAGATGACTTTGAGCGCATCATGGAGGTGTTCGAGGAAATTGCCTCAGAACAAACTCCTTTCGCATCAATAGACAACACGGTGGTTGCCTATGATGTTATGGTCCCTTCGCTCAGCCAGCTCGGTAGTCAGAAACTGACGGCGCATGCCAAGCACGTGTATGAACACTGGAGGTCGCGCCGGCAAGCAATCGGTAACAAGCCTCTGCATCCGAGTGTCAAATTCGAGACGCACCAAGAGAGTGACGAGGCCGATCCTTATGTCTGCTTCAGGCGGCGCGAGGCCAGGCAAACCCGCAAGACAAGGCAGAGGGATGTCCAGAGCGCCGAGAAACTCAAACGACTTCGCAGAGAGCTCGAGGATGGACGGCAACTCATCATCCACTCGTATGAGCGAGAGATGTTGAAACGCGAAGCCTTGAATTTGGACCGCTTAATCTTTGAGCAGCGGGCTAAGCTGAAGGAGATGAAGGTCAAGCTTGGTATCAAAACCGAGGACGAAGACCTCATCAACCAAAAGGTATGTCGCACCCCCCTGTCTGATGACCGGGCCAGAACGGAGGCTGATAGCGCACAGCCTCAGAAAAAGAAGCCAGTGGAGGCACCTGCACTGCAGAGACCGCCCGGCAACCACCTCCGTATTGCTGTACGGCCCGATGGGCGTTCCATGGAAGCAGATCTGTTGCAGCTGGCAGACAAGCTTGCAGAGAAGGAGAACGAACTGCGTGCGGACGTTGAGAATAAGATTCACAACCACCGCAAGTGGAACCAGAACCACGTGGATGTCACCCGAGATCCCTTATCCCCAGTCAAGGAGCAGGGCATGGAAGTGAACTTCAGGCCCGCCAAGACCCAATATCTTATGACTCCTCCTGCGTCTACATCGTCTGAGTCGGACGCCATGGATATCGACGATGAAGAGCCTTTCGCAGAGAAGAGCAATATGTCGGTATTCCAGTTCACTGCAGGTGGCGCAGGCGGCAAAGAGCAGCCACCAAACAGTCAACCAGCATTCCGCCGTCGTATTGGACGGTTGAATAGACTGTGGATAGATCGTCGGGGTATGACAACACCGCCGAGAATCGAAGGCGAGGAGTACTCGGACCGGTGGAAGTATGACCAGGACGACGAGGACGAGACACCGGTGTATGACCTGGATCCGTATGACACCCGGGCGTTGAAGTTCCGCGCAACGATCCCGTTGTCGCAGTATGTGTATCCGAGGCGGCAAATACCACAAGAGGGTTTGGTGAACGGCCAGGTGCCCCCGCAAGCCGCAGGAGTTGCCGGCAGCAGGCCGGCGCTACCGCAGCCTCCGGTTCCGCAGCCGCAACAGTCGCAGCAACCGCCGCAGCCACCAGCGCCACCCCAGGTGCCACCAGCTACTCCAGCCAAGGCTGCCGTTTCGTGAGAGCGGCTGCCGCGCACTCTCTCCATCCTCGGATGACATATTGTTGTATACCCCCCGGTGTTTGGTTTTGGTTTTTGTTGTTTTGGGATGTAAGGAGGGCCTGATGGCAGGCAGGACGGTTTGGCGTGGCGTTTTGGGTCGTGGTAGCTCCCGTGTAAAATATATGAATGTAAAGGAAGCAAGGCGACGGGAGTAGTGGACTGCGACCTGCAGGAAGACGAAGTCATGGAGAGAGGAAAATAGATTCCCCACCCAACGAATAGAAGATCAAGAATGACCTTCGAGCCTATCCTTGTGTGATGTACTCTGTTTCTTTCGATCTTGGGTGTTGCAGTCCCTGCGCTCGTGGCAGGAGACGGGCGTAGATGTGGCCGAACATCTGCGCAGACAGCTTTTGCAGCTGGCTGTTTGCGGGCGATAGAACTCGGATCGGTGGGTAACGGGCGAAGAAGATTGTAGAGCTCTTTGCGCAACGAGCGACGGGACAGGAGGAGGAACTGGTGGTGCTCTAGAGGGCGTCAATTTCTCGTCGTGCTGAACGGACAGTCGGTGGTGGAGGCAACTCGGGCAGCTCGCGACGAGCATGTGCTGGTTCATGCGATAGAGACTTTGTCTGGGTAACGTCTTCGGTTCTTCTCTGCTGGATTCACCCAGAGCCTGAGGGCATCATCGCAGTGGCAGAGCCCCGAGAAATTATGTGAAGAGGAGAGAGGTCGAAGGCCATGTCGTGCCTGGTTGCTGGCTGGCGTCAGCAGGACTACCTTTGTCTCGCCCGATTCGGCAGATCAAGTCCCGCAGATCCCTCGGCGCTCACGAGATACGGGAGCTAGACAGTTCGGAGCCATTTTACGAAGGAAGGAAAAGCAATGAGAAATTAGGGTACGGAAGTAGGGGAAGATGGCATAGTCCCAAAAGAGGGGAAGAGGGTTTTTACCAAGCAGCCCAGAAGAGGAGTATGGGAAAGCGAAGAAAGAATTGTGTACCTAGTAAGGTAAGAGAGAAGAGGAGTTCCACTTCGTCGAGGCTTGCCTGGTGGTGTGGGGATATTGCGTTGGAATCTCTAGCAACCTACTCTGGTTGTGTGAGCAATAAACGACCAGCCAGCTTCTTGGGGGGCATCGTAGGCACGGAAGAAGGAGCACGGAGCACTGAAGCACCGCCCAGCCCCTGTACGTCCGTCCCATCTCCTGGATTAGGTTGCTCTATTTTCTTCCTCTTTTGCTGTGTGTGTATCAATGTACAGTGCGTGTCGGATCTTTTTGGGGATCAAGTCCGCGCGGGACGGCGTTTGCCGCAAGCGCGAGGTTGGCTGAGCCGACCAGTCAGCTGCCCTACGATAGGCGTAGATTGGAAAGGAAAGGTAGTAAGCGGCCTCAGGTACGAATGCAACTTCTGACGCTGACGCTGCTGCTGCTGCTGCTGAGCCGGTGGGAATCTCTGAAGGAAGTGCGGACTAGGGTGTCACGGGCGCAGGCGAGCAAAGGGTCCGGCGCGGTGGGAAGTGCGGTTGTGGCAGCGCTTGCGGCAGGGGACTCAGACCCCGTAATTTCATCCACTTTTCTTTTCAGAGGACGGGACATCCCACCAGACGTTACCCCTCCTACGTCAACTTTTTCTGACCTCTTAGCCGTTGGTCCCTTGCGACGAGAAGGCGGGCAAAGACCGAATTGCGATATTTGCACAAGCGACGTGAGCGCATTGCATAGAGAGGTCGCATACACATCCGAAATCCAGAGACTTCGGTCGCAAAAGACGACAAACTAACAGGGTGGAAAGAGAGGGAAAAAGGAGGAGGGAACACCCCAAGAACGAAGCCATCGCGTCCAGCCCCATGACCGATATCCGACCCCCAAAGAGGACCCACGATCCCGACCTTTCCAACGACACACCCACACCACTCCCCGAAGCGGCACCCTCACCCTCGAAGCTCACGACGGCGACAATGTCCAAGAAGAAGGGCCTCATCGCCCTTGGCTGCGAGGGCTCCGCCAACAAGCTCGGCATCGGCGTGATGCTCCACAACGGCTCCGAGTCCACCATCCTCTCCAACATCCGCCACACCTTCGTCTCGCCCCCAGGCCAAGGTTTCCTGCCCAAGGACACCGCGAAACACCACCGTTCCTTCTTCGTCCAGATAGCGCGCCGCGCCCTCCGCGAGGCCGGCGTCTCCGTCTCCGACGTCGACTGCGTCTGCTTCACCAAGGGCCCCGGCATGGGAGCGCCGCTGACGAGCGTCGCCGTCGCGGCGCGCACGCTGGCTCTGCTGTGGGACAAGCCGTTGGTCGGTGTAAACCACTGCGTCGGACACATTGAAATGGGCCGGACGATCACGGGTGCGCAGAACCCTGTCGTGCTGTACGTGAGCGGCGGGAACAGCCAGGTCATCGCATACGCCGAGCAGCGGTACAGGATCTTTGGCGAGACGCTGGACATCGCGGTGGGCAACTGCCTCGACCGATTCGCACGCACGCTCGAGATCAGTAACGACCCGGCGCCGGGATACAATATCGAGCAGCTGGCGAAAAAGGGCACGCGGTTGTTGGACCTGCCGTACGCGGTCAAGGGCATGGACTGCTCGTTCTCGGGCATTCTTGCCAGCGCGGACATTCTGGCGGCACAGATGAAGGCGAGCCAGGCCAAGGGGGAGGAGACGTTCACGCCGGCGGACCTGTGCTTCACGCTGCAGGAGACCGTGTATGCCATGCTGGTCGAGATCACGGAGCGCGCCATGGCACATGTTGGAAGCAACCAGGTCTTGATCGTGGGCGGTGTGGGATGCAACGAGAGACTTCAGGAGATGATGGGCGAGATGGCTAAGGAGAGAGGAGGTAGCGTGTACGCGACGGATGAGAGATTCTGCATTGATAACGGCATCATGATCGCACACGCTGGCCTGTTGGCGTATGCGACGGGTTTCAGGACGCCCCTCGACGAAAGCTGGTGTACGCAACGATTCAGGACAGACGAGGTTCACATCAAATGGAGAGACTGAGACTCTCGGTCAATGTGGCATATACGGGCTTGAAATTCTATCGCTCTCATGCTTGCGTGATCCTCCTAGCCAGACACAGGACTATATGGTGACAAAAAGAATGTCACTGCAGCTGTTCGGAGTCGCCCACGAGCAGGCTGCCCGAGATCCCAAAAATCAAGAACTCCGCCTAGCCAGGCTATTCATCGGTTGTCGTGGGCTTGTAGATGATTGTCGTCACATACTATACTCCGTGTCAGTTGCGGACAAACATTCGCATCGAAGGAGCGTTTACCTTGTTCTTGTAACGCGTTGTAGCCGACACAGCCAAGATGTTGTTCTTGATGCTACTCGTGGCCAAGTGGTTGAGAACGGTGTGGTTGGGCATGTTGAGCACGCTGTTGTCGTCCTTCATGAGGACTGCGGCGTTCAATATCGGCTTGCCTAGGAAACCTGGAAGACTAGGGGGTGTCGGTAGCTTTTCAATAGCTGTCACCGCGTATTGATAGGCCGGGGAGTCTTCAGGCTGGTCGAAATCCACCAAGTACTTGGGTATTTGGTGGAAATATTGACTGGGTGAAGGCACTGCCTTGCCCTTCGGTGCCTTCGGCTGCTCATCACCCTGCGACTGTGAGGCCTTGGGAGCGCCCGCATCCTCAGCAACCGTGCCGGGCGCTGGGACTGGGCCTGGCACAACGGGAGCCTTCGCGGGGAGGTCGTCAGCGCTGACTTCGATGAAATTGACCAGGTTGTTGCCAAAGTCCACAGTTGTTGGCAAGTCCGGCGAGGTCTGCATGATTCCGTCCACCAAGAACCTAACATGATGTGTTCCCGGAAGAATGTGTACTGTCGCCGCAAACACACCAGGCTGGCCGTCCCTGTTCGAAAGCCGGGTCAGTGACATGCCAAATGATAAACAACAGAGCGCAAGGCTGAGCACAAGGTGAGCGCCCCAAGTGGTTGGGATCTCAGACCACTGGGGAACCACAAGTGTAACGCAGGCAGCCAAGACACAAGCCCACAGAAATGAAACCTACACGGGATGCAATCTTTGTTTACGGTTCCATTGGAAGATGGTTCCTGTGACATAGATCTTCCCTCCTCCTCTGCGCCATTCAAGACGAGTCGGCACGGTGGGCCGGGTCTTATCCACAATCAACTCCTCGCCATCCTCTTCATCGACAGTGGTCGTACTCAGAGCCGACGACTTCCTCGTCATGCCATCCGAATCGAGTGTTTCCACCTCTGTGACGGACGCCTCGCTGGCGTCTGCCGGGGCAATGATGGGCGATCCGGGGGTGTGGATCTCCTCTTCGATCGGGAGAGGCAGACGAGGAGGGCGGGTGAGGTACGACATGTCGTTCACACTGTTGTTGGAGACCAAGGCTGGTTCAATCATGTGGGCGGAGTAATGCGACCTGAGGGAGGAGGATTCGGTCGGGGCGCTGGGGACGTCTACGGGCTTGCTGGGCTCATCGCGGATGATGTGCTTGTTTTCCGGGGGCTTCGGTTGCGGAACGGAGGTACTCGAGCTCGACGAGGGAGAGCCGGTGGTGAAGTTGGAGATGGGAATGGCCTGGAGGGGCTTGGGTCCCTTGGTAGTCGTGGAACCTTGGGCTTGAGTAAGAGAGGGCTCAGGCGGGACGGCGACTCGTTCGGCGGAGCGTGGCGGGATGATATGTTTGGACTCCCTTTTGTGATGGTGATGGTGCTTGGGAGAATCCTGCGACGCTGCGGCGGATGAGACAGGCGTGCCGGGCTTTGACGACGAGGAGGGGTTGTTGCCCATCGTGTTGTTGCTACTTCCAGATTTGTTCGTCGGGTGGGACACGACAGCCTGGTCTGGGGTATGGTTCAGGGTACCCTACCGGGCCAGGTCGTGTCTAGGCGGGCGAAGTACGGAGGACACACGGGATGTGTTGCGTTGCGTGCGGTGCGGGATTGTGGGTTGGGCTTCGGTGCGAGAGAGCGCGAAGCCAGCGCGGCCCAGAGAAACGCAGTCCAGCGATTCGGCGGCAGATGAAGGTGGGAGGGGTCCCGAACTTCCACGTCGGGCAAGTTGCTTCGAAAGGGCGTTCGTGCGATCCTGGTTAGGTAAGGCGCGATTGCAAAAAGATACCTAATCGCGGGGTCGTGAGACGATTATCGCATTCTCCAAGGAGACGATGTGGCAGCACATGCAAAGAAAGGAGGTTTTGTGGCGACTGCTATGTCGTGGGATGAGGTCAACAATCGTCGCCGCTGTGTGGGTGGTGATGATATGCAGGAAGCGACCGGGTCGTTTTTTCCCCCCCCTTGAAGATGGGATGAGAGGTCAGTTCAACAACGGGCGAGGTTGAGTGTGGAGGGGTTGGTGGTCAACTGCCCGGTCCAAACCATGCGTGGAATCCGTGGAGGGTAGGTAGGTAGTTAGTAAAGCCAGATAAGCTTGACCTTTCAAGTACCCGCGACTACGCACATTTTCGCATGAACATGCAAGTATCGGTGGGCCTTCTCTTAGCCAGCATTTTGGCTGGTCCGTGCTTCTACTTTAATTAGGCGGCCCCCTTGGCTTATTCCATCCAAGGTAGGTAGGTACCGTAGGTAACACACTGCTCGTGTAGCATGGAGCTCGGCACCGCTGCTAGAGCTCCTGGACCCGACTGTTCAAGGTCGGCCTTCGTGACTACCACTAAGGAATGTGCTACCTACCTACCCTTTCTTCCGTCTCATTACCTGAAGCCAATGTAGTCAGCCATCGTCCATCGTTGGATCAGACTGTGGCTGTATTCGCCCCCTTTCGAAACCTCTCTCCTCTTAGACCTGTACATCTCGTCATGCTGCAGAAGGAAACAGGAGATTGATGTTCACATCCAGCAACCGCTCGTCATCATCACGACCTCGTGCGCTTTCACGATCCTAGCACAATGGCCTGGATATCGTATACCTCCGGCGTTGTCGCCGTCGTTACTTTCCCCCTTCGTCTGGTGTGGAAGCCTGTGGCTCTCTTCATCAACTCGATGCTCATCCTGATATCTCCATTGATCCTCATGGGGTCATTCATCATCGGATGGTGTCAAGGAGTACTTGACTTTATAGCAAGCCTTCAGGTACGCCCCCCATCCCTTACGACGAATTCGCCATATTGACTTCCTTACTATAGCCTCTCTATACGTTTGTTAGTCACCTGACTCTCTCGAATTTTCATTTCTGCTTGCTAATCAACTCAGCTGGCCTGCGGCGCCTGCATCGGCATCGTGACCGGTTTGACCATGTCATGCACGTCCCAAATCATCACCACAGTCCTCGGTATGCATGACAGAGGCTATCAAGGTCCGCCATCGACACCTGCTCCTTCGACTCCTTCGTCAGAACGACCAGGGACGGGCAAGACTGAGGACTCCTCGTCTTACGAGACCGACTGGCAGCTGCTTAACAAGCCGCCTCCGAAGCGGCGTAGGACGAGACCCGGGCTGTGGTCTCAAACTATTCACGAGGAGGACGATGATGATTCCGAAATTTGAAAGTCGACAAGCCATTCTTCTTCCTCACTATGCCCTATAGCTTACAGAAACACTTACCAAGGAACATGGGAATCATTTTAATGCCAACCTTGCTCGGGGATATGCCTGTTGCCTTTAAACGCCTGTTCCTGTGCTTCGCCTACCGGCCGTGCCGTTCAACTGTTACCGCGTCCTTGTAGACAATCCGCTGCTTTACGTGCGACCCTGAACTCTTCCCAAAGGCGAATTGAGGCTTTCGCTTTGAGAATCTGATGGTCTTCGGTGGCTCAACAACCTCCGTTTTTGCGCCCTGTAGCTTTCGTATCCGCGTCTGCCCTCCTGTTCATGGTCGTAGTCTCGATTACTTGCAGAGGATGGGCTGCAACTTCTTCGCCTTTGACGGTCAGGTGAACGTGCTGCGAGCGTCGATGAAGATCGGCTGCAGCTGCTCCGTGCAGGTTTGTCTCTGCCGTAACTCCGTCTTTGACTATCTCCATGGCATGACTATCTGCGGTAGACATCCCGATCCCGGTCTCGGTCTCTCATCGGGGACCGGCTGCGGCTCCTCGTCCGACGGTCCCAGTCCCGATCATGCCACCGCTCGTCTCTACTATTACGGCGACGGTCACGCGGAGGCCGTTCGTCCCTGTGTCGCGGACCATCGTCCCTATAGCTCGGAATGTATGTGTCCACATCCGGTCCTCTTCCTCCCCGACTTCGAGGTCGCCTATCTCTATCTCTGTCTCGGTAACCATCCCGGTCTGCAGGGCCGCCATTGGCGTATTCCGGTGGCGGCGGTCTAGGCGGCAACCCACGCTCTCCACGTTCGCGCTGCCATGCTGGTCTGCGCTCGTCGCCATTCCGATGGCCTCCAGGAACGTTCGGATGGCGATTGCCGTTCACACCATTACGGTTCGAGTAGGCGTCGGCATTGTTGAACCCGGCGTTCGCGCCATGTGCGTCCGGCCCTATGCCCACTGTTCCGCCCTTCGGAGCTGGTGGGAGGGCCGCCTTGCGATCGTGGAACTTACGCCTGTCCAGTTCGTGACTATCTTCGAAGGTCGGTAGGTCGTCTGGATTGGCCGGCATAGGGGCCATTTTGAAGTAAGGATGGTTGAGAGCATCCGCGGCGTTGATACGGCTTCTCCAGTCGAGCTTGAGAAGCTCCTTAAGCAGAGATATCGCACCTGAACCATACTCCCTGAATCTGGTGGAAAGGCTGCCGGGCCTCGCGCGCGGTGCAACAGCCTCGGAGCCGGGGAGAGTATTGAACAAAGGCATGTTCTCGGGAGTGGGTGATCCCACCAGATCCCAGATGATCTCGAGCTGGTGGCTGTCACTTTCGCCTGCCAGAATAGGCTTACCAACCAACATTTCGCCAAAGACGCAGCTGTTTCCAGATTAGCAATGCGGCCATTACGAAGAAGGGCTTGGAACATACCCGACGCCCCAAACGTCAATGGCAGTCGTGTACTTCTTCAGGTGAAGCAGCAATTCCGGAGGTCTGTACCATCGAGTAACGACTAGCCCGGTGTATTCCCTCTTTCCATCGCCGGCACCGTGTCCTGGCGTAGGTGTAGATCCCTCGTAGTGTCGGGCCAGCCCAAAGTCGGCAATCTGGAGGATGCCTTTGTTGTTGATGAGAAGGTTGGCAGCCTTCATATCTCGATGGAGGATGTGGTTGTCGTGTAGGTATCGCAGTCCTTCTAGGAGCTGCAGCATGTAGCATTTGATTTGAGGCTCGGTGAAGGTGACTGACGGGTTGTCGAGCAGACCAGACAAGTCGTGGTCCATGTAGGGCGTAGCCATGTACATGATTGGCCTCTTACGCTTGTCACCTGTAACAATCCGGGTCAGGAATTGTTGGTTCGGAGACGAGTGACTGAGCAGCGACTTACTGGCTCTTTGAGGATGTTCGACGGCCATGTCAACCAGCTCCAGGACGTTCTTGTGGGAAAGAAGCTTGAGGAGTTTGATTTCTCGCAGAGCCGTGATGGGGAACTGTCCACCGTTAGATGAGTGCGCGATGTGCCGTGTCAAAGAAGCCATACCCCATCCTTCTCGTGGTGCATAATAATCTTCTTGAGTGCGACCTGTGCGCCCGTCTTCAAGGACTCTGCGCGGTGTACCTCGCTAAATGCCGTGGGTCAGTATGGAGGAAGGCGTGCTCTTTCGGCACAAACTCACCCAAAAGTACCCTCGCCCAGCTTGCCGAGGAGTTTGTAATCTGTGATTCGCGAACATCCCACGAAGCTTGTTCTTGGTCGTTGATGCTTGATCGCAAAAGTGCGAGGCGAAGCGCTGCTGTTAGGCGCGCTGGACTCCATGATGGATTCGCAGCGCGACCAGTTGCGCCGATCGCGACAGAGATTGACTTGGTTGATCTATTAGTCGTCTTTGGTACAGGTAATCAACGGAGACGGCCGGTCGGTGGTAATCGCATTGCGGGTTTCGACAGCTAGCGGTTGATTATTTTGCGGTCGATATGTGATTGATGTAATGTAATCTCGAGGGAAAATGCTATCGTGGTTACTGTTGCCAGCCTGCCGACTAGAAGATGGATGGTGGTCGGGCGGTGGAAGTGGCAGAATCCTACCTCACTCGCGGTCGAGATTGGCGCGATACCAAGCTGGAACTCGAAATCGGAAAATCCACGGCGGATTCAGAGGCTCAGATGAGATACCCACCCCGGTACGTATCGGACCTTCCAGGTTCTGTCAGAGCCTGCACCTGCAGGGTCGTGTTCTGAACAAAGCTCGTGCGTCATCGTCTGATCCTCTGAACTTCCGCAAGTGTTGGTAGTGTCATTTCGACGGCCTTCAATTCGCTCTCCGGCAATACTGCCTTTTTTTTCTCACAACAACTTGGCATGCGGGAGGTAGCAATTCTCATTCTAGCAGGTCATTCCAGCCATATCAGCAGGCGTTTGATCAGCAGCTGCAACTCGCCGTGTCCAGACCGGCCGTGCCCGGCTTCATTAAAGGTCACGAAGCTGATGTGGTCGTTCTGTTACTTAATTATTACCCCATCGTTGGCTCTGTCCGCCATCCGCTATCGGGGCAAGTCCCATTCTCTCTTCCCCGCGGTACACAACTCACGTCAAGTTGTTGTAGCAAAACTCAACTTTTTTAGCTTATCGATAAAGCGTCTCTTGAAAGTACGAGGGGCAACCTCGATATTTGCCCACATTCCCTTGTCCCGCCTTATCAGACTGGCAGTCCCATCGAGCACCAGCACGCATCAACCCAACGTCAGCTCAAGCTCTTCCATGCCATCGCCTTGTACCATTCCTGACTTGTTTGACTCGCCATCCGTCTCCACTTCCGTGTTTTCACCATCGCTAACCGCTCATCGTGGTTCTCTCAACCGACTCCATTAGACAAATTTACAAAATTTTGCACAACCCCATGACTTGACCCAGTCGTTGCCATATTGCTCTCCATACAAAAGCTTCTGCCCCTCCATCTACCCCGTGCCCCTCAACTTATCTGTGGAGGCGTAGGTAACTGATAAACTCGCAACTACACCTCTTTGTTCTGGCGTTGCAAGTACCGAGGACTCTCTCTTTGACTCTCTTTGCCATTCGACGATTTCTCCAAAAATGGCCTCCCAACCCACCGTTGAGCGACTCCTTCCGGAGTCCAACTACCCGGAGTCCCGGGTTCTCGTTATCATGACGGGCGGAACCATCTGCATGCAACCTACCGCCGACGGACTCAAGCCCATCGGCGGCTTTCTGAAGAATGCCATGGCCCCGCGCCCCTCCTTCAACGACAAGTCGACACCTTCAGGTAGGTCTTTGGCTCAAGGAAACTGCACGGACATGAGGCACAAGCGTGTTGCTATAGGACAAGTTGCTGATTTGTTTTGGGCGATCTTTGCCCTGGCGACACTGATTTCAGAACGGTTGTGAAGACTTCAGTCGGACTCAAGATGATTCTTTACTGTATAATTTTGTAATGGTCGTACATCATCCACTAACAAATCATGTCTAGTACAACTCGAGGCTTACAAGAACGGTCAAAAGGTTGTTCTTGACAGCCTGAGGACACCGCCCAGCGCTTACTCCCGTCACATTCGCTACGGTGTCCTGGAATTCTCTCCTTTGCTCGATTCGAGCTCCATCTCGGCCGAGGGCTGGACTGAGATTGCCCAGACGATTAGAGAGAACTATCGTCTCTTTGATGGCTTCGTTGTGCTGCACGGAACCGACTCACTATCATACACGGCTTCGGCTCTTTCTTTTATGCTTTCTGACCTGGGCAAGCCCGTTATTCTCACCGGTTCTCAGGCCTCCATTTTTGCGCTCCAGTCAGATGCCGTCGACAATCTGCTGGGCTCGCTGATCATTGCAGGAACGTTCGTCGTCCCGGAGGTCGGTCTCTTCTTCCACCACAAGCTCTTCCGCGGCAACAGAACGAGCAAAATCTCGTCCGCCGCTTTCGAGGCTTTCGCCAGCCCCAACTGCGAGCCCCTGGCCAAGGTCAATGGATTGGGTATTGATGTGAACTGGCCTATCGTGTTGAGGCCCACCAGAATCGCCGAGCTGCAGGTCACCCAACATCTCGACACCGCGCACGTCGCCTGTCTGCGTGTTTTCCCGGGTATCAGGCCCGAAATGCTCGACTCCGTCCTCCGGGTCCCCGACCTTCGCGGTCTCATCCTGGAAACCTTCGGCATGGGCAACGCTCCGAGCGGCATTGACGGCAGCCTGACCAAGGTCATCAAAGCCGCCGTGGACCGTGGCGTCATCGTCGTCAACGTCAGTCAGTGCATGAGCGGCTTTGTCTCGCCCGTTTACGGCCCCGGAACCGAACTTGGCCGCGCCGGCGTCATCTTCGGCCTGGACCTCACAGCCGAAGCGGCCCTGACGAAACTGTCCTACCTCCTTGCGGTGCCCAACCTCTCGACTGCCGAGGTCCGCGCGCGCATGTCCCAATCGATCCGGGGCGAAATGACCGAAATGGCTCTTCCGGTATTTTCGCACCCATCCGGCTCGCTCGACTCGGTCGTGTCGCGACTAACGGCGACAGAATCGGCTTTCACTGTCCTCGGCTACGCCGTACGGAACGGGGATTTGAACATGGTCAAAGAGATCCTGGATAACGACGCACAGCTCGAGCTGCTTAAGATGGCCGACTACGCCGGCAATACGGTGGTGCACCTCGCGGCCGTCGGCCCGGATATTGAGGTTCTGCGTGAGGTCCTCACGAGGGGAGCCAGCGTGCATGCGCGAAACCGCGCCAACAACACCCCGCTGTATCTCGCGGAGAAAACAGGCAACGAGGAGTGCGTCAGATTGTTGAAGGAGACGGGTGCTCACTTATGGCAGGACGAGGCGACTATTTTGGATTCGGTCCAGGCATCTCAAGCATCTGGAGGAGTTTAAAAGCATTAGAAAAAGTTGTGGTTTCATGGATTTACAGGCGTTCTTTTGGGCGGAAGTTGGTCAGAAGACGGACATATCTTGACGATTATGAGAAAAAAGCAGTGAAACAACATACAATTTCCATGTCGATCTTTCGCGCAGGCAATGTGGACCTGCCAGTCGCTCCAAAGCTGGTCGCATCTGTAGATTTCTGCAATACTTTACCCGGGGCGTACGTAGCTCGCCTGGCAAAGTACGGAAGAATCAAAGCTTCGTCAGTATACCAATGGCATCTAAAGAGCAGGAGCTTTTTGATAGCTGAAGGTGGAATACTCCTCCATGGGTTACGCCCAAGGTTCTCTGGCTGCCACTACAACACTACGCACTGGCCTCCTAGATAACGTAGGATTCTGTATGGTTGAGTACGTCGAAATGTTAAAAGCTCTTCACAGAAAGACATAAAACCATACTTGTCAAGTGTTAGGCCGGCTAGGTAGTCAAGGCAGGGCGGGGATCGGTAGCGTTAGTGTTGTTGAAGTACAAGTGTGTAGCTTCACGTACCGGCTTGCGGAGAGGTTCGGCCCCACTTAGACCGGCGCCGTTGCTCGACTTGAATTTTTTGGATGGAAATCTCCCACCTGCAACCTTCACCATTGACTTCCAAAGCAACCTGCCACCGCCGTCTTTCGACCATTACGCCTCCAGACCGCACATTTGCGACTAAAATCTTTCTGGATATTTTTCCAACCCTCCGGCCCGATCACTCCATTGTCCGGCGAAGCGTCACCTTAAGACTACAAAATGGCAGAATCGACAACTCCAAAGCCGGAGGCGCCCAATTACCACGGGACGCCACCCCTCGTTCACAACTTCTGCATCGCCGCCGCCGTCGCCTCTCCGATCCTGATGATCCTCCCGCCGCGGCGCATGGATTGGCGCTTCTTTATGCACTCGAGCATCTTTTCCGCCTCAACGAACCAGCTCATGTACGATTATACCGGCCAGTCCATCTACCAGCGCGTCGGCGCCCGGTTCGAGAGAATGTTCCCCACGACCCTGCCCGAGCAGGCGCAGAGGACGAAGCAGGCCTTGCGCGAGGAGCGGATGCGCCGCGAGGGGTTGACGGAGGAGCAGATGCGCGCCATCGAGTACAAGAAGCGATCTCTCGTACAGAGGGTATGGTACGGCAACGAGCCTGAGGATTGGGACAAGAAGCGTGGGGAGGAGCACTCCAAAGCGCTGGCCGAGGGAAAGGGACTGGGAGACCTCATTGTGGAGCAGGTCAAAGAGGTTTGGGATGGCGAGAAGGGCAAGAAAGAGGAGGGCGACGGGAACAAGAAGGCATGAAAACACCAAGGACGCAGGAAGAGCTTCTGTATGATTAAGAATGGGGATTGGGGATTGCTGTAGGCCAAACGGTCGGTCGTGACAAGCAGAAAGACCTTCATGCACGGCGTTTTGGCTGATTGGGAGCGCTCATGATTTGTCGATTATATCGTCTCCCGTGGGTATTGTATTGTACTGTAGGAGAGTAATGAAAAAGTAACCCTTCCACTCGAAGATTAGACCAACCCTGAGCCTACTGACTTGCTTGCTACGAAAACTTGCATTGCGATATGTGCTTCAGCCTGATGCTAACTTTTGATTTCAATTCCGACCATTATTCGCTATACGCCATCATGCACCCTTGCATTCTATCCTCCACTCAACACGTCTCAAGCTCCTCACCCCCTGAATTCCCGGAGCTCCGCAGACGGAAACCTCGTCCGGCTTCAAAGATACTAGTTGGTCCCCGAGCCGGCCTCCTGCCGAGCTCTTAGAGCTTGCTTTTGCTTCTGCTTCTTCATCTGCTTCGGGTTGTCGTTACTGTTACGTCCCTGCTTACCCTTACCCTTTCCCTTCCCTTTGCCTCTTTTCTTGATCTCTTCTTTCTTGGCCACCTTCTTGGCCGCGCGGATTTCGGCCTTTTCGTCGAATTTAGCGGTCCAGACAGCCAGAAGGCTGTCCACCTCGTCTTGCCGCTCGTCCGACTCAGCCGGGATGCCGAGATCTTTCTTGATCATGCCGCGGTGTTTCTCGATCTGCATCAGCCGCCTTCTTGCCGCGCGATTAAGGCCATCGCCGCCGTTGGCGGTGCTCGGTGCGACCGACCCACCCCTCTCAGAGTTTGAGTGGCTGTCACTGTCGGTGTCGGCGACGGCGGGCTTGGAGGGCTTGACGTCGATAACGAAGGGGAGAGACTCGGCGACGGGGGCAGCTGACTCTGACGTAGCTGCGGGAGCGTCGGTCTCAACGTCGGCGGTTTCGGACTTCTTGGGGGTGCTCTTCTTATCCGACTTCTTCTTTGACTTCTTCTCGCTCTTGGCGGCGGCAGGTTCGGTTTCTGGGTTCGGGGTGCTGGCCAAAGATGATGTCGCTGAGTGTCCTTGTGAAGCCAGCTCTTCGCGTCTTTGCTTCCTCCTCGCTGCGCGTACGGCACGGGCATCGGTGGGCGCTGGGCCGCTGTCGATATCCATGGCATCGCCCTACTCAAACGACGTTAGAATCGCGAACGTTGAGAAATCCGGCGGTCGCGCGTACCACAGGTGCATCAATCTTGGCGCCGCCTTCCTCCTTGTCCGTGAAGGACTCCTTTCTTTCGGATTTCTTGCCCATTGCGCCAGTGAATTGAGTTATGTGACAGAATGATTGTTGCTGGCAAAATGGCCGGGCTCAAATTACGGGCTCGAGCTCCGAAGAGAAAAAAAAGTTCAGAAAAAAAAAAGTTTTATCTAATCTAATCTTATCAAGAACATACCGCGTTTTGAATTTACACGGTATACGATTCTAATCGGTATAGTACGTATTAAGGTAGGTAGTAGCTGGTTCTCCAACGGCTTCTCCAACGCACGGACGGACGACTCCAGCAAACCCTCAGCTCTTCGATTTTGATAAGGTAGGGCTGGCTTTCACTTCCAGTTGGTCCAGGGTCTCTGAAATGGGAGCTTGAGAGGCCACTCCAAGACAGGGCTGATCGCCGAGACTTTCATCTTCCACCTAGAGTGTGATTATTCTCCATCCAGCGAAAATTAGCCTTGAAGAGAAGAGAAAGGACTCGAAGTGCAAGGTAGCTGAGTGCGTCATCTCACGGGCTTGAATGCTTTTTTGGTGTTTTCCTCGTATAGTGGAGGTGGCTTGCTTCAATAACCACGAGCTATGAGTGGCTGAGAGCTGAGCCACCAGCTGTCGTAAGTGCTCGAGACTGGACCCTGCACGCGTCGGTGGGCTGACGCCTGACGCCTTAGGGTGGTCTCAGTCTGCAGTGCGACGATTGCACAGAAGTCGAGGAACCAGTCGTTGGCAGCATGGCTGACGGTTGATGGGCGGGTGACAAATGCGAGCGAATTCAGTTGGTCACTAACTAAGGTACCTACCATATCTTGTGTTGTCAATCCTGTATTAACAGCAGGTTCAGTCGATAATCACCGCGTGTCTCGCGCTCCAAGAGCTTCTCGTGCCTGTAAAGAAATGAACAGACTCGGCGGGCTGCAGGCTCAACGAAAGGGAGGCTGAGATGCAATAGGTCCACCATTGGCGGGCAGATTCTTCAGAAAGAACGCAATACAGCGGATGCCGCGAATTCCACATTCCGGTCGGTCATGTCCTTGAGTCTAGGTAGTGGGCATACCCATTGCGAGACCCCTCATGCTCTGTTGGGGTCCCCGGATATCCGGAAAGGCCTTGGTAAAAAAAAAAATATACTCCAGGAGAGGCCGATCGAAGGTAGAGTACGGCGTCAGGCCGGTCCTTGTCAGCGGGCTGCTGATGGGATGGAAATGGAATGAACACCTTATGCTGGCGTTGCTCCCTCAACGTTGTGGAATCGCCGTGGTTTTCAAGGGTCATGACTCCGGCACACTGGCTATGTGCTGCTCTGCAAGACGAGTTGTCGGAGCCGGGGTGGTGCCCGCAGGCTGCATGCATGGGTCGGCAGTCGAAGGCTCCGGAGGGTATTTCATCATCAGCGCGTGGTGTAGTTGACTTATGACGGATGTTTGGCGGTGCTGACGGTCGAGAATCCTGCCATAAGCCGTGGTGAATGGTGATCGACTGCCGTAGATGAGGAAGCCGGCACGGCACAGTCTCCTGTCTGGAGTTGATGGGAGGGAACTAATCCATCTGGAAAGCAGGCTGGAGAGGTCCGCAAAAACGTATCAACCAGCAAGCGATGAGGCCGTAAGACTGCCAACTAAGGTATTCGCCTGCTATTAGAGGCTGAGAGAGAGGCAAAGCGACGACGATTAACATCAACCTCAGGCTGAGATGGGTCCAATCCGAAGTGGATCATTTCTCTCTCGCTGTCCTTGGAAAGATACAATCATGATGAGGTAGAAATGGTGATGTTGTAAGTACCTACCTGAGGTAGCGGGTGAGGTGGTTACGCAACTATCTGAAACTTGTGGACCCCCTGTTCCAAACTTAGCACAATTGATGTCTGCAGGTGCCAGCGGCCCAGCGCAAAAGATGCTCTGCCAACTGAAGACGGGTGTGACTGAAGAAGTCACTATTAAGCGGGCCTAGCGAGGGAAAACAGACCGATCAGAGAGGCTGGCGATGCTGACACAGCCTCAAAGCCGGGACTACTGCACGCCTTGCTGCACCCTCTACAGTCTACACACACACTGCGGCACCCTGTTCTGACTCCCGTCCCGTTTGGTGATTCTCAGGAGTCTCCTGCTAGAGTCTACGAGCTGGCGTCTCACTGGACCACTTCTCACTCCCACTCCCACTCCCACTCCTTCCCGTCACTGCCCTCCACAGCCAACCACCATCTCACCTAGACTCCCACTTGGCGGCCTGGGCAAACCAGAAACAAGACTGGGAAGGCATGCGTTTTAGATGCTGGCCTGTTTAAAAGAAATAACCTCCTCGTCCTCTCTTCTGCCCCTTCTCGCCCTTTGGAACGTCCTCCTGCTTCCTACCAGATCCATCCCTTGACCGGAAATACTCACCTGGAACCTCCCTCCACTCGTTTTGGCTTTGGTTCTCGTTATAATTCCCGATCCCTTCGTGTCACCCAAAAGCTTTCGCGCTCCGACACTCGCAACCACCGTCTCTTACTGGCCCAATCATCCGAAGCGGTGCACCCTTCTTCACTGCCTGGTACCTAGCACGGGTTGTGCACAGGCATCCTAGCCCGCTAATTCATAATTCACCCTCACTTGGGTTGAACCTGCAATTACATCTCTGGCGCCTTCAGCCTACAGTCTACTCCCACTTCAACACCACTAGCCAGGGTCAATTTGCCTGCTACGAACGCGGGCCAAGGAAAACCTCGCTCATCTCATCGACCGACAAAAAGCCTCTTCTCTCCCCCGAAAAGAATCCACAAAGCCTGCGGCTAGCTCCATCAGCTTCCAGCAAACTTCCCGAACAAATACCCACGTCCCCCCCAAATTGCGACCAAGACGACCACACACACCTCTTCTCAACATCCCGCTGTCACATTTCTCCGCGTTTGGTCCATTTCCCGTACCTGAGCGATTCTCCATCTGGATCATCTCGCTAGGCCCGATTTGATCCATCAGCAGCAGCACAGCCAAGTTCCAGCTCGGCCCTCCAAGCGAGATTCCTCGCAGAAAGACAAACTCGCCCGGATTCCCATTCCTCGGCCGCATCTAATCCCTTCCCAATCCGCCGCGACTTCTTCGTCCCATCATGGCATCCAACGACTACTATCACGGCAACAAACCGCCCTCGGCGTCACCGCCTCCTGCAGCATACTACGCCGGCAGCGCCTACAACAACATCCCTTCCACCAGTTCTACGCCCGCGCCTCCCTACAGTCAAATATCACAGACCCCCGGCGCTTCCCACCCGCCACCGCGCGCAAACACCGTCTCGCCCTTCGAATCTGTATTTGACGATCATGTCTACCCAGTAGATTCCACTCAGGACGGATTCCGCCACAACGCCAACCATACTCCCCAGTCCGCGAACAACCCGAACGTTCAGCGCATGAACACCGTACACACCATGAAGACCGTCAGTTCCGTCTACAGCAGCGACAACCCGAACGACCCGAGAAATATGCAGCCCCTGCCTCCTCTGCCTCCCCTGCCGTCGCAGCCCACCGGCTACCAGCAACAGCAGAACCCATACCAGCAGCAACACAACCCGTACGAACAGCCCAGCCCTTACAGCCAGGACACTGCGTACTACGGCAATCAGGCGGTCTCGCCGGATTCGAGTCGACCTCATGTGGCGGACGATATTCCATTGCAAAGCCGGCAGGAAACCCAGCCCAAGGATGTTGAAATGAACGAGAACGACCATGTATACGACGCGCCTCAAGGAAGCCGCCGCTCAAAAAGTCGTCGTGACAAGAGCAAGGTCGGTTTTGGCCAGCTAGGCATGTTTGGCGCAGACAGAAAAGGTATTCCTTGGGTGGTGTACACCTTCACCCTCGTCCAGGTTGCTGTCTTCATCGCCGAGATCGTCAAAAATGGTGAGTCGACATCTCCTGTTTCGCGGTGGTGGAAGACGAATCTTGACTAACCCACGTCTAGCCCAATTGACTGGCTCACCCATCATGACCAAGCCCAGCTTCAACCCGATGATTGGACCTTCGACCTATGTCATGATCAACATGGGTGCTCGTTATGTCGCATGCATGCACAATGTCAAGGGCATTCAAGACTCCAACACGTCCTTCACCTGGCCCTGCCCGAATTCGACCTCATCCGACGCCAACAACCCATCGAACCAGTGCGGTCTTGGCGATCTCTGTGGCTTTGGGGGAGTTCCCGAGCCCTTATTCCAGGGCCTCAGCCAGAAGCCGGAGCCCGATCAATGGTTCCGTTTCATTACGCCCATCTTCCTGCACGCCGGTCTGATCCACATCGGGTTCAATCTTCTTCTGCAGATGACGATTGGCAAAGAAATGGAAATCGCCATAGGCTCGATCCGCTTTTTCCTGGTCTATGTGAGCGCTGGAATATTTGGCAACGTTATGGGAGCAAACTACGCGGGTGTCATGACGGCTTCGACTGGTGCTTCCGGTGCGCTCTTCGGCGTCATCGCTCTTACTCTGCTGGATCTTCTTTACTCTTGGAAAGACCGACGCAGCCCCGTAAAGGACCTCATGTTCATCATGTTGGACATCGTCATCTCCTTCGTTCTCGGTCTCTTACCGGGCCTCGACAACTTTGCTCATATCGGTGGTTTCCTCATGGGTTTGGCACTCGGCATCTGCGTCTTGCATTCTCCCAACTCTTTGAGACGTAGACTGGGAACCGACCCCTCTTACGCGTCTATGCAACTCAACCCTCCCAATCAAGGGGCGGGACCGTCATTCCTGAAGAACCCGGTCGGATTCTTCAAGGGTAGGAAGCCGCTTTGGTGGGCGTGGTGGCTCGTCAGAGCAGGCTTTCTGCTGACAGTCATCATTGTGTTCATTGTCCTCCTGAACAACTTTTACGTCTACCACAACACTTGCAGCTGGTGCAAGTACCTCAGTTGTATAGTAAGTTCGCTGCCGCTGCAATTCCCAGAACATGTGCTAACAAACGAACTAGCCTGTCAACAACTGGTGCGAGCTTGATGATTTCAAGCTCACTAAGACCTCGTAATCTCATGACGTCAAATAGCCGACTTGGCTACGGAACACAACAAACAAACACTCATGGCTTGCATTGGGATACACGTCTTGGCCAGGGGGGTTCCGGGGTTTGCATTGCTCAGCGACGGCGTCCGGTTCGGGTTGGTTATCTAATGAAGGAGGAATGGCTTCTTATCCTTGTTATTCCCCAAAATCGCATTCAAACGGCCATTTGGGTCGCGGGTGCGGACAGGGCTCTCTACGTGTTCTTGCCGAGCCGAGAAACGGCTATAGCACCAACCGTTGCAACGTCCTCGGACGTGTTGATGCAGCGCTGCCTTGGCTACCCCGCAGATCAGTCGATGGGTTGGACGCCGTTACGTACTCGGAATCCAGCCTGTCCTAATGATTAGCATTTAAATAAACAATGATCATCCCCTGAGTATGAACAGTTGCTGTTTCTTGTCATTCGTGTGCTGCACTGCGTTCGGACCTCACAGACGCGTCCATGATCCTTAGTGCCGTCATTGCCCAACCACACGACATTGAATGTGTCGAGGTAAGCCGACTTCTTACAGACAAGCTCCCCGCCCCGACCTTATGATGATCTCTATTTGCATGGCTTAGCTGAGCGACCGTGACAAGTCGCAATTGATGCCTCGAAGAATGGATATCTGAAGAAGAGCACATCCGCATCCTCGATGATACCAACTGTCGTTGGGAGTCAGCGCTAACCACCGACCTTCCTAGTTGCAACCCAGGCGAATCTTTTTCTCTCCACGTGGTTTTGGGCTGAGCGTTGGTGCTCAGATCACGCTGTTAGGATGTTCTGCTTGCTGTAACTGACTTCGATCGTCTCCATCACCGCCCAAGCGCTGTCATTTGATTTTCAAGTTATCATTATATAGAGAGCAACTACTTTTATTTTATTGCAGTGTTTCGATACAAGCCTGTGCAGATGTTTACTTCTTATTATTGAACATATATTCTCAGAAAGTCAGCATAAACAGACCAGCAGATACGTCGCAATAAGTTTCCATGCCTATAAGCCACTTTAACATGAATTCCGTGTTGCGTTGAAGTGCGTTACACGCTGGCTATTCGCTGTCAATATCTTCTCAATAGCCCGAAAATTTGGCCATTAAAGTTTTCTTTACAAGTCAAGACGAAGCGAAGGCAGCAGGCACTTCGTTTGATAATCAGGCAGACGTTCTTTTCTTTGTTTGGTGAGAATAAAGTACCTAGGTAGGCAGAGGTCGCAATACTTCGGCAGGAGCCCATTTGGCGTTCGCGTCAGAAACGACTGCTTAGTCAGCAAGGCGCGACCCCCTGCTTCAATTAAGCTGTGGGTCCGTCACGCTTCACGTCTTCACGTCAGAGGCGCGTCTTCCACCACCCGTGTCTAATGGAATTCCGTCTCCTCCAAAACTTATAGCAACGACCGCACAACAACAAACACCCTTCCCGACTTCTTGTGATATGAGCTTTGGCTGAACCACCTTCGCTCACACATCCATCATCGCCATACTCGCATTATGGCTACCAAGGTTCTTCCCCAGAAGCGGGTGCTCGGGGAGACACCCAGCACTCGTCGCAATATCCCATCGTCCCTGAAGAAGCGCAAGGTCGAAGGCTTTTCATCATCCCCAGCCCACCGCATTGGCTCCCAGAAGAACGCGAAGAACCTCCCGGGCTCTAGTCAACCCAAGAGCGCATTCGAATCCGAAGTCCTCGAGAAACTCAGCCAGGACATTTCCGATGCGAAGCAGAACAATACAGAGAGAGATCAGGCTTGGGACCGGCCAGCTCTCGTCGACTTCAACCCCGAGAGGGACAACCTCGTCTTTCAGCAAATCGAGGCCGAGGAAGGCAGCTTGCACGGCGGTCGGGCGACAGTGAAGCTTTTTGGCGTCACGGAGCAGGGACATTCGGTTATGCTCCATGTCACAGACTTCAAGCACTACCTCTACGTTGCCGCGCCGGTTGCGTTCCGACCTGAAGACTGCAATGCCTTCAAGGCATATCTCGAATCGCAGGTTGCCCAACATCAACCGTGCATTCACTCCATCTCTTTCGTCATGAGGGAGAACATTTACGGCTTCCAGGGAAACGTCCAGAGCCCCTACCTCAAGATCACGGTCATGGACCCCAAGTTCATTAGCAGAGTACGAACAACAATCGAGACGGGCAGCGCCAATTGGAAAGGCCTTTGGAAGGGCATGGAGGGTGGCGTCATGACGTTCGACAACATCCAATATGTTTTGCGCTTCATGGTGGATTGCAAGGTAAGCGTCAATGCTTGGCTTCTGTCTGGACGAGACTAACAAACCCCAGATCCACGGAATGTCCTGGGTTGAAGCACCCGCTAAGTCATACCAACTCCTCAATCAGTCACAACGGCAATCCAACTGCCAAATTGAAGCCGAAATCAGCCACCTCGACCTCATTGCCCACAAGCCTGAAGGAGAATGGTCCAAGATGGCACCCCTGAGAATCTTGTCGTTCGATATCGAGTGCGCTGGACGCAAAGGCATCTTCCCCGAGGCAACACACGACCCTGTCATTCAAATCGCCAACGTCGTCACGCGATACGGAGAGAAGAAGCCCTTCGTGCGGAACGTGTTTTGTTTAGACACAACAAGCCCCATCGTCGCCACACAGATTCTTGAGTTCCAGAAGGAGGAGAAGATGCTGAGCGAGTGGCAAAAGTTTCTCGTCAAGGTTGATCCCGACATCATCATCGGATACAATATTGCCAACTTCGATTTTCCCTATCTGCTTGACAGAGCAAGACATCTGAAGGTTGCTGGATTTGAGTACTGGTCTCGCATCCCAAGCATAGCCTCAAAGGCCAAGGAGACAAACTTCTCCAGCAAGCAGATGGGTAACCGCGACACCAAGGCTACCAACACCAACGGACGGTTGCAACTTGACTTGCTACAGCTGGTTCAGCGTGACCATCATCTGCGCAGTTACACGCTCAACTCTGTGTGCTCCAACTTCTTAGGAGAGCAGAAGGAAGATGTCCACCACACCATGATTACAGAGTTGTTCAACGGAACCCCTGAGTCACGTCGTCGTCTGGCCCTGTACTGCCTGAAGGACGCGTACCTTCCGCAACGATTGATGGACAAGCTATCTTGTCTTGAGAATTACACGGAAATGGCAAGAGTCACGGGAATTCCATTCAACTTTCTGCTTTCCAGAGGTCAGCAAGTCAAGTTCATCAGTCAGCTTTTCCGTAAAGCACTGGAGCAGAAGCTTGTCATTCCAAACCTGAGGTCGGAGAGCAGCGACGAGCAGTACGAGGGTGCAACCGTTATCGAGCCGACAAGAGGCTACTACGATGTGCCCATCGCCACGCTCGATTTCGCTTCCCTGTACCCCAGTATCATGCAAGCTCACAATCTGTGCTACACGACTCTGGTCAACAAGAAGGCCATCGAGAAGTTTGACTTGAAGAAAGACGAAGATTACATCGTCACGCCCAACGGCGATACCTTTGTTACAGTCAGCAAACGCAAGGGTCTCCTCGCCCAGATTCTCGAGGAACTTCTGGCCGCCAGAAAACAGGCGAAACGCGAGCTCGCCGTGGAGACGGATCCTTTCAAGAAAGCTGTGCTCAACGGTCGGCAGTTGGCCTTGAAGATCAGTGCGAATTCCGTCTACGGTCTAACGGGAGCAACCACTGGTAAACTGCCCTGCCTTGAAATCGCCAGTAGCACAACAAGTTTTGGTCGTCAGATGATTATGAAGACCAAGGAAGAGGTGGAGTCGAAATACTGCATAGCCAACGGTTACTCTCATGATGCTCAGGTCATCTACGGTGACACTGATTCCGTCATGGTCAAGTTTGGCACCAAGGACCTTCCCGAAGCGATGAAGCTCGGCGAGGAAGCCGCTGGTTTTGTGTCTTCGAAATTCGTCAAGCCCATCAAGTTGGAGTTTGAGAAGGTGTACTTTCCGTACCTTCTCATCAACAAGAAGAGATATGCTGGCCTGTACTGGACGAAGCCAGAGAAGTACGACAAGATGGATACGAAGGGTATCGAGACGGTGCGACGAGACAACTGTCTTCTCGTGCAAACCGTCATTGAGAAGGTGCTTCGCATGATTCTGATCGATCAAGATGTTCAGGGTGCTCAAGAGTAAGTCCGTTTCCTGGAATTTGGACGCCCCGACTAACAAGTGTCAGCTACGTCAAGGACACCATCGCGGACTTGTTGCAGAACAAGGTGGACATGTCGAAGCTTGTGATAACGAAGGCTCTTACGAAAGATGATTACGCCGCAAAACAAGCCCATGTCGAGCTTGCGCACAGGATGAAGAAGCGTGACGCTGGCTCGGCGCCAGGTCTCGGTGACCGAGTCGCATACGTGATGGTCAAGGGCGCGGCCGGGTCCAAGAACTACGAAAACTCCGAGGATCCCATTTACGTCCTCGAGAACAACGTGCCGATTGACACCAAGTACTACCTTGATAACCAGCTTGCGAAGCCTCTTGGCAGAATCTTCGAGCCCATTCTGGGTGAGACGAAGGCCAACTCGCTTCTCGCCGGAGCGCACACGAGAACAATTGCAGTATCGGCGCCGACCGTCGGAGGATTGATGAAGTTTGCGAAGAAGACGCAGACGTGCATGGGTTGCAAGAGGCCGCTCAAGGGCAAGGAGGAGAGCGCGGGGGCTGTGTGCTCGGATTGCGCGCCTCGGGTCGGCGAACTCTACAAGAAGACTCTCGACAAGGTGTCAGATCTCGAGGTACGGTTCGGACGGCTCTGGACGCAGTGCCAGCGGTGCCAGGGCAGCATGCACTGCGAAGTGATTTGCAGCAGCAAGGACTGTCCCATTTTTTACATGCGTATGAAGGCGAAGAAGGACCTTGAGGACGCGGGCAAGGACCTGAAGCGCTTCGATTTCGACCCGGCGGCGATCTGGTAGAATCGTGCGTGGACGAGCAGCGGGGCGACGAGGGGGGGTCATGGATGATGATGATGAAGACGGAAGGGCATTTCACGACGCTAAGCTTTTTCTTCCATGGGCCGGCACAGGAGATTCTGCAGATGCAGGGCCAAGTAAGATGCGGTGGGCTCGGTCCCACGATGAGATTTTGTTTCGGAAAAGGCGTTGACGGAGTTTCAACGGAGGCAACGACACCCAGTGGGGGGGCGGTCCAGAACTATTGGGAGGAGAAACATGTAACATTCACACAAAGAATCATCACCAGTGTCGGAAAGAATCGGAAGGAAATCTGGGTGGGACGGGGGTGTTTGCGTTTCCATTGTATGATATTTTCCCATAATACGAGACAGCAGAGGGGGGAAGAAAGAAAATCGGAGAGAGAGATGAGTTGCGGCAATTATTTCCACAGAACCCCGTTTCCCAAGGCTCGTCCAGGACAAGTTCCGTGGTGGGCATTTCTGTATGGACGGATAGGACTCAAGAAAGTGAAATTGAGTAAAGGCTTCAGCTAACACCGAGGCGAAAGCGGCGCTGTGGTTCGTCGGTTGGACGGCGACCGGGGGCGGAGGCCGACGGTCCATCTGCCAGCGAGCGGAAGGGCGGACATGACAGGACAGAGCGAGAAGACAGGCAATCTAAGCATTCACCCAGCCGATGCGCGCAGGCGCAGGGCAAGCCGCCGGCCGCTCTACTGGATCGGCATTGGTGGCGGGCTCCTGGCGGCGGCGGCGGCGGATGGACGACGGCGCAAGGCACAAGGAGACCAGGACAGCTGTCGGCTCGTAGACTCTGGAGGGAGGGGTTTCCCCACGTACGCGGATTTTTAGGTTATCAATCTCACCCAGTGTACTGTGTTACGCCGAGGTGGTCTCGACTGTGATCTATCTCGAGCCTCTCTTCTGTCTACCGAGTTTTGGTTCCTACAACAAAACAAATTGAAGCGAATCAAGTCAACCGCAATTACTCTTGTCAACACAATCGGGTTACATGAGACTTTTAAGCATAAATTCCATGGCATTCACGACCAGCAATTCGCGAATAGGAAGCTGGTTAAAAACGTAACGGAATGTAGAGAAGAAGCAGGGAAACGTAATGAGAACTGCGTTTGTGGAGGACTAGAGGTGGTGGAAGAACGAGGCCAAGACTCTAGTTGAGGCTATCAAGCCAATGACTGGACTCGCATATCTGGCATTCTTCAGCAACAACGGTCTCTGAGGGTGATGGTTTGAAGAAAGTGTCTGTCTCATGGATTCCGCTGTCGCGTGTTTAGTCGGCACAGTCTAAGCGATCTAACACACGGTCAACAAGAAGAATAGTCAATAGCCACCATCTCAATTCCGAGATTGAAGGCCCCTCCCGTCGTCCACTGAAACGCTGTAAGCCGAGATGCATGGCCCCGGAGAACCGCCGGAGGAGAGAGAGCCCCTCCTTCTGTGAGTGCGCGAAGGCGGGATGTCCGACTTCACACACAGACAATATCCAGCTCGGGTGTCGGGATTTCAGAGAGGCGAAAAAAAAAAAGAGAGGTGAGGGAGGCGAGCTTCCATTGAACGGCCCCCGGCCCCGGGCCCTTGGCTGCCGTGCTCGCATTCTATCGGGTTGCGTCGCAGTTTTTGTTCAGCCCAGCCCAGCAGAGCAGAGCCCGGTGCCGTTGCGATGAGCTTAGAGCCCAACCTGCCTACCTACCAACCTAACGAAACTCTCCGCCTCCATCCTTCCTTCACTTCCGATTGCGGAACCGCGACTCGAACCGCCGAAAAACGGCCCTGGCCGTGTCTTGTTCCAATCCGCCCAGTCGCGTCGCGAGTTACGAGTTGCCATGATCAATTCGCATTTGTCCAGCCTGTCGCGAACTCGCTTTCCCTCCCAGTTTTCTTTCCCTCCTTCTCTTATCAGTGATGGAGAAGAGGAGGGGGATATGCAAGACAATGACGCCGCATCAGCCGTCGAGGAAATTTGATTTTCATGATTTTCAATGTCGGAGAGCCGTTGTCGCATCGGCCGATCGAAGCGGCATTTGTTGATGCCGGCACATATGCTTCGAAGACGAACAGACAGATGCCTTGGAGGATCTTGACGCCATCACACACGAACACATACTGCTTTCCAGGGGCCTCAGATGGCGGCGACCAATAACAGGCCGCTGATAAAAGACTGAGATATCGATTGACCTCGGAGAACGCCACGGCATGCAGGGAGATTTCGATTTCCAATGACATTTGGAGATGTGACGGGGTCCCTGACGCTTCACGCCCCTCGAGTGACAGGCCGCGAAGGGCAAAAGACAAATCCGAACGTGCGGAAAGACATGTGCCAGCGGGGTCCCATCGACCCCTCGAAGGGGCAGCAGAGCATGCGATTGTTGGATGACGTCCCCCCAGGTTCTGGCCTGTTTGGGACACGCGCGCGCCCAGCCTGCGACGATGGGGCATCTCGGAACGGAGGCATTTCAGGCATGAGGGAAGTCCTTCTCCCGAATATGGAGACCCTTGGGAGAGGGGGACCCTTGTCGTCCCTGGAACCCCTGCTCCTGGTTTCCGCCCCAGCATGCATGGGACGAGAGATGGGACAACGGGGCAGCAGCGTTCGGGTCGGTCGCCGCCTCCGGAATCGCACCGCTGGCGCTGGCGCGGCTGGGCGACCACCTCTTGTCTCTTTGTGATGGTGGTGAATAATTCACATTCGCCGAGCAAATCAGAGTGCCGCACCGAGGCCAGCATGTGTTATGGGAACCCGGGCCCGGTCCCGGCACTCTGTCCAGGCTAGAGGTCCCCAGTCTCGGCTGAGTCTTTTTTACGTCAACCGCGTGGGTTTCGTCCTGAGCAGTTTTCGTTATGGATAGGACTAATTGGAAACTCGTTCGTCTGCCACCACCGAATGAAGGCCGCATGAAGAAGAGATTGTGCGAGGCAGACGTTTCTTCCCGTAGCGCCCCCCACGGCCGACCCGGACATGTCTTGCTCTCGCGCTAACGAGTCCCCTGGTGTGGACTGTGGACTGTGGACTTGCCATTCACCAAGGTTCAAGGGTTTCCCGAAGCTTGGAGGAGGAGGAGTAACTAGTAGGAGGAAGCGTAACGTCGACCAGGGCTGCCTCTTCGACAACGGTCAAGGGGGCAACAAGGCACCTCGCGGTTGGTGTATGTGTGAGCTGTTACTCGATTCGATTTGGCTTTCATATCTGATCGACAGATTCCCAGATGTGTATATAAGCTTGCGGGCGTTCCTCCCTACTCGGTCGATTAGTCTTGGAACCTCATCAGCTTCTCTCTCTTCAACCTCGAACTCGGACAAACCTCTCTCGGAAACGCCGAGCAAACCTCAAAAAACACACAACACATTTTCCCAAACACCGTCAACATGTCTAACCTTCCTTCCGAGCCCGAGTTCGAGCAGGCCTACAACGGTACGTCATCGTCACATCGACGCTCGACGTCCACGAGACTAACATGAACATCAGAGCTGGTCAGCACCCTCGAGAACAGCTCCCTGTTCCAGCAGTACCCCGAGTACAAGACCGCCCTCGATGTCGTCTCCATCCCCGAGCGCGTCATCCAGTTCCGCGTCGTCTGGGAGGATGACAAGGGCAAGCTCCAGGTCAACCGCGGCTACCGCGTCCAGTTCAACTCCGCCCTTGGCCCTTACAAGGGTGGCCTGAGATTCCACCCTACCGTCAACCTGTCCGTCCTCAAGTTCCTCGGTTTCGAGCAGATCTTCAAGAACGCCCTGACCGGCCGTAAGTGACCCCCCTGGCATCCCAGAATCCGGGGTAATCAGGACGCCTAACTAACACGGGATGCAGTCAACATGGGTGGTGGCAAGGGTGGCTCTGACTTCAACCCCAAGGGCAAGAGCGACGCCGAGATCCGCCGCTTCTGCGTTTCCTTCATGCGCCAGCTGTCCAAGCACATCGGCGCCGACACCGACGTCCCCGCCGGTGACATCGGTGTCTCCGGCCGCGAGATCGGCTGGCTCTTCGGCACCTACCGCCAGGAGCGCAACAAGTTCGAGGGTGTCCTCACCGGTAAGGGCCTGACCTGGGGTGGTTCCCTGATCCGCCCCGAGGCCACCGGCTACGGTGTCGTCTACTACGTTGAGCAGATGCTCAAGTACGCCGGCAAGGGCACCTTCGCCGGCAAGCGCGTCGCCATCTCCGGATCCGGCAACGTTGCCCAGTACGCGGCTCTCAAGTGCATCGAGCTCGGCGCCACCGTCGTCTCTCTGTCCGACTCCCAGGGCTGCTTGGTCGCCGAGGGCGACGCCGCCTTCACCCCCGAGCAGATTGATGCCATCGCCGCCCTCAAGGTCGACCGCAAGTCCCTGACCGACTTCGACCACAAGGGCTCCTTCATGTACATCAAGGGTGCTCGCCCCTGGACCCACGTCGGCAAGGTCGACATTGCCCTCCCCTCTGCCACCCAGAACGAGGTCTCCAAGGAGGAGGCCGAGGCCCTCATCGCCGCTGGCTGCATCGCCATCGCCGAGGGTTCCAACATGGGCTGCACCCAGGAGGCCATCGACGTCTTCGAGGCCCAGCGCAAGGAGAAGGGCGCCGAGGCCATCTGGTACGCCCCCGGCAAGGCCGCCAACTGCGGTGGTGTCGCCGTCTCCGGTCTCGAGATGGCCCAGAACAGCCAGCGCCTGTCCTGGACCCGCGAGGAGGTCGACCAGAAGCTCAAGGACATCATGACCGACGCCTTCTTCAACGGCCTCAACACCGCCAAGGAGTACGTCAAGGGCGGCGAGAGCGAGCTTCCCAGCTTGGTCGCCGGCAGCAACATTGCCGGCTTCGTCAAGGTCGCCCGTGCCATGCACGACCAGGGCGACTGGTGGAACTAAGCGATTTGATGATGAAAAACGGGAGCACGAAGCAGCCACGCATCAAAAGACGATGGCGCAGATGATGACTTGATTCCAATTGTGTATTTCGGAGCTGGCGTTGGTGGCAGGGATACCTGAGATAGTTCTATACCAAACAACTTTTTTTTTGATTCCAGACTGTACTCCCGATGTTGAAATGATGATGCGTGACCGTTGGATGCTTAAGTTAGCAACGTCTCCCCGCCCCCAACTTGAGAAATGCCGAGGGAGAGGTATAAGCCGAATCCTTCAGGAACGCCACGCTCGTGGAAGAGGCAGCGGGGGCGGTAGGGTGGGAATACGGTGCTGACGAGAGATGATGATGCCGAGCCGTGCTATCCGCGTCGGGTCTCATCGACCGCAGGTGAAGGATCAGAGTCTCTGTTGTTTGTTACCGGGCTATGCCAGTATAAGTCGAGCTGTTTGTACGGAAGCGTTCTCTTTATTCAATGACTGTCGCTGGCATGGTGCAAGACGTGGGCTGATGAGACTGGATCAGCGAGTTGACGGTAATATTCGCTGTTTTCCTACGAGACGAAACAGGAGGAAACAGCACAGCTTCTCAGTGCTTGTCTGCCTGTTTGTTCTAGTCTGTTTGTTCTCGTGTTAAATTGCGTTCCTGTCGTTCCGGAGATATTCTGCAGTCGACCTTTTCCTGGTATCCAGCTTGAGCGGACTGGACTTTGTATTAGTCAATGCATAAGGACAGGCTATGTATGTATGCTATCACTCCTAAGCGCGTGCGAAGCAGAGTGACGTCGGGTCCTTGCGATTCGTGCGATGTTTCCAGCTGTACAAGCGGCTATCCGGAATGACCGTGGCAGTGCAGCGAATCAGAAGCACACTTCAAGCTGACAGACACTCATTGATCGTGATTCGACTCTGAGACGGCCATGGCGGGTGGCAGTGACAAGAGGGATGGTTGCGCTGCATGCGTCGACCAAGCTGATTCTGGCCAGACGAGCCTCTATATCTGGCAGAAATTATCGTGATGTTCCCATGTGCTGCCCGGTTTAGCATTGCGTAACGGCCCCAAAAGGAAAAATCCGGGGATTTTGCACGTTTGTGGAACAGCCTGACGATAACGCCGTCTCGTCTTGACGGCTACCCACATCGACACAGCATGTCGGGTATGTTTTATTTAACGTCATGTTATAATTAACAGGCGTTGGAGTGGTGGGATCTGAATCGTGGCGTTTCCAACGGACGTAACGGGTGTCTTCGGTAGCGAAAGCGCATCGTATGCTAGAGTTCTCGATTTTCCGTGGACGTTGTGATCTGAACAAGTGTGGGCGTACTCGAGTCCATGTGGAATCAAGTCGAGACGGATGTTCTCTCTCGGTCCTTTTCGAGGTGGAAAGCTGCTAGGAGATCAACCGGCGATCGCCCTCTGAGGATCGAGAAGTAGATGACTTCCGGTGCCTGTTCTCCTGTACCGCATGAGACCACCGATATGATGGCAAGCGCAGAAACAAAAGACCCCAAAAGACCCCAAATCAACTTTCGTCGAAAGCCACAGGACTGACAGCCATCCGAAGTCCAGTTTCAGCCCCCAAGTCTCCCGGTCCGTCGTAATGCCTGCATAACATGGGCCAGATGCTCGTGGTTGACCCCTGCAAAAGGCTCATGCGAACTAGCCTATCCGAACATTTCCCAGCACTATGTAGGCATTTTCAGCCCTACCTAGGGAGATTGCAGAATTGACTCGTGGGAATGATGAATTGGTAAAGGACATTGGACGACCTCGGTGGAGGCCTGTCTTGGATGCGGTGTTTGTCGGACGATTGCTGACGGCTGGATAAGGGGCATCTGAATTGTGTGCCAATGACGGAGATGAACTGGGAGTGATGAGCATAGGCTGAAGTTGATCGCTGCGAAACGAATGATGCCACAGCACCAAAGACCCCACGGCTTTGCAGGTACGATGTGAGGCACAGCTCAGCCGTACCTTAGACGGTTGCCTTGCGCCGGAGGTTTGACTTGGCGCGATGACGGGCGGCTCGGAAGTGTCTTTCAGTTGTGAAAAAAGATAATGTACCTTCCTCCTTTCACACTTGACGGGATATCAGGGAGGTAAGGTACCTTACGGTAGCGAAAGGCGCAGTTCCTTCCCTGCATCCACAGTCCGGACGGCCGACCGGCGGGATTGATGCCCCACTACGGGTCCTTGCCGCGTGCGGTGCACCGTGCACCAGCTTACCTTTTACCTGCGCTTACGGATACCGAGTCGTCGAAACAATCCAATTCAAAGTCGAGGACTGTCAGACGGCTGATTCTTTTTCTTTCGAAGGATTGTGGGGACTCGGACTTTGATATGTCGTTCTTGTTCTCACTGTGTCGTCCTCTAGAAGCCAACACCCACACACCACACCAGAAACAGCCGACCAACAGCAACCCCACCCAACCCAACGTCAACTGCATCCATCCATCATCATATCTGGACATGGAACTGGTCATCCGGACTGCACTGCAACGCAGTGTCTATTCACATGCGATTGACGCACCTCATGTATCTATGTCTTGACGATGATATTCTGATGACAGCAGCGGCAGATCAGGCAGAACCAACCATCCTTGGTCGTTTGTGGGCCAATAGACACCATTTTGGCCATCATGGGAAAAAGCGCAGCTCTCTGCGCCTCCTCATTGGCTACCTTACGCCAGCGCGTCTACTTTCTTAAGAGGTCTTTCTCAATTCAAAAGTCACCCAAAGCAGAGGCCGAAACAAATCATTCTGACTTGTGCCGAGGCTTTATATCCCAAGAGGAAGTTCATCCGAGACTCGGTTCATGCGGATGCATTCCATGAGGCTCGCAGCTCCGGCTCAAGTATAGCAAAATGCGAGGCTTGGACGTCTTACCGCAGCTATCCACTCACCGAGGCTCTGGAACTGGTCTGGGCAAGTTCACCAGCTCTGTCTCAGTCGCCATGTGGACCTGGCGTGGGAGGCGTCAGGGCTACCCTCGTCGTAGTAATCAACTCATCGAAACCAAGGGACAGAAAACGGCTGCGGATATCTCGCCTCCAGCCTTCTACCGCATTTACGGTGTCGATATTGGCTGCCTTGAGTATCGTACCAGGATATTGGAAAGCGAGGTGAACCATCTTACCCGAACCGTTGATGAACCATCGTCAAGGGTCAAGGGCAAGGGCAAGGAGGGCAAGGATGCTCCAGGCAGTCACTCTCAGCCCGATCCACACGCGCGGTCTCCCTTGCGAAGTTGAGCGATTGGCAATTGCGCACAGCGACCGCTGCGCAGCGCAGGGCAGTCAATTGCACTAGAACCAACATGGGGTTATCAAAACGAGCAACCCGTCCGCTGGGAGTGGAGATGGGAACTGCGACTGTAACCATTCCATTGGAGAGAGGCTGGCTGGCATCCATCAGAGGGAAACCCCGAACGGGATTCGACTGACGTAACATCATTGGCCCGTTTCCGCGCAGGCAGAAATATTTCTTTTCTGACCGGGACCTTAAGTCGCTGTCAGCGACGGGATCAGCGTAGCGACCCTACCTTTCTCTTCTCCACCTCTGCTCTTGCAGAACACAGCAACCTAACCCTCAGCTCTCAAGCCCACCCACTCGTCCAAGTGGTATCATGACCATTCATTGGGCCAAAAGAAGGCACTTGTGGTTCTTTTCTAATCATGACCGACATGTTTGGGCCAATAGACGCTGCCTTTTGCAGTAGCTCCTGTGCACTAACACCGGGACAGCTACCAAGAATGCGAATTCATGTCCGTTGGCATCTTTCCTGCGCAGCGGTAGACGTACGGATACGCCACGAACACACACGAGACATACGGCACGATTTGCGCTGTCATTATTTTCGGCAATCCCTTCCTCCTACGCATCTGCACCTCTGCCCCAACCCTGCCACCACTCACTCATACCTCGGCAGAAACGGCGCTGAACCCTCAGAGTCTCACTCTCACTCCATCTCGAACCACACTTCCCAGCCCCAGACCTTCAGCCCGGTGCCAATGCCCATGCCAACGCCCATGAGATCCCCCTGGCCTGGTCTCCGTCACCAGCTCCGGTCAGCCTCATCAGGGCAAGCCTGCTCAATTGACAAGACTCAATCTTGACCCAAAGTACCATTACTGTACCTACTGAGATGGGGTCCCGTGGGCTTGAGACATGGAGAAACGGTCAGCTCGCCGCCATCATCACAATTGGCCTCATGTTATCCGCCTTGGATTCGGTGGGATGACTTGACTCTAGGCCCGTTGCTCTGCGACGAGACTCGGATTGTCCCTCACAGCACATTGTGTTGCTTCTTCGCCTCCATCTCGCATCGCATATGCGCACTCGACTTGCAGATGGCGTACCCGACGCCGTCCCTAACCAAACTGTCCACCTCGTAGTCTGGCGTACAGCAGTGCGGATACCGTACGAACCCATGTTAGTTTACGGCAAGGATCCTCCCAGTACCCCTGTCACCCAAGCTGTCGTTCTGCGGTGGGCTGTCTATATCTCATCTGCTAGTGTGGGATTCTTGCTAGGAATAGTTCGCGCTACACACCTCTGTCTAGCTCGGCATCGATCCCCGTCGACATTCTTACATCTCTTCCCGGGAGTCCGTTCCTGTTCCCTCGTCCTCGTTCCTGGCCTCACCATCCGCATCCGTACCTCATATACTTGAGCGTCCGGTTGCCTTATCTTAATCTGCTATATAGACTCTTGTGTATCCTTCGAGAATCCTTCCTCTCTCAAGGAAAACTTCATCACTCCAGTTTCGTCTTACGACTACAACATTATCTTTCGTCACCTCAGACAGGTCAGAGCAACCGTCTTTGTACGATATTCGGAAACTCCCCAGTCTTCCACATCCTATCCTATTCAACACTGCGCGGCTGCTACTAGCTCACTCTGAGCCCCTCACCGATGGCTCCAATGGCTACGAATGACAGCGCCGTCAACGGCGTAGACTCCAGGCCGAGCAACATCAACGTTGCTAAAGCCAACGGATATCACACGGGCGGTGTTAATGGGTCATCGTCCAGGCTCAACAGTTTCTCACCTGCTTCAGGGTCACGACCATCATCCTCATCCGCTCGCTCATACAGAGAGGACCCCCCAAACAACGGCATTAGATATAGCAAGTCTCACCGCATTCCCACCTTTGGCATTCATGAGGACGACAATGCCCCTAGGTCACGGGGCTACGCCAACATTCGCACATATAACGATGAAGCCCGCAGGCAATATCCACGGATATCAAAACCCGTGGAACTCATGCGCAACAGCTACGATTGCGTCGTCATCGGTTCAGGTTACGGCGGCGCGGTGGCAGCTTCACGCATAGCACGGACAAAAGATGCCAACGGCAAACGCCAGTCTGTCTGTGTACTTGAACGTGGCCAGGAGAAGTGGCCTGGCGAATACCCCAGTGGTGTTCTCGATGCCTTCGATCAAGTCCATGTTTCTGGCGAATTTGCTCCTGGTTGGCTTCCTAGCACTACTATTGAAAGGGGTGACCCGACTGGCATGTACCACTTGATATTTGGAAAGGGCTTGAACGCAATTGTCGGCAATGGTACGTACATGTATGCTTCATATCTCCTCCGGATGCTAACCTGCCATGTAGGCCTCGGCGGAACCAGCTTAATGAACGCCAATGTCTTCCTCGAAGCAGACAAAGGTACTCTGTCTATGCCTATCTGGCCCAAGGCAATCAGGGAAAACCCCGGTTGTCTGGATAAATGTGAGAGCACAGTCTTTTTCTTATGACAACTAGTCTTTTAACTGCTTGAGTCGGTACTAATTCAAGGTTTCTCAAGATTATCAAATGGCTCGGGACGTTCTTGAGCCGACCGAGTACCCAGACGACTGGCCAGAGCTTCCCAAGGTCAATGTCCTGAAGAAGCAAGCCGCCGCGTTGGGTCTTTCGAGCAAGTTCAGAATGGTGCCTCAAACAACTAGATTCAGGAATGGCCCCAACAGCACCGGCGTGGAGATGTGTCCGTCGGCCCTGACCGGCCAAGACTGTACTGGTGTCAACGACGGCTCCAAAACCACCACTCTCGTGACCTACCTTGCAGACGCTTGGAATTGGGGTGCTGAGATGTTCTGTGAATGCGAAGTTCGATACATCAAGAAGGCTGATGAGAGTATGGGAGGAGGTTATCTCATATTCTTTGCTTGGCACGGTCGCAATAGAGGCCACTTCAGGGCGAACCTCCACGGGGACTTGATGTGGGTTCACGCCAAAGAGTGCGTGTTCCTCGGCGCTGGCTCTATTGGCACCACCGAAATCCTTCTGAGGAGTAAGGAGATGGGTTTGTCGATGAGTCCCCGCATCGGCGAAAACATGAGCGGCAACGGCGACATGCTCGGCTTTGGGTAAGAACACTCTCTCCTGCCTAGTGGATAGGTGAAAACTAACATGGTTATAAGCTATAACATGGATGAAGAGGTAAATTCAATTGGAAAACCCTTTCCAAGCCCGTACAACCCAATCGGCCCTACAATCAACTCTGTTATCGACGACCGCGAGGGACACGAAAACCCCCTTGACGGATATGTCATCCAAGAGGGCGCTATCCCTCGTTCTCTGACCCCATTTCTCCAGACACTACTGGAGATGATGCCTGGTAGCGTCGAGTGCACTGGTGAGTCTTTTACTGAAAGGGTGCGCTCCAACTTTGCCAGGTATCGGAGTCACATTTTCGGTGCGTATCGTCAAGGAGGTTCAATGGACAACACGCAGGTCTATCTAGTCATGTCTCATGACAGCAGTCAAGCAATGCTCACGCTCAAGGACGACAAGCCAGTCCTTGAGTTCCTCGGCGTCGGGCGCAGTGATCACGTCCGCAAGCTCAATGACTTGCTGGCTAAGGCCACCCAGGCCATGGGCGGCACATTTGTGAACAACCCTTTCCACGCCTTGATGGGAGGTCAGCAGGTCACTGTTCACCCCATTGGGTACGTTAACCTGTCCACGCTTTTGAAACATCTCTAACAACTTGTAGTGGAGCGTGTATGGCTCGCGATGACACTGGAGCCACTGGCGTTACCAACAACGTCGGCGAGGTGTTCACCGGAGATGAGGAGGACACCCATCCCGGCCTGATTGTGACAGACGCCGCCGTCATTCCCGGCGCCATTGGCGTCAACCCTTTTGCCACCATCACAGCCCTCGCTGAACGTGCTGTCGATGCGTATATTCACAGGGAAAATCTCATGATCCACCCAAACAAAAACGGCATTCTGGATCTCTTTGGCGAACCAAAACACGCGCCCAAGGAGGAGCGTGACACGGAAGAACTCAAGAATGAGTCCGAAAAGATTCACCAAGCTAAATCCCTCATCCATCATGCCAACAGGGCGAAGGCGGGCGGCTTCGGTTTTACAGAAGTCATGTCTGGATTCGTCCACCGTGACGACGGATTAGTCACCGACAAGCGAGCCACCTACGAACTGGCTTACCGGACGGCAAAGAGCCTTTGCGAGAGTGCTAGGTTTTTCCTGAGTGTCCAGGCTTTCAACACCAAGTCCATGATCAAGGAGCCCGATCACTCAGCCATGCTTACGGGCACGTTCGTATGCCCTTCCATCCGCGGATCTCCCTTTATGGTCCAGCGGGGTGATTTCAACCTCTTCATTCTCGATCAGAAGGCACCGGGAACCCGCAACATGACTTACGACTTTGACCTGCGCGGTGTCAATGGAGAGAAGTACCATTTCCATGGATACAAGGTCGTTGACTCTTCGGTGGCCCTGGCCCCCTTCCAGTTCTGGAGGGCTACCAGCACACTCTACGTCACCATCTCCAAGTCGGATCCGGTTTTGGAGGCCGTCGATGACTGTGATGAACCATGGCGTCTTGGGAAGGTCATTGCCAAGGGCATCATGCACATCCAGCCCGCCGACTTCGTCTCTCAGCTCATGACCATGACTCCCACCGGCAGCAGTCTTGTCAAAAAAGTCTATAGTGCGGCAAGCTTCCTCACATACTTCACTCGCAGGTCTCTATCTCTCTTCCTGGCGCCCTTCACTCCTCTGCAGTATCCTAGCGTTAACTACAACGGCTACGTCAACGATACCCCTCCAACGGCTTCGTTCGTCATTGTTGCCAGAGACGGCGTCAAGACACGCATGCACATGTGGGAGCCGACCAACCCCAACATCGAGACCAAGAACCTCTTCTTGATCCCAGGTGCGGCTGTTGACCACCAGATTTACGCTCTTCCGACCATCAAGTACAACGCAGTCAACTACTTTACCCGCGCCGGCTACCGCGTTTTCATCAGCGTTCACCGTATCGGCCAGCTGATGGTCGCCCAGAACAACTGGACAACATACGATGCCCGGCTGGACCTTCAAGCATGCATCGAGCATATCCGCGAGAACTACTCCGAGGACAACTCCAGAGACAACAAGATCTACGCCATCGCGCACTGCATGGGCAGTGTCGCCTTCTCCTGCGGCCTCCTCGACGGCACCATCCCGGGAAACTGGATCCAAGGCATCACCTGCAGCCAGGTCTTCATGAACCCCATCTGGAGCACCCTCAACATGGCCAAGGTCATGGCTGGCCCGATTCCACTCGACAAGATGTACAAGATGATTCTCGGAAACTGGTTCTCCTGCAGCACCGCAAAGGACGACAGCATCCTTCAGCGTGCCCTCAACGAGGTCCTCCGCCTCTACCCGGAGGAGCGCAAGGAGATCTGCAACAACGCCTCCTGCCACCGCTGCACCCTCGTCTTCGGCCGCTGCTGGAACCACGCAAACCTCAACGAGGCCACGCACCGGCAGATCGACCGCTTCTTCGGCGGCGTCAACATGACGCAGCTGCAGCTCCTCATGAGGCAGGGCTTCGAGGGCCATGTCATGACCAACGGGCCTCTCTTCCAGCCCCTCACGACGCCGCAGAACATCCGCAGGCTGAGGGGCATCCCGATTATGCTCTTCGTCGGCCGGGACAATGCGGTGCTGACGCCGGAGGCGACGGAGAGAACGTACGAGATCCTCTGCGACACGTTCGGTTCTCGCGGCGGAGAGCGCGACGGGGGCGTCTCGGGCGGTCTTCAGTACCGTCGCAGAGTCGTACCCGGTTACGGGCATCTGGACTGTTGGATGGGCCGCAACGCGTGGAAGGATGTGTATCCCTTCGTCCGCGAGGAGGTGGACCGCGTGGTGCGCGGGGAGGATTACCAGTTCCTGGACCCCGATGACAAGTTCTCCAGGATGGTGGACAGCGGCGAGTTGCTTTACTAGATTTTGACAGCATACATTGGGCGTTGCATCTTTTTTCCTCTCTTTTTGTTCCTGGTGGTTTTCTTGTTTGGGGACTCAGGATAGACGTGGGAGCAATAGACTGATAGATACCCTTCGTTAAGCGTTTTGAGCTATAACATGATTAACTTGGCGGTCAAATACGTGCAGCTAGAATTACAACCGACTTGGACGGGGCGCTTAGAGAACATGGCCATCTCGAATTATGTTGAGTCCATCCTGCTGTGAGCTGTAAACCTTCTTGCCACCATATGTCTTCTCAGCCTTGGTTCGTTTCATTACGCTTCCAAGCTGGCAGAAAACTATCCGGGTAGGTCAAACTCACATGAGATCTGAAATCCATCGGCAAGGTGGAAAAGAACATGTCTCCTCAACATCAACTTAATATATGTGAATCAAGTGGCAGTGACATCGATCAACTTCAAATGGCACGTGTCCGGCCATTGAATTGTTCGTACATTATGACTCTGACCGGCATGATGTTCACGACGGAGTTCGCATTAAGTAAAAACGAAACAAGGGCCTCGGCGGGTGACGGACGGCGGCGGACCCCACCAGACCGAAGGCGGGGGGCACTTGAGTTCGTCAAAGGGAAACCGAAGCCGACAAGACAAGGATTCGTGCCATCGGAGGCCCCAGAAAAAGTCATGGAAAACGACGGGGAGGTCGGGATGGACCGTGGCCTGGTGGTGGAGAATCCGCAGTCAGAGCGGCACGGCCACCCCCAGATTTTCCCTCTTCCGTCTGGGGATACGGATACAGCCAGCTTTCTCCTCATTGACTGTTGAGGGAGGGGCAAGAGGGGGAATGGGGTTTGTTGGTTGCCCTGAGGCTCAAGAGAAATGCTTTGCATATTCAACATTCTGCGGCTTCGAGGCCCTCTGCTGGTTACTGGTTACGGGCCCAGCCACACCCATGCATCGAGTTATCGCCTTCGTGTATGCATGCACATTTTCCGTCGAGCGGCAGTCAAGCGTCTCTTACTTATCTCTGACTCCCAGAATATCAGCAAGTGAGCATCCATCGCTTCGGGCACAGGGATATCTAGTTCGGGGCTGGAGACTTTGAGAGCGGTCGGTCGTCTCTATCAGCAACACGGCCGTGCGTGGGAATGTCTGACAGATAAGACATGTTGTCTCTGCAGTTATCTGCGGGAGCCACTAGGAATAAGCAAAGAAACGAGTCCCTTGATTGCCTCCCACATTCTGAATTCCAAAAGTGGCCGCCGCCCCCAAAAACCCTTCTTTCCGTATGAGCATTTGTTTGGTTTTGATGATGGTAAGTAAACGAAGCGAGGCGCAGCAGAAAAAGCGCCCAGTCAACGCCCCCGTGGAGTGGTGGCGAGAGGGCTGCAGAGAGGAGACGTCAGACATTGAAATGTCCCGAGGTTCTGGGGAGACAATTTCATCGTGATTTTCCCGAATTCCATCGAGAGAACATCGATGCTGCCAGCTTGTTTGCTCGGCTAGCGGATGGTAAAAGAAATAGAACCAACCAATCTCCCTTGGATGAAGAGTTTTCCTATGACTTGGGCCGAGATAATAGTTCATAGTTGGTCTCCCTACATGGCTGTTGACTAACTACCTAAGTAAATGGCCTCGCGCGGGCGGCCCGTGGTCTGGAGGCCCAGCTCGGACACCCGGAGCACGCAAACGGTCTCAACAACCAACCTACCTAGGTGCCTACCACCCTAGTTTCTCAGCACACCACCAACCAATGCCCTCCTCTTCTCCCACCACACATCCTTCCTGCGCCCGAGCGGAGAGCACCATCTAGGCGAGCTGGACGAATGAGGAAGAGGGGAAACGGAGGGATTCGGGGTGATCGGACGGGGAACCTAGAAAAAAAGATGGACGGTTAGAATGCCGGCGTGGCGTGTAAGTGCAGGTGGTGTGCCAATGTGCCTGGCCGGCTGCTCTGGCATTGCCATACGCAGCAATATACATACAACGCCGCACCCGATCAGAGTTCAATTGCACACACGCCCGCATTTATCTCGCCATTCACTTTCTTGTTGTTGGTGTGGTCCGGTTTTTATTTATTTATTTGTTTGATCTCTGGGGCTGTCCCGGCAAGGTCTGTACGTTTCAAGCAGTTGCGAAGCCGATTGGACTGACACAAGGGAGGAACGCAAAGGTTCCATTATCCCTCTCGTACCTGTGTCGTTTAAGAGACATTCCAGAGGTGGACGTCCATATCTCACATCTACACGCACAACACACACACACACACATCCATACATCCACACATACTGCTTATCCCCAGGGACGACTGAGGACAAGATACCGGAGCTTGCCCGCGGTCCCTTCACTCTGGAAAACCACTTCTTCTCGACCCTCTTTCATAACACACACTTCTCCAGTTACCATGTTTGAGGCAGGAGCAAGGTGACCATTTCTCTGCATCCTGTCACGAAAGAAGCGGCCCGTCCCTCGTTTGGAGCAGCCCACACCTCGGAAGTAACCACGCTCATCTTAATCTCACCACGATGGCAACGACAACAGTCCTCAGCTTGTCGACGCTACCGAGCCGGGTAGCCTACAGCCCACTCGTCCCGTCACCGCTGAACCCGGATGTTGACTTGGTCGTACCGCCACGGCACCACAAGTTGCGGGAGAAGAGGCGGCAGCAGAGCCGAGGGGACGTCAGCCCGACGCAGAGACTTCTCCGTCACAAAGCCGCTATGGCGTGGAAGTCGGAAGCTCTGACGCGAGAGAGCCGCATCTACACCCGAGAAGAAATCCTCAGCATCATTGCCGACTGCGACAGCCAGGATGCTGCGGCGAGGACACCCATTATCATGCCCGACCTGCCAGAGAAGAGGAAGAAGCAGCAGCAGCCCCAAGTACACATCCGGGCTGCGCACTGGAAGGAGATGGACGGAGAGGAGGATGACTTCTTCTGCGAGCTGGACGACTTGCTCGATACGGACACATCAGACGAAACCCCACGGCAATGGCCCACGCTCGTTCCTAAACTCCGCAGCCCCTTCTCAAAAGACACGGCCAGACGGGTCGCCCTAGCAATTGGGCTGATGTGCATTTGCGGGTGCTTGCCGGTGCTTCGAGCACATGGCTTCCACATATACCAGGCGTCGGAAGCGCCGTAGACGCTGCGGATCCCACCACATACCGGGGCAGTCGTGCCAAACCATCAACATCATTAATCCGAGGGAAGAAAAAAAAAAGCCGCCATGGCAGCGACTCAAGTATGAGAGGAGTCTATCCGAACCTTGATTTTATAACGCCACACCATTCTTGCTCATGTATCATGTCGGGAAATGCTCGCGTCTAAAGAGCACATATTACACACGGTCGAGACGGTTTTCGATAGCCTCGCCAAAGCTACCTTTTCTCGTCTTCGCCCGAACTGGCGGGCTTTTCTTTGTCTTTCGGAGCATCGGCGTCGGAATTCTTTGCGGCCTCCTCCTGTTTGACCTTCTTGGCGTGATCGACCTGCCATATGGCTCTCTCGATTTCAACACCCAGTTCGGGCAGCTCGAGCGCTTTGGCTATCCGCTGTCCGTTTGCCTGCGAAAGCAGAATTTCTTCCTCGGACTCCGCTTCCGACTTGCCCTTCAGGGGATCAGCTTCACCCAAAGCTGGCCTCGACGGTGTCGGGGACATGTTGTCGGGAATCAGCGGGCGGTAGATGTCGTTCAACAGCTTCGAAGGATTCAGGGCCAGGAGTTTGTGATCCAGGAGGAACCGAAGATGCTTGCCGCCCTCGAGAGCGCGCCAATGGGACCAGGCACGGTAGACTAGGTAAAAGAAGGGCAGATTAGGGATCCTAGTATATTGTAATGTCAGCGAAGTTCATCGTGCAACGAGGCTTGGCGTTTTGTCTTACACCGGTACCAGGGCAAACGGTGCCGAGATGGGCATGCCGATCAGGCACCAGATAAGCTTCTTCTTGTGCAAGGCGTCTCGTTCTGTTGCCAGGGTCCTCACGACCTGTTCGGCCTTGGTCGTGGGGATAATCGTGTCAGGGTACACCAGTTCAATCTTTTCCTTCCCTTTCAACTCGTCGTCTTTGCGGCGTGCAGAGATAGGCGGGACAGACTTCAGACCCCATTCCTCGTAGGGGATCCTTCTGAGGGCATAGTTGCCGTAGTTGACAACCTTCTTTTGCCAACCGCTTTCCTTTGCCTCCCAGCTGGCCCAAAGCTTCGACGCTCTCTTGCCAACCTTATCTGCTAAGCCTTGCTTATTCGTAGTCGCGATATTGAGGCGCTGGGAATAGAGCAGAGTGCGGCTCGTGGTGATGGGGAGGAGGTAGAGGCGCATTGTGGATGCCGAGGCTCGGGGGCGGGGTCAGGGGAGATGATGGAAGAAGCACGGTTGTCGTCGTCGTCGTCTTCTTCGTCGTGACTCGTCGTAACTCGTCGTCGTCGTCCGAAATTATGCGACCGGCAACCGGCGGGGGTTGCGACGGAGGGGTAAGGAGAGGAAACGAGGGGCGCTCGGCACGGTCTAGCAGGAACGGGTGCTCGTAGGAATCATGACGGGATTTTTAACAGAAGTTGGAATCGAGGGGCAAACGTCGCAAAGTCGCGATCCGGGCGGCCTCTTCGGGGAGAGGTCCTTGTTCGTGAGAGGAGGCAATTTTGACGCGGTTCGTGGAGACCGAGTTTTGAGTGGCACTTCAGTACCTTAAGGCGGGAAGCTCAGCTTTTGGAGCCCTGTCCCTGTCGAGCATCTTAGCTTTTGGGTCAAGCTTCCTGGGTGAGCGTGGGCCAGCGAGTGACGCACATGGGCGTCATAGGTCGCTCCCGCGATTTAAGTGGTGCGCTGAAGCCTCGATCCAGTGTTAGGGCGGTACTCGAGGGGTGATCCGGGAGCGTCGAGAGTGGTTGCATTTAAGCCGAATTAGGGCCCCTAGTCAAGCATCGTGACAAGGGGTGAAGGGCCTTGAGAAGTTGAGGCGCGCCGTCAAGGTCCACTTGAATGCGAAGGAGCGCTAGGTTGCCGTGTGCCCCTCTATCTACCGCGAAGTTTTTTTCGTCAGTGCCAGATCGCGCAGCGCAAAATTGGGATTCGAAACCCGCTAAAAAATAAGACAGCAAACTCACTGCGGATTGAGGTGGTATCCGCAGCTGAAAAAGAAGAACCTGTGATAAATGTCCGCGGATAGGTAAGGTGACGGATGAAGTACGTACCTCGATTGAACCAGGGGCCCGCAGGTTGCCCCAGTGCTCCAGGCACGCTCCATTGGTTCTTATCAATCTCACTTTCGCTTGCTTCCTTATGTTGTTGATGTGCCTTTCTGCTTCTGCTTTCCCAGTGACTGTTTCTTACCTGCATACCTTAGGTAGGTAGGTTTCCCGGCTTGCTGGAAACGCCCGGGTTTTCTAGGAAACCATCACATCCGGGTGTCGTGTGGTCTGTTCTCCGGGCCAGCCTCCAGCCTCCAGCCTCCAATCTCCAACCTCCAGCCTAAGCCCTCGCAGTAGCAGGCCTCATTAATCAAAAAAAGCCCACGCCAAGACAAGAAGACCCAACCAAGGCAGCTGGCTAGCAGCACTAGCCCGTCATTCCCACGAGACACAGCCGCTGCCGCCGTTGAGTCGGTCGTCCACCTGTACCCAACGGTTGCTGTATGCTGTCTGCTGTCTGCTGTCTGCTGCCGCCGTCACGCGCTCCTTTGCCATACTTTACTTTACCTTACCAGACCTTGCTTTTCCTACCTACCTTACCATTCCTTTCCTTGCCTGCTTCCTTTTACCTAGGGGCCCTTTCTACAAGTAATCTCGTTCGGGGTTTTGTTTTTTTCTCCCTCTCGTTGTCGCCCTTACTTGTGCCTGTCGCTGTCGCCAAACTTCCCTTTCCCACTCCATCCGCGAACTGTCCCCGTTCGTGATACACGGCCTAATATCGACACTGTCCACCTTTGCCGCTTCGACCGGAGGGCGGAGCCCATATAATATGAGAGCCCTCCGCCGCGCGATTGAGAAAGCGTTGAACCCCCGGCGCTCTCAGTCCCCGTCCAAATCGTCATAGCCGCCCCTCCGACTCCCGCCTCTGTCGCGGCCGCCACCGCGACCGCGATGAGCACAGCCAGTCACCCGCCCGGCAGTTCTGGCTCGCCCGATTTCCGAGCCTCAGTTGGTACCAGTAGTACTGCAATCGACACGGGTGCTCCGCGATTTAGGGCACCACGGTCGCTCCCTCGTAAGAATCCCAAGTCCCCCTCCCTCCACCACACCCTCGCTGACGTGCTCTCCCTTTGCAGCGTGGATAGATTCCTATGAGACACGATACGGACAGGCCACAGAAGACCAGCTCCGATTACTATCCCCTCCCGCCCGCGCTGTCCCGCCACAGCATAATCATGCGCCCGCCGAACCCAACCGCCGAGTATCCCGAGACGGCTATGTCGACCTAGCCGGCGATCCAATCCTCGAGAATGCACGCCCGCGCCCGAAGATAAAGCTCACAGATGTCTTCAGAGGCAAGGGAGCGCAGCACGGAAGGAAGTGGGATCACCTACGGACCGCAGACCCTGTAATTGTCTCGGCGCATCGACCGGCGACCCAAGGACCTCCGGCAGCATGGAGAGACTTCCTCCAATCGTCGACTTACGGACACATGGATGGCGAAGAATCAGAGGTCGTAGATGTGGCGGTGCTGGATAAGTTGCAGCCCGATTTCAACAAGCGATACGACGAAAACGCACATCGAGACATTGAGAGTAAGACCTCGAAGCGGAAACAGTCAAAAACCCTCTGGAAAAGAATATGGTCACTTGTTCTCCGACATTACCTTATTCCTTTCATCTTTCGACTCACGGTCATGGTCACGTCCATCATCGCCTTGGCTATCGCAGCTCGTATCTATGAGGTTGAGAATGCGAAAAGCGGCTCCAGTCCTGAGCGCGCCCAAAGCATCGTGGCCATCGCTGTCGATACCGTCGCCTTGCCATACATAGGCTATATGCTCTGGGACGAGTACACAGGCAAGCCTTTGGGTCTCCGACCGGCTGTCCAGAAGATCTCTCTGATACTGTTGGACCTCTTCTTCATTATATTCAAATCAGCCAGCACATCCTTGGCATTCGAGTCACTTGTCTTCCATAACGTGGACGCAGGCCCAGCTAGGCATCTTTCCAAGGCACTGGCGTCCTTCATGTTGGTTGGATTGCTAGCATGGACCATGAACTTCGTGGTCAATATTTTCCGTTTAGTACAACGACTCGGGGGAGGCGAGGATGAAAGCTCTCACGATCATATGTAGGTTGGGGTGCGGCTCTGGCTCTTTAGGTATACCCGGTGTATTAAAAGCATGTACTATAGCTGGAGCGTGGATTGTCCATCATGGTTCTTCTTTGTTAATGACTATTATCACTTCTAGTTATGCCCTGGGCCTTTAGCTGGTATACGTTTCAAGATATGCTAACACAATGCCTGATGCGCTCTTGCAGGAGTAAGATAGGTTGGTGTGTGAGATGCAGCGGCCCTTTTTTCTTTGATCAGAATCGCCTCCATGTTAGGTATGCTAGCTTTGTCAACTTCACTTCACCAAAACAGTTGGTTCCACTGGGTCTGGTGAAGGCGGCATTGACCCGCGCTATCCAACGACAAGGGAAGTGTTGCAAGGGCATGCATGGGTGTATCTTTTCAACTTCAGACGGACGAGAGCATGAGGTTTGTGCAACAGTAAGCAGCATTGTTGATGTGTGTATGTAACTTGATTCAATTGGGTGTTTTTAGACAAAGACGTTGACCGACCAAAAAGAACGTATATACAGGACCATACAAGGACCATACGGATATGCCTACCTTTTTGGGCTCGATATCTATGGGCTCATTGCCGCCTGAATTCGGGGATATTAAGAGTTGTATTTGAAAAAAAGAAGAATCCCAGAACATGCAAAATAAGGCTGATCTGTCTACGGTTGATGGCTCTTCCCCTGGCACCCTTGATATCCCCGAAGCAATTAAGCACACGGCACCAGCGAACACGCCTTGCCTTTCCCAGATCATCCGTAGAGGCCATCAAGCGGTGTTTCGCGGCAGAATATGACGCTAAACTAAATCGGGGATATGTCCCACTTATTTCCGGCCGCCGGTGCCAGGCCCCCGACGGTCCATGGTTCCAGGGCATCCACCAGGTGCACCGCATAGGTAGGTAGGTACCTTAGGTAAGGTACTTTAGGTAGGTAGGTAGGTAGGTCTGGAGTCAAGTGGGCGTAGGCGTCAGTGGCCTAGGTTCTTCACCACCAGCCAGCCGCCGCAAGTACCGTGGCTCCCAAAGCAGCCTTTCCAACCACTGACTGACTCCGGCTGCCTGTCTCTGCCTGTTTGCCTGCCTGGTCACTCGCGCCTCGATCAAGGTATTCTGGCCTACCAAGGCTACAAATTCCTCTCTTACCTTTTCGCTTCCACGGATTACTTCAGAATATCTTCATCTCCTGCCCGCTCTGACTCAGACGAAGAGGCGGCGCCTTCCTTCTTTGCACGCCGACCTCTACCCATTTCCGTAAGGCAACTTCTCCTCTACACCAGTCAGTCCCTCAACTCGCCCCTGCTTTCAGACGCCGATTCGAAAATCACCGACGCCTGTGCCGCAACCGCAAACACACCTTGCTCCCTTCACCTTTATCTTGATCACCGCGACGTAGTACCTCGACATCCTGTCGACAACGGCTGCGTCGGAGCAAATACATCCAGACTGTCACTGAACCTTGGTCAAAGTCCATTACATTACTTACCGTCGTCTGTCAGCCAGCACCCCGCTCTCCACGCGAACCGTCCGACAACATCTTATCCCCCGCCATCGACGGCCAGACGGCCTCGCCACTTTCCCGGTACACGATCACGACCCGATTCGAGACACACTCGGATGATGACAGCAGAGAAGATGGCGCCCGCACTCCAGATGCCTCCGGTCCCTAACCGGGAAGACATCGGAGCCACGTGAGTCGACTTCTGCAGCCTTGCGACTGCCTCGCCGTCGGTCGACACCCCGCGCTGACTGTTTGCAGATGGAAGTACCTTGAGGCCGGCATTCAGCGCATCATGCTAGATCTTGAGCGTGGTATCGACATGCAAATCGTGAGTCTCCGTGCCATCCCGCGCTTCTGCGCTTCGTATGCCGTTTGATGGAGTTTGCTGACCTGGCTTCGCTTCACAGTACATGGGAGTCTACACGTATGTTACAACGATCGAATGATGTCGACCGACTCTAACATTGCTCACAGTGCCGTCCACAACTTCTGCACCTCCCAAAAGGCGGTTGGATTAAGCGTGCCACAAGGTAGCATCGGATCAGGTAACCATAGGGGAGGTAAGTAGGGATAAAAAAAAATCGAGTTGACGATGGCGGCTCTGCTGACTGTTTCGAATAGCTCACCTGCTCGGAGAGGAGCTTTACAACAAGCTCATTGACTACCTCAAGTCACATCTTCAACTCCTCGTCACACAGTCCAAGACGCACACCGACGAAGCACTCCTGACGTTCTACATCAAAGAATGGAACCGATACACTGTCGCTGCCAAGTACATCCATCACCTTTTTCGGTACCTGAACCGACACTGGGTAAAGCGGGAGATGGACGAGGGCAAGAAGAACATTTACGATGTTTACACGCTCCACCTTGTCCAGTGGCGTAGAGTGCTGTTCGAGCCCGTTTCGAAGAAGGTCATGGAAGCTGTTCTGAAGCTCGTCGAGAAGCAGCGCAACGGCGAGACGATCGAGTATGGTCAGATCAAGCAGGTCGTTGATTCCTTTGTGTCTCTTGGCCTTGATGACTCCGATCCCACGAAGTCGACCCTGGACGTTTACAGATATCACTTCGAGCGCCCTTTCTTGGAGGCCACCAAGGAGTATTACCAAAACGAGTCGAAGCAGTTTGTGGCTGAGAACAGTGTTGTGGAGTACATGAAGAAGGCGGAGGCTCGCTTGGCTGAAGAGGAGGAGCGAGTCCGCATGTACCTGCACGCCGATATAATAACTCCCCTGCGGAAGACGTGCAATCAAGCGCTCATCGGCGACCACTCGCAGCTGCTCCGCGACGAGTTCCAAGTTCTCCTGGACAACGACAGAGAAGAAGACATGGCCAGGATGTACAAGCTCCTGTCCAGGATTCCCGAAGGCCTAGACCCTCTCCGCCAGAGGTTCGAGACTCACGTCCGCAAGGCTGGCTTGGGTGCCGTCGAAAAGGTGGCATCGGATGCCGAGAAGTTGGAGCCAAAGGTCTACGTTGACGCCTTGCTGGAAATTCATTCTCAGTACTCTGGGCTCGTGACTAGAGCGTTCGAGGGAGAGGCCGAGTTCACCCGATCGCTGGATAACGCCTGCCGCGAGTTCATCAACAGAAACGAGGTTTGCAAGTCAGGCTCGAACAAGTCGCCAGAGCTTCTGGCCAAATACACGGATGTCTTGCTCCGCAAGAGCAGCACTGGCATTGAGGAGGGCGAATTGGAGAACACGCTGACGCAGATCATGACCGTCTTCAAGTACATTGAGGACAAGGACGTCTTCCAGAAGTTTTACTCTCGCATGCTTGCTCGCCGGCTGGTCCACAGCAACTCTTCGTCAGACGACGCAGAGACCAGTATGATCAGCAAGCTCAAGGAAGCATGTGGTTTCGAGTACACGAATAAGCTGCAGAGGATGTTCCAGGACATGCAGACGTCGAAGGATCTTAACGTCAGTTTCAAGGAGCATGTGACTGGCCTTGGTGTCACCAAGAACGCCCTCGACTCTCAGTACTCCATTCTTGGTACTGGTTTCTGGCCCCTGACGGCACCAAACACCAGCTTCACCCCCCCTGCTGAAATTAATGAGGACTGCGAGCGCTTCTCCCGCTTTTACAAGAACAGACACGAGGGTCGCAAATTGACCTGGCTGTGGCAGCTTTGCAAGGGCGAGTTGAAGGCTGGTTACTGCAAGAACAGCAAGACGCCGTACACTTTCCAGGTGTCGGTCTACCAGATGGCGATTCTCCTCATGTTCAACGACAAGGATAAGCACACCTACGAAGACATTGCCGGTGTGACGTTGTTGAGCTCTGAGGTGCTGGACCAGGCTCTTGCCATTCTCCTCAAGGCCAAGGTGCTCATTGCTTCTCCCGAGGGCAAGCCCGAGGCCGGCAAGTCTTTCCGACTCAACTATGACTTCAAGAGCAAGAAGATCAGAGTCAACCTGAACCTTGGAGGAGCCAAGGAGGCGAAGCAAGAGGAAGTAGAGACCAACAAGACGATTGAGGAGGACCGAAAGCTTCTGCTTCAGGTATGTTTGGGTCATGAACTCTCCCAATTTTTGAACATGCGCTAACATGTCACACAGTCTGCCATCGTTCGTATCATGAAGGCGAGGAAGAAGATGAAGCACACGCAGCTTGTCAGTGAGACCATCAACCAGATTCGGTCGCGATTCGTGCCGAAGGTCTCGGATATCAAGAAGTGCATAGAGATTCTGCTCGACAAGGAGTACTTGGAACGGCTTGAGGATGACGAGCTTGGGTACTTGGCGTAATTGGGATCGGGATTTTCCTCTCGAGAAGAGGAAATACCCTCTTGCCTCTCTCGACTGTCAATGTATTACATCACCATCAAAACTGCATACACAACACCCCATCTTTGCCAGGCATTCAATTTGCGTTACAGGGACGCCCTTCGGGCGTGTGCGGGTTATTGAACAACAGTACGGAGGAATACTGATTATGGGGTTTCTTTCTTTGGGCTAAGGGCGGTTGGCAGGCGGGCAGGGATAGATAGCTGCATGCGGATTCCTCTTGTTGACTGTGCGATCATGTTCCCTGTGGTGATGATTATCGTGATCAATTCCGGTGCCGCAGTGACTAACGCAGCTGACAAAGATCCATCAGCGTTCACCTCTGTAATTCTCACACTGTGTCGAACACAGCTTCTTCGTGAAAATTCTGTCTTTGGATGCCTCGCTACGTAACAGTGTGCGACTAAAATGAAGCAATCACACGAATCGTACGCTTCTTATTTCTCTCAAAACTTGTTGGCTAGGTGACACGAGGCTTGTTATACAACCCTGATTCACCCCAAGAAGGGGGACTGCTTGCTTGCACGCAATAACTTCAAATATTTCCAAACTATTTAAGCCGTATGCCTTGTTTCTGGGATATTCTCACTCTTCCTAGTAGCGAGACTTCCTACATTACCAGGAAAACCAGTATTTGACTAATCAGATACCCCTAACTCCTCTATGCATGTGTAGATACTGACTAGTGGAATGCGTCAAACCTCCACTATTCAAACCGCCACAGGCAATTGCTCTTGAACAGCCTTCTTCACGCCGAACCTCTGGCCAAGGACAACCCAGGAAGAAGTGCAAATCAGCTTCCGGAATGCCCTAGGGCTCTTGCTCTCGTCGTCACTGAAGCCATCTTCCAGCCACTGCTTGACATTGTCCCACTCCAGGAAACCCAGATTCTCAATGTTCTCCTGAGTGAGCAGCTCCCGCATCATGTTGTGAATGGGACCTCCGCGCGGCCACTTGACCGGCGCAGAGTACGGATGCTTTCTCCTCTCGTAGAGCTCCTGTGTGATGAAGGGCTTGCCGGCCTCCTTGAGGATCCATTTCTCGCTCAACTTCTGACGCGCGGTGCCGAGATCCTTCCACCACAGGCTTGAACCGGTCCCGGTGGCGTTGTCCACGCCAGCCTGCGCCGAGGGCTCCTGATAGGCGACCTTGACGCTCGGGGGCAGTCCGTTCACGTATTCCACAAGATGGTGGTCGAGGAAAGGTGGGCGGGCCTCGATGCTATGTGCCATCTCGGTACGGTCCCCCAGACACGTCAGGATCATGTTGGCAAGGGGTCCCTTAGTGTACAGGTAGAGGCTAGTGTGCAGCGAGTGCCACTTCTGCGTCATCTTGGCGATGAGCTCGGGTGAGATTGTGGGTTGCTCGGCGGCGAGGAGCTTCTCGTAGCTCGCGCGAATCCAGGGCGCGAAAGCGTTCCATTCCGGCTCGAGGCGCATGCCTTTGTTAGGCATCGGCCCAGCGAGAGACTCGTCTTCGAACATGCCGATTCTCTTGAACATGTCCTTGAGGTCTTGGGACATTTGCATGAACATGGGTACACGGACGTCGTCTGTGAGGGGGGATTGGGGCCACGACTGGTCGGCCTCCATGAGGAACGCGGGCAACACAAAGGGATAACCCGCGAAGTGCTCATCGGCACCCTCGCCAGTGAGCACGACAGGAATGCCGTTCTCTCTGGGAAGTGTGGAGAGACAGAACTTCCCAACGCTGTTCAGGTCGAAGTTGTGGTGTTCAGTGTGGAAAACGGCGTCTGCGAAGTTTTTCGCCAACTCGGCCTCGTTCATGTCCTTTTTGAGGATTTGAACACCGAGCCAGTCTGCTGAGCGTTGAGCGATATCTGTTGCCAGTGTCAGCGTTCGTCTCAAGCAGTGGATGTTCTCCTCTTGGGTGGAAACTCACCCGACTCGTTGAAGCCAGATGTTTCTGGGAATTGGATCGTAAAGCAGGTAATGCGCTTCGTTGCGTCTTGGTTGCCCAGGCTCACGCCTTGGTCGCGAACCAATTTCGTCACAATACCTGCCACCACAGACGAGTCGATACCTTCAACCATGTTAGCTACTGAACAAGATCTGCAGTGATAGGTGAATGGTACCTCCAGACAGGTAAATTCCAACGGGCACGTCAGCACGGAGTCGGAGCTTGATCGCTTCCACCAAACGCTCCCTCACGCCCTCGATCATCTCGTCCAGTGTCCGTGTCTCTACTTGCTTCTAGTACGCTTCGTCAGAATTGAACGTTTGCCACGGAGAAACGCTACGGCGAATTGTCACTCACCTTATCCTTGTAATCCGGATCCCAGTATTGGTGGTATTCGATCTTCCCACCTTGGAGTTCCATCCAAGTGCCGGGCTCCAATTTCCAGACATCCTTGAACACGGTGTACCGGGTCTGCATCGAATCTCCGCTGATCAAGCCGTGAACATTCCACTCTGGCTCCCAGCCGAAGGCTTTGAATCCCTTCATCTCCGAAGTCAAGAGCATTCGCACACCATCGGCACCTTGGTCCTGGAAAGTGAAGAACATGGGCTTGATGCCGAAGCGGTCCCTCGCCGCTATGATCTTGTCTTGTTCCTCATCGTAGATGACGAAAGAAAACTCTCCGCGGAGGTGCTCGAAGAAGGCAGTGCCGTGAATCTTGTACAGAGCGACCAGGACTTCGCTATCGGAGTGACCCTTGAACTTGTAACCCAGCTTCTGGCATCTTTCTCTTATGGCATCGTGGTCGTAGATCTCTCCGTTCACGATAGCGTGGATCTTACCGTCATCGCTGTGGAGGGGCTGCACTCCGTCCGGAGAAAGATCGTTGATGGCCAGACGGCAGTGACCGAAAGCTACAATAACGGTCAGGGCCCGTAGCATTTCAGCCTATCCCGGTGTTCAAACGTACCGACAGACCCATCGTCGTTGATCCAGATTCCGGAGGCATCTGGGCCGCGATGAGCGATGGTCTTCAGACTTTCTTGCAACTGCTGGCGAAGAAGCCCATGCTTCTCCCCTACGTCGCCATTGGTGCCATGAGCTCCAATTTTCTCGTTTCCGTTGACCTTGATCTCGATATCAAGGCTGCTGTCGCTACCAATATTGCCGTTGTGTCCATTGGTCTTCTGGTGCCCGTCGACCCCGTTGGTTCCATTGGTATCGGCAGAGCCGCTCCGCTGAAGCTTTATGGCTGCTGAGATTCCGCACATCGTGTTGCCTAGTGAATGAAGTGCGATAAAACGATGAACTAAGAGGCGGCAGAAGCTCAGAAAGAGTAAAGGGCTCTGCTTTCACATACATTGACGCGCGTCCGAAGTATTTAAGATGATAAAATTGGCAGCCGAAGAAGAACTAACGGCTTAATCCAGCCCCTCGAGGCTCAACTGGGAATCTCGGCATCGTTGCCATGGTGGGCTTCCTAACTCTACAGACAAATGCGAGGAACAGACGAGGCCGGGCCGAAACATACAGGAAGGGGGTTGTTGGCACAGTGAGCACTCGACTGAGCCACTGTCAAGACTATTCTCGGAAACGATGAGATTCTAGGGATGAAGACAGTGAAGCTGACGGGATCTTTGAGCTGAGGAGCTGCACAACACGGACGTAGATGGTGCGGGGAGTTGACTACTCTGATTCCGAGGACAAGGGGCTTGGCCCGGTCGCAAGAGCATCAGAAGCAAACATGCGTTGGATGCAGGTTCGTTTCCGCGGGCTTGGGTTCAGGCTGCATAGTTGGACCACGTCACGTGGGCATCCTCTGTCTCGTCAGTCCGTCCGGAGAACGGCAGAAGGGTTGTGAATCACGGAAGGCCGACTTGGCAATTAGGTGTGTCGTGACGGCGTGACGATGGGGTTGAGCCCAGTGTTTGGCAAGTAGGCCGTGCGTGCAAGTTCGGCCAGCTAGCTGGTTTGACCTACCTAATGCTTGACAACCTGACCATACATCAAAGGTCCGGTGCTAGCTTGGCATAGTCGCGCTAACTGACGTGATGCTGAATGACTGCGGGATTTATCCGTAGGTGACCCGAAATGCTTAAGAACAGGCGTTGTTTCTGCGCGGCACGACCCGATGGTCCAAAGCTTTGGGTGTTGCGGTTGCGTCGATAATGTTGGAAGTGACGTCCAAGACCTGCCGCGTCAGGAGTTCCGGTCGTCCGACTACTTTGCCCCGGCCAACAACCCGATGCAAGTCTGCCTTGACCTCCGCTGTCAATTACCGTTACATCCACCGTTCAGATCGTCTGATGTGAAACAGGAAGTCCTTTGCATACATAACCATTAAACCGAGGAGGGACTATTGTTGCTGCCAGCTAAGTGCCTGGAGCATATTTTGCCTGGTAGCAAAGGCCAGACTTGAACTGCTCCTAGTGTCGAGAAGCTTGATCCCCGATGTTCTCGTATTCTTTCAGGTATTGGCCTTTGACTGACGTGTCACCTCAGAGATGATTTGGCAGCGAGCGTTTTGGACCAGCCTCAACAGATCGACGTCCTCGGAATCCAACTTGAAGTTTGCGGGATGATTTGATGCAGGCCAACAAGGCAGTAAGTTGGAATGGGTAGTTTTGGTATTTCGTGTGGGTTTGCTTCAGAATTCGGAGAGCAATAAGATTGGAAAACGATCCTACTGTGTTCCGAGGCTTGTCATGACCGCTGAAAGCTTCTGAATCCTTATTAGACGTGGTCTTACGGCAGAAATGTTAGGATGCTGATAGAAACACGTACCCTTGCGAGCTTATACGAGGTAAGTGACATTTGAACTTGGATCCTTCTTCAACAGCCGCATCGTACGTCCAACAACATGTGCCATGCACGCTGTGTTATCTCGTCACTCCCCTTCTCCTGCTCCCTTGCTGAAGGTATCTGCGGCAAAAGAACGACAGCCGATGGGTGTGGGTGGGCACCATTGAGACGAGTAGTTGATCTTGCAGGTCGATCTGTCGATAGATATGTGGATGATAAAGGAGCTTGAAAGATCATAGCTCCGTAACCTCGCCATCAGAACTTCTTGGGAAACGTTTGCCTTTGTACGTCAAAACAACTTGCGACTCGCCGTTTTTTCCATCGGTGTGGCGTAAGGTGACGTTCATGCCCCTCAAACCTTCCTCTTCTGCGCGCTGGTTCCAGAGAATCTGCCGAATGATTCCATCATTCGAGCAAGAGATGAAACCCATCGGCCATCGACTTCTGGTCATGCCCTCGCGTACCCCTTTGCTTGCTGTTTTTTCGCTGACCATGAATGCGACAACTCCTTCGCCGCGCCAACCAACAGGAGCCCCAACGAAGGAGCCTTCCAGCTCTCGGACAAGCGAAGGGTTGACTTTCTGAGCCCCTCCTTTGCACTGTAGAATGATCTTGAGTTTGTTCTTGGGCAGTTTCCAGGTACCAAGGATATCGATGCCGTAGTCTGAAATCCCGCCCACCCTCACGGCGTGTATACCGTACTGCGCCAGAGTTGATGTGACGATGTACTCGTAATGTGTGCCAACATAGACGGTGGACGAAGCGTCTAGCCCAGTTCTGTCGGCATACGCTAAAAATGATGCGAGATCGTGGTGTTTTGCTGTAGAGGGATCCGGGAATGACGAATCGTGTGTATCCTTTCTTAGTGATCGTGTCGGCGTCGATACAGGGCGAGCGTGGCGAGCAATCGGAGACAATAATCGAAGAAGCCGAGGCCGAGGCCGGACCTCTAGTAAAAAACCTCGTAGAGTATGCATTTACCAGATTCGAAGAAAGCTTAATTAAGTACAGAAAGCTGAATCTATCTTGCTGGACAAGTTCACAGACGGCCTAAAAAAAAAAAAAGTCGTGATTGACCTGAGATGAGCCGAAGTTAGTGACAGCAGGTACGTACCCAGAGTTGGAAAGCTCTGGCCAAGGCGCATCCCCGCGTACTGCGTACCGCTGCCAACCGCGATGCGATCCTCTGCGACTTCAAACAAAATCAGCAGTCGTCGCGACAACCATACAGCACCATGGGCGACAGACTCACCCAACTACAAGATGCTCTGGACCAGGTACAAGGGACATACTCATACTCTCCTTACACAGCAATTGCTGACACATGATTCAGCTCGCTCAGCAATTCGTCGCGAGCTTCCATTTCGTCCACCGACGTCACGACCTTGAGCTCCTTGGGCCCAATGACAAGATTCGCGATGTAAAGCAGGAGCCGGATCAAAAAGAGGGTATGTTTGTTCTAAAAGAACCCTCCCTATGACCCATAGTTGACCGAACGTGCGCAGTCGACCCTCTCCCCGCCGACGAATTCAGGGAAGGACTTGCCGAGCTGTCCCGCGACCTGATTATCAAAGAGCAGCAGATCGAGGTTCTCATCTCCAGTCTCCCCGGACTAGACAGTAGCGAAGCCGACCAGGAGCGATACATACAAGAGCTGGAGGATGAGCTCAAAGTCGCCGAGGCGCAACGTCAGGATGCGATCAAAGAGAAGGACCAAATTCTCGCCAAGCTTGACGAGGTCATCAGGAGCATTCGCAGGCCTTGAGTGTCGAATTGAGGGTCGACGGTCATAGAGAAGGGTGCAAGCCATGGAATTTTTTCAAGCGTTATGACGGTGCTTTCCGGCGTTGAGAGGCGGAATAAACTTGGGGTATATTGCAGATATCTATGAAATAAGACGATACCCAACTAAAACCAATACATGGTTTTCCTTTTCTAAATCTAGCCCGCTGCCCTTCACCTGTTACGTCTCTTTCGGTCCATACCCTTTGCTTGTCATTGCTTTCGTGCTCTTAGTAAGGCTGCCTCCGTGTTCCTTGATTTAAAGAACTGGGGAAAGGCGTCGCGCAGCTCTCTTAAATCCCTGATCTGGTGTTTGGATGCCTGCGTCCTTGGCACAGGGAGTCCCTCCTCTACCAGATGTGCCACGTTCCAGCCGTACTCTTGGGCCTTTTGGCAATTCAAGTATGAGTCGTCTGCAGTCATCTGTTATCTAGTGGTCCTCACATAGCGGGACGTAGCATGCGACGGCTTACCAACAAAATAGCAGTCCTCCATCCTTTCGACGCCTGCTTCCTTCATGGCCCTCAAGTACATCTCCTTCGCGGGCTTGCAAATCAGCGGTTGCTGGGAGTAGTCGCAGAACGTTAGACCGTCAAAGAGGTCGTCGATTCGCAGTAGCTTAACCACGCGCCTAGCGTGGTTGATGTAGGCATTGGTTAGAAGCCACATGGTGCACTTGCTCTTGTCGACGTCCTCAAGTAGTTCGCGCAGTTCAGGGTTGTACTTGAGGATGTCCTCGAGGGGCAAGGCATCGTCGACCTTGGAGTTGTACTCTAAGGGGTCGATTTGGTGGTGTCTAACCAGGCCTTCGATAGCGAGTCCGTAGTTTGTGTAGTACTCCTTGTGTAGCTTCACCGCATCTTCCCACGATAGGGAGAGGTGCTTGGCGAAATACTCGTCAATGAGCTGGGCCATGTGGTCCTGCACTCTCGAGCCTGACCGGGATCAGTTTGCTGGTAGACAGTCTCCTTGTGTGTCGAAACTTACTTCGGGGGTATAAACAGTTGTCGATATCGCTGCAATGCATTAGCTGATGTGAATAGTACATGATAATGCGTAGTGAGTTGACCTACAAGAAGAGGACCGGTTTGGGAGTTGTCACTCCGTTGAGTTGGGGCTTGGACTCCATGACTGAGCCGGAAGTGTGTATTTGTCGTGAAGTGTGTCGAATAACAGACCGAAGCAAAGGCGTGAGCTTGGGGGACTCAATCGGCCGCGTGGATATAAGTGGTCGTGTCGTATGTTGGCAATAAGACTTGAGAGGTCGAATTGGGGAAAGGAAGCTTCTGGATAGGCGTGGGAGTCTGGGTGGCATGAAGGAGGCGAAATGAGGCAGGTGGGAACAGAACGGCACTTTTAAGATCTCTCAACATGGGGGCTCCTCAATCACAATGTTTCGAATGGAACTTGAGAGTGTGTGAGGCTTTGCACGAGAGAGGAGTAGAGGTGTCTTGCTGTTGAGTCACGTCGGCGAGATGGCATGTATGATACGTTGCTTCTCTTGAGGTAATTAGAAGCAGTTTGCAGGGAGCTGCTCCCAGCGGGACGGGTGCAGCCCGCTAGGTAATAATCATTGCTTGGCCCGGGGGGAGGACGCGAGCTTGGGCTCCTTCGGTAGCCAGTCGCTTAAGTAAGCAACTGCGGATGACCCAAGTCATTCCTTTTTTTTCTTCTCCATTCCCGAACACCAGCTCATCATCGCACAAAACAAACACGCCTCCCTTTCTCTTCATTGTCTTAAGGTGCAGCAGAATTCTTTCCAGTCTTCTCACATTCTGTATCCCACGACTGAGCAGGATTCTACCATCTGGTGCCCCTGTTATCTAGTTTCCTTTCTTGTTTGGGGTTTTGTTTTTTTGCTTGATTGCTGATCTTTTGACCTTGTGCGCTGCGGAAAACTCCCAGCGCCCTTTGCTCTTCGCTATGGCTCAAGGCCAGCTTGCGACAGTGCCGCCGATGGCTTCGCATGCCTCATCTTTGGGCCTTTCAAATGATGAACTTCATCAGATACAGCAGTTCGAGAGGATTGTACAGTTTCGCAATGCCGTTCTCGCTGGCACCCACCCAAACATCAAGATTCCAGCGCATCTGGCGAAACAGACACCTACGTCTGCATTTTCGTCCTCATCCAATCCTTCTGCGCCCACAAAAGAACCGAGTGGAATCGCAGCTTTCCAGGTTGGGAACTCGCAGCCACTTGCGAACACGCAAAACGCGTCTCTTCCAGGCCTAGGGAATCCGCCTCCGACTAACGCGAATCTGCCTGCGAGACCATATGGCTCCCGCAACACAGAGATCAATCCTATTTTTCTCGAGAAATCTGATGACCTGATCAAGGCCGAGATCCAGCTGCAGCGGCAGCGTCTTGAGCGAGCGTTGCGGGACGAGGTTGACCAGCGCCGGGCTTCGTTGAAGGCATCGGCACAGTCAGAACCCCTCGCCGACTTCGACCTTTCCGATGTCCTGTCCAAGGCTCTGACTCTTGTCCAAGCTACTGCGAATCTCCCTGCCAATGCCAAACTGGCTGCTAACGCTTCAGCTGCAAGTGACTCGTTTGATGAGAACTCTTACTACTCCTCCCAACACAACTCGCCCGATTCCTCGCTTCTCAGCTCACGCGCGGGCAACGACTCTGAACCCATCACCCACACAGACGGAGCTACTGCGTCCTCTCAAAACTTCGACCGGGCGACGCAAGTCCAATCAAGACCCCCTGGCTTGACATCCTCGCTCCCTCATGCGTCTGCTACTCATCAGCCACAGGGCCAAGCCTCGACCGTCTCGCCCTCCCACATACCAGCTGACATGAGCGCAAACGGCGTTGCGCACTATGACCGCGACCCGTCCGTAGGAACGACTCGGAGAACGGACAGAGGCGACAATACGGGGTCGACATCTGGAGGCGGAAGCGGAGACGTCAGTCGATCTGAGGAGTCAGGCGCCATGAACCTTGACGGCAGTGCTGATATTCCACCACCGGCTGTCCAGCAATTGAGAGACTCTTTGCTTGATCGCCAGCCCTCGCCGCTTATTCAAGTCCGCGCCCAAAACTTGTCCCCCATTGCTCCACAGCCCGCTCATGTCTCTCCTCTCGCCATGGCTGGCGGCTCTGTTGTTGATGCACCGGATATGAGCATTCCTCTAGGGACCACCGCACAGGTCAGGGCGTTGCGCAATGAGCCCAACACTGTTTCCAGCCCAGATAGCTCGCCTCAGGGAGGACGGAACATTGACAAGCGGAAGGGCAAGAAAAAGAAGAACAACATGGGCAACAAGAAGGCAGCCCGGCAAGCGCCAGAGGCAGAACCTTATATCAAGCCAGAGCCGCACTCGCCTTCTCCCATGAGTGCGCCCTCATTTGTCCGTCCACAAAAGCGACAGAGAAGGCAGACAGAAGAAGAACCGCGCCCTGTACAGCCAGAGCGACAATACTCCCGTTCCTACCGAGAGGAAGACGCAGCCCCAGCGTACCAGACGCAAGAGTATCGACGGCCTGTGAGTCAAGTCGCGATTCCTGGCGAGTACGAATACCCACGAGAGTTTATGGAGGACCCTCGCGTCCCTAGCGGGGCTGATTACGTTCGGCGAGTACAATCACCGGGCATTTATACCGTACGAACCGCGCCGAGTGAGGTTTACGCAACTTCTCCAGCTAGTGTCGATCGCTACGGTAGGGAACCTGCACGATACTTTCGCGATGGCTATGAAGTCACTCACATGAGCGCCCGTGGGAGATCTCGATCTCCCCTTATGAGGGAAAGAGGTTCACCACTCATGGGGCCGCCGAAAGCGCCGCCTGCCCGAGTTGTGATGGACCCGATCAGCGGTCGCAGATATTACGAACCAGTCGGCCGTCAGTCAGCCGCGCCTCCACCTCGACCGGCCGACCCTGAGATTCTCTTTGAAAGAGCACCGACCCGAGCCCATACTCGACGACCAGCCCCGGATTCCCATGATGATGACGTCATCTACCAGCGCACCTCGCCCATGTACGCGGCGCCTCGCAGAGTTGTCACCCAGCCAGAGTATGCAATTCCAGATCCTCATCGGGTCTACCGACAACGGGAATACTCAACAAGACCGATGGCACCACCGGCAGGGGAAGAGTATGTCCAAGTTCGGGGTGGGACGGAGCGACGTCTTGTGGAGGAGGTGCCGAGAGAGTATATGATGCGAGCGACAACAGCCCGGCCTACAGAAACGGTACGGTACGAGCTCCCGCGAGAATACGGGAGAGTACAGAGCGTAAGACCGGAGCAGCTGCCCATCCAGGACTATGGTGCACCAATGCACCATGATTCTCGGCGGGAGGTCATCCAACCTGGTCCGCGTTCGTACAGCGTGCGGCCGGCAGCCGAGCCTCAGGTTGTGCGAAGAGAGTATAGCGTCAGGCCGGTGGAGCAGCAGTACTACGGCCAGCCAGCACCGGCTCGGGGCGAGGCTGAGGTGTCGTACATCGAGCGGCCTAGAGTGGCCGCTCCGGAAATCTACTACGCCGATGAGGCTCCGCGCCAGGTTTATCGGTGAAAGATGCTGCTGTGAGTAGGCTGTGAGTGCACAAGGTCTCGTCGGGACGTCGGCATAAATCATAAGGTAGAAGGTCATTGATATTGGTTTGGAGGTCGGTACGGATTCGGCACGGAAAATTGGGAGAACAAAGACAGGATGGAGTTCGGCAAGAGCCATGTGGAACGGTATACTTTTGTAAAAATAATGAACTGGGCCAGCAGAAACCTTGTACTATTGGCAAGTCCAGCAGCTCATGACTAGACCAAGCGAAGACAGAACTTGGAACTCGGGAAGCAAACATGACCTAAACTCGGTTTTCAACCTGGTGAGACGAATGGTCTAGAAGTCGGCCGTTGCTGCTACACCCCTTCAGCTTCGCAGAGTTGCCCATAGTGTAGCAGTCGCAGACGCGCGGTAGAGTTTTTGTCCCCTTCGCGGACCGCCATCAACTTTTGAGGGCGAACGAGCACGGGCTCACTTTCACCTTGAGCACCGTCTGTACTGAAGTCATGTGTGGCTTGTTTTCAGCTTCCCCGATCACTGGGATCTCTGACCGTTCTCTTTGGGCTTGCAGCTGGCTGCCCGTTCTCGCCCAGGATACGTTTAGTGCTTCAACAAGGGATGAGCCGGGGCCGCTCCTCGACCCCAACACTTACCGTTGAGGCGGCGAGGAGGCGGAGGTCTGGAGTCGTGCATGTTTCGGACCCGGCGGCCGTACTGCTAAGGGGGCATGCTTGTCTGCACTACGAAGAGCGCGAGTTAGTGGGCAGCGGGCAGAGATAATGACAGGAAGGCTTTCTTCTCTCTTCGATGTAGATGGAAAATTTTCGTCAATCGTCCTTAATTCTGGGTATCTGTGGTCCCTTGGTTACCCGGCGCCTCAAGGTGGTTATATGTGGGTGGGTTCGGACTGGGAAATGGAAGGGAGATCTGCTGCCGAAAAAGAAAGCCAAGTTGGTTGGTTATGAAGAGTTCGGATAGGGAAGCTTGGTAATTCCTTGTTTCTAACTTGAATCGTGAAGCCCTCACCCACGATGGTGCTACAAAGTATACCGTCGACTCTGGCGTGTGCGGCTATGTTTCCTCACGTGAACGAAAGCCATTCAATTGTTCTAATAAACGCCAAAAAGACGAGGGAAAGAGAGTGAAGTAGACACCACAGAGGCGTTGCCCTCAACAAGTATGGTTCCGGTGGACCCGTTCAAACGGACGTAGTTCTGTAGCCCTTGCATCAATATAACATTGTTTTGACCAGCTCGCCTCATCCGCTGAGGAAAGTTTCACAGTCAGTTGTATTGCAAGGACGTGCCTGGCTAGCATGCCTGGCTTGAGCTGGTGTATTCTGTTGGTCCAAGTGTCAGTGTGTGGAAGACCAGTTCGAGGTTGAAACGTTCAGCCGGGGATCATCGACATATGTATGTCTACTCTCTGACGGGATAGAGCGGCTAGTTGAATCACATACGAGCAGGACCTGCATTGTCCGCCGCGGCAAGAGCAGTCCAACGTCGATATTGGCGAGGTCGCCTACAGTGAATGCCGTCGAGCTTTTGAAGGACGTGAGCGGCAACATAATCCGAAAGGTACCCGGACGTCCTGCAATTCGCTCTCTTAGAAGCCGACTCGCAGGTGGGCGGGCAGCAGCAGCAGTTGACAACAAGTCGGGGCGCGGCCACTTTTTCTGGTTGCGGATCAGTCAGCCAGCGATGTTGATTCTAGGCGACAACAGCCTCCACGGCATCTTCCCTGTCCTGGGAACATCATCAAGGGCAGGCCCAAGACAGGAGCTGCGAGGGAAGCCCTAACTCGAGGTCTTGGTGTTGTTAGTTTGACATGTGTCAGTCGCCTTCCGCCATACTGCGAGACCGTCGTACACTTTGCTCAGCAGCGTCTTGAGTCTTTCTAGTCTTCGGAGCAATACAAGTCAGCGTTAAAAGGCGGGAAGGGGAGCAGTTACATAGTAGTCGCTTTGTGCCGCGGCCGGTACATGCAATAACGGTATGGTGCCGGCACGCCGAAGCAGCCCTATCAATGAACTTGAGGGCCGGAGCAAACCCCAAACTGCATCAGTAACTGGCTGACTGACGGCTACGGCCACGGTCTGCGAACGACTGATGCGGTGGGATTCGGGAAGCTTTTGCTGGAGGCTTGAGCTTCCCCCTCTCCGCTGCGCCCAACACTAAGGTACCGCTTGAGACGCAGTGACGCTTCGGGAGGGCAAGTGCAGGTAATTGGCTCAAGGGTCCAGGGATGTTGGTTGACTTTGGGGCCAGAGTGAAAGTTCAGTCGAAGCTCCAACATGTCGGGGAATGACCATTTGGGAAATACGGTGGCTCTTTTGTGCGTCTGGCCGATCTCCCTCCTGAATGGAACGTGCGACATGCGTGGAATTGCATGGTCTTATTATGAGGGGATGCGAAGCAGTCCAATGTTGTGCGGGCATCGTCGCGGGCCTGAGTCGACGAGATTGTTTTCTGTCTGAACCATCTCCAGGTTGGTCAAGGTCGGCATGCGTAGAAGAAAAGAGAACTGTGAGTAGATCGACAGTCGCTAGGAAACGACCTGACTAAGATCAGTCTCGCGACGGCCGGCGAACACAGGCCGTTTTGTCTGTTGGAAGATTTATTCCTCCAAAGTGAGAGTTGACGTCCTGCTGCGAGTTGTATTCGTTGCTCAACAGACGCGTATGCCGAGTGAGTCGATCGCGGACGAACCAAGCCCTGTGCAAAGACAGAGTATTCGACGTTCCTTGGATGGGTGTTTAACCATGAAAGTCTCCTCTGACGGCCTGCACGCGCGGGGTGGCGGCGGAAGGTGACGACGATAACGGTCATGACGATTGCTGGTCACGTCGCGAGCTTATTAGTTGCTCGCTTGGTTGAGGGCGCTGCTGCCGTTGCCGCCAGCCAGGCCACAATCGGCAACCCAGGGCCACTTGGATGAATCGATCCATGCCGGCTGTCAGTCGCGTGCTCCCAGCGCTAGACAACCAGGATCGAGTTCCTGGCGAAACGAGGAGGGGTCTCAGCAGTCACCGCCGCCCACTGTAAGAGGCATGGCGAGTATCCCCTATTAACGTGTGGTGATGTTGCGGGGTCGGGTTCGTGAGCCGACCGACCCTACCTAAATCAGGAGCGACAGGTATCCCGGCCAATTTTCCCCTCTGTCTTTCGCAATGCGCCAGAAAAGAAAGAGACTACAAGGCTTCATGGAAAATGTAGCTCCATTTGTGTCGCCTCGGATAATTGGCGTAGTAGATATGTGGTTTTCCTCGATTTGGTGGAAGATACTTGCTCCGGGTCAGGTGAAAGATGCCGGTCGAGAAGCTGCCGCTGTCGCTGTCGCAGCGTCTGATCAATTGGGCTGGGTTGGATCTGATATCGTTTCCGTCGTGGTGGTAGGTGCGACCGGATACTTGGGGATTCGGGGATGGAGGTAGTTCAAGGTTCCTGCTCGAGTCGGGGCCGCAGAGATGATACAGACAGCGCGTCCGGATACCTTCCACTACCTCGGGGGCCGGGCTTCCGGGTACCCGCAGACATTTACCTTACCTAAGGCAAGCTAAGGTAGGTTAGGTTATCCACAGGTGCACACGGTGCTGTGACACTACACGTACCGACTCGACATTCCTGACCCTGCCTCAATTAAGAAGCATGCCAGACGAAAGCCCTCGTTGATCAGTGTTGCGCTGCATCAACATGCCTCAGCGGGATGCCGGAGATAGGCCCCCTCTCGGGCTCGGGAATCTGACGGGCACGGAGTGCTGGGAGAGAGTGTCCGGATGACCATGTACGTAAGATGTCGATTACCCCTGGGGCTGTGCTCGGGAATGGGAAATTATGAGGTCAGGTAAGTAGGCTCGACCCTTATTAATTACCATGTACGTACATCTCAAAATACCTCAATTCGTGAGGGTCACTCGACCAGGCAGGTAGGTACTCGATGAATTATATCAAACGAAATAGAAGAGCCATAAACAAAGCCAGCCCGGACAGCGACGACAATTAGCAGACACACGCGCGCGCGCACACACACAGCCCTACTGCTAGTCGGCGTCCTGGTTAATTAGGCCAGGGTCATGGTTCCCTGCACTTGTCTGACTTGTTGTTTGCGACAGAAAAGGGCTCTTTTCTTTTCATTTTTTTTTTTTTTTTGGCTCTCGTCGGCATTGGAGGACATGACAAGCAGTGGCTGTTTCTACCTGTCACCGGTGTCTCTGTTCTGTCTCTCATCTCGGCCATTGGGTTGGTTCTCCGGGAGGCACGAGGACTCCATAACGCGTGGGATACATGCACGACGACGGTTTTGCACCCTCAGAATGGTCAAGCAAGCTTCTTGTTCCCTTGCCGCTTCTTCGCCCACCTAAGGTAGCCAAGGTAGCTATTCTGTACGTACTGTACGGACGCTGGGAGGCACTTTGTCCACCTCAAGGCAAGGTATCCTGACATCCTGACTGGCGCCCGTGAACTCGTCCCGTCCAACACCACCACCGAGGTGCCATTGCCAGCTCACCACGGACGCGGCCGATAATGCAGGAGCGAATGGGATGGAGCTGGTCTTCCGGGCCGGAGCCCAAGGGCGACCGAGACGTGGGATTGAGGATATGTTGGCCGTAGCTGGTGGGAGAAGCGGCACTCGTTTGATGCCCATGGCTCGGCGCATCCGTGACGTGACCTGACCACAAGCGGTTGACAGTGATCGTGGGCTGGCAGAGACCAGGGCCCTCGGTCAGGTAATAACTTGTCGTAATATGGAACCTCGAGGTGTGATTTAGGATTGGGATTGGACGCAGCAAAAACAGGCACCTTGGTTGGGGGTTGTCGATTTTGTTGGAATTTTAAACTTGGTGGAAGTCAGTGGAATGAGGAGAACTGCAGCAGGCAATTAACAAGATTGAAGTACATTTCTGCTTGCAGAAGGGCAAAAGGATACCCTTGTTTTGTTTGTTCCATGCCCGGCATCGAGCTTGCTCCAGAAAGGACCCTCGAACCCTGCTGCCAGTCAGCGGGCAGAGCCAGCCAGTGAGCTGCGGCCGCCGTAGCGCAGGCGCAACCGCAGCAAGGGTGAGCCGTGCGTTGGACCGTCACCCGTCATGGATGTTAAGGTGCCGGAAGTACTTCGTACATGGCCTTGGCGACATCGGGACTTTAGGTGGGTAAGGTGGCCCGGAAACCCAGAATACCTGGTGCTTGCTAAGATTTTTCGAGGTTTGGAGCCCTGAACTGAGATGATAGCAAGAAGTCGGGTGTTTGTTTCCTACCTACCTTGCCTTAGATGCTAAGTACCTTACCTTACCTTACCTTAAGGTAGGTAGGTAGGTAAGCTAAGGTATCTGTACCTGAGGTGTCTTATAACCTCCATTCCTGCTACCGAGCTGCTGTGGGATAAGGCACTGAATCATCCATCACCCTTTTCGTAAAGTACCTTACGGACAGGTCTACGAGAATGGAATCCAGAGGACAGCACACCACTTGACGCATCGTCAGTCCCCCACCCGGGATGCCCTCAATCTGTGTGACAGTGAGGTGATACTGAAGTATGCGCTGCCCTGGCCTGTGGGCTAGATAGTACGTATCCATGGATCCGTTGGTATGTACTGCGGTATGGGGGGTTTGGTGGTTACGTCGGGGGACTCGCCTGAAGGGAGTTGAGCCCAGTTCAACACCGGCCATGTCCAGCGCCCAGTAAGGTACCTAAGGTATCCAGTCCGAGTCCGTGAACCGCCGCGAAGTTCGTAGGTAGGTAATGCTTGCCCTGGGTTTACTTGTCCCCCCGTGTGAATAACGATGCCGCGGATGTACTCCCGCATGTACCGCCATCTGCGAACTGAGACGGGGAACTCTTAAGGTACCTAGGTACCTGGTAAGGTACGGATAGAGGCCCGGGGAGGGGGAGGGAGGGGGCCACCACTGCAGCACTGAGTGGACTGGAAGTGAGGTGGATGGACTGAGTGGGGCTCACTTCTGGGCTGGGACTGGGCGCCAGACGATGGGCCATGGCCTGGGACGACGGGGGGACAGATGGACTGGGAGTGGCCGGACCATGCCATGCCATGCCTTGTCTTGCCTGGCCTGGTCTGGGTCTGCCGTTAGTGGTCTTGACCACACCTATGACCATCCTTCTGGCTGAATCTCTCGACTCCTCTTCTCAGTCCTTTCACACTCATCATCCTCAACCATCATCTCCAAAACATTCCCTCTCTACAGGCCCCTCGTCGAGTCTGAGGAGAGAGAGAGAGAGAGAGAGAGAAAGAGAATAGAGAGCATCGAGAAGCGTTACGCACTTCCTTCTTTTTTTTCCCTTTTTTTTTTTCCCCCCCTCCTTTCATCCTCTTCTCTTTTTTCCCCCCGTTTCAATTTCCTCTTGTTTTTTTCCCACAGAAATACCCCCACGATTATCGTTCGCGGTCCATTGCTTTCGGCCTATCGTCGTCGCCTCTCCCCCTCTCTGGCCCTGTTGTCTTCTTCGCTCACAATATGAACAAACTGGCAAACATGCGTCACTGGTCCGAGAGGATGAGCCCCAACTTCGGAATGGGCCGTCCCAATATGCCCATGAACCCCATGAACCCGAGAAGAGATACAGCTCCCCAGCAGGCTGCTTCAATAAGCTCAGCTCAGCCTCTCGATGCCCCGACGCCCATCATCCACTACTCGTTCAATGTCCCGTTCGCGTCCGACCTCGTCGGCCCAAACACCGAGGACATCCTGCACGCGACCGCCGACGCTGTCCTCCGATGGACCCATCCCGAAGATGCCCCCGACGATGTCCAAGTCCACGAGCTACCCGTCCACACTCAGAACCTCGCCAACCTGCGCAAGGTCTGCAAGGACATTACCAGCGGCCCTTTCCAAATCGAAGCCCACGTCATCTCGACGACTCCCAAGAACGCAAAGGGACAACAGGTCACCACCGTGTGTCTCTCGGGTACGCCGGAAATGGTTCACAAGAGCAGGGAGACCATCTTGAACGACAACCAGACTGTCCTGGTAGGTTTCTGACATCGATCAAGGGGGAGGTGGATGAAACGCCTGGATTAACCGTGCCAATCTAGCGTTGTACGACGGTCGACGTGGAAGGCCATCTTGTCTGTGACCTCACTGCTGGCGCCTTGAAGCAGCAAGTCACCGATACCCTGGACTACATCTCCAAATACTGCGGAGTCGACATTTTTCTCCTGGGCCCGAAGCTGACCCCAATGGTGGATGGCATGTCGGGTGATGCCGAAATGCGTGTTGACCAGAGATGGAGAGTCGCCATTTATGGCGACATTCTGTCCGTCGAACATGCCAAGGCCCGTGTGCTCATCCAGATCGACACTCTTGTATGTTTGGACAATCGCTGATTGGCCCGTGTCTCAGCTAGCTAACTGTAAATTCAGCTCGGCCGAGTCGTTGATGCCACCAAGCTGGACCTGTCGATTCACCAGCTCGTCTGCGGCCGTCACAGGAAGAACATTAAGCTCATCGAGTCATCCACCGGGACCGCCATTTACTTCCCGCCTCCGTTCTCCCAGATGTACCGTTACTGCCCGGTTGGTGCTAGTCGTCGGGACCCTACGGACATTTTTATCACGGGAGAGAGCCCCCAGGCCATTGAGCTTGCCAAGCAGAAACTCCACGAGACTGTATCCCGCATTCGGCTCTATATGAAGGATGTCACCATTGCACCCGCCAAGATCGATAGTATCCTCCTCACACGTCTGGATAAGGTACGCAAGATTTTGGAGGCGAACGGTACTTACATCTTGTTTCCGTCTCTCGCCAGCCAGCGTAATATGGTTCGAGTTCAAGGTAGCGAAGGACTCCACGTGGAGCGCACAGTTCGCGAGATCATGGCATTGGTAAGTCGAGTCTCAGTGGGGGAAAACGCCCGCCATATTGCACAACTTCTAACGCTACCTTTCAGGCTGGGCAGTTCTACAGTGCGGCCTGGTGGATTCAACAGGCCGACGCCCGGCAGCTTCCCAACCCCGCTGACGTTAGAACCATGCTTGGTGATGTTTGTGCGAACTCCGACGCAGACCTGTCTTTTGACAAGATGAATTTCTCCATCACTGGATCTGATGACGCTGTGAAGTCTGCCCTTATGGTCATGTCCGAGATTAAGTTTCTCGTACAATCCCAGTACCAGATTCGCGTCAAGATTGAACTTGCCAATGAGCACAAGGAATTCGTGAGCGGCAAGAAGAACGGCAAGATCAACAAGATCATGGGCCAGAGCAGTGTTCAGATCATTTTCGACGGCTTCAACGAGTACAACTTCAACATTGATGTCATGGCCGCGAGCTACGACTCAATGAAGCAGGGTCTGACGCTTGTTGAACAAGAGATGCCAGCCTCCATCTCTTTCCACGTTCCGGATCAGTACCACAAGCGCATCATCGGCATCGGCGGACAGCACATCCAGCGCATCATGAAGAAGCACTCGGTCTTCGTCAAGTTCTCCAACGCCATGGACCGCGGCGGTATGGGTCGTGAAGATGACGATGTGAAGGTCGACAACGTCATTTGCCGCACACCCGCCCGGAATGCCCAGAATCTCGATGCTGTGAAGAACGAGATTCTGGAGATGGTCGATAGAGCAGTATGTCACCTGTCGCTCGCGCAAAATCCCAGCTAATAGTTTCAAAGGACTCTGAGTACACTTCTCAGATTGTGAACGTTGACCGTCTGTACCATCGCCAGCTGCTTGCACGTCTCAGCGACATTGACGAGTTGGAGAGCAAGTACAACTGCAAGATCGTGTTCCCCAGCACCGAACAAGCCAGTGACGAGGTCACCGTCACTGGTCCGCAGTGGCAGGTGCCTCATTGCGTGGACGAATTCTTGGTAAGTTTTGACGACACGTTGTGCTCGTTGAAGTAGAGGCTAACCCTTCGCAGGGCATGGTCCCTGACAATCACGAGCTTGTTTTGACTCGCACTGCCGAGTTGATCAAGTTCCTTGAGTCGCCTAGCTTTGCCCATGATCTTGTGCCCAAGCTCAAGACTCAGTACGAAGTTGAGGTCTCTGTCCACCAGGACGCCGACTCGGAGGAAGGCTTACCCGCCATTGCTTTGCGCTGGACCTTCACTCGCAACAACGCAGGCGGCCTTCGTGACGCCATTGACTTCTTGCTTGCTCAGTTCGCCACAGCCGGCGTGGAGGTGACTATCCTGAAGGGCTCTATCCCCCGCCCCAAGTCCGACTCTTTTGAGGACTCTCTTCAGTACTTCGACTCGAAGCTTCTTCAGCATGCCCCGGCTACCATTGCCGCCGATTCTCCGACCAAGGCTGCCTTCGAGGGCGAGGTCGCTCGCGAGCGAAGCACCATTTTCGATCGCCTTCGTAAGCCTGGCAGCATGACTTCGATCTCGTCGTTCCTCGATCGTCGCAAGAACAGTTCCCACTCGACGAACGGCAATTTCTTCAAGGGCTCTAGCAATGTCTCTAAGTCCTCTCTCATTTCGATTGAATCTACCCGCAGTTTCAACGCGGACCGAAACCCCTGGAACGATAGCGGCGTTAATCTTCCAGACGATGACAACCCATGGGCCCATCGGCCCCTCGGGAATGGCTCCGACAAACTGACCATTCCCCAACCTGGTGACGTTACGCCCCGTCACAGCACTCGTGCGTCCGGCGACAGCGGACGCCCTTCTACGTCTCATTCTACGAATTCTGGATACCCCGGTCCCATCGGACCTTTCCGTTAGATTCCCGTCTTAGAACCTCTACGCGCAAAAATACCCCGGCTGGATATACCCTGGCGTACAATACCCCGGAACGTCGCTTCTGATGCATCGGTCGGCCGAAGTTTCCGTTTTGCTTTGCTTTATGTTTCGTCTCGTTTTTTCGAATTGATTGTTCTCTGTTGTTGTTTTCGGGTTTTTGATGAATTCTCCCGCACGATTTCACGTCCACTCTTTATACCCCCGAGGTCGGCAGACCAAGGATGAAAAAGAAAAGATACCTTGTACGCGCTTTGATTTTCGAATGTTTGATGCTTCCAAGAGCTTCCGACGGCGGCAGTCAGAAGATGACAGCAGTTTGACGAAGACACAAAAATGAAAGGGGGTTTGGCGGATACACGGGTTTCTCTTGCCGCCTAGAATTTGGCGTTTCCGTTGCCGTGCCGTGCGACTTGGCGAACTGGGTCGACTCCCGGCCCTTCCAGCATCGTACTTTGCGGCCGCAAAGGAGGAAGCATGTTGGAATGCGGGACACGAGCTGGGCTGGAGTGTCAACTTTATCGGAGGGAAGACGAAAAAAGTTCATACTATTTGCGAATTGTTTGGCCCGGCGGAACCGTCAGGCATGGAAAAGGAAGATTGTCATGGCCGGCGATGGACAGAAAGGACACAATTGCGGCTGGCATTGAACTGCAAGCGGGAGAGCGATGGAACTGTATACCTACATACCCCCTTTAGGTTGGCCTTGACATGCAATGATACCCATGGTCGATCAACAAACACGTGGTCCTTGTGGCTCAGTATCTCCTGATTTGACCCGTCAGTGACCACTGCTTCTGAAGAAGTTGACACAGCAGATCTCGAGACGAGCATTCCAGATGCTGCGTTGAGCGGATTTCTGCGGACTGTCTTGCGGCATCGTTCTCTCGTACACGGAGGTTTTTTTTTTCTCGAATGTTTGACTTGATTAAAGACGGCGCGACAAAAACAGCGAGCGTCGCATCTTGACGGTGCCAATATTTCCAGATCCCATAGAAAAATTATACGAGATGCAACTTGGACATCATACCGAGACCTGATGTTGTACAGTTCCACACCCCAGGCTAGCATCAACTTTAGCTGAATACGCCGATTTTTCACGATGCAACGGGCCCAACGGAGACCCTTTCTTGCTGAGCCCGCGCCTCTTGCTGGGCCTTCTTATGATGATGCCGCTGGATACGGCGCTTCTCCGTCATGATACCAGCAAACCTTCCCTTCGCACCGTGCTTGATCTTGGTGATCATGTCCGTCGCTTTGCCCTTGTCGATATCATGAGCAGTCAACGGCTCCTCCTTCGGTCGGAGTTTGTTCAGGAAGTCCAGCTGGCCCTGAGTCGGCGGTCCCTTTCGCCAACGCTGATATCGATGGATAAAAATATGTGGAAACACCTCTGATGCGTACTTGTCGCTACCGTGAACGGCGTCGGTGAATGTGGCCGCCTGGAGGAGCTCTCTCGGAGCCGCGTATGGCGACTTGGACACGCCAGGCGGCAGGGCTCTGACTTCGACGGCCTGCCAGACCGGTTGGTCTTTTCCAGCCTCGCTGTCTAGTTTGGAGATTCGGATGAAGGATCCGTTGGGGGCACAGAGAACGTACTTATCCAAGCCGGTTTGAACCCAGGCATACATGCTAATGGCCCGAATATGCTTCTCCCCAGAACTGTCTTCTATGAGGTCGAAGACGGAGCCATAGTCAGTGAAGGTAACTGAGCCCGTATAAGCAGGAGGCTGTGAACTCGACTCGCCGTGGTAGACCTGTTGTTGTCGATCCTGTTCCGCTTCCTTCCTTTCCTTGGTCATGCGCACATCCGCGCTGGAAGCTTTATCCAGAAGTTCTCCTGGATCAAGACCAAACAGCGTCGGCGTTGTGACAATGCCGGTTTCCAGGCTAGATACCATATCGATTACGTGGCAGTTTGACTTCCCTTGGTGTAATCTCATGCCTCTGCCAATCATCTGTACTAAGAGGTTCCGGGATCGGGTTGGTCTGGCGAGAACGACGCAGTCGATGTTTGGGATATCCGTCCCTTCCGTAAAGACTCCGCAATTCACCAAGACAGGAAATTCTCCTCTGCGAAAGGATTCTAAAATGGCACTTCTTTCCACCTTTGGCGTGTCTCCAGTCACGAATCTTGCATCGAACCCGTGCTTCCGGAACGTCTGCGTCAACCCGGCAACATGAGCAAGATCCACGCAGAATGCGAGTGTCGACTTCCTGTCGGGTGTCTTCGCCAGCCAGCTTCGCACGGTGATGTCGTTGATTTGCTCCGTGTTGACGGCCTTTGACAATTCCCCTGCCTGGAAATCGCCGTTGGCGCCGGTCCTCACCTTGGATATGTCGGCTGTCGACTGCACGGTGGTGAAGATCACGTCCGAGAGCCATTTGTCGCCGATCATATCCACGTAGTCTTTGTGATAGACTATTTCGTCAATGGCAGCGCCGAGTTTGAGGCCATCGAAGCGGGAAAACGTGGCCGATACGCCGACCAGAGAGGGCGAGTCGGTTCTTCTGGTGTCTAACCCGAAATGTCGGAGGACACGCATGTAGCCGGGGGCGACGATATGATGCGCTTCGTCGACGAGGACCAGTTTGAACCTTCGTGGGTCAAACTTGCTTAGGCGGTCTCCAGATATGATGCTTTGCAGGCTGGCGATAGTGATGTCTGCGGTCCCGGATGCATGCACTGAGCCCATCTCGATCTCGACAGATTTGTCTGGGTAAGCATTGGTGCAATGCCTTGCGGCCTGTTCGACGAGTTCTCTCCTATGCGCGAGGACCAAAGTCTGGGTGGCAAGACCTGGTCTCGGCTGTATTCTCTCAATCAACTGAGTGAAGATGACCTGAAAGCCGTCAGATTTGGCACTGGTCGTGTCATCCCAAAGCAATTTCTGCATACTGTCTTGCCACTTCCAGTGGCCAGAGAGATCCCCAATCTTTTATGGCCATCTTTGAGAGACTGCAAGACGGACTGTATGCATTCTTCTTGGTAGCTTCTCAGCTGAATCTTGGTACTTGCGAATCGCAGGCTAACAATAGATGGTATTGTGAGTCGTGATCTGTCGCGTCGGGTAAAGGTCCTTAGTCCTTTTTGAGTTCGCAAGAGATTTTTAAGTGAAGATGATATCATGTTGTGTCGATTCCTACACCAGAAGCAGGCCGAGGATGAAAATGCAACTGAAAGTTGTCGTTCCGGATGGCAGGAGAAATAGCTACCTGATGTCAGGCATCCTCTCCAATCAATAGCCTTGAATAAGACCCGCAGAGCAATCCTGGAGCCAGTACGATGTAGTCCTGAGCAACTACTAACAGCCTAAGGCTCATATCAAGCTCGCAATTGTTAGCACAAAGCTGGAAATACCTTGCAGCATGTCCGTCTGCCCCTTGGCAATGCAGAACAGGAAATCTTCATTGTGGTGTATTTCATCTCATAACACGCACCTGCAAACCTGATGCACATTCACAAGGCTACCACGACTTTCCGATTCTAGTCCGGCAAAATTTTCGCCTACCCAGACTCGATCTGGCGTCAAGGTTCGGCTTCTGGCGTATTCCGTCGCAACATGTACATTTCACGACGCCGAAGCCGAATCCACGACATCAGGTCATTACACGAAGATGAGCATGGATCCGAATGCCGACTTTTCCCTCGACGAGGTAGAGGCTAGAAGCTACGAGAGCCATGAAGATCAATTGTTTCAGACGACAGAAGTTGAATTTGCGGAAATCGGAGCTCCACGGTCCGAGGAGTTACCCGACGACGATGAGGCTCCGGATCAAGACGGCCGTTCCTCCCAAAAACGACGAGCCTCGGCCGTAGCCGTGGAACCGGTCCTCAAACGCCACAAAGGTCTCTTCAATAACAATTATCTCGATTTGCTCAACGAGGATATCGCGGAAGCTGCGAATCAAATTGCTCTGGGTGCAGAAGAGGACTTGCCCCCTTCGCAGCTTGGCCTGACATTCTGGACGCCATTCGAGAAAAAGCTGTTTTTCGAGGCATTGTCTAAGCTGGGGCAAGATGACATTTGCGGCATTGCAGGAAGAATACGAACCAAAAGTGAAATCGAGGTTCGCCAGTACCTTGCCCTGCTCCAGGATGCCGTCGAAAGCAGAGAGCAGGATGGGAATCAGGGCCTGGAATATTCCATGGAGATGGAAAACCACCCCGCCGCCGTCGAAATCAGTCTACCATGCTGCCATGCTCTCGAAGAAGCAGCGGACGCTTTATCATTTCGACAAGAACGGCACGAGGAAATCGTCGAGCAAAGGAGATGGGGCGAGTGCTGGAACATCACAACGGAGCTTGCCAGGCGCATGGAGGGAGGTCGCGGCGCCACGAAAGAACCGAAATTCGCCAGCCAGCATGGACTGGGATTCACAGAGGTCCTACGCGTCAAGAACTTTCTTCAGCTTTCGGAGCGTATATTTATGAACGCATCATATGCCGAGAATAACTGGCAATTCGTCAGCGAGGAGCCGCCAACGATCAGGGCCACCGCTCTCCAAGATTTCCACTCGCTTCTTGTCTCGGTCACCAAGAAGGTCGTCCTCACAACACTGTTTCTGGCCGAGTCCAGGATCAGAGCAAAGAGGAAAGTGGCACCTTCGGCTCGGGGCCTGGTGAGACGAAAGGACGTTGAGGCGGCGATCGCCTCTCTGGGCATGGAGCACAGCAGGAATGATTTTTGGACAAACTGTGCGCGTCGACTTCGCCTGGAAGTCTGGGACGATGAGTCAGAATCCCAGGTCGAGTCCACTGACGTCGATGAGGAGCAACCGTTGTCTTACGATGAGGTGGAAAAGGTTCTCCGCCAGAAACCCAATATGACTGGGCCCGCAGACACGAATGGAAACCTTTTTACTTCAGGATCCATTCCCAGGGATGCTGAATCTTCCGAATCGGAAGAGGATAACGATGAATCGGCCTCAGAACAGTCTGACAGTGAATCGTCTGTCATCATGGACGAAGCCGAGCACGAAGTCAACGAAGAGGCCAAGGAGGTACTGAAATATTCTGCCTATGACTTCCCCGAAACGCACCGCACGAGAGAAGCTCTTAGGCACAGGATCAGGAACGAGCGAGAACAAGAGGCTTATGCCGACGCGGAGGATGCGAGGATATCTTGTGAGGCAGAGTTGGAAATGTGGAGGCTTCTACAAAGACAGCCCCCTGAGCCGCTGGTGAAGCCGGCTCCCATCGAGCGTGGCCGAAGAGGGATGAAGGATGTCGAGGACATTTACGATGTCGGTCGACAATGGAGGCAGAGGTTGCAGTTTCACAGCGAGTGGGAAATGTACGGAACGTCCGCAGTGTCCGCCAAGAAATCCTGAAATCTTGGGTCGGAACCTGCTTATGAATATTTTCCCCTGTTCTTGATACCCATAGACTTGGTTCTTTATCTATCTTATTTTGACCAATTTTCCTGCCCGTTCTTGACGTATAGTGCTTGCGACGCCGGCTCTAAACTGCCTTCCTCTCATGTCGCAAGTGTTGTCGCAGTTCGCGACGGGTATCATTCCAGACGCCATTCCAGGGGCCAAACGCGAGACCTTTAGCTTCCCAATGATTACAGAAATATGTTTACCGGCGACCTCGTCCTCTGCCCCTGCCCCTGGCTCGCGCCGACCGGCCACGGGCAGCTCCTCTAGTAGACCTTGGTGCCGGGGTACCGCTCTCCTCTGCACTCTCCTCTTCTTCGTCTTCGTCTTCTTCATCAGAACCACTCCCACTTCCACTTCCGCTTCCGCTTCCGCTTCCGCTGCCGCTGCCGCTGCCGCTGCCCTCCTCTTCTTCCTCGTCTTTGTCTTCTTCCTCCTCGTCCTCCCCCCCCTGTGCACCCTCCTCATCTTCCGCATCCTCTTCTTCCTCGTCAGACGAGGACTCGTTGATCTGCGCCTTAGCAGTCTTGCTGACGGGCTTATCTGCCTTCTCTGCCTTCTCCGCTGCCTTTGCTTTGCCAGCAGCCCTCTTTTGGCTCCGAGCTACCCTGGCTGACCTGGCCGGGGGCGACGCTACGTCCGTACCGCCGTCCTCTGTATCCTCAACGGTGCTGGCACGGGTCTTGGTGACGGTCGATGCGCGCTTCCTCCTCCTGCCTGCTCCAGCGTTGCTACCACCGGGCGACGGCGGGGCTGGCGAGAGCTCTAGTGAAGGTGGGGATGTTGGGGCTTCGCTGGGATCAGCAAGCAGGCGCTCCAATTGCATATCGTAGAAGCCGGCGGGGGGCAATGTGAACTCCTTGAAACGATCGTCATAGTTCTCGTCCTCCTGAGCATCGTCAAAGTCTTCGCGCTGGTCGATCGTCTTAAGGTCAAAGAAAGTGCGAAGCTTCTGCCAGATGTGGGGGATGCGCGTATGAGGGTAGTCGTCGGGGTCAATGCCGTGATTTCGTAGATGTTCGCTGATTGCAATCATTCTAAAATGCTTGTGCATGCCTGCGAGACATCATGTTAGCTTCTACTGGGCGCTCTGAGGGCACCATCCGAGCAATGGGCTTACCTGCCGGCTTCCACCTAATAACGCCTTTGAATAGTGATGACAACTGGTCGTCTGTCCAGAGATTATTCGGCCACTCATCGGAAGAAGGCTTTAAAGCCGGCGGCGGTGCAGTCGGGGTGTCGGCTGCCGGAGTGTCAACGTCCATGGCATCGTCGTCACGAGCTGGTGTGGGTGTCGCGACAGCCGAGACGCTGCTTCGTGCCTTCTTTTTGGGCGGCATCACGAGCTTGTGAGAGTAATCTTCGGCGGGCGGGAGGAAATCCAGGAGAATATGAGCGCAGTTATGACAGAAGGCTTGCAATTGCTGCGCGTAAAAGTAAAGAATAAGTGCTAATCTCGTCGTGAACTGTCGAAAAGCTAAACTTGCGCTTGGACCTAGGAGATATTGGAGCTCAGGCCAATGGGAGCTTGCTGGTCTAGGCGTACCTATAGTGCCTTACCTTAGGGTCGGGTGCCTCTTGAGCCGCCAGGGGCCGAGTTGCCCTGGGGGGGGGGGGGGCCACTGTCATTCTAGATGCAGGTGTCGTTTTAGTGCGTTGTGCCTGAAAGAATGACGCGCCAGTCGCGTCGCGGGCCCGCCGGTTTCTTGGCCTCGCCCTACAGCGTGAAATGAACGTCGTCCGGCCCAACCATATCACCAGATATGCGAAGCTACTGATCGCAGAGTGCATCACGAATATACTTCAACCAATGCTCCGCGAAACAGATCAGCTGGTCCATGATGTATGCGGAAGATGACTCTGCCGACGTGTTTGCGATTCCCGACTTCTGGGATCCGCCACAATGGGAATTACCGAAAGATACAACCAGCTTCTTCGCCCTCGACCTAACAGGTGCGCATTCTGTAGTATCTCTGGTTTCTACCCGCTGACAATCTCAATCAGCAGAGGAAGAGGACAAGGGGTCTCCCTTATGGAGTTTACCAAACGACCGGCCCAACAAGGTTTTCGAGCTTCCTGCGATAGATCCCATTCCAGAACAAGAGGAACCAAGCACCGTCGATGCACCAGAGCCGGAAGAGCATTCTCCTCCCGAACGCGATTTCGATCTTGATGAGTTATGGTTTGCCCTCGATAAACCGGTCAAGAAGGCTCCCGAGTTCAAGACATGGAACAGCTTCGAGTCACCGAAGTCTCCATCGACGAAACCCATTTTCATCTCAGAGGCAGGCCCAGCAGCCTTCGACGCCTTGATGGAACTCGAAGGAGACCCTTTGAAGATTGGAAGTTCTGACTTCAGCGTGGTGGAAGCAGGCCCCTACTGCAATGCGCTCCTGGCTCTTGCTCTTGGCAGAGAATCGGTGTTTTTCTCGTGGGAAGAAGAATCAAAGTCATTCAAGCCGGCTCTTCCAAGAATCAGAGTCTCAGCTTATACTGGCAACACGATTCAAGAAGTACAGCGTTCATGCTTGAAGTGTGGTCACACATATCGCCGGTTACGATTGTTTGTCGACACGACGTATCAGAGAAATGCCACTCCGTGTCGCGTGGCTTTGGCAAGTTCCGTGGACAAGGCGCTGTTAGTCATCCAGAGCAGTATTGCCTTGCACCACCAGTCTCCTCGATCGATTCTTCAAGTTCAGTCGCTCGTCAGCCAAACGTACACTATCCTGAAGCAATTTGATTCGCTAGTTTCCAAGATCCGACGGGAGCACCTCGACGAAGACGTTTTCGTTATTGTCTTCCAACAGGCCCAGTCTGCCGAGTACGCCGAGGTACACTTGAGAGATATGATGCGAGAGGTGTTACGGCGCGTATCCAGGCCATGGATCGAACTTGTGGAGGAGTGGATTGGCACGCGGCGCGAAGTCGGCGTGCCACTGGGCAAGCATGAAGTGGGAAGGTCCAGAGGCTTCATCAAAGTCGAGTCTGAGACCTACATCGACGATTTCGGGGACGAGGTTGAAGAAGTCGACTTTCGCCTCGATGCTGAGCGGATACCCAGCTTCATGCCAGACGATATCGTGAAATCACTCTTCGAAGTTGGGCGGAATTTACGCTTCATCAGAACTTCCCATCCGAAACACCCATTGGCGCAATCGAGTGTGATCTCGACGAGCCGTCCTCCACTTGTCGAGTGGCTGTTCGACTGGGATGCCATAGTTGAACTCGAAAGCAGGATACATTCGTACGAGCATACTTTGCGGGCGGCTATTCAGCAGCCTGCATCGGAGCAACTCGCTAAAGTCGACGTCCCTGGACTGCCAATGGAAGTTTCCGCAGGATATCAACTGCAATTCTTTGGTCTCGACGAAGGCCAGCTGCAAAGTCGATTAGATTCCTCCTTGCAAGATTTTGCGCAACCCATGGGAGATTCAACATCGGAAGATCCGTTGGGCATCATCATCAGGGAGCGCTTGTCCGATGTCACAACAGAGGTAGGGAACGCCGGTACCGATTTCACGCCGCACTGGTCCTTGCTTCCGGTTCTCTCGTTCGGTTCCATCATTTCCGCTCAATCCAGGGTGGTTGGTAGAGAAAGTCTCAAGTTGCTCTTTGCCTCTCATGGCCTTAGAGAGCATTTGAAATTGCAGAAAGAATTCCAGCTCCTTGGGAACGGCTTCTTCTGCAGCCGTCTATCCCATGCCCTGTTCGACCCAGACCTGGAGACAGCTGAGAGACAAACTGGTGTCGCTCACCAGGGCGGCGTGATGGGTTTGCGGCTGAGTGGTAGAGACACTTGGCCGCCTGCCAGCTCAGAGTTGCGCTTGGCGCTGATGGGTGTTCTGGTCGAAAGTTACGAAGGCCCCGTGTACGAGAGCCTATCCAGACCACGAGACGGCGAAGCAAACGAGCTTCCTGGGGATCTAAGTTTCGGTGTACGCAGCCTCTCCAACGACGAGATTGATAAATGCATGGATCCAGACGGATTGGAAGCACTTGATTTCCTTCGATTGTCTTACAAGCCTCCTCCGGCATTGGGATCCGTCATCACACCAATCATTATAGTGCAATATGATCGCATCTTCAAACTGCTCCTGCGGGTCTTGCGGATGCAATACACGGTCAATCGGCTCTTCCGCGATATCACAGCCAGGGAGTCCGGGTGGCAAGACATAGAAGACGTATCGGTCCGTTTCTGTTTCGAGGCTCGTCACTTTATTGCGAGTATCAGCAGCTATATTTTCGACACTGGGATTGAGATGCCATGGCAGGCATTCGGAACTCTTGTGGACCAGGTTGAGGCAGACTTGAAGGGCGACGACATGGAGGAACAGGCAGGTTCGGCAATTAGCCCAGACCGTCTCCGGGAATATCATTCCCAGGTGCTCGATCGAATCATGCTGGCGTTGCTACTAAGGAAAAGACAACAGCCTGTTCTCAAGTTGTTAGAGGACATATTTCGAGCCATACTGGAGTTCGCCAAGTATGCTAGACTTAGGGTCGATATGCGTCGAGCTCGCAGTCAGGGAGAGTCAACCGCCAAGGGCTTATACAAGATCTTCAGGCGGAACGTGGAGGTGTTTCTGACAGTCTGCAAAGGACTTAGTGAAAAGGGCGATTATGGTGCGAAGAAGGATACGGTGAGCGAAAAAGCAGGCTCGGAGAGAATTGAGGCGTTGGAGAATAATCCTATCGCTCAACTGCTCTTGAAGTTAGACATGTTCACTTATTATTCGAAGGCATGACGTGGATGAGTCCGCGGACGAATAGATACCCCGGCGTTGGATGAATTGTTAATTCCATCTGGACGCGAAACGTTGTGCAGTCTTCATATGCCCAAACATTGGTTACTACCTAGGTAGGTAGGCGATAGGTTAGGTTAGGTCATTTAATTTCAGAAATTCAGATGACAGGTCAAGTCTGGATGGCCCTGGACAGCCGTGCCCCGCCATTGCCCAGCAATGACCTGACGCCCCGGGCAGCCTCAGCTGTGAGTGCTGTTACCTTAGTGCCCCGCATCGCGTGTCCCACTGCGGTGCCGCCCGGGCGTTATTGATTACTTTCCGTCATTGGACGAAATACATTCCTGAACAAAACAAAAGAAACCGCACCCGCCGTTACGACTGTCGTTCCTCAACAGCAATCAACCACTTGGAAGACCGTTCAGACATCATGTCTCGCCCTGGTCAATCTGCGCGAAACCTGACTCTAACCGAAGAGTTGGAGAAATTGGAGCAGTCCATCACTCTCACTCTACAGGGTAAAGCATGCTCTCGAAGAAGAGTCGGTCTGTTTTGCTGAAGCAATGACTGACCCTTCCGCAGAGATCGACTCCAACTTCAGCAAGGCTCATCGGATTGTTACCAGCAGCATTTTGCCCATTGTTGAACAGTATGGCGAGAATTCGCGAAACGTTTGGGAAGCTTCCAAGGTCTGTTGCACTGCTTGCCACTGCGATGCTTATAACTGACATTGGCGGCTCATAGTTCTGGAAACAATTCTTCGAGGCTTCGGCCAACGTGTCGCTTTCGGGGTACGAAGAACTAGCCAACGACGACGATGAGACTGGTGTTGGCGAAGAGTCAGCTGTACAAGACGGATCGACTGCCCAATACGCCACACCACGTCGTGGTGGTAACAGCGCCGAAGACGAAACTATAACCTCTACCGCCGAGTCGACCTTCCAACCCGAAGAGTCCATGATAGGCGGCGACGACGATCTGACCGGAAGCACTCCGCGAGTTCCCAAGACCAAAACAATCCAGACACAGTTCTCAAGCCTCGAATCCCCTTACGAGGCGCTTAAGCGCGAGCTCAAGGGGGAGCCCCCTGCCCCGTACGAGGAAGACGACGAGGACGAGGACATTGGCCTTGGCGAGGATTCTACCGTGCTGTTCGCCCAGCACACCGCTCGGCTGCCTGACATGTCGATGACGCCCCGCTCGTCGCTTGCGCCGCCGCAATCGGCGAAGCAGCACAAAGATCCTCTGATGCACCGTATGCTCGACAAGACCTTCCGCATCCAAGCGACGCCGCACAAAGGTCCGACCTATCGGGTTTCGCCGCTGAAGCGTGAGATGAAGCCCAAGGAAGAAGAAGACGTGCCGTCTTGGCGGCGGCAAGACTCCCCTTTGTCGTCGCCCGTCATGGCGGTCCCGACGCTGCGCAGCGAGGCCTTCATGTCACCTGCCAAGTCCAGACGGCTTGCTGCTGCAACGGCTGCGGCCTCTTCGGGGCCTCGGACCCCTGGTGTCAGCGTCCAAACTCCTGCTACGGGCCGGAAGACCAAGGATGTTTTTGCCGGCAAGCCTTACTTCAAAAGCACGTTTGACGACGACACCACGACGACCGATATTGGCGCCGGCGTATTGTCGAAGGATAAGTATGAGATCAACTGGGAAAGTGACAGTGATGAGGACCAGGCGCTGTACGGTGGTATGAGTCCGCCTAAGACGATCCAATTTGCGCTGCCTCAGTCAAAGCTTCTCCAGACGCCTGGTGAGTAGTAGAACTTTCTGGAAGAAGTCTTCTTGTCAACTGACAAGATCACAGCTCGGGAAGCCAGTAAGCGTATTGTTGACGATATCCTGATGACGGCTGGCGCCGAACCAGAGAGTTCGGAGTACAGTCCGACGATGGTCAAGATGAACGAGGATATTCTCAATGAGAGCTTTTAGCTACTCCATTGAAGACATTGATCTTGAGTCATTACGCCTCCCGGGGAGGCAATTGCTCTTGAAAACAAGATACCCTGAATTTGAACTCCCAACCCGCCTTAGGTTGCCTCCCTTCGTAAAGCTGTACCATGAAATGACCCAAGCCGATGAGAAAACCGTTCCCTTTTAATCTGACATCATGAGCACCCGCCCCCCTTGATACTTTTTCCAATACTTCAATAAGGCCAGTGACTCTTCTCCCTAGTACCTGGTCGATTACCGGCCCCTGGGGCGGCGATGCTGCTTTTCATGTTCCCTCCCCTATAAATCGTTGCGAGCAGGAGAAGACCAAAATTCCGACTGCGAAACACCCAGCAAGTTAGAAAACCAAGAAAACAACATCAAAAGACGTAAAACCAGAGCACGAGGAAGCCTCTCGAGGCATATCTCATGTCGCATGGTGTTGTCGTGGAAAGGGCTAAATAGAAAGGCGTACTTGGTTTTTAAGGACCTGGGCGTTGGCGTCCTCGGCGGCTCGTTGGCGGGCAACCAGAGATGAAGACTTCTTGGCGGTTAAGGACTTGTTATGGGAGCGGTGGCGTTTGTCCTTCAACAGAGAGACGGAGCTACCGAAGCTGGAGACCGAGGCGGCGTCAAACTCTTTCGGATGTTGTTGACCGGAAGAGAATTGTGTCTGGGAGCTCTCGGCCGCCGATCCTTGCTGGATGGCTGAGAGGACGGCGTAGCTATGCTGCTTGTCGCCGGTGATGGAGGTAGAGAAGGTAGAGTGCATGCCGGACATGTCTGCCGTGTTGAATAGGTCGGTTGGTGGTAGGATGAGGTTATTGGTCTTGTAAACCGAAGTCGACTTGAAAGTCTGGAGTGGATTGTAGCAGAAAGCTCTTGTTTGCTCGTGTTATTCTGACTGAATGATGACGACCCAAGACCTAAGGCCAACGGCGAAGAGGAGGCTCTACTTATACAAACTTGACCCTCAACTTGAATCAAGAATCCTACAATGCACTGCAAATGTACACACTTGCAACGGGGCGACGAATACTCCCAGCTAGGAGTCACGGCTTCTCACTCGGGAACGCCTACGGGGGCTTGGTATCCACAGACCAAGCTTATTTGCCAGCGATCCCAGTCGTTGATCATCAAACGTCAACGGCCGTCAGCATCATCGTCAACATCACCGTAAGCTCGGGGTGAAAGTGAGTCTTTCTGCCACACGTCGCACTCCGGGTCGATTTTACCGCCGGTACGGGTGCGGCCTGGGGAAGCTAACGCCGGAATAGGTGAGCGGGATGGATGGAAAGAAGCGCCGTCTGGAAACGCGTGTAATGACAATTTTACTATGCATTGGAAACGTGAGTCATTACGCAGGGCGTGCGCCGCCCCATGCGGCGCCGCACTCGCTCGTGACAGCCTCCTAGACGTGTGTAACCCTCGATGACGGGCGCCGCGTTCGTGTTGTTTGATGTGGCAGTCGTCTTACCGAAGCGGAACGGTCCCGGGTAAAGGCTGACTTGACCTGGAAAGAAAGGCAGATGACTGCCTAGCGATGAGCCTTGGGACCTGGGGGGCCGACGACGCCCGCACGCGAATAGACACCCGGCCTCAAGGCCATATCTCCGGTTCGTCAGTGAAGACGTTGCAATGTGCCTGGGATGTTGCCTAAGATCTTGCGGGCACGAGAGCAGGCAGGAGATGCATCACCAGGCCACGAAAGCCTGTGCTGTTGGTTTACGGCAGCGATGATGGGCAGCATGCTTGGGATGCGGTGAGACGCCGCCGGAGGTTTGCCGTTGGCAGGCTCGGAGGGGTGGCCGAAGACCCACACACCAAGATAAGGTGAGAAAAAAAGAAAAAGACTTTGCAGATCCGGGAGTCACTTTCACAGCAATTCTACTACTGCAATTTTCCTCACCGTTTCGTACAGAAACCACACACTCTGTCCCCTCCGCTCATGTCCGGGTTGAGTCATCGGAGGCATGCGTCCCTGCAGTCGCAGCATCTGGTTCCATTCCGCTGCTTCGTCAGAGCGGGAGGTCTTGTGGGGCCGGCTGACGCAGGCTCCAGGTCGCCAGGTAAGGTAAGCGGTTCGGTGCCGAATTGCACCCCTCTCAGGTAACCTAGGTTCCGCAACACCACGTTAATGCGAACGTGAACATGTTTTACAAGAACCATCCGGGAAGTGAGACTTCGTAACGACGAGTAGGGTCACAGGATGCCAAATATTCTTTGCGGTAATTCTTTCTCTTCGAGTCTGGAAAAGGGCGTAACTTGATTCAGCGTGCCGTGTTATTATCTTTGGGGGGTCATTGGAAATGACGAGTTTTTACTCGCAGCCCTGTTTGATCCCGCCTTGGGATGTCAAGGGACAACTTGCTCGGGAATCTATCGGAATCTCAGGTTCGCAAACGACCGGAACGTGGGCCGCTCCCTTCAAACAAGCTTAACTATATTGTCGTCAATTCTCGATCGGCATTCGTACGCAATCCCGCAGCATTGCGATCCATGTGTCTGTCGCTGACATCAATGCTTGGCGGACGCGTAGCTGATTGCGACACAGGTGTCCACGGCGATGCGCAACTTACAAATCATCCATCTTCCATGCTTCGTCGATCAAGAATACTATGTTTTCCCAGCCGCCATCCTGTCTTCATTCTGAACATAAACAGTCGACTATGACCCCGCAGCTTGCAACTGTTACTGTCGGCTAGGGTCCAACACTTTCGCATATTCGAAGCTCTTTTGTGTCATCAGTCATGCTTGTCGTGGCTTTGCAACAATATACATACTATGATCACATGGAGGGCGTTTTCTTTTTTTCTACGATTGATTCTCTGCTTGGGTTTTCGGAAGTGGCGTTTGACGGGTTGAGGGTTTTGTTTAAGTCGACTGTACGGCCGTCCGGTTGAGTCTACCAAGAGCCGACTTCATCTTTATATTGCCGACACTTTGAAACCTCATCGGCCGAAACAAGCGATGATAATGCTTGCTCATGAACCAAGAGAGTTTCAATACTCATAGTCTTGCCCACAAGGGAACACATCACATATGAGACTTTGATGCCCAGGCCGAAGGTCGCTGCTCCATCTAGAGTCGCGGCCGAAGAAAAGGCAATGTATGTAGATTGAAAGGAAGATGTTAGAATAACTCGTTTGTCAGGCATTGGTGGACCACAAAGACTACGGAACCGCGTATTCAACGTCACCCGTAATGCAGCACGTATCTAAACTCAAATGATATCTCAGTGGCGGCTAGACTTTGCTGTAAGCCGGCGCAACAAGCCAGGTTCTCAGATGTGCGAGGAGGCTAGAAACAACCAGCACATACGGTACGTGAAGTTGGCTACCGGGAATTTGTTTCAGTGATGACGAGAAGCTTTACAAGTTCATCCGGTAAATTTCCCAAGAACCGTAGTGCTCCTGCTCCTACTTCCAGGTCCACCCACCATGGCTTCGGCTGAATCCTGGTGGACGATCTGAAGAAGTGACAGGCTCGATGGTGAGGTAGAGTTTCTACAGATGGGATGAACGAAGGCCATTGGTCCGACGAGACATAAGTACGACCGTATCCATGGGTAAGTTGGCTTCGAATTCTAAAGTGAAGCGGATGTTGGCGATGTATTCGTAAAGTACCCATCGCCTACACCTGTGACTCTCCCTCCGTTCCGCAGTGACGGGAAGGTGGTCTGTGTCAGGGAGACAGGCCTCCACAAACCTTATTTAGAGCCTCAAGATGTCATTAAAGACGGGAAGGCGGTGTGGGAATCAACGCGGTGCGCACCAATCAGGCATTACCCCGCCACGTGCGAGCCAAACTGCTTACTAAGATCGTATTCGTATTACTGGACGAGAAAAACCGGCCTGAGCTCCTGCAGATCTGTAGTCTGATTGGATAGATGGGACGACATCGCCAGGGGTAGTCGCTTGCGGATTGGTCAATCAGAGCTCCCAGAACCAGCGCAACGGCAAGCACAGCACAGCTTTTTGCGCCAACGAGAAATTAATCACGTCCTAGGTACCTAGTGATCGCAGGGGAGGAATTTCAACTCCACCGGAAAGACGCATCACCTCACTCCCCGCCGCCTGTTGCAAGTGCAAGCTTGCCTGCGCCTGCATTATGTTTGCATATGTTTATGAAACATTACCGTCGGGAGGGCTGTTCGCCGAGTGCACTGATGCATTCGTTGGTCCCGTCCATCGCTGAAGTCACCGACAGAACGCCACAAGATGGGAAAGTTGCGAAAGTACCTATGCTGTATGAATACACACCACGCTAGCGATGTTTGGCTTGCTCTTAGCAGCTGGGTGCTGGGTTAGGGGAAGCAGGGTGACACTGACATTTGACAGTAGAAACCAACTGCACCTCGGGAAACAAAATCGCCTGCCAATGCCAAAGCTTTGCAACTACTACGTCGGACGGCTTACCTTCGCCTGAGCTCATTCGACATCGCGTGTTAAATGCCATGTATACGAATACGTGAGAGACGGGGAAGAAAAAAAGTGATCCTGGAGTCTGGAAAGGTCAGGCTGGCACTGAGCATCTCGCATCACACCAGATTCAGGGTCGCATAGGAACCCCACGTCTTGCGCCATTCGGCGTCTTCGCTCTGATGGACGGATGTCGATGTCGATGCGCATCCAATAGGACCAGACAGAAAGTCATTCAGCCAGGACGGACACGCAAACGCCGTGCCGCCGCCGAGAGATGGTGCTGATTTGGGGACCGAATGGGCAGTTTTTTCTTTTTTTCTTTTCCACCCCTCCCCCTTCTCCGTCTCGGAGACGAGCTGGGCCCCGAAAAGCCCTGCACATTGTCGTTGGACAGCCCAAGGAGATTTCTTCCCCCCTCTTAAACGAAACGAGTACCACTAGTTGGACCCAACAAATTTCGACACTAATGCTGTCTGGTGCGACTCGACCTGTGGAAAAGCAGCACGGTAATAACATGATGCCGGTTGATTATGGGAAAGCAAATTGGCTCTATCGTCTTTCAAGGTGCTCATGCGCGCAAGCTGTTGACCGCCCGGCCACGCGAGATGACAATGCAGTGGTGCTTACAGCCGTTCTCGTTCCTGATCTTCTTTTCACATCATGGGCCCCATCCGAATTCTCAAGTGCTGTCCGTCAATATAAGCTTGTTTCTCCTCAAAATCCGGAAAGGTCAGTGTGCCATATTGACCTCAACTTCACAGGGAAAACGATGGAAACTTTTGACAACAGACGGGATGCAGGGAAATCCAAATCCAACCCCCCTGGGTGCAATAAACTCAAGGACTTCCCACGGACATCCAGCCCGGTTGTCGCTGCTGGTCCCTCCACTGCTTTACACAGCCCTGCCTTGCAGCGCTGAAGTGCTGCAGCGAGCTGCGCTCTTCGTCCCAACACATGAAATGGATCCCAAGACAGCATCATGGCATCTGAATTGAGAAGAAAGCAAAAGGACGTGGAATGAAAAGCCCAAGTACCTTGACCAACCATAACCGCCCGGGACGAGCCCACACTAACAATACTGATGGAATTTTCGCGCTTTCTCGCTGGCGCATCTTGCCTGGGCGCTTCCTTGAAGGTAGGTGGTCGGTCCTAGACGTGTTAGTAAGGTATGGTCAACACAGGGTAGCCTCAAGATTCAATACCAATGAAGAAGTAAAGACAATCTGGAATCTCAAATACATTCAGAATCCACACCTAAGGTACCCAAGGACTCCTTCCTACCTTGGAGGGAAAAAGAAAAAAGAAAACAAGCGAGAAAGGGGAAGATGGAAGTTGTGTAGGTCTACCTTACCTAGGTACTGGTACTTTCCAGTGACCCGCTGTAGCTACCTTACCCAAACTTCACCTGGCCTACCTACCTTACCTACCTACCTACGGATACCACCACGACAGAACCTCCTTCAGTATCCACCTCCTCCCCCCGGTCAACGCCCATGTCCGCATCCACGGCAAGATTGTCAACTCCCTTCTTTTAATCTTCGATTACCTCCTTACCTTCCGCTCTCCTTTCCTGGTGAACCTCAACCTCCACCGTGAGAGTCCAACCGCCAGTCTCGCCCGCCCTGTCCTTGACTCTTTTCTTCCTTCAGGACGAAGTGCGCCAGACGAATTGACCCCGTCTTGCGCTGTGCTTGAGTCGACTCGCCGTACTCCTTGCGATTGGAGGTGGTGTTTCCGTTTCTCCCCCCCGGCCGGTCCCGAACCTGAAAACATCGATAACCTCGACAACACAGTCGGCAACCATGGAGTCAAACACGACTACCTTCACCTCGGTGTTGGCCAACGCCAAGCTTGGCAACGTCAACGTCCCTCCTCAGATCGACTATGTTATCGAGACTGTGACCAATGCCAGCGCTTGGACTATCGTGTTCACGCTGTTGGCTCTTGCTGTCGCGTACGATCAGAGTAAGTCGCGCGTCCATGTCCACACGAGGTGATGACAGGCCGTATCTGACATATCCGCAGTTAGCTACATCACCTCCAAGGGCACTATTGCCGGCCCTACCTTCAAGATGCCCTTCATTGGGCCGTTCTTGGAGTCCGTGAACCCCAAATTCGAGGAGTACAAGGCCAAATGGGCCAGCGGTCCTCTGAGCTGTGTCTCCGTCTTCCACAAGTTCGCGAGCTCAATCCCCTTCTGGCCCCGTGTTAGTCTAACCGCAGCAGATTCGTCGTCATCGCTTCAACTCGTGACATGGCTCGCAAGGTCTTCAACTCTCCCGGATATGTCAAGCCATGTGTCGTCGATGCCGCTCACAAGCTCCTTGGTCCAACCAACTGGGTTTTTCTCGATGGCAAACCCCATGTCGACTTCCGCAAAGGTCTCAACGGCCTCTTCACCCGCCAAGCCCTGGCTTCCTACCTGCCCGGCCAGGAGCAGGTTTACAAGACGTTCTTTCAGGAGTTCCTGAAGATCACCCGCGATGCTGGCGACAAGCCTGTCCCCTTCATGACGCATCTTCGCGATCTCATGACCGCCGTTTCTTGCCGTACCTTTGTCGGTTTCTACATCTCTGACGAGGCTGTTCGCAAAATCTCCACCGACTACTTCCTCATCACGGAAGCTCTTGAGCTCGTCAACTTCCCCATCATTCTTCCCTACACCAAGACCTGGTACGGGAAAAAGGCGGCCGACATGGTCATTGGCGAGTTCGCCAAGTGCGCCGCCAAGAGCAAGGTTCGCATGGCTGCAGGAGGAGACATCACCTGTATCATGGACGCCTGGGTCAAGGCCATTCTTGACTCCAAGAAGTGGCGCGAGGCTGAGGCTGCAGGATCGACCGAGGGTCTTGAGAAGCCCACTCCTCTTCTCCGCGAGTTCACCGACTACGAGATTGCGCAGACCGTCTTCACCTTCCTCTTTGCCTCCCAAGATGCTACCAGCAGTGCCGCCACTTGGCTCTTCCAGATTACTGCGCAGCGCCCCGATGTCCTTGCAAAGATTCGCGAGGAGAATCTGAAGGTCCGCAACGGCAATATCCACGCTGAACTCAACATGGACCAGCTGGAGTCCCTGACCTATACTCGTGCCGTCGTCCGCGAACTTCTCCGCTGGCGCCCACCCGTCATTATGGTGCCGTACCTGGCTAAGAAGCCCTTCCCGATTACCGACACCTACACCGTTCCTAAGGGTAAGTGTTTCGCATCGTGCAGCGTAGGATCTGTTACTGACTGAATATAGGTGCCATGATCATTCCCACCGTCTACCCCGCGCTCCGTGATCCCGAGGTGTACGACCGCCCCGACGAGTTCGACCCTGAGAGATACTATACTGGTGATGCGGAGGTTAAGGGCGCGAAGAACTTCCTCGTTTTCGGTGTTGGTCCTCATTACTGCCTTGGGCAGGTTTACGCTCAGCTGAACCTGGCACTCATGGTCGGCAAGGCGTCCGTTTTGATGGATTGGGAGCACCACGCTACTCCGTTATCCGAAGAGATCAAGGTGTTTGCGACAATCTTCCCCAAGGTATGTTTGGCTGTGTCAAAAGGGAATGAGGTACCAAGAAGACTAATGCGGATGTAGGATGACTGCCCTCTCACCTTCAAGGAGCGCACGGCATGAATCTTATAAATTCTTTGTTTGGCCAGCCGCCTGTTCCTTACGGCCATCCAATGACAATAGGCGTGTTTGGGTGATCCCATAGGATCTCCGCTAGCGCCTCAATGTGGATGTCAGCCACTTCGGGAGGCCGACGAAACGGGAGGGCCGTAAAGGACGGGTCGAGATTGGCCAAAGCCAACAATCTAGACTATAACTTTTAATCCACGTTTGTATGTATATAATTACTCGGGCATGGCCTCGCGGCTAGGCGAAAGTAGCATCTGGTTTGGACTTCAGGCTCCGGATGGAGTTTCTGGGTAGAGCGTCGGCCTGAATGATGTTACGAAGATGGACTCCATGGCCAATCGAAATTTCCAAAGTTACATGGTGTCACTCAAGCTGTGAAGTCGGTAGTCCTTATGCATCCATTGGGAGAAGAAGACGCGATGCAGTAGCTGTTGACGGGTTTGTATTGAAATGAGTCTGATTTCGGGAATCAGAACTGGGTTGATAAGACTAGATCAAGTGTGGGACATCGATTTCCCCAACAATGATAGGTGAAAGCGTAGTCCACGTCGTGAAGTTGGCGAGGTCGGGGGTTTCTGGTTATCCAAAAAGCCGAGCTGAATGAACTCCCCGGGTGACATCAGTGGACCCTTGACGGCATTTTCGCGCGTATCCTCGCCGACATCGACCCCACCCACGCATTGACATCCGTTTGGAGCTCACGACCACCTTCACACCACATTCCTTCAACAACAATTTCGTCTGTAATTCTCAATTGGACGATGGCGTTTCCCAGACGAGCGTGCTCGAATGCACTTCGCGCTAGCTGCCGCGCCGCGGTTCCTACCGTTTCGAGACGTTCCTTTGCTGTCGCCGCCGCCGCCGCCGCCGCCGTTTCGAGGAGCTCCACACCTGCGGCGTCTGCTCGGCGCATTGCAGTCGTTGCGCCCAGGTTCTACTCATCCGACTCGGAGTACCATGAAATATCTGCTACGGGGAGCAAGTTATGGAACTTTGAGCAGATGAAGGAGCTCGCGAAGGATCCCAAGGGCGTGGTGATTGTTGGTATGTGCCCCCGCCCACTGCCTCTTGGTCCTCCGCCAGCCCCGGCTCCGAGGGCCGTTGCTGTGATCAGTGGCTCGAGTTGCTGACATGGGTTTGGCGGCAGATGCGCGCGAACCTCACGAACTCGTGGAGACGGGCCGTATCCCCTCGGCCATCAATATCCCCGTCGCGACGGCGCCCGAGAGCTTCTTCATCGCCGAGGAGGACTTTGAGGACCGATACGGCTACCCGCGTCCGAGCAAGGACACGGAGATTGTATTTTACTGCAAGGCCGGCGTGCGTAGTAAGGCTTTTGCCACGATCGCAAGGGAGGCAGGGTGGAAGAACGTCGGGGAGTACCCCGGCAGCTGGCTTGATTGGAAGAAGAACGGGGGAGAGGTTGAGCCTAAGTAATGAGTTCGGCCACAGGCCATGCGATGCGGACGCTTAAGCTACACGTAAGATCTAGGCGGCATATAATACATGGCACAGTAACAGCACGGCGTGGACGCTCGCATTCGATCATGATATTCGTTGCACAATACTGGTACATGAAGTCGCCGCATCGGCGGACGACACGGCAACGCCCATTCCCAAACTCTCAGAAACAAACGATGTATCCTTCCTTTCTGTCACATTCTCGTTACGGTTCTACGCAAATAATGCCCGCAGCCATTCTCGTCACAGTCGGATTAGAAGAATTCGGGCTTGGGAGGCTGTCCCTCGGCAGGAGGCTGCGCGGGGTTGCTCGCGACGGGGCTGCCGTGCGCGAAGAAGAGAATCTTAATTGCGAGAGACAGGCCGAGGTGCAAGGCGACGACGACGACAAGAAGAATCTTGCTCGTCTGGTGGTCGGTGGCGCTGAGGACCGGGTATAGGTTGCGCAACAGGAAGGCGACGGACATGCCGCAGCCGACGGCGACGAAGACCCAGTTAAGAATGTTGATCGGGGACCAACTGATGAGGGCAACGGGGATCCAAATCAGATTTGCGTAGCCATACAGAGCCCAGCACTCGAGGAGGTTGGCGGACTCGGAGCCAAAGTAGCGGAGGGCTAGATAGAGGCCCACGGGGACAAAGAGAGTGTAGCCGTAGACGAGACCAGCGGCGCCTGAAAAGGGTAAAGAGTGTTAGCTGGCTTCGCAGGCATATGCGAGATAGCAAGATCTGAGTGCGCACCGCTGAGAAGCTTAAAGTCATAAGCAAACGGCCCGGTGCCGGTGCTGGAGAGGTACTGGCTGATGGTGCCACCGAGGAAGAGGATCAGGACGACGGTCGTGGCGATCCAGAAGGGGCCGTAGAGGTCGGGGTTACCCTCGAGGACGTCGAGGAAGTTTGCGCGCGGGAACAGGGCGGCCCAGCAGCGGGAGAGAACGGCTGAGGTGTCGACATCGAAGTACTGGGCGTAGAAGTTCAAGCTCCATAGGAAGCGTTTCGAGGAGCCGGAGGAGGCCGTCGCGGGAGGAGGAAGTCCGGAAGAAGGAGGCTTGCGAGCGCCTGGTGCCGTGTCCGTGAAATTTGATGTGTGAAATTCGAGATCGTCTTGAAGATCAGTGTGGCCGAGATCACCCTACAGAGGTGAGTTGGATGGGTTCGCACTGAGGGCACGAGGGATGCAACTGTACCTCATCGTCGACGTCAACAACGGCGTCATAACCGGAACCTGACGGCATGGCTACGGTGTGAAGTTGAAAGCTTCCTTCCTATGCTGTGTACCTATTCGTCGACCCGAATGATGAAATCGTGGGTGCACCGATCGTCTTTTTGCGTGGATCGTAAGTTCGAGGTGTTCGCGGGTTCGCAGCTGAAGCTCGGGACAGGTGTTGTAATCCCACGTCTGCGTTTTGGCCCTGGAGGTGAGCTCCCTGTCAAACGGCCCCACTCTAAATGTCGCTGCCACGCAGCATAGGTATTTGCACTAATGCGAATAATTGTCACTACGAATTTATGCGTCTCATCTGACAAGGGCAGGCCGCATCACTCACATTGTAGATTGAAGACATCACCTGACTCAACATGCGGGCGCATGAAATCGGTTATTCGCGACTGGGTTTGAGGCTCTGTATTCTACTACGGTGCTGATTTCCGTGGTGTCATCAGTGAAATATGCCAGTCGCCATCCTGCATCCATCATAGTACGTAACTCATGCCCATTGGCATCTCCTTGGTGCACTCAGGACGCCCAGGCAGCGCTCTCGCCAGATGATTCAGCCTCCGATCAGACAGGGTACGATTATCCGGATTTCCTATGTTTTGAGGTAGGGCGACTAATTCAGTTTTTTATTCGGAACTGTTTGCCGGTGTGAAGTAATGCTACCACAAAGCCCGATGAATCAAGGAAAAATTTCATCCCTGCCATCCTCTCCAGAATGCCAGAACCCATGACGCCGCATACGTAATAAATCGTCTATTTGAGCTTCTTCTTGGGGCGGAGCTGGTTGGTGTGACCGCACTTGCGCTTGCGGCAGTTGGTCGCACGAGGAGGGAGACGAGCCTGTGATGGTGTTAGAACATCGGCCGGCGTATGCCTCACACGCGAAGGGGTTTCCTACGTAGCACTTGCGGCAGATCATCTTGTCGCAGTTGAACTTGGAGGCCAGAGCCTTGAGCGAGGGCTCGATGATACCACCACGGAGGCGGAGGACCAGGTGAAGAGTGGACTCCTGTTCAGGTTGTCAGCTTCCATTTCCTCATCGACCCCTCATGTCTCGAATCGTCTTCCTCAGTTGCGGAAACGTTCCCCCTCTTTGCATTATTTCGGTGGCGCGTTCACTGACCTTCTGGATGTTGTAGTCAGAGAGGGTGCGGCCGTCCTCAAGCTGCTTGCCGGCGAAGATCAGGCGCTGCTGGTCGGGGGGGATGCCCTCCTTGTCCTGGATCTTGGACTTGACATTGTCAATCGTGTCCGAGGACTCGACCTCAAGGGTAATGGTCTTGCCCGTCAGGGTCTTCACGAAACTGTAGCCACCATCGTCAGTCTATCGGCGTCTTCGGAGGAGACCTCGTCGCGCGAGCGGGCGTGCGGGATAGAATTCGTGGCGGAATTTCTTCGGAGGGTATGGGAAATGCTCACATCTGCACTGCGAGGAAAATGTTAGCATCATCGTTAGTTGAGCGATACGCATTCTGACGGCGTCTCGAGGGGTGAGCCCGTCAACTTACTCTTGCCGACCTTTCGCGAACTGGCTGTTGTTACGGAGTGGTGATCGCGGCAAATAATCGGTGGGGCCCTGCGCTTGAGAAGTTCTGCGGAGGGAAACTGCACATCAGAAAGCCCTAATTAGGGCACGCCAACAGTCACACGGATGGTCGGTTGGCAGCTCTTACCTAAAGCGGGCACTGACCCTGTGTCGCCCTGTGCAATTTTGCTGTCCAGGTCCCCACCCGTTCGACCCCCCCCCCCCCCGAGGACGGCTGTAAATTGCGATGACCTCACTAACTGATGCAACGGCTTTATCCAAGGTGCAAAAGCTCGAAATGCTCTCTATTCATGCTGGTGAGCTTGCAGCAGCAATGTGGGTATCTAAAACTCCATTGATCCTGAACTAATGCCAAGCTTGTCGATTGCTTCAACGGGCGACATGAGTACGGGTGGCTCGTCATCAACTTCCATGCTCGTGGCAGATCGCCCGCGGCGTTCGTTGGCCGCCTTTCTTTGATCCCTTTGCCAAAGCATGATGTGTTGTTCTAGCATATTGACTGCTCGTAGCAACATCGGAGCTGACAGCCCCGAAAGCCGCGCTGCGAGCTGGAAGAAGTCCCGACCCGCCGGGGGCAAGTCTTCCTCTGACTTGTACGAGTAGTGCTTCCTCACGCCGGGCTTGCCATCTCGCTGTACTGTTTCATTCTTGGCTTCATTAAACGATGCAGCTTCGACCTGGACATTGCGCAACATCCTGTCCGTCTCATTATCGGGAGCCTCAGATGCTGGCCGCCTTGGTAGAGGTTCATCCACAGGGAAGTACCTAGCTAGCATTGTGTCCTGGGCTAAGCTCTGATCAGTCGTTGAGTCTTGATATAGAGGTTCTCGGGCGACTTACGTTGTGCGTCAGTAAGCAGTGACAGCTGTGCGAAGTATTCATCCAGCTCTCGCGGCCCCATTGATGTGATTTGTGTGGCTGTAACGTTCAGGTAATCTGCGGCGGGGGCCGGCTCGGGCGCGAGAGCTGGCGCCATAACAAGCTGCCACTTCTCCCAGCTGAAGTTCGGTACCGAGAAGTAGTTCTCATCTTCTGGCGGCTGTGAAGAATTCTCAAACGGAAAGCAATGGATAGTTGTCAGAACAAGAACGGCGATGAGCAGGATCTCAGGCTGGTGTATAAGTCGGAGCCGGGACTTGTCGAGGGGGAACTCGTAGGAAAGATTGACGATGAGCGGGATTCTCCGAGCGATTGACATCGTCTCAACTTTTGGCGGTCAGTGCCATACCACGTTCAGGATGCTGAAGTAGCTTACTGGGCAGTCCCAATTCTCGGACGTATTGCAAAGTCATAAGAACATCGTTGAGGGGAGGGCACACCATGCCATAGTTGACGTGATAGGAGAGGGCAAGGCTCATAACCGCTGCGTGGAGTTCGCCATGATCAAACTCAGCCACATGTGCCGCCTTTAACGGTGTCGAATAGTATGCTGGCAATCTGTCACGCATCTCCTGAGGAAGTTGTCGATACTAAACATAGTCAGCAAATGCCAGAGCCCATCTGTCGGTCCGCTCACAGCTTGTCTGTAGGGAATGCTTCCCGTCCCTGCCCATCTAGCAAGATCTCCAATCCGAGTCGGTATCCTGAGAAGCACGCAACCAAGAAAACACAGTGCAAGTGTGTCCACCAACCGCGGAGACGGCCACTCACTACCGTTCTCAGGTGTCCAGTTCTGCGATCTCTTAAACCGGTTGACGAGTTGGTCATCCTGGGAGAGGTCGATCTGCGAGCTGAAGAGTGACATCTCAGCCTCCGAGGCGGAATCGTTTTCGATGGCAGTCGCGGCGCCTCGCGTTCTGAGATCCCACAAATCGCGGACCACGGTTTCCAGCTCTGCCTTATGGTCTTTGGCTGTAATCAGCCACAAAAGTTGTTCCCTCAGGATGAGCTGGAGGCATTCGAGATAGAGGTCTCTTGCTGACTGGCCGGTGAGCACTCGTCTAACGCGCTCTTTAACCTGCTTCTCTTGGCGAGAAATCTTTCCCTTCTGACCAAAATCTTCGTCGCCAAGATCGAACTCAACGTAGCCCTACGATCACGGTGAGCTTCAAATATGACAAAGCAGAAGTGTGGATGAACCTGAAGTTGATGGCCCTCCTTCGCGCAGTATCTGAGTCCGTTTTCCAAGTACCATTTTCTTGAGCCGCAGAACTCACATCGTTCACCTTTCGGAAACTTGTGAAGGTCCCTGTCGGGGGCCATCTTGCCAACGTTGATAAGTAAGGTAGTTGCAAGTTGAAGTGACGATATGGAAAGGTTCTTTCGTCGAAGATGTCAGTGGGATGGATGGTGGACAGTGCTCTACACGTTGTTAACCTTAACTTTTCCGAACCCAGACTCTAGGCACCTAGGTAGGCAGCTGCCCAAAGCCAAAATTTTTCGCACGCAGCCGGTCTGCTTCCACCTATTCACTATTCATACCTCACGAGAGGATCGTCCTCTGACGCGTTTATCCATCTGCACAGACGTTGGTCGGAGTAGTTACTCGTAACACGACTTGGAAGTTCCAGACACTGTGGACCCGATTTTAGTTGACTTGCCTCCGGTTCAACACACAGCTCTACGCCGAAGAGATTGACAACCCGCATGGAACCGACTCTTCACCGCCGTGAGCGAGCCACATCACACATGTGCAGAAAGTCGCAGTACCGGTCACTATCGTTTTGGGCGAAAAGGGGACGAGGAGGTGGGGAAATGTGCCGCTTTCCTATCGGACACATCTGTTGCCACCGCGAAGCTCTGCCAATTTTTTTTTTCAACCTATCCCATTGCTAGTCTGATCGTCGTAAGAGTCTGTGAAACAGACAAGAACAAAGGAAAAATAAGACCTGCGACATTTCTTGTAGTTGTCGTCGAGTCCGCGTAACCAGTATCGATTCCTGTCCAGATAGTCCTCTACGCAACGATCGAGGGGAAGCTCGCTGATATTCGACGCGCCAAGAAATATGCGTAGTCGTGTCCCCAGTCTGCCAACAAGGCCGCACGGTGTGAGCACTTGCCCTGGTCATTTTCTGCTGAAACGGTAGAGATTTGCTACGTTTACTGCTGGCCCAAAACCTCCTTGGCCTCAATAGCGGCCTCCTCACCCATGGCAGTCTGGATGGTCACGACTGGAGAGATTTAGTTAGCACGGCCTCGTCACCTATTGTTCGCCAGGCGGATTTTCTTACGGGTGTCCTTCTCATCAACCTTGAAGAGCTTGTTGATCTTCTCACCAATCTCGCCCTCAGGAACGCGAACATCGTCCTTGATACCCTCATCTCCCATGAGGCTGAGGAAGCCATCGTCGGAGATGTCAAGCTACAGAGACAACGGTCAGAAAAGGACGCCGTTCATCAATCATGAAGTTATCACTTACGAGCTGGTACTCTTTGCGCCTGACGTGGGGGACGTCCATGTTGTGGGTAGAGGGGGAGAGATCCTCAAGCTTCTTGCCGGTGAAAATGTCGGTGGCGACCAAGTGAACCTTGGCGTGACCGTGCTTGCCAGTCTTGGAGGTAGACATGTCGATAATCTTGCAAGGGCGGCCCTTGATGACGACGTGGCCGTTCTTCCTCAGTGCAGAGCACTGCATGGGGAAGGTGGTGGACGCGCCGGCGTCGGCGGACTCGAAGGTGTGCTCATGCTACACGATGCAAAGATTAGCAAGCTGCAGAGGGTCAAGATGGACGACATGAAGTGCGATCGAGAGGAGATGGAATCGTCGGTTATCCGTGGCGGGTTGCCGAGAAGGTTGGATTCCTGTATGCGTGTGCTGCGCTGAGCCGTGGTGCGTCGATGCAGCCGCGGGGCTCACCTATTGCGGGGTGGTGTTTGGTGGTTTTTCGCCCAAGCAGCGCAGCGCAGCGCAGGGCATGCGACCTCGAGAAGGAAACAAGAAGAGGTTGCGCGGGTGCTTACCTGAGAGTCGTCGGCCATTTTGAAGGATTGACTTAAAGAAGATGTCTAAAAATCGGAAACGGAGTTGTCGACGGATCAAGGGCGATACTCAGCAAAGACGACTGCTTTTATTTTTTGAGGGGGAGAAAGAGAGATGTACGTGTAAGGAAGAAGCGGGCTGAGGGGGGGACGGAGGGGAAAAAGAGGGAAAGCGAGGCGGGAGTAGATAATTTTTTTTCCTGGTTTTATTATTGGTTTTTTTTCTCTCTTTCTGTTAGGTCCAGATTCGTGCCCCTCTCTGGTGGTCGACGTCCCGTTTGGCAGGTGCGGTGCTGTGCTGTGTGGGACACTTCCATTGCCAATGAAAAACCTACCTAGGGTGGAGTGTGGGCGGCCTACACTGAATTTTTTAGGTCAGATTCAATCTGCTTCTGTGCCCCTCTGCAAAAGCCTGCGGCACCTTGACCACTGAACCGCACATTAGCCTTCGAGCGACCCTTGGACCTCTACGACCTGTCTGTGGTAGTCCCGCAGAAATGGACCTCACGAAAGTGTCTTCCCCCAACCTCTGAGGTGCCTTTCTCAAGCCATAATACTACCTACCTAGGTACAGGACATGCTGTTGGACTGCCTGCCTGGGAGTATTATCAACTTGAGTGTCTCATCAAATAGACAGTTGTTAGGCCAGTACTCACGCTGACTGGCCAAAACGAAGGACCGGCTCTTCACACGGATGGCATCTCAGTCTTTTTGGCGCTAACGTCGCCTCCGTGCACTACCTTGCCACCCAAGGTACTTCCCTAGGTACCTACCTTACCTACACTGTAGGTAATTTCCCTTCCTTGCCTCCATCAGGTACCTTAGATCTTCCTACCCACCTACCTAACCTTACCTTCTCAGGAACGCCCTGCGAACGGAATATATTTGTACGGTACGCGCCCATTCCCGCCGAGGGAAGCCCATCAACGTGATGATGATGATGCTGCTGAGATACCTAGAGCGCTGCCCAACAGCTTCTTTCGACAATGGCACACCTTGGTTTCTCTGTTGAAAAGGAAACCAATCTTTGGAAACATCAGGCGCTATATACTTCAACAGCGTCCAAAGTGAGCCCAAACCAGATCAAACCAAAAGCCTCTGGTTGGAACCGAAAGGCACGGTACAGGCAGATGACTCGACGTACTCCTCTATGTCCCAATGTCGGTTACCTGAGAGACTTCGCGAATTTTACACAGCATGTGTGCATCTCTAGGTCGCAGTGTTCCAACGCAACAACAGTGAATGATCTGTTTTCGCGCCTGTCCGAATTTTGCCCCGCGCTTGCTTGCCGTCGGCCTTCCATTTCGAAACGCTGCCCCGCACTTCCCAGCCCGACGCCTGGGCATCCCGAAGAACAATCATAGGTGGTCCCAAACCCCTGCCATGCCACACTCGAAGTCGGGTGTGGGTCTACCTAACCTAAGGAACAGCTAAGGTACCTAGGTACCTAGGTAGGTACAGGTAAGGTAGGTACTATGGTAGGTAGGTACCTTACCCAGTATTCCGTACGGACTGGACCTGGATACGTTCCTTCTGTGGCTGGAGAGCAATCGTCTCTGCCATCCAATCACAACACGTTTGCTTCAAAGAGGCCATCCAGCCTCGTCCTGCTCCTAATAGATGTCACAGTCAACGCATCCTGTATACGACAGCTTTCGCCCGCCAACCAACGCCCGTCGGTTGAAACCTCCCAATGATATGGTGGCCGATCTCATCGAACAGACTGCTCTGTAGCCTCTCCTCAATACAAGCCCATCATGTGGCTTGATCGGCTCGCAGCGCCATCGAATCCATCACCGTCCTCTTCGCAACCCGGAAGCCGTCCCTACTCCCCGCTGCCGCGACGACCTTCCAACAGTCCTTATGTCACCTCTCAGCGCCCTGGCATAACTCCGAGAGGATCCGCCCTTTCACTCGTCTCTAACGACTCCTCGACTTCTTTCTCAGCATCTCGCAGGGTCAATGGCTCCGGCCTAAAGCAGTCCACGATCTCCTACGAAGGACCTGACTCGGCCGAGTTACTTGCCCAGATATTGGATACCGCGTCGCCGCAGGATGCCACTGAGGAGGGGATAGACGAAGCAATAAGCGAAAACGACCTTGAATTGGGCTTCGACTTCGAGGGATTGAGCTTGCGAGAGCTAGCAAGTTCCGACAGCGCGGTTACGGACGACACGGACAGCTATCGTCGACAGACCGCGGAAGAATGTAGGGCGCCTCCTCCGTGACACTGGAAGGTGCGCATTCAACTGACTCTCTCCATGTAGACGAAACCAGTAGAGCTCAGGTCGAAGACTTGCACAGATCCATCGCGGCATGCGACGGTGTCCTCAGTTCAGTCGAGACCAACTTGACGAGCTTCCGCAATGATCTCGCAGCAGTCTCCGCAGATATAGAAACCCTACAGTCCCGCTCGACAGCCCTCAATGTTCGACTCGAGAATCGAAAAGCGGTAGAAAAGGCGTTCGGGCCGGTCGTGGAGGAATTGAGCGTTTCTCCCCTCGTGGTGTCCAAGATATCCGAAGGCCACATCGACGAGACGTGGGTCAAGATGCTGGCGGAGGTAGACAAACGAGCTATCGCGTACAAGAAGAATACGGCGAGCCAGCAGAAGAGTAAAGCCTGGGCGGATCTCGGTCCCCTGTTGGAAAAGCTGACGATGAAGGCCATTGAGCGGATACGTGACTTCGTTGTAGCCCAGATCAAGGCGCTGCGGTCTCCACATATCAACGCCCAAATCATTCAACAACAGAACTTCCTGAAGTTCAAGGAGCTATTTGCCTTCCTTCACAAACACCATTCCAAGCTTGCCGAGGAAATCAGTCAGGCTTATATGAACACCATGAGGTGGTACTACGCCAACCAGTTCGCTCGCTACCAGAAGGCTCTTGAAAAGCTCAAACTGCACATTCTGGACAGGAACGACGTTCTTGGTCATGAAGAAATATCAAGGAGAGCCACGGTTCTCTCAGCGACTAAGCCCGCTGGGCCGCCGCACGACGCCTTTAACCTGGGACGTCGTGTTGACCTCCTCAAGACGAGTAACCAATCCGCCATTTCCTCCTACTTGGCCGAGGAAGATCAGACCACCCACTACATCGAAGTTCCTTTTCGAAACTTCAACTTGGCTCTGATTGATAACGCCACCGCAGAGTACACTTTTTTGGCCGCGTACTTCTCGCCCCCCCTTTCATTGGCCGCAGTATCACGACAATTCAACTACATCTTTGAACCGACGTTTGCCCTGGGCCAAACGCTGACCAGGACGCTGGTCAGTGAGAGTTACGATGCGCTTGGCCTCTTGTTGTGCATTCGGCTTAATCAGCACTTGGCATTCGAGCTGCAGAGGCGTAAAATTCCCGCCGTCGACGGCTACATCAACATGACGACCATGCTCTTGTGGCCAAGATTGCAGGTCGTCATGGACCATCATTGCGAGTCGGTACGACTGCTCACCAACGCCCTACCCGCGAAACCCAGGGCTGCGGATCAGAATAAACTGTCTGCCGCACCCCATCTTGTGACTCAGAGATTTGGGCAGATCCTGCAGGGCGTCCTGGCACTCAGCGTCGAAGCTGGAGACGACGAGCCAGTGGTCACCAGCTTGCGGCGACTGCGCTCGGAGGCTGAAGCTTTCCTTACGCGCTATAGCCAATCCTTTGGCGACAAGCGCAAGCGAGAGCGTTTCCTGTACAACAACTACTCGTTGATCTCTACCATCATCAGCGACGTAAGTGGGAAGCTTGCGACGGAACAGCAGGAACATTTCGAGGAGCTCAAAACAGCATTCCAGGAGGGTGCTTAGAATCGCAGAAAAAGATATTTGGTGCTATGCGTGGCGTCGGGTGCTCTTGTTAAATAGGATATCATGTGTGCGGTAGATACTTTACTACCAGGGGATCTAAATTTACATGAAGAAACACTTTTTTCCCTGCTGGGGGCCCAGAATCCGCCCAGCTCTGTCTTGGATCTACCTTACCTAGAAAGTATACGCTCACGTCGCGCCAATTCTCTCTAGAAATTGTACGACCAAATTGTGCCATTTGTCCATTTATAGAACAATGCAGTTACGGAAGCGGGACTCCGGCGCAGGTACACAGCCATGAGGCCAACGACGACCGCCAACCCGACTGCGGCAGCCCCCTTTCTGTACACCCACAGCGCCTTCATGATATTTTGCCGACGTTCCAAAGCCTTGAGCTCGGCCAGCTGTTTTTGGAAGTAAGAATGCCCCTCGTGCATTGTCTGCGCTGCGCAGGCCTCAACCGAGCGCGCCGTCTTCAGGGAGCTCGCCTTGGATATTCTGCGCCATGCGGGCAAAGTCTCGGGAGGATGTCTGTCGTACAGCGCAGTGGTTTTGGTGATCAGGGCTTCAAGGTCCATCTTCTGCGGGACTTTGGAGAGGATGAGGTGCAGCATGGACGGGTCGTCCTCGTCATTGTCAAAGAGCTCGTCTCGCCGGTTCAAGACGATTTGGGCGAACATGTAGACACTGAAGACCGGTTCACGCGTGAGGAGAATGTCGAACAAGCGGGCAATGTCTCCGAAAGTCTGAATATCGTGGGCGTACATCGTCAGGGTGCCCGCCAGGGCATAGAAAGGCTCGGTGCCAGAGAGGTGCCGCTTCAGCTTCGGATCTGCGGCATTGAGGATATCGGGGATTAGCCGTAGCTGGGCGACGGTCGGTTCAAGGTTGGTGAGCATGAAGTCTCGAATGCGTAGGACAGAGAGGCGCGAGACAAGGCGGGCGCGCCATGGTGGCTCAAGAACGAGCAGGAAAACCTGACATATATCGTGGTAGCCCTGGAAGTAGCATAGGTATGGGTATCGTCGGAGGACCTCGGTGATGAGGTCAGAGAGTTCGCTTTTGTTCTTCTCAAGTTCGGAATCAGACTGGTCTTCAAGTCCGGGTTAGTCAAATCGATCGCAGGATAATGGTACGCACGAAGGAGATCGATCTCACGTTGGGGATAGTAAATGAAGGCCCGATTGACATCAAGCTGGACTTGATCTTCGTCTCTATGCCGCGGCAGTTCTTTCCAGTTGTTCTTCTCATCTATGCCTGTTGCGATCGCACCTTTGAAGTCTTCGCTGTCTGCGAGTCCTAGGAGTATGGGCCCTGCAAACCAAGATGTCTTATTAGTCTGTTCTGACGTGCAGGACGAAGGAACGTAATCATTGGAGCGGTTGGACACTCACAAGCCTTCCGGCGCAAATCGTCGGTGAGGAAGCCGCCTTTGGTGCTAGCAAGCTCCTTGAGACCCTCGATGTTCCGCCATTTGCAAGCTTCGAGAACATCGTCCCTCTTGCGCCTGGAGCACTCGGTGCCGTCTAGCGCGGAGTCGGAATGGCCGGAAGCTCTGGCCTGCCCACTGCCTGTCGGGGTAGCCGCCATGCTTCTCTGCGGCAGTGAGGAGTGTTGCGTGACGATGTTTGGCGTGTGGCGGTCGATATACGATGCTCAGCTTAGGGCATCCCTATCGTGCATCGCATAGCGGCAGGCTTGACGGTCCAGTCAGTTTTGTTTGGATGCCACCAGGCCGCCGCCGCCGTTCAGACGCGGAAGGGAAAGCAAAACCAGGAGACTTTGGGAGGTCGACTAGGTAAGTACCTTCGAGGTCGAGATCTGGCAATTCCAGGTAGGCACTCGGCCGGCGAGTCGCGACCAGAGCAGTAAGGTAGTCACAGCTCTGGAGCAGAGAAGCTGAAGCCAGTGAAAGCTGCAACAATGTCGGAGCAACCTCCACTGCGGATCGCTGTTGTGCGGGCTACACCGTACCTTACACTTAGTGTCGCTCAGTCCCTGCGGGACGGGACGCACAAGCCACCAGTCGGTCACTCTTAGGTAAGCCTGCGGATGCGTGGTTGGCAGACCTACCGGTTAGCGCTAATAAGGTAGCCTTCAAGACCACAAGCGTACCTAATCGCATTCGAGCTTTTCGCACAACCTGAGCTCCCCATATTATGAAGGTGCCCTTCAGGTGTCTAGTGAAGGCAGGAACTGACCACCAGCCGACGGATGCTTGTGTTTCAGCAGAAATACCTACCTTCAGAAGAGCATCAGCTAAGATAGTATCGACTGCGGTGCCCAACGTCCGTCATCGAACCGTTACTGCCTGCCTTGCTCAGGTGCGACCTAAAACGGCGGCGACATCCATACAATCGAGCATGACAATCATGTCCTCGGGAATTGACAACTAGGTGCCAGCATTCTTGCTTCAGATGTGACAGATCATAAACGATAGATCTGGCTTGAGATGTTTGGCATCATGCATCCACACCGAGGGCGCAATCTTCAGCTTGTCTTTAGACCGGGAAAGGGTGCCCCGAGTGATACTTCGATCGTCTTTCCCACGGAAGGCAGGAAGGCAGGCAGGGATAGCCCATAGTTGGCGCCCAATTCAGTCAAGTTATCAAGAATCTGCTTACGCCCGTACCAAGAAGCTTGGCACTGCGACGACAATTGAGCCGTGATCATTCGCGAAGCAGGGCTCTCGAGACACAACGTCCCGATTCTCTCAAAGCAGGTTTCGTTTACCTCAGGCAAGCAGAGCTTCCATACCGGCTCAAATGGAAGGATCACATGACTTCATAGGCAGGGCCAAGGGTGGCGTCTGCCGAAGACAATCGTTGCCGTTGGCAATATTTGTTGAGCAGGCCTGTGCCCTGATGATGGCCGGTGAGGTTATGCGAATTTGGCAAAGTTGCTGGCCACGGAGCGGGAGACTTGGACCATGTGAAGTTCTGCTGTATCTCCCTCTCCCGGCCAGATCGTACAGGGCTCACTCCGACGTAGGTCCGCTGCAGCCCGCCTGTTGCAGTAGTAAAGGCCGGGTGCTTTGCATTCCCAGGCCAAACCAAAGAGGGTTTCTTTCTTTTCAGTCAACATGCGTGAGACACAAGATAAACAGTTGTCGTCGTCGTCGTCTAAAATTGGCACCGGGGACCCTTGGTTGACAGGCAAAAGAAAACATCGCCGGCTGGGCATCGGTGACATTGTCAGGTTTGAACAATTGTGGCTTTCCTCCAGCGCCGGGACCCTGCTGATTCAGAGTTGGGCATTTGAGGTCGCCGGGCAGTTCCGCAAACAGAACCAAACACACGTACCTGGAGTTTGTAGAATGTAGATCGAAAGAGCAGTTTGGCTCCTTGAGCCAAGACAGGCGACCCAAAAGATTCCGTCCAGGCTTGCTGAGGTCCACCAGGATGCGTTATGTGTGAGGGGTGATTTCGAGCATGCCGACCATGAGGTGCTGCTACCTCAGTAACAAAGTAATGTTGCATCATTCTCCCCTTCCAGTACCTTAGGTTTTCGTACACACCTCCCTCAGATTGGCTTTTCGAAGCGCGAGTAAGAATGTTTTCCACCTTAGACTGTGATTGATTGGTAGGAAGCAACTGTTGATGCTGAGGTGAGCCTCAATGGAAGGTAGTGTGCTGCAGCAGTGGCCGTTGCCGTTGCGTACGGATACCCAAATGGAACTGTCAAAGTACCCAACCTAAGGTAACTGCCCTGCTCTGAGAAACGTGGAGCCCCACCAAGCTACCTACCTTACCTACCTTAGGTAGGTAGGTAGACTCTTAAGGTAAACTGAGGTAACCTCTCCGCTGTCTCAACCTTCGGCTTGACTGCAACATTGCCTTGCTGAGCTACCCTGCCCTACATCTACACCAAAGGCGCCCTCGCCGTGGCCAGGGCTTCTGTCGTCTTCCCCTCATACGGCCGGCGTTTCTCGCTTTGCCTAAGATCAGAGACGCTTCCACACGCGCATGGCCTTCCAGCTGAGTACCAGCACCAAGCTCGACTCATCCTCTTGATCCCACAGTTCGCCTCTGGCTTCTTGCTGCCCGCCACACTGCGGCCTCTTTGTCTCATCGCTCCCTGGAAACCCTTTGACAGCCATGTTTATAATATGATCTGTCGAAATGGCATTTCAGACAAATATACTCCGTGATGGGGCTTGGGTCACAACAACCGTCGACCTCAACACCGTTCTGAAGGGCTCTACTGTCGCTGCCACGCCCGCTGCCCCGCCACTCCCTACCGCGCCAGACTGTGGCATTCTGACCAGAACCGTCATCGAGAGTCCTATTGCTCGATGGGTACTGCCTGCTCTCTTGAGATCGGCCCATCACAATGATGTCGCCTTCGTGGGTGTAAGTACCTTACTTCCATGCTATGCCTACTTCGCGGTACACCCTGGGCTTTATTCCAGGCCGGTCTGAGCCGGGCCCCGTGTCGTTCCCGTAATCTTTCATCGCTAATCTTCCCAGGATCGTTATGTGAGCATCAGTGAGCTGCGAAAGGATGGCCAGCTTCAAGAGGTTCTCCGAAAGAACGACTTCGGCTGCCGCATCCGCAATGCTTGTGTGATCGGAAACAAATACGAGCGCTTTCGTGCCACTGCCGATGATGCTGGTGTCGAACACATCAAGAGCGAAGACGAGGATGAGGACACGCAAATGGCCGATTTCACCTCTGCTACTGGCCCTGGCGGCTCTCACGGAGTTTTGCCGCCGCATCTATTACTCCTCGTCCTCGAAACTGGCACTTTCGTCTTTCTGTTCATCAGGAGAGACGTTCACGGCAGACTCCAATTCGTCGCGTCCCCCTTCCACAATCCCTCAAAGAGAATGGGCCATCACTTGGGTTTTCATGTCGCGGTAGATCCAAGATCTCGATACGTTGCCGTTGCCGACGCTCAGAATAAGTTTGCCGTGTACGAGCTCGAATCCATGGAGGCCATGAGTAGCCAATACATGCGTCAGAACGACATCAGTCCAGTCAAGACCCATCACCACCGAGCAGTCCAGGGAATGATTCTCAAGATGGAATTCCTCTATCCTCGACCAGAAGACCAGCATCACGTTATTCTCCTCATCATTCTTGCCAAGGGCGACAAATCAAAGATGGTTATTTACGAGTGGGAGCGCGGGGACAACCTAGGCGAAGTGTTCGCCGAGGAAAAGCGCGGTTATCGCATACGACCCGAGCATTGCATGCCGTTATTGGTGATCCCACTGACAGTGAGGAGTTCCTTCCTGGTGGTGTCTGAGAACGCCTTCGGCATCTGCAAGGATCCTCTGCAAGGACCTATCGACATTGAGAACCACTGCCCTTTTGATCCCAAAGACCACCCTACAACTCGATTTCACCACGGGACAGGCCCGCCGCTTTGGACAGCCTGGGATAGGCCCGTGCGAAGAAGGGGCTACTATGATACGAATGATCACATCTATCTTGCTCGGGAGGACGGCGTGATTGTGTTCTTTGAATTCAATTCAACGGATGTTCTTGGTGTTTCCATGAACGTTGGGGACTGCGATTGCAACATATCCAGCGCCTTCACCACGATGTACGACGCATACTCCGACTTCGCCATAGTTGCAGGAGATTCGGGTCCGGGTTTGGTTTTTCAGGTATCTTCCTCGACTGCCTGCGTCAACGGAAGAAGTCGAGAACTAACGAATAACAAATAGCTCAAACCTCGACAAAGTATAGTTCAATTGGGTCCGATCCCCAACTGGGCGTGTGCTATTGATTTCACAACCACAGATCCATTCTCGTCCTGGAATCCCACGAGCGCACACAAAAGCAAGCCGGCTACATCTTGGAAGGAACGGACGCCGGATCATTTATTAAGCCCACACAAAATAATGTGCGCGTCCGGGAACGACCCTCAAGGCAGCATCACCGAGTTACGCTACGGACTTCCCGCCAACATCATTTCGTACTTTGAGACGCACCCTACGAAGAGGGCGTGGATTTTCCAGGCTGCTGATACCACCTGGCCCTACCAAATGCTCCTAACTAGTCCTGGGACATCTGATATCTTGCTGGTATCAGCCGATCTTTCCCAGGCGGAAATGGCCGAGCCCACCGCAGTACAACTGGACACGATGTCCAGAACACTTGCAGCAGACCAGAGTCGTGACGGGACTATCACCCAAGTTTCCGAGCGATGTATAACTATTGCAAGCCCCAATCAAAGGTAAGCCTCGATCGCGCTATCGTTGTGGCATTAAAAGATGTACATTGAATGATCAACAACTCTGATATGGTTCGCAGTGCAACATCATTTGCGTATGCCGAGTTCCAAGGCATCGATGGTGTAGTTGAGCATGCGGCTGTGAGGGGCAACTGTGTTTGCGTATCCGTGTTTTCCGAGTCCCATTTTCAAATCCATACCTTCCGCGCCGACAACTCCGACTTAGCCCTTACGGATACATATGCAGTGGACGGTGAAGTCACGTGTCTTTCACTGTGCTGCATAGGCGGGTCGGAATGCATACTTGCCGGCTTATGGCGAGAGAATAGTTCCTATCTGGCAATATATCCTGCCGACGGACTGGAGAAGGCGCCCATGTTGATCGGCCTGGACACTGGTACGTCGGTCTTCTTGCAGCCGGAGACGAAAAGTGCTGACAGAGATCGGAACAGACGATGAGGGACTGACTGCCCATCAAGGAGACGCAATGGATATCACACCGACAGTAGAACTCATCAACAGCATTGTGGTTGTGCATGAGACAGCCCAAAAGACCAGTGTTGTTCTCGGAACCCGAAGCGGTCATCTGATAACGATGCAGCTTAATGGTGCTGGCCCCTATGATCGAATCATAAGGAGAGAAAGACTTGGTACCGTTGCAGCTGAAGTCTTCCCTGTGGACGCACCGTATCTTCTCGGAGCTGTCATGGCCTGTTGCAACGACGCATTGCTTCTTTTGCGAGATTTCGAGGCCAAGCGACCTGGGCATTTTGCGACCAAACATCGCGTCTGGGTAACTGACTTGAAGGATCCGGCTACGGCATCAGTGCCTGTGATCTCGGCCACCTACATACCTATCGAACGAAGCATCGCGAACCGTATGCCACTTGTTCTTCTTTCTGGGGAACATATCTCGTTCACGGAGATACATCTTCAAGAAGGATCAGTCCCCAGGCGGCTGCCGCTGCACACAGGGACCCCTGTCAAGGTACTGTATTCGCAGACGCTGCAATGTCTGGTCGTCGCGCTGCAAATCGGAGACCAGCCGAATATCATGTTCATGGATCATGAAACAGGAGAAGATATATCCCATCCCATCGACAGGAACACTGGCAACCCGACGACGTTTATCAACGGAATGGGAGGTCATGGTGATAGAATCCTTGGGGTATTCGAATGGCTGTATACCCAGGCCAGCATGACTTTTCATTACCTGATCATTACCACAAGAGGAGGACGGCTTGTGCTGGTTTCCCCGACGAAAGATGACTACCGAGATTCCGAGGGAAAGAAACGAAGGAGAATCCGCTTTGTCACTAGGTATAAGACGAAAGACACGGCACCAATATGCTCTGTGGTCGGAGACGATCAGGGACTTGTTTACTGCGCCGGCAAAACGCTCTATTGGGAAGTCCTCGACACGGCCGAGAAGAAGCTGGTTCGGAAAAAAACCTACGAGCTGAACTCGCCGGCGCTTTCACTGCGGATAGTGAACGGCAAGGTGTGTGCGCTCACCCTGAGCGACTCTCTCGTGATTGTAGACCACAAGTCGGATCATAAAAGCGATGAGATGGAGCTCATTCATATGGACGAGACGACACGGAAGTCAAACCACTTTTTCGATGTTGGAGATTCCGCAGATGGATCGACAGCATGGCCAATAACACTGCTCTGCGGTATGAACCGCGATTTCGCAGCTGTTTGGACTCCCTGGCAACAGCGGGATAGAGAACTGGAACTCGTCGCCGAGGGTTCACTCCCCGCTAGCGTCAGAAAACTCGGGCGCGGTCATGTTCGGCCTGAATGGGTGGCAACAGAGCATGTGCCCCGATATGGAAGCATACCCAGCACGTTGGACGGAGCTGAGGTGGTAGGCATGTCGTTGGATGGTTCGGTGATGCATTTCAGCCTGCTCAACATGCATGCATGGCGTTTTCTGCGATTTGTGCAGAATCTCGCCTCGAGGAGTCAGTTACTTTTCCCTTACAGCTACGAGGTATCACAGCTGGACGATGAGGACTACGACGCAGAGGTGAAGGAGATGCCCAAGTCGATGAAGCACATAGATGGAGACTTGCTGCAGCGATGCGCGGACAGATTGGTGCTGGAGAAGTTGATTTCGGAAGACAGCGATATCGACCTCTTGCGGGAGTATCTGGATTATTTGGATGATGGGGTATGGACGGCGTCTTTCCAGGATGCCGCGGGCGTTTCCAAGTATTTCGACTTGGCTTACGACGTACTGGATTACTACTTGACTCCAGTTCTATAATTCTGTTAGTCATGTCAAGCTTTTAGGACTGGTGCTTTTCTCCTGCCCCTGCTAGACAAATGACGTGGGAATGCCTGGGGGGGGGGGGGGGGGGGGGGGGGGGGGGGGGGGGGGGGGGGGGGGGGGGGGGGGGGGGGGGGGGGGG